CTGATAAATTTTGCTGTGTGAAAAGTGGTCGTTAAAGATTATGACTGACCTATCACAGGACCATGTTAAATAAAATTACAAACCTTGCTTTGTAACTGAAACATAATTGTGGCGGCAGCTTCTTCTTCTTCCAAAAAGTGGCGAGAGTAGGAAAACAAGATGAGATCGTGGATAAGCACCATCGGAATGTGTATGGAAGTGAGGGAGACACAGAGAGAGAGTTGGAATCGAGCCCAGAGAGATTTTTCTTCCTCACTCCATTAGTGAAGGATCAGGGGAGAAACATCAGCCCTCAGAAAGGGTGTACCCCATCCCGCAGAAAGAGAGACACCAGCTACGGAGCAGGGCAGGGGAAGCTGTCAGTGAGTTTCATAGACAGTTTGCTGATGCAGTTATGAAATGATGCATACTTCACTTTTATTAGAAGTATTGATAATGGCTTACAGGGGAATTTCACAGATTTTCTGTGTAGTGCAGTATTTTAAATGTAAACAAACCCATACAAATAGGTTTGATGTGAAATGGCACACTGTAGAGAAACTTACTGATTTTCTTTACAGTGGTGGTGATAGGTTGTCAACACGAATGCAGCCTTTCAATTACTATCCAAAGTGCCCGGTTAATCTACACGTCTTCTGAGTTTTATATGTAATGGTGGTAATAGTGATACACTATATGAACAGAAGTATTGGGACACACCACTAATCATTGAATTCAGGTGTTTTATTCAGTCCCATTGCCACAGGCATATAAAATCAAGCACTTAGTCATGCAATCTGCCTTTTCAGACATTTGTGAAAGTGAGTCATTCTAAAGAGTTCACTGAATGTAAGCGTGGTACTGTAACAGGATGCCACTGTTGCAACAAGTCAGTTTGTGAAATTTCTTCCCTCCTAGATATTCCGCAATCAACTGTGAGTGGTATTATTGAAAAGTGGAAGCGTTTAGCAATCACAGTAACTCTGCCATGAAGTGGCAGACCACGTAGTTACAGAGCAGAGTCGCAGAGTGCTGAGGCGCATAGTGCATAAGTCACCAACGCTCTGCTGACTCAATAACTGCAGTTCCAAACCTCCTCTGGCATTAACATCAGCACAGAAACTGTGCTGGGAGCTTTGTGGCATGGGTTTCCATTGCCAAGCAACTGCATGCATTCTTTACATCACCAAGCACAATACTAAGCGTCGAATGGAGGGCTGGAAAGCATGCCTCCACTGGACTCAGGAGCAGTGGAAACGTATTCTGTGGAGTGATATTTCACGCTTCTCTATCTGGCAGTCTGATAGACGAGTCTGGGTTTGGCGAATGCCAGGAGAACGTTACCTGCCTGACTGCATTATGCCAACTGTAAAGTTTAGTGGAGGAGGAATAATGCTATGGGTTGGCCGAAGCCCCTTAGTTCCAGTGAAGAGATCTTAATGCTTCAGCATATCAAGACATTTTGGACAACTGTGGGAACAGTTTTTTCTGTTTCAGCATGACTCTGCCCCAGTGCACAAAGCGAGGTCAATAAAGGCATGATTGGGTGAGTTTGGTGTGGGAGAACTTGACTGGCCCACACAGAGCCCTGACCTCAACCCCATCGAACACCTTGGGGATGAATTAGAACGGATATTGCGAGCCAGGGCTTTTCGTCCAACATCCGTGTCTGACCTGACAAATGCTCTTCTGGATGAATGGGTCAAAGATTTGCACAGACACATTCTAAAATCTTGTAGAAAGCCTTCCTAAAAGAGTGGAAGCTGTTATAGCTACAAAGGGAGGACCAACTTCATTTTAACGCATATGGATTTAGAATGGGATGTCATTAAAAATTTGTGTAGGTGTCCCAAGACTTTTGTCCATAAAGTGTATATGTAATGGTGATAATAGTACAAAATTGGTAAAGCAAAAAAAAAAGGTGCATTCCAATCTCCTGCATTTACCACTTCACCATGAATGAAGTCTTCTCATAACTATTGTAATACAATGTCTCAGACATCAGGCACTGCATTTGTAACTATTTCATTCAATAACCTTCTGTAAAATAGCATTTAAAAGCATTAAGCTCGGGCTCCCGAGTGGCACAACCGTCTAAGCGTTGGCCCTATCATCAGGAGATTGCGAGTTCAATCCCTGGCGATGCTACAGCCATCCGTAGCCGGGAGTCCAAGAAAGCACAATTGGCCTCGCTCTCTCTCTGGGTGGGTAGGATGGCCTCCTTCCCTCCTTCTCCCCCCGTCACTCAACGCAATGCTAGTCAGCGCAGCCGTCTGTTAGCTGACATAACAGAACTGGCGGTTGGCGCTTTCCTCCGAGCGCGTTCAGCTGTCCAATGATGTTGCGTGAGCGGCAGTTCGAAAAGATGCGGTGGCTGGTTTCACAGGTCTCGGAGGAAGCCTGTATTAGCCTTCACCCTGCTAGCGTTGATAGTATCGTCTGATTGGGGGAGTCCTAACTAGCGGGTGGAATTGGAGACGACTAAATTGGGGAGATAATTCCAAAAAAAAAAAAGCATTAAGCTCTTCAGGACTTCGATTCCTGTCACCAGCACTATGAACAATTTTGGCTCAGTAGATCATCTGGAATGGCACATTTCACATTAATGTCTTTAAGTATAAAGGATTTAATAATGCAGACATTTTGAAAAAGATCCTCTTTAAACAGTTTTCTGGTTCTTTCATGGTTGTTCTGTACAGGTATTGTTTATAGTGTTGTGATTTTTAACAGTAATTTTATGTGTATCTCTCTCTTTCTCTCTCTAGGTAAAATGACGGTCTGTAAAAGTGAGGCAGTAGTACTGCCCAACGGATGGCCCCATACCCCCATCATACACTCAAGCTTTTTTGCTCCTCATGCGAACTTCACACACGCTCTCTTATGTGCGTGCGTTCAGACACCTGAACTTGTTTCATGACCCTCCACTTCAGATAAATGATTAACTCCTTTAGCTTCTGTTGATTCATTGTATGTAGACAAAAAAAAAAAAACTTTCTTCTTTTGATGTTTAATTTCTGTTCTTTGCCACTGTCTGGAGCCATTTTTAAAATGAATATTTGGAAGGAAAAAAGACAGTTTTAATCTACAGTTGCTTATTAAATGCCTGGAAAGATTTCCTGTTTCTTGTCCCTTCTCTCCTGATTTTCCTGCCGTTTCAGTAGTCCTAAACAGGCACAGACACTGGGTACAACACAACTGGATCGGAAAAAGCAGGCTGACAGCAGCTTTAGCTGGTCTACCCACCCTATCCAATCTGGCATTCTTTAAAAGAAATATTCCAGCTTTTTCAACCTACTGCAGTAGGCTGACCGATATAACAATTTTATGGCTGATGCATATAAAGCTAAAAATTCAGATTTTATATTTTTTCACGATAGTTTTAAACAATGACTTTATTCAGTTCTCAATTCTCACACTTGTCAAACCCAGAAAGGAAAAAACTGAAATTCACAGTTTTAAATAATACAAATATTGTAGAACAGAAGTGGAGCTTCCTAGAATTATTTGCAGTTTTGACGTCTGTTTATTTTTTTCAAATCCGTTTTCTTCAGACAGAATGTGTTACCTTTTTCTTACTTTTTATTTTACTTATTTCCTTGTGTGTTTGTCTGGTACCAAAACCAGTGATAACCATTTTACATCTCTTTTCCCATTTCAGTTAAACAGGCTGTTTTGTTAATTTGCCTTTAGAAGACTGGTATATATTCAGAAATCACACCATGAATGGGGAAATTTTAAGAATATTTCTACAGTACACTAGGCTTACATTAAATAAAAAAGGGTAGTTATCCTTTATCTGGGACCTTTAAAATATGTTTATGGTAGGTTTGATCACATTGTATATGTTTCTAACCAAGATGATGTTTTGTGTTCATATTTACCTCTTCAGTCTGTGTTGATGTCATATAGCTAAACAAGACAGTTTACATTGGGTTCCCCAGTGGCAACCATCTAAGCTAAGCAATAATTACTGACTCTTGACATCTGATGCTGCTGTCAAGAGAGTCAGTAATTATTGTGATGTATTTGACATTTTTGCTGATACCACTAAAATCGTTTGCTATCAGTATCAGCCGATCGATATATCGATTGGTCTGTAACCTGTGGCAAAAGTGTGATTACCACAGTCGGGTCATTTTAGCATCTTTCTCTATGTGTTGGGGGGAAAAGAACTTTTACTTCTTTGTCAATGAGTTTTTAGTCCTACAAGAAAAACACAAAATTGCCACTGGGTACTATGATATAGAAACAACGGATAGTCGAGATTAGATAGAAAAATGCTGGAGTATTCCTTTTAATAAGTGATGTGTGCAAGAGGTTACTTTCTAACCTGGAGAAGGTCAGCTCTCCGTACATTACCAATAATAAAAAGGCCTCTTCGGCCTTTTAAAATCCTCCCACTCTCCTGTTGTAGATGTGGCATCTCCTTACTTGTGTATGCTGTTTTCAGTTGAGATCAGTCATATAACGTATTTGGGTTCAGCATTTAGAACTAGCTGATTTTTAATGAAAACCAACAAACATTTTTGTTTTAATGTCCTGTTTTTGTACAGAACTTGATCATGTCCTTCCTACTGTCTCTCGTAACTTGTGGAGGTGGTGACACTGTAGATTTTTTTAATGTACTTTGTTTTGAACTCGATTTAATTTTCAATGCATTATTTTATTGCATTCAAAATATTTAAAGATTGAAACACCTCTGGTTTACCTTTTTAAGAGGTTAGCTATTTTAGGATGGGTCCTTTTTGCTAATGCTTCAGTTTTTTAATGCCTATTCGTTTTTAAGGCTTTGTTCACACAAGCTTGGTGTTTATTTTACTTACTCATTTCTTCTGGTTATTTAGCTGTAAAACATGACTGAAGCCTTTAGTTTAATTAAAAAAAAAAAGTCTTGGTCCCTTAATTACAAACAGGATACAGTTTTCATTTTTCAAGCTTGTTTTTTTATTCAAAGAAATATAGTTTCACAATAAATAACCATGCTTGTACGGCTTGTTTAAGTTTTGTCTTTTTCCACTTGCTGTCTCAACAGAACAAATTGTCCTCCCCAGTTTTTTTGTTAACCCTTTGCTGCTTCGTGCAATATTGAACATGGTGATTACTACAGGAAGACAGTTCGTTTTTTTTGTTTGTTTTCATACAAAATATAAACCCAGCCAACAGTGGTAAATTTTGAAGATGACTGATGCTTTTCTTAAAGAAAAGGGGTTTGCTTTATGTACAAGTGAAGGAGTCTGTGTGCATGAGAAAACTGTTAAAGGCAGGATTATGTTTCTTTTGGGCACGGTGAGCAGTGTGTAATCTGCTAGTTTAAAGTTTGAGGGACAAGTAGAGAATTGCAACTTTATTACCCATCACCACTAGCATAACCCATTTGTATGAAATCTAAACAAACAAAAAAAAAAGGTCTTTTTCACTTATGATTTGATCGTCACTTGTATCCTGATGGATCATTTTACCAAATGTTGACATGGTGATGATATTTCTTAAACCAAAACAATCAAGAAAGAAATCAAGTTTTATCCTAGTTGCTTTGGGAATAACATTCACCTGTAAAGCCAAATTTTCAATATCTTCAATTAAAACACATACTAAATTCATTCAGAATCATCTAATGTGAAATGGTGTGTTGTAGATAAATTACTGATTTCTCCTTAACTCTGAAATTTGATCTGTTTAGCCACCATGACAACCTCATTAGGGATTGAATTTAGGACAGAAGCTATTACAGAACAACAGTTCTTAAGTTCATAATTTTAACTCCAGATAAGAAAACAGTTTCTATCATTTTTAGGCAAATGTGAGGGTCAGCATAGTTAACTACTACTAGTACTGGCTATTTATAGTGAACAATGCTGCCTATCACTGCATAGAACAATAGAAATGACCAGGTAAAACAGTTTATGACTCCCCTGGAGTTGTCTTAAAGTTAGGAAGTTTTGTGTAGTTAGAATGTTGCTGGAACACTTTCTTATGTGGAATTAGGAAAAGATTATGAACTTAAGAACTGTTGTTCTGTAATAGCTTCTGTCCTAAATACAGTCCTAACTGAAGCTGTCATAGTGACTAAACGGATAAGATTTAGGACCAAGTTTCTGTAATATGGCCCCTGGTTCCCATCACCACCACCATGAAAATCCTGACTCAGTTTCACATCAAACTACTCTGAATGTCTTTGTTTACATCTTAATGACTTAATTTTGTGGGAATTCTAAAAAAAAAAACAATGGAATTCACCTTTAACAAACCACTGGTAATCAGCAAAGAACAATATCCTAATTTGGAAAAGATATGTAATCAAAACCATTCAACAACATGACTGCCCATCCTTACGTTTCATTGGCATCTTTCAGTCCCAGAGTTTACAGACTGATTGTGAGAAATCTTGATTGTGCTGCAAAAGAAAAAGTCTAACCAAGAAACAAAAAGACAAGTCTATTTAGTTATGTTCTTGTCCTCTTTCTTGCACTTGCTCCTATGTCAGAGAGTCGCCATCAGTAAAAGATGATTTAAGAACAAAAAAAGGAACACGAACAGAAGCAACTTAGGTAGATTTGTCAAAGGTCATACAGCTGCCTTTTTAAGGAAGGGAGATAATGACCAGTCCAGTATCCTATCCCATTCCTTTATGTAAAAGAAAGATGATAGCAAAGAAAATGTAATTAAAAATCTCCACAATCCCCATTAAAGGGATGATTAGCATTATTGGCAAAGTTGCAATTAAACAATGAATAGCCAGCAATTAGAATTACAAAAACGATGTCATGGATACCTGCTTGCATTCATTGTTAGCAACATTAGCATTACTGAGAGAACCATCCCTTAAAGTGGTACCAGGCTTTGTGAAGTGCACCAAAAATGTTGGGAACTAAATGCCAGTCTTCCAGTACAGCAGTAACATCACACTATGTCATCTGGCCAACTGCATATCTCAGGATAATACAAATGGGGGGGGGGACATTTTAGTTTTTCAGCACAGTAGTATGGAAGAGAAGGGGAGTGTTCTGCAATCTCAGAGAGGTCTGAATGTTTTACTTATTTTTTCTAGCAAATCCACTAAACATCCTGTTCAGATTAACAGCTTAAAAACATAAAGCAATTTCTTTTACAATGTACAGTTAGAAAAAATTAACACTTCTCCCCTGGGCTGGTTTTTTGAATGTACACAAACATTTTAATATACTTATTTACATGATGAATCATCTTTGTTTCACCTATGCAAGCAGGTATTTTCATCTTTTGGACAGTCTAAAGTGACAGTGATAATGGGCTTCTCCTTGTTTGGCTTTGAAACAAAAACCAAAGCATATGAGAGAGGGGAAGAAAGGCAGAGAATGTTACCATATGATCAAAAAAAGGGCAGAGTTTAACTAGCCATATTTGCACATCATCATGGCAGCCATGTCAAAATCCATTCCTGAGGGACACAGCATTGGTCAGTTTAGTGTTCTGTGTTCTAATGCTCACTTCAGCTCAGAAAGGGGCTTAATAATTGACTTATACATGCCAAGCCCACACAGGTGTTCTTTCATAGCTAAAATTGCAAAGTTAGAGACCTTAAAAACTTTTGTTTAAATACTTACACTTTGGATGCTTTCTTATTTCAAATTAGATTTATTTTCTCTTAAGTGTGAAAGGTCACCTTGTTAGTATAGTTTTTTTGTGTTATTGCTTTATCAAGTTAACTTTAGAATGGGGGATAGTTCTAAGTCATTGTTTACAATCTGCCTAGTTTCAATTAGCTACAACAGCATAGTCCAGCTTGGCAGAGTAGCATTTTCAAAATTACATAGTGATCTGGCTGTAAAGCTTGTCTAAACTCACTAAAGTGTTATAAAAGAATGCATCTGTGGGAGGAGCATGTATAAGTCAATCAGCTACTAAGTAATTGGCATTAGGGCAAGGACCACTAAGCTTTGTAGCGTTATAGTCCTCCAGGACATGAACTCATGTAGTATTGTGTTTCTATTGCAGGTTTTACTCTTTACAAATTATTTTATAAAAATAATTACAGATGGACCAATCTGGCTCTAGATCAGCTCTGCTACTTTGAGGTGATCTCTACATGCTTGGATGAGTGCGTGGACGAATACAGGGCAGAAAGAGCAGTTTCTTTTAAGGGGTAGAGGTGGTTAGTGAAATCATGGCCTAGTGATGATGATGAAGTCTCAGTTGCTAAGCAACAGTTCTGTTGCCGTCTCTACGTCCCAAGACTTCGAAGACAAAGCTACTATTACTGCATTCTGTGTTAAAAAGAGAGAGACAAACAAGAGAAAGACACAGGGTTATATTAAGATCTGTAATATACTCAATTTCTAAGAAAACTTCAAGCCCCTATCAGGAATTGCTGAAACTGGAGTGAACTTACTATAAAAAAGACAGAGTTGGACCAACTAAAGCAAGCCAGAAACTAACAACCAGTGTAGCTTAACTGCATAAACTCTATAGAAACTGAGTTGCTGATTGTATGTCAGTCAATTATGAGATTGGCTGTAACCGAAAGGGATCCCTAATTATGTTTTAGGTATGTTGGCCATTTTTCTCTTAGTGTCTGAATTGTTAAATGAAATTAAAAGGAAAATTTGATGGCAAAATAAAATCCCACAATGCACTTGTAATTTCTAGTGAACATCGTTGATCACTGTTTCAGCTGAATGTATACCAAAATGCATTGCAAGTCTCTTGTTACTAAGCAACGGACTGAGTAACATTACATTAAAAAAACAAAACTCTCCAGACTCTGGAGAAACACTACAAAAAACAGAAGCTCTTTACAGTTAAACACAAACAGCCTAATGTATCATACAGCCAAAACACCAACTGGTAATTGCAGGGTACTAGAGTCATGGCCCAAGAAATAAATGTGTACTCTAATCAAGCTTTTCTTCTTCCTTGTTCTAAATGTACACCCACGTCTACAGCTATGAATAAACAGCCAACTTCAGCCTCTCAAGCAAGCCTCATGTTGGTTTGTTTATGTAGTTGGTGAGGAGTGACGTATGCCGATGATGAGAAATAGACATAATCCTATATTGTATTCTTATACAACAGTTAGTTCCGACCACACAATCTGATTGCTTGAGAAGTGTTATCACAAATAACAGCATGTTTTTTCACAATAACTATCATACCGCTGAGCACCTGCCCAAGTAGTGTCTTGTTTTACATTACAGCATGTGAAAAGCTTTACAGATGGACTGGAACAAAACAGCATACAGATCAGGCTACTGCTTTTTTGGAAGAGGGAACTGCCGATATTAAAGCACTTTTGATATCACATTTTCTTCTTTGCTTAGTTTTTTGTTCTTTTTTGCAGCACTGTTGTATAAAAGCAACAGAATACTCAAGGTAATGTGTTATCAGGAATAATAACAAGGCTAGGATGATCTACGGTACCAGCCTTGACTCATTCCAGCAACCAGATCGCAGCCATGATGTTATTTGAAATAACACACTCCCTTTCATGTTTTACTGATTCCATTTTTTAAACAATTGTTTGGTAAAACTAACAAACCTCAGAAAACTCAATTTTGTGATGCATGTCATATTATGATATTATATTTTTGCCATTTCGCTAGGGATGCAACGATACCACTTTTCCCTCCTTCCAATACCTGCTCTTTAAGTATTGGCCAATACAGATTACAGATATGGATGTTAATTCTACCTAATGTAACCAGCTTTTAAGTCCTGATATTTATATAATTACACTCTTTAAATAAGTGAAAGCTGTGTTCTCTGTAATAAGTAAAACATATTAAGATTAAATATATATGTAAAACCATCAGAACCTTCAGATGCTTAAGAAAACCTATTTTGCTTATGTAATATATATACTTAGTATTTAAACATTATACAATTAGTAATAAGAACCATATTTAGCAAATTAATTAAAAGTAAAATATATTTTATTGTGCAAAATGGAACAAACTGAACAATATATAGATAAAACCTATGGTGTATATATGCAAGCACACAGCAGCTAATCTGGCTCAGTTCTGAATGCTGTTTTACATCTGAATTTATCCAGTAATTTGTCTTGTACATCACTTACACCAGTGCTTACATTTCTGTGTCAGGGTCTACTGGAGTTAAGTGAATATCAGTCATTCACGCCGTCACTAGCGCCTGTTTTCAGCGGATTTTTCGGCTTGGCTAAAGCAACAAGCTGTAGGACCAGGCTGTTGTGTGAAGGAGCAGACCGATGGAGGGGCACTGCAGTCAGGGCAAGTGGACACACAAGCCCAGCTAGCAGGTTGGTATGATAAGAGGTTAACTAAGGTTAAAGGCTGTCATTACCCCAAGAGACCAGTGGTTCCTTCCACATATCTAAGGTTTGCTCCCTTGATAACAACCTGGACTAACACTGACTCAGACTGTAAATGGCTACACAGCAGAAATGACAGTCTCAGCCATTCAGTTAAGGGGCTCCTCTTAGCTTCATGGTATCACTATCCCCATCGTTGATACCCATACTGTGCTTAAGTGCCAGTATCAATGCCGATACCTGCTACGTCACCCACTCTGAAGTCAAAGCTTGTTAGATTGAAGATATTAAGAACCAGTTTAAATAGTTGCTTAACAAGGCAACAGTTGCAAAGACTTCTTTCCAAGCTGCATTTTTTACTCTATTTAAATAACAAATAGGTCAAGCTCTTATATTTTTCGGAATATGAGTACACTGAGCAACTTCTCTCCAGCTCCATTCATATATCAAAAAAGCTAAATCTATGTATACTCGCAGTATTTGTGATTGAGCTGTAAAAACAAGACTAAAATGGTTTGTTGTAGCAACTCCTGACAGGGGCATTACAAGTAGATCCACAACTGATTCAAGTTGAATAAACTGACAACTTAATTATTAACTTTTGCTTTCATTTTCATTTTGGAATGTATTTCATGTCTTTGAACCATTTCTAGAATAACCTGAATTATTTTGTATCCAGTTTAAGTACTTACTTTGTCGAAACCCATGGCACAGAGTTTGTCTATTTTGCGTGTGTATTCAGGACTAGAGATGGGAGCGCCAGCATAAACGTGAGACCACAGTCGAGCAGTCTGTTTGAACATCTCTGGATTCTGTTTATACTGAAAAAAAAAAACAAAGAAAAATATCGTATTACGCAAATTCAGGCTCAGAGATAGCATGACACTTTCTCTCTTTTTACTTGACAAAAATCAATCTACCTATTAGCTTGAGCTTTCCTTCAACAAAAATGTATTCTTTTCTAGGGCTGGGCTGACTTATTCAAATACTCAATAATTTGTTCAGTACCTGGTAATAGTTTCTCTATGTGGGAAGCTTCTTTTTTTAGACTAAACTACAATAAATTTAATCTGCATAAACCGTTAGTTAGATAAGTCACTGTTAATATATGGAAAATGTTCAAAGAAAATAAATTATAGCTGGTTTAGTTGAATGCATCATTAATGCCAGGCATCCACATCACCTCGCCTCAAAGTGCAAAAAATGTGCTGCTTTCCACATAGCCATTGAAGCTAAAAGAGCAGAGATGCCAGAGAAAACACGTGTGGGAATGCTTTAAATTAATTGGACAATAAGAAAATTGATCCATGCCACCGATTCAGTTCTGTAACATGACCAAATATCAGTTTTTTTCTCCTTTTCTACAAACCAATTACAAAAAAGTTGCACATTAGGTAAAATGAAAATAAAAACAGAAAGCAGTGATTTGTAAATTCACTCTGACCTGTACGTAAAAAAATGAGCAGTATGAAGAAAAGACATGTAAGGTTGTACTTTATCAGCTTCATTGTTTTTTTTGGTTTTTTTTTGAAAATATGCATTAAATTTTTTAATTGATGCCTCAGCTAGAGTTTGCAAGAATTTAATCTATTTCTCCCTCTACTGTGCATTTCATTATCAAAAGATTCAGTGAATCCAGACAGATCTGTGTGAAAACCAAAAAGCACAACTGAATGCCCATACCCTTCGACCTCTTAGACAGCATTGCATTAAAAAACAACATGCTTCTGTGATGGATATCAACACTTTGACTTGAGAATACATTGACAAACTGTTATCAATAAACACTGTCTGTTGTTGCATTCACAAATACAAGTTAAAGAGCAACACGAATAGCCTTTTAGCCCCACCTTTCTTCTTCATGCTCCTTCGGGGTTCTGGAGTAACATGACGTAATTAACATGAGTAATGTGGTTGTCATGACGCAATCATGGGTGGGTCATTTTTATGGAAAGATGCATTAGCTAGGTTAGCTAGCACTGATTGTATTCCTGTACGATCAAACTGAAAAAATGATACTGTGTGGCAGAACACTAACACAGCTAGCCAGCTAATGTTTTCTACTCATATGAGGCTGGTGTTTCTTGAACTGCTAATGATAGGCTAGCTAACTTGCACCTGTAGCCCGCTAGCCTTCCATTAGCGATAAGAGAGTTTAAACGAAGTCTATCAAATTCAAATTGCATATAAAAATTTTGCTTTCCATTTATAATATTACAAAAATTGTGGGCATGCTGTAAACGTGTGACAGAGGCTGCTTCAAGTTAGCTAACAGCTAATGAAAGCTCTCTTGTTTGGGAACATAGCTACAGTTAGGAATCGCTTCTAGCTAGCATAGCTAGCTAAATAAAAACATGTAGCAAATTTACACTACGTATACTAATTCCACTTTCTCTTTAAAACATGAATATTACAGAAATCACTACCATGTTATACAAAGACACAGGGACTGCTTCATGTGAGCAGCTGCAGCAGCAGTAAACAGGGCTACCCCATACATACAGCATTATACAGCAGTGTTTAGTTAAATCTGAGTTTCAATCCACTTCTTATTTTCACTATTTGTTGTCAGTGCACGAAAACTAAAACATGGCTGTTGTAGCTTAATGTTTGAGTGCTACGGTGCATTACAATGACATCTCAATAACGTTTCTGCAGTACTTTTATCAAAGCTTATATATACACGGTTATGTGGAAAGGCCATGCCCCTTGTCTTGCTCACCCTGACATCACGTCACGTGACATTTTTCTGAGATTTGCTGGTCAGCACACATTACTCTTGTGTACAGTCAGAAACTAAAACAATCAGCTACCAGACTGTGTTTTATTTTTGTTTTTTTCATTTTTCATTGGCCTTCTTCTTTAAGACTTTACTGTGCACAGCGGAAGTCAACAACATCCAGAAATGCTGCTGAGCTTCACTGAGCTCGAGCTCATCTGAAATGGATTTATGCACAACGGAAACGTAATGTGGTCCAAGGAATCAACCTTTCAGAGTGTTTACGGAAATAACTGGCCATGGTGTTCTCCTGGCCAAGGACAGAAAGGACCATCCAGATTGTTACTAGCATAAAGTAACAAACCCAGGGCATGTCATGGTATGGGTGGTGTCAGCATGACAACACCAAGCCACATTGTGCATGTTGCAGCAGCATGGCTGTGTAATTAAAGAGTGCAGGTGCTAGACTGGCCTGTCTGCGGTCCAGAAAGGTCTCCCATGGAAACATGCGCTGCATTATTAAGCTCAAAATTGGACAAGAAAAGGGAGCGCATCCGAAGACTTGTATAACTGAAGAGTGGCAAAAAATTCTGCTTTCAAAAGTGGACCAGTTTGTATCTTCAGTCCCCAAACAATTATGAAGTTCTGTTAAAAGAAAACAAGATGCAACACAGCAGTAAACATGCTCCAGTCCCAACTTTTTGGAATGTGTTACAGGCATCAAATTTGGAAAAAGCATATCTGTACAAAAAAAAAAAGTGATGTTCTTAGGTTAAAAACACAAAATAGTGTTTTTGTACTGTTTTCAATTCAATACAGGATCAAACAGAATTTACTAATAACTGCTTTATGTCCCAACTTTTTTGGAATGTTTGTAATTAAACAGCAATTTTACAGCGGTTTTAAAACTTGACAGCAAAAACAGCAGATCTGTTTACTGCAATGGAATCACAAGTTTTTACCTGTGTTGGTATCAGAGAATAGTATATGCCACACATTGTTAGTATAGCACAGAAACTGCTCTGTAACTCTAAATTATTCTTTTAAAATATAGTTATATAGTTTGGAACACTATAAGAAAGTTGGTGCGATTTGACTGGGCACAGCTATAGAGTTTTTCGCTTGTGCAAAAGTGGAAAAAAAAAAAAACAGGTCAGAACGTATCATATTTTCACCGACTAGATAGCGCAGCCAGTGTGGACTGAATTATTAATTAAAATGGAAGCATATCTACAAAGTCAGATAGATTATGAAAAAATACTTCAAATACTGTGTTTAAGGGTGATGTTGATTACTCATTCAGAAATACCAATGAGTATTTGAAATCTGTAAAAAGCTGTTCAGCACAGTCCTTGTTCTTTCATAGCTACTGTGACTAGCTTAGTGAAGCTTTACAGAAATTGGCAAAAATCCAATGAAAGTCATGAGAAATTGTAGCACCCAATTTGGACAGATAAGACAGACTGGGTCTAGTTTGTATAATTAAGATAAGGTAAACACAGTGACAAAGTCTGTCATTGTTTTCATACTGCCTCATTTTGATTAGGCATAAAAATATACCTGGCTGGCACACACATTCACTCACCTGATTGGCTACTACAGCATCCTGCGGGTCATCTGGCTCTGCTGCTGCTAGTAAAGCCTGTAGCGAGAGCAGAACTGTACGCAGGGTCATCGCTGCAGCCCTACAGACAGTGAATAATTAACAGTCAGCACTCAATTTTGCTATGGTTCAAGAGATCACAGGCCTGACTTCTATTGATGTGCCCTTAAGCAAGGCCACTGAACCATTTTCTCTGTATGAATGATGTAAGTGGCTTTACCCAATGTGTAGATTAAATGTTTAAATGTACACAAAAAAGGAAGATTACAGATACAATGACAAAATGTGTGTAATGGTTCTTCAAAGTCTGAGAAAAGAGGATTAAAAAAAAATTCCAAATGTGAATTAAAAATAGAACGGAAATTGCACAAGGAACTGCACTTTAGGGTTGCACAATATATTGTTTGGGTAAACAAACGTAGGCCAATTTGTAATCATGCCACAGGAAAGTTGACCAGTGTGTTTTAAACATACTGCAAGATATATATATCAATATGATGATTTTGTCTATATCATGCAGCCCTGCTGCCCTTGTTTCATCTGCTACTGTACCACAGCGCAGTCAAAAAAAAAATTAAATTTGAATATTCATCAAACACGGGCATTAGGTCTGTTGATTTATAGCAATATAAATGACTGAGATTAACTACTTGTCCTTTTTGTTATTTCTATGCAACTATTAAACTACAAGCCTAAAGCTGCTAAATTGCCTAATAAGTTATCTTGCTTCTCAGCTGTCAATACTTAGTAGCTACAATTGTCAACAGAGACAGCTTGAGTTCAAATAAACAAACATTACTTACTTACTTAATTCTTGATGAAATGGGCATCACAGAGTGTTACATGCACTTAATAATCTAATCATAATCAGATTTCTGCAGGTATCTGATTATTCAAACAGTCATGTAAACAGCATATTCCGATTTCTTAGATCAGAGTACTGTTCGGAAATCCAATTAAGAAATCTGATCAAGAGAGCTGGATTTTAGCTCAGTATTCTGATTTCTCAGCGCATGTATACTTTTACTCATGTTTCTTTCGGATTTCTCAGTCTGCAAAACAGAAAACTGAAAACAGACTGCAGAACTGGAAATAAGCAAGCAGCGTTTAACACAGCACCAGCAAGAAAACAACAAAAAACTTTTGGACCACTTCTCCTGGGCATATTTCGTGGTAGCTGTCACGTCATCTGCCCAGCTATGATGAGAAGTCACATGAGCCACCATTATCTAAAGGGATTTGCCATGGGCTGTAGCGCTTAGTGTTTGGGGATAAGGAATTACTGGAACCCGCTACATTCCCTAACAAGTTGCATCCTACAAGCATTGCAGGCTATAACTTTTTTACGAAGTAAATAGAATAAAAATGTCTAAGTAATTATTAACCCATCACACATCAATTTATATAGCCTCACTAAAACCCTGAGTAATTATGTTAGGCACGTTATTTTGGTTTTGTAAAGAGAATATTTAGCGATGTGGCAATTTACATTTACTTCGTCCTTTTTCCATTGTTTCATTTGACTCAATTATCCAGCACTATATTATTTTTTATTTTTTGAAGTGCTTTTGCTTTTTTCACATGCATTTGTTCTGTCCTCTTCACATAACTGCTCTGCCACCTGAGAAGTTCGGTAGATTGGTGTGGGGGGGCCAAAGTCAGAAGCCTCATTCTCAAAAGGCTGAGACTGAAGTGAGAGGTTTAAAGGCATGAAAAAATACATGATACACGAAAAGACATTGTAAAAAAAAATTTGAATTTGCGTTATAGTTTTTAAACTTTAAATATTAAATGAAATAATAAATATTAACTATGTACAATTGTATTGAGTAATTGACAAATGAATAAATCCAAAGATATAAACCAGAAAAAGGTTTTAAAAAATTAAAAAGTAAGAAAAAAAAATAGTCATAGAATAAACTTGAGGTGTTCTTCATTTGATACTAACAAACATAATTTAATACAAGTGTTAAATACTTTGTAAACATTACTTATGTCTTAATAATTTTAATGCTGGTTTATTAATGTTAATAAGTGTAGTAAATAATTTTCACCGAAGTGTTAACGAAACAATTACAGCAAAAGAAGAAAGAAATTAGGAAAGAAAATGCAAAAAACTTGGACTCTTAATCTATAAGACAGGGACTGCAAGCATCTAGAAGATTAAATGTTCATTACACAATTAAACATTTAATCTTGTAATTTCTACAATAAAACTGAACTGAAAACCTCCCTATTATTTCCATACACATTTTAGGTTGGTCCTTTATTATTATTTAAATACAAAATACTAATTGATTTGCAATAAGCCTACAAAACAGAATAATCATACAATGTTTAATTACCCTTGCCTGTCAAGTTTAACAAAATGTGTTGTCTAGTTCAGCATACCTTAAATAGAGTGTCAGTAGTGTTAAACAGAAACAGACATCAGCCTAGTAGGGAGTTACAGCCACATTAAGATTAGTCTCCCATAAGGATTATATATATATATATATATATATATATACACACACACACATATACACACACATATATATATATATATATATATATATATATATATATAAATAAAATCATCAAACTATATTTTCAGTGTGTCAGTGTCCACTTCACTTGCTTTTGTCCAGTTAAAGGTCCTTTTATTCATTTCAAAAGATACAAATTCACTTTAAAAGGCGGCCGTTAATAAAAGTGGCCGCGATGTGGCTGCTCAATGGCGGCCACGATGTGGCTGCTAATAAAAGTGGCCACGAGGTGGCTGCTCAATGGCGGTGGCTAATAAAAGGGGCCACGAAGTGGCTGCGATGTGGCGGCCGCTAATAAAAGCGGCCACAAAGTGGCTGCTCAATGGTGGCCTCTAATAAAAGTGGCCGCGATGTGGCTGCTCAATGGTGGCCGCTAATAAAAGCGGCCGCAAAGTGGCTGCTCAATGGTGGCCACTAACAAAAGTGGCTGCGATGTGGCTGCTCGATGGCGGCCGCTAATAAAAGTGGCCACAAGGTGGCTGTTCAATGGCGGCCGTGATGTGGCTGCTCAATGGCGGCCGTGATGTGGCTGCTCAATGGTGGCGGCTAATAAAAGTGGCCGCGATGTGGCTGCTCAATGGCGGCCACTAACAAAAGTGCCCGCGATGTGGCTGCTCAATGGCGGCCACTAATAAAAGTGGCCGCAAAGTGGCTGTTCAATGGCGGCCGTGATGTGGCTGCTCAATGGTGGCCACTAATAAAAGTGGCCGCAAAGTGGCAGCTCAATGGCGGCCACGATGTGGCTGCTAATAAAAGTGGCCGCGATGTGGCTGCTCAATGGCGGCCGCTAATAAAAGTGGCCGCGATGTGGCTGCTCAATGGCGGCCTCTAATAAAAGTGGCCGCGATGTGGCTGCTCAATGGCGGCCTCTAATAAAAGTGGCCGCGATGTGGCTGCTCAATGGCGGCCACTAATAAAAGTGGCCGCGATGTGGCTGCTCAATGGTGGCCACTAATAAAAGCGGCCGCAAAGTGGCTGCTCAATGGCGGCCGCTAATAAAAGTGGCCGCAAAGTGGCTGCTCAATGGCGGCCGCTAATAAAAGTGGCCGCAAGGTGGCTGTTCAATGGCGGCCGCGATGTGGCTGCTCAATGGTGGCCACTAATAAAAGTGGCCGCAAAGTGGCTGCTCAATGGCGGCCACGATGTGGCTGCTAATAAAAGCGGCCACGAGGTGGCTGCTCAATGGCGGCCGCTAATAAAAGCGGCCGCAAAGTGGCTGCTCAATGGCGGCCGCTAATAAAAGCGGCCGCAAAGTGGCTGCTCAATGGCGGCCGCTAATAAAAGCGGCCGCAAAGTGGCTGCTCAATGGTGGCCACTAACAAAAGTGGCTGCGATGTGGCTGCTCGATGGCGGCCGCTAATAAAAGTGGCCACAAGGTGGCTGTTCAATGGCGGCCGCGATGTGGCTGCTCAATGGCGGCCGTGATGTGGCTGCTCAATGGTGGTGGCTAATAAAAGTGGCCGCGATGTGGCTGCTCAATGGCGGCCACTAACAAAAGTGGCCGCGATGTGGCTGCTCAATGGCGGCCACTAATAAAAGTGGCCGCAAAGTGGCTGTTCAATGGCGGCCGTGATGTGGCTGCTCAATGGTGGCCACTAATAAAAGTGGCCGCAAAGTGGCTGCTCAATGGCGGCCACGATGTGGCTGCTAATAAAAGTGGCCGCGAAGTGGCTGCTCAATGGCGGCCTCTAATAAAAGTGGCCGCGATGTGGCTGCTCAATGGCGGCCGCTAATAAAAGTGGCCGCGATGTGGCTGCTCAATGGCGGCCTCTAATAAAAGTGGCCGCGATGTGGCTGCTCAATGGCGGCCTCTAATAAAAGTGGCCGCGATGTGGCTGCTCAATGGCGGCCACTAATAAAAGTGGCCGCGATGTGGCTGCTCAATGGTGGCCACTAACAAAAGTGGCTGCAAAGTGGCTGCTCAATGGCGGCCGCTAATAAAAGTGGCCGCAAGGTGGCTGTTCAATGGCGTCCGCGATGTGGCTGCTCAATGGTGGCGGCTAATAAAAGTGGCCACAATGCTGCGGCTCAATGGCAGCCACTAATAAAAGTGGCCGCGATGTGGCTGCTCAATGGCGGCCGCTAATAAAAGTGGCCGCGATGTGGCTGCTCAATGGTGGCCACTAACAAAAGTGGCTGCAAAGTGGCTGCTCAATGGCGGCCGCTAATAAAAGTGGCCGCAAGGTGGCTGTTCAATGGCGACCGCGATGTGGCTGCTCAATGGTGGCGGCTAATAAAAGTGGCCACAATGCTGCGGCTCAATGGCGGCCTCTAATAAAAGTGGCCGCGATGTGGCTGCTCAATGGTGGCACATCGCGGCCGCCACTAACAAAAGTGGCCGCGGTGTGGCTGCTCAATGGCTGCCGCTAATAAAAGTGGCCGCGAAGTGGCTGCTCAATGGTGGCCACTAATAAAAGTGGCCGCGATGTGGCTGCTCAATGGCGGCCACTAATAAAAGTGTCCGCGATGTAGCTGCTCAATGGCGGCCACTAACAAAAGTGGCCGCAAAGTGGCTGTTCAATGGCGGCCGCGATGTGGCTGCTCAATGGCGGCCACTAATAAAAGTGGCTGCAAGATGGCTGTTCGTTGGCGGCCACTAATAAAAGTGGCCGCGATGTGGCTGCTCAATGGCGGCCACAATGTGGTTGCTAATAAAAGTGGCCACGATGTGGCTGCTCAATGGCGGTGGCTAATAAAAGGGGCCACGGAGTGGCTGCGATGTGGCCGCTCAATGGCAGCCACTAATAAAAGTGGCCACGATGTGGCTGCTCAATGGCGGCCGCTAATAAAAGCGGCCACAGAGTGGCTGCTCAATGGTGGCCGATAATAAAAGTGGCCGCGATGTGGCTGCTCAATGGTGGCCACTAACAAAAGTGGCCGCGATGTGGCTGCTCAATGGCGGCCACTAATAAAAGTGGCCACGATGTGGCTTCTCAATGGCGGTGGCTGATAAAAGGGGCCACGAAGTGGCTGCGATGTTGCCGCTAAATGGCAGCCACTAATAAAAGTGGCCGCGATGTGGCTGCTCAATGGTGGCGGCTAATAAAAGTGGCCGCGATGTGGCTGCTCAATGGTGGCCACTAACAAAAGTGGCTGCAAAGTGGCTGCTCAATGGCGGCCGCTAATAAAAGTGGCCGCGATGTGGCTGCTCAATGGCGGCTGCTAATAAAAGTGGCCGCGATGTGGCTGCTCAATGGTGGCCACTAACAAAAGTGGCTGCGATGTGGCTGCTCAATGGCGGCCGCTAATAAAAGTGGCCGCAAGGTGGCTGTTCAATGGCGGCCGCGATGTGGCTGTTTAATGGCGGCCGTGATGTGGCTGCTCAATGGTGGCGGCTAATAAAAGTGGCCACAATGCCGAGGCTCAATGGCGGCCTCTAATAAAAGTGGCCGCGATGTGGCTGCTCAATGGTGGCACATCGCGGCCGCCACTAACAAAAGTGGCTGCAAAGTGGCTGCTCAATGGCTGCCGCTAATAAAAGTGGCCGCGATGTGGCTGCTCAATGGTGGCCACTAACAAAAGTGGCTGCAAAGTGGCTGCTCAATGGCGGCCGCTAATAAAAGTGCCCGCAAGGTGGCTGTTCAATGGCGGCCGTGATGTGGCTGCTCAAAGGTGGCGGCTAATAAAAGTGGCCATGATGTTGCTGCTCAATGGCGGCCTCTAATAAAAGTGGCCGTGAAGTGGTCGCGAAGTGGCCACCATGTGGCTGCTCAATGGCTTCCTGCGGCCACAAGAGCAGCCACTTCCGCCCGTCACCCGGCACGCAGAGATCCAACTCCTACTGTCTTCTTCTGTGAGTTTACTAGCTGGTTGCAAAGCACAAATCCAATTACTGCCTGACTTATGTAGACCCAGAGTTTCCCATTATCAGATTACCCAAGTGCATGTAAACCCGTTAATCAGAATACTGACAAAATCTGATTTTCCGAAGTTATGAGATTATTAAGTGCATGTAAATGCATTTTTTAATTTTATTTTTTTAGCTTAAAATCAGCATAATTCTTGTTCATTTACGTTTCTTCAACATAATTTTGTAAAGAACGATATGTATGTTTACTAAATTCTCACACAAAACTTAAAACATATATAACAGAAGAAACAACATGTAAACAGCTGTTACAAACCTACAAATATATAAATACATTGTCATCATGTAAATACACAAATAAACAGAATTATTGCCAAAAAAAAAAATCTAACAAACCAAAGAGAAACCGACTTCTTGACCTGTGCTCTGTCCTGCAATTAAACTGTGGCAAATATATCATCCAGATGGTGTCGGGGTGGAATTAATTCCATACCTGTTTAGTATTTCATTGACTAACAAAGAACATGCTTATATCTTGGCATTAGTTAGTTATACACTGGTAGTTTTCATGCTGAGTGATTAACGGAAGCTGCCTCTTCAGATGTGAGCTACAACTACAGCTAACTCGTAGAACACTGGATGCAGACTTGTCACCTTACACAAACAGTTTTCCTTTCAGTGAACAATGTGCCAACATGTTAGTTTGTCAGAGACACACTGTTTCCGGACCTAGCTTACATCAGCTGGAGTAGTTAGCCTAGATAGCGATAAAGCCCCGCTTCAACTGCCTTCTCAAATCACGTCCTTAACAAAATGCTCACGTTTATTCACTTGTTTAGTCACACGTAATATACATATTGTGACACAATGTAATATACATACTTACTGACAAATCCAAGCAAAATCATAACACATTACAGTCTTGTTAAACCATAAAACTGATGTTTTCACCTAAGTGTTAATCTGTATATTTCCTCTAGCCATGTGCTGAAATGGAATGAGAACACAAACAGCAACTGGACTATTTGGACACCAGCCGGCAGGCTACCGTCACTGTGCTGCAGTGAGCGTTCTTGAACTGGGTACTGAATCGAGACCCCAACTTTAATATAAAACTTTGCAGCCGGCATGCTACTATCAAACTGCCCTCTCTATGTTTTCATATGATGACACCACTTCCAATTCACATTCTGTGTGTTATCGCTCTATAACATAAAGGTGATGTAAAACATGTAACTGTAAAAGCTAACAGGCGTGGAAAATAAATAATTGCAATCAGGCGATTATGTAATAACTGACAGGCCCAATTTCAAATATAGAGATTTCCATTCAGATCTTTAGACTGCATCTGAGACTTGAACCATGACATAATGAAGACAAGGTGATAATGTCTAAACACTTGATCCACATCTATTTTTAACAGACAGTGAGAACACAGTCAACAGTGAATGAAACAATATGTCTCTAACTTGAATGGTAGTAAGCACACATTAGCTGTTGGTTTAACTGCTTGGCTAAGAGCGGTTGCACAGTGCCCCCAGCCATGCTTGTAAATTTAAGCCTCGTCTCAATTCCTTTTAAATTTGTGCTCACCTACTTCAACCCACCACTCAGATGTTACATGGCTGCCCATTCGTGGAGGAAGGGAAGGTGGTGACAATGAGGAGTGAATTATTCAGTAAGCTTATCGGCTAGCCATGCAAACTTTGCAATGCGTAATGTTTTTAAGACGTTTGAACATAACATACATAACATGTTAATAATTGCTCTGTCTGGCTATAAACAGATAAATAAGAAGAACTGTGATGTAATGCCTTTCTTTTTCTTCATTAGCCATGTAGCTTTTAGCATGCTAACGTACCAACTAGCAGAGGAAAGTGACATTGTTGTATCTGCTGTCATGTGTAAGAGATGGAGGTGTTTGTAACTTAAAGCTAAGCAAACTGAATGTTATGGTTTTGATATGTTAAACATTTTAAAGTAGTTTCACACTCATATTTAAATATGAGTTTGCTGTAGCTTATGAACAGCTTTGTCCGCCTTTTTTTTCAGGTTTGAAAAGAAAACATGTTAGGTTGCAATGATTTCTGGGCGAGTTCTGCTGCTAAAGTTGACACTGGTGTTCGTTTGCTTGACCCCTTGCACTACCGAGGGCTTGTATATCACCCTTTACTTCAGCTAATAAAGTTATGAAACATAACACTGACTTAGAAATCTAGCATTTTCGATAGTTATTTATACAACAGTTAGTTCTGGCCACGCAAGCTGATTGGTTGAGAAGCGTTCTAACCGTGCTGTTATTTCGCCATAACATCACGGGTCTTTTACAAACATTGTATCACTCCGCTGAGACGCCGTTGCTAAGCAACGACTGTAGGAGATGCTCAAGCCATTTGAACGTTTTTGCTTCTCACTTTGCGCACAAACAGAAAATGGATACTTTCAAGATCAAATTTGACCAACAGCCGATTTGGTCAGATTCTGAAGATGAGACTACACTAAATTCTGAAACTGTCAGTTGGTCTGCATAAGGAGCTGGAGAACGAACTGCCGGCTCTGCAGCGAGTGAGTGGAGCTCGTTACTCTGATGTAGCAACAAGCTGCTTGTTAAAGAACTATAATTTTGCGGAAGGAACTGCTAACATTAAAACATATTAAATGCCACGTTCACGGCCCAATTTATTTATTTCTTACTTTATTTATTCAACTGTTGTATAAAAGCAATAGAACACTCGAGGTCATGTGTTATCGCGAATAACATCACAGCCGTGATGTTATTTCGTGGTAACACACTCCCTCTTGTGTTCTACTGCTGAAGTATCATACTTATTTACTTAGAAAAAAAAGGAAAAAATTACATTTTAATTTCTTAAATCCAGAGTGCACTACTCTTTTATGATGTTTTATATGTGGTAAGAATAAAATAAATGTGTTCTAATACAAGGTGCCTCATGAAAACGGAGGTCATGTGATGACCATGAAGTGGTGCACACGTAGAGCACTTCATAACATGCAATCTACACACACATTTACCTAGGCGCTAGGTAATGTATTCCCCATACTTGTATTCCCATACTGCTGTCAGAGAAGAATTTTGCTTTTTAGTTTCAGTAGTATTGATAAATAAGCTTGCCAATTAACTGCAACGCACTTTGTTATCTGGGATAACAAATCAGACTGTTTTGATACAACAGCTCAAAATAAATAAGAACTAAATAAATAGTAAGTTTGCTCTCTAGAAATCTGATATCTGTCTGGTTAACAATTATGATACTGTGTAAGGACTCTATTTGGTGTAGTTTAAAGAAAAAACAGAACAAAACAGTCAACACAACTGTTGCCTGACAAATTATGGACCACTTGTTCCTGCATACTAGTCAAACAGTAACACAAAAAGGGTGCACAATCAGCATACACTCACCACTGGTCTTTCAGAATGTCCAAACATATCGCCCCAGTAACTGAACTTATGTTAGGATGCCAAATCTTTGTAATAAACCGCACCTGAGAGAGTGGAAAACCAAGAACGACTCATTACTATCATGCGGTGAATGTCCATTATACAATACATACAGTAATATGGTACCGTAAGCTGTTACCTTGGGCGGATTGAAAGGATACGTCTCCGGGATCTTGATTTCTAGTTGATATCTGCCCCCTACAAAGAAAATAAAAGACCTGTTACTAGGTGTTTAGGTAACTACACAAACTATATACACATGGCAGAGAGTAGTCAGCATGGTAAACGACAATAACCCACATTTAACAAGCAAACACTGATCGAAGATCAGAACTCATCAGTCCAAGTAGTTCTATTCAAAGCTATGTAAAAGGTGTAAACTTAGCCCAGATCAGGATTTTTATTCTGCCAAGTCTGATACATGAGCCACTGATCAGACAGGTGAAAATAAGGGTGTATTTAAGGAAAGGAGGAAATGTCTTTACCTTCATATGGTGTGTCTGGAGGTCCTGCAATCTCCCCTTTTAATTCTGTGAAATTTTCATCCACTAGGTCTACCTTTATCTGATTTTTACTTGTCTGTGGAAACAGTGAACATAACTGTAGTATGAGTAATAAACTGTACACTGTTTCTTGTTTACATAGGCAAAACCAAAACTGTCAATACAGTAGACAGCACATTAAATATTCCATGCTGGGAACAGCTTTAGCTATAAATCCCATGTAGGACAAAGAATCTGGCCTGTATTTGTAGAAAGCTTAACAGGCTAGGTAGCTGACACGACTTACAGCAGTAGCTAAACGCTACTTCAATATTCAAACACCCTGACTCGTTGAATTTAAGCAACCCGTCACCGGTTAACATGGTTAAAGTTGAGTCATGCTGTTAAAGTAAAACGGTGAGATTAAGGTTACTTCTTTGTCAGGTGATAGCATGTGTGGCTCTATTTTGACAGCTAAGTTAACTGGCTAAGGAATGCACCCATGTGAAACCTGCAGGTTTGCCGCAGCTGAAAGCGAGTGCTAAATGCTAACTGCCAACGCTCGCCATGTCTTTCTGTGACCTAGCTAGCTAATTTACTGCTTGAATTTTTGATAACAAAAAACTTATCTGCCCTGACTGCCGTAACACATCGCTAACATGCGAACTACATGGTTATGTGTTTTCCTTAGCCTAAGTCTGACATTTAAAGCTAGCTAGCTAGGTGAGCTGTTAGTTAGTTAGCTAGCTAGCTAGCTAGCTTTAAATGTCAGGCTTAGGCTAAGGAAAACCTTAACTGTTACTTTGCTGCTTCTATTACTGCTCAGGACTCGGCTATTGCTAAGCAGCCAAGCTAGCCGAGAGCAGCTGGTCGCTAGCTGCTTGCTCCATGCATTTAAAAGACAGTCAAACAGCACAACGACGCATTGCAAACCTCTTCGCTTTTCAGCACTTCTTTAAACTCCCGTTTGATCCTTTGGACCGCGATGTTCGCCATGTCTTCTGTTCTCACAGCTAGCTAAGTTAGTTAACTCGGGAGGGCCTCCAGTCCGCAAAGCCTGTACTTCAAAACACGCAGCTCTACGCTCGGATTCACCCCTTTCGCTCTCTCACACTCTCTAGTTCTCTCTAAGTCTCTTTCCTTTTTCACCAGAACAGGACCCCCTTCTCCCAGAAAAACAAATGGCGAGGCCCACACGCACACCCAACAATGAGAGTCTAGAAAAAGACCACGGCCTTCAAACATAGAGCGAGAATAAATGCGTTTGTGCGCTAACTGAATTGGGTGGTGTGGTTATATTATATACGCGCTGAAGGTAGATCCAGAAACGTTTCACTGCAAGTGGCACAGTTCAAAGCTGTCATGTGATACAGCGAAGCTTGGAAATATTAGCTATTCTCATTCAGTGAGCGGATGGTTTTGTTTGGTAGTGGGATAGTCTGTATGAACGGTTCGTTAAATTAAAAATAGGCAGGAGATTTTCAGATGAAAACGACTTCTATAGCGTCACATTCACCCTACTGGAACATAACTAGAACATAGGGAGGAGTGTGAAGGCACAATCAGGCCCAAACTGAAGAGTGGAGAGGTAACAGCGCAGTATAGAGCAAGGCACATTTATATCCAGATGGACCATTGCAAATGTAGTCCACATTTACAAGAGAATACTGTAAAAGCTAAAACGTGTAAAATTTCAAAAGGCACTATTACGTTGATCTGTTCAACGATAAGCCTTTTGTCCTTTGTTGTAACTTTTTGTTACATTTTCTGGGAAAATCCAAATTTCGTAGCATCTTTAAGAAAAAGATTGGTGTATGTAAACATTATTAAAAGAACATTCCTACCTAACACTAGCATTTAATATGTTACTTCTGATATGTTATGCAGTATTCTGTAATGCAGTTCTGCACTGCTTTGTGCAGCCTTATCAGTTTGACAAAATTCACGATTTGGAGTTGTTTTCATCCATCAGTGTTCTCTTACTACAATATGTCGTATACATTACACCAATACACCACACAAACGTTGGGAATCCTTTTGGCGCTCAACAAATCCAGGGCCACTGCTAGCCACATCTGTGGTACTGTAGCATTAGTGTTTTGAAGAATAAGCCAGCTAGTTAAAAATTAATCTTTCTAACAACCCACCCCCCAAGTATTCACCCCAAAGCATTTAAGAAGTCTTTTAAAGTTTTCGTCCACCACCAAGATTCATCAGAAAGTGTATATGCATATCCTTTATATTGTTAATTTTTGTGAAGGCTAGAGTTTATATTTTTATCTTATTTTTTACTTTTAGTATTATATGTATTGTCTATGACGTAATAAGTAACAAACTGTAAAAACCTTGTAAAGTAATTAACAAGGTTAATTACTTGCTTGTTAATTCTCTTCTTGTTACTTCTTTTCTTTTATTGAGTGCCTTGCTATCCCTTTGCTGCTGTACCACTGAGAATTTACCCATTGTGGGACTAATAAAGGATTATCTTATCTTATATATCTACCTATTAAGATTACCACACTTTATCCCCGCCCATTCAGATTTAAGTTATAAGGAATGTTTCAGTCCAGACTGCTTTTTTGAATGGCACACAATACAGCATAGCCAATCAGAACAGAGAAAGACTCAAGATACATGTAAATGCCCTCTTATGAACTTTTTGGAAGCTTAAAGTTTTAAGGTTTAAAATTCAACATAGATTATTTTTATGGTTTACATTCCCTTCAAGTGAATTAATAGCAAATTATCCCATTTGCACAACATCAAGATGATTAATCATTACTCAGGCATGTACGAAAACGCCACAGCCAAATAATGCTATGGGGTTTTTTGTTTGTTTTTTTTATTATTATTTTTTTATTTTTAATTTGTGCCTAATTTTCTTCTCAGTGTAGTCGTGGCTCATTCCCACCCACTAGCTAGGCTTCCCCCATCACACAATGTTCCCAAGCTGGGAGAGTGAAGGCTAGCACCTGCTTCCTACATGTAGGAAGACACACAAAGCCAGTCACCATCATTGGACAGCTCAGTGTGCTTGGAGGAGAACAATTCAGCCAATTCTATTACGTCAGTTAACAGACGCCCACATTGACTAACATCACGCTGAGTGATGGGGAGAGGGAGGGCCATACCTACCCACCCAGAGAAAATGAGACTAGTTTTCTCATTGCTTTCATTGACACCCAGCCACAGCTGGCTGTGTCATCACCAGGGACCCATCTGCTATCCTTTGTACCCTCCTGCCTCATTAACGAGTCTTTCACGACTAAATGTTGGAGTGTTGGAAGCAGGGGAAACCCTAAAATATGCAGAAAAGGGGGTATCCTAGGACCACGGTTGGAAACCTGTGGACTAATGCATAGGCAGGACAATATTTCTGAATGTAATGTAGGGAGTCAGGCATTGGCACAGTCATATGTGTATGGACAATTGGGAGTGGGTGCCCTCTCTGGTGCAGCACTGACCATCTGTGGACATTTCAACTCCGTAACTCCAATGTCTACACATCACCACTGGAAATCCTGCTGATAAAACATAGATAATTCCTTTAAGAAAGCATTACATTGCATGATGTGGTTATTTTGAACAACAGCCAAAAATAACGTCAGCAGTGAATAGAGAGTAGAGTATATCCACAATCATACCCATAGAAGGGCACAGGCACAGTCCTATATACGCCGATCAGGTATAACATTATGACAAATAGTACCTGCTCTGTGAGGGTCCATGGGGGTCCTGACCACTGAAGAACAGGGTAAAAGGGGGCTAACAAAGTATGCAGAGAAACAGACGGACTACAGTCTGTAATTGTAGAACTACAAAGTGCGCCTATCTAGTAAGTGGAGCTGATAAAATGGACAACGAGCATAGGAACAAGGAGGTGGTCACAATATTTTACCTGATCAGTGTATGTAGACCATTCAGAGTAGAGTTGGGAGTAGGACATAAGCACAATCATATCCAAATGGAACTTTTAAAATAGGACAAAGGCATGATTACTTCTGAATGGGACATACAGAGCATGCCATAAGCATAATCATATCCATAGTAATAGGGCACATGCACAATCATATCACAGTGGAATGTTGAGAATAGGTCAAAGGTGTGATTACTTCTGAATAGGACCTAGGGCAGGAGTGTCCAATCTTATCCACAAAGGACCGGTGTGGCTGCAGGTTTTCACTCCAAACAAGCTGAAGCACACCTGATACTACTTGTTTAATCAGTTGGTCTTAGTCTTTCATCAGGTGACCTGCTTTGTTGGAGTGAAAACCTGCAGTCAATCCAGCCCTGCGGATAAGATTGGACATCCCTGACCTAGAGAAAAGGGCATAGGCACAATCATATTTGAAAGGGAACATAGGGAGTAGGGCACAGGCACAATCATATTTGAAAGAGAACACAGGGAGAAGGGCACAGGCACAATCATATTCGAAAGGAAACATAGGGAGTAGGGCATAGGCACAATCATATTTGAAAGGAAACATAGGGAATATGGCATATGCACAATAATATTCGAAAGGGAACTTAGGGAGTAGGACATAGGCACAATTATATTTGAAAGGAACAGACGGCTCATGAGATCATGTGATCATGTAGGCATGATCACATCCAAATGGATGCACGATAGTTTCCAAAGGGAAAGTCGGAAGTAGGGCACAGGCGGGATGATTTTAATGGAATATTGAGATACCACAGTAAAGTAAAATTTTCGATATTCATCTTTTCGGCGCTAATAATATTTGAACGGACTATGGAGGCTAGTAAAGACACTAACACTAACACTAACATTGTTAGGAAATGTTGTAGCTGAGTTGCAGCAATGATGCACAACCTCTGGATTTTGAAAATAGTAATAACTACTTTATAACTACTTCACATTTTTTTTCCATTTTGAATTTCAAAAGGATTTTAGCTGCATTACTTACAACACTAAAATCAGCTGCATTAGATCCAAAGGTAAAATCCAAAGTTTGTGCATCATCACTACCACCTGTCTGCACCAAACACTGTATATTTCACTGTTAAATGTAATGCAGCTAAAATGCTATCGAAATTCAAAAAGGAAAAAATAATGTAAAGTATTACATTTAAGATAGAGATGTTTGTCATAATTCCCAATTATCTGCACCATTTGTAGTGGATTTTAGCATTGTGTTTAATGTGGTTGAACCGCACTCGAAATAACAAAATGTATATTAGGTATTTGATTACATCCATATTATTTTTTTAATGTAAAGGTTTAAATGAATAAAAAATATTATAGTGTTATTCATTCCAAAAGAACTGCAGATGTGCTATTATATCTCCAAGCTGTCTATTTGAAGACTGCCTCTAACTTGACAAACTGAGTATTTATAAACTTGAATTCTACTTAAATTAAATAAGACAACCTTAAAGACTGTGAATGTCATCATCAAGCTAACTGTAGGTCAGTATACAGGTAACATCACCTTTTACAGGTATTACAGTAGAATAAGTATGGGCATGTACATTTTTAGCTACTTTTTAGTTAATTAAATGTCCTTTTTTGTGGTGTGCAATTGGTGTGCAATTCTCACCACAGATCAAAGTAAACAACACAATTAATCAGATGTGTATAGACACAGTGGTTCTGGAGCTATTGACGTTTTTTTCTTTTTTTCTGGTCCGACCGAATCTATTGTTAAAGGAAACAATAAAATATGTTTTTAAAAGCACTGAAACGATTTGGAGGAAAACAAATGCGTGCGCGCGGATGTAGGTTAGGTTTGGTCTAGAAACGCATGCATTTTATTGGAAATCTCGTCTCACTTTTTCGGTATTAACACAAATAGAGGGGTACGTTAAATGTCACCCAAACAGCAAAAGAAAAGGTGTGCATCACTCTCTGTGGTCGTACTGTCATGAAAATGTAAGTCTTTACTAGCCTTCATAGTCCGTTCAAATGTTATTAGCGCCGAAAAGACGAATATCGAAAATAAAACTAACTTTTAAGATTATAACAGAGGCATAACGGCTACCGAAAAGGCAGGGAACAGAGCATAGGTGTAATCATCTGAATAGAACATGAAAATAGGACAGAGGCACGATCATATACTAGCCTTAGGGAGTAGGGAGTAGGGAACAGGCATGGTCACTTCCGAATGAAACTGGTAGATCTCGCGTGATTAGCGACGTGGCTTCTCCTGCGCTCGCATGCCTTTCCTCATGCGTATCAAAACATAGGCGGAACAGCAACCGGAGCTTCGGACCTGCGCCAAAAACACACCGGCCGAGTCTGAATGTGTATTTTATTCCGCTCTCGCCTCCGCCACTGCAAACGGCCACGACACCGCGGGGTCAGTTATTGAGCGGTTTGTGTGCGGTTTAAAGTGTCCAGTTGAAGTGTCTTCAGTGAGCGGTAAGAGCTCGCTTCAGCTCCACATCATTTGTTTACACTGGGGCTGCACTGTTGGCTGTTGTGTTTGTTTTCGTGTTTCACTCTTTTCTTCCACTAATACTGTTTTAATGTATGTAGGAGACATATTATATAGCTGCCTCGCTGCTAGCTACGAATGAAATATAACGACTTTATTTTCAGCATCCGTACGTGAACCTAACAATTACCACTGCTACCAGTTGATAAGTTTGTAATAAACCACACGAATTGTCGTTTAACAGTTTCTTTACGCTTTTACGTGACTAACGTTGAAGTTGAACGGTGAGGATGATCGTGACAAGTCAAGTTGCAAGACTGCATTGTGTACAGACCAACATGTAATTCAGCTCAGCGTTCCACTTCCTTATTTTCCACTTGGGTAGGATCAGAATGAAGGTTTTAGTTTGAAACAAACTAACATATGTTGACATGTGTGCGGTTTTACAAGGCAGTCATAGTCTTATGTATTTTACATTATTTTTGGAGTCTGCTGATTGTGCCATAGACCAGTTTTTTTAACACAGGCAAGCACTGATCCTGCGTTGTTTAGATTCTGTCAGTTTGTAACCACAGTAAATTTTGTATTCAGGCTGTAGGCTTAGCACCCTGACACTGACATGTAAGTAATATTAACACAGGACTTTCTGTAGCTGCCTTACGCAATAGGTCAGTCAGTTAACGTCACAGCATTAAATAGGAATTGCACTTTTTTCCCAAAAACTCTGCCAAATTCAATAAATAAGGTGCAAACAAATTTAAATGCTTCCTGGTACCTGAGACATTGTTTTGCAATAATTTTGAGATAGAATTTTGGCCTAAAACATATTTTTGAAAAACCATTAATTGAGAAGTAAATGCGCCATAAGTAAAAATAGTCCCCAAAGAAAACTCTTATTCAGATTTACCCCTATTGGAGTAAACATATGTAAAAAACCCTGGTTCCTGTCACCTCTGCAGTAAAGCCATTTCACTTCCAACCATTCTGAGTGACTTTGCTCACTCAGCCACTGTATTATGCAGAATAAATAAAATCCCCTTTTCCTTATTTTTGTAGCATGTAAATTCTTTTGCAGAATAAGAAATGCGACTCAAAATGCATGTGTGCTTTGTCACATAGTAAATAATTTATCCCTTGTGTTGATTGGTGCACTTCTGCATATGACTCTAGAAACAATGATGAATTTTTTTATGCCTGAGTGATTTCTTTGCAGCCCAAATTCACAACCCATCTTGCTTGCTTGTCTTGTGTTTGTTTCTGGCTAATTTCAGTTTGACTGAAACATTTGTTTAGGAGCACCGACAGATTCAGAATTTGATGTAGGTCTGCAGGTCTAATATTACCTTATGTACCAATAAAAAGTTAGAGTATTAAATTTGTTTACCACACTGTAGTGTTGAAAAAGGCACAGACCTTTTGATAGATTTGCTATCAAAAAGTTGTATGCAAAAGTCTGGGCACTTCTTTTAAAATGTACATGTTTTGTTAATTTTATAAATGTAAAAAAGTACACAGGACACACTTCTGCACATTTTAATGCACAGTTAGTGTTTATTTGCTAATTTTAACAGATTGAAAAAAAAATGGGACATTTCACATTTTGTGGTTTTTTTTTCCAATCAAATCCAGATAAATAGAAATTATGCAATAAAATATGAAAATGCAATATTTAAGTTTTTCCCTGCAGAGAATGTGTTAACTTATTTTTAATGAGAAAATAAAAAAAAACATTACTGGGGTCTTCAAACATTTGCATATGACCAGGGCTGTCACAATCATGAAAGTTTCACTGATGATTAATTGTAATATAAATAATTGCACATATTGATTCAGTTGTCTTTTCTTCTTCATTGTTTGCAACTGTTAAAACACAATCCTAAAGTGACCAAATAGGCTGATTGGTCACTTTACTTGCTAGCTATGAATCCTTAATAGCTAACACTGACTGTACTCACACAGTGCACACAGTGTTACAAGTGCACACTCACACAAATGTCGACAGTAAAATAGAATAATGGGTAGGATCAAACAAAGCTACATATTCTTCATGAGAGTAAAGCTATAAAAATGAAAAATATAAAAATATAAGCAAAACATACTTATTCCGGCAGTATATATGCTTAGTTACATAGAAAACAAATAAACAAACATCACTCAGCGCTCCCTCTTAATGCCAAAAGTACCAAATTAGACGTTAGAACTTCTTTGTTTTCATAAGCTCCATGATGTCTCAATGAATGCATTCCCTGCTTTCATTTATTTATTTACAATTATGTGTCTCAACCCAGTGCACCTAATACAATTTTGTTTGTTTCAGCATAATATGACTGGGAAAACGACTGTGGAAAATGACTGTAGTCAGCTTAAATGCCATTAGGCGGTTGTGTAATAATCATTTCAGGCATACATATAACTGCATATTTATGTATGTCTGTGTTTCTAGGAGGTATGGCAGAAGGAGGCTTTGACCCCTGTGAGTGTATTTGCTCTCAAGAACATGCAATGCAGAGACTCATCAACTTGGTGAGCATTTCTCTTTCTCTTTATCTCTCGCTCACAAACATGCACACATGTTTTTCCCATATCCTAACCACCTGTGACAAGATAAAAAGAGTGGGTTCAGCTTTCATTTCTATTCTCTCACTTCCTGCTCTTTCACATTCTTCTGTAGAGAGATATCTGACAGTCTAGTTTTCATAGACAAAACATTGCTACCAGGTATCCTTCAGTAGAAAAGCAAATAAGGCAAAATTTAAAATGTAGTATGTAAACATTGTTAAAGTTTCACAAAGTACCATTGACTCTCCAGTCCATACAAACAATTTATGGAAAATATACTGCACGAAATGTGATATCACAAGAAACAATAGCTTTACATATATGGATCATTCTACCAAAGTGATTCGAAATCAGAGCAAAAAGCACATTTCTGACTAAAATACTTTTACAGTTAGTGATCCTATACCTTAATTATGTTTATTTTATTAAGATAAATTACTTAACATTCCTTTCCTAACAAGACAGTAACACTACCAAAACTTTGCCAAACAGTAGTGACTGTTTAAGTGGGGACAATTTCAGCTAATTTTGAGCAGAACTCAGAAACACTAGCTGGTACATGACTAGCAAACACAGCTTTGAACAATTGTGCAAACAAAAACAAAATCATAAGATTTTTCACTAAAACACAAAATGTTTATTTTACTGCAGAAAATGTGTTTCAGTAGTAGCAGTTCTAAATGTTACATTCTGATTTTCAGGTTTTGGGACACACTGACTTTAAAACAATGAAATCTGAGTTCTCACCATGTGGCCATGAGGGACAGGGATGCAGTCTCACTCCCTGCTCTAAAATTCAGGGTTGTGTCTAAAATAAGGCTTCCCCTATGGACTTCCCCTTTGTGTTTCGGTAGTGACATAAAAATGTGGCACAGCATTTTTTGGATATATTTTTTTTAATTAAACTTTTTTTTTAATTAATATAAATGAAATTTTATATCTTTCAACTTCACTTTCAAAATAAATGAAAAAAAAGATCTTTTAAAAAACAACATTGAACACAAAAATTATATATATTTAGTTTATTACTATCTCTATTAATGCCTGGGTTTAAATAGACCATAACATGATCCTCATAAATATCTAAAGTCTGAATACTTAATTGTTGTCTTAAATAGTGTTTCTTTACTGTGTGACTGCAGTTTGATCTAATGGAATGGTCAATATCCTTTCAGCTATCAGCAGTTTAGCCCAGCCCTTTAAAGTTCTAAAGAAGATTTCAGTTTAGACTACTTTTTAAATGAGGCACATTACAAGGCAGCCAGTCAGAACAGCGGTCATTTGGGTATATCAGTCTTAAACCGGCCTGCAACAAGAAAAACTGCCTGTTTAAAGGGCCCGTATCACTGTAAAATGAATTTTCTCACATTTTTGGATAATGGAGTTTGATGAAATATGTAAACATTGTTACATTTGCAAAGCAGAAGACTGAACATTCTGGAGAAATACTATCCGACTCGACTGCAGTTAATAATAAAGGTTAGTGAGTCAGTTAGTCAATTAGTCAGTTAGTTGCATTAAAAATTAAAAAATTAAAAGCTACGCAGATTAAAATGGGACCACCCCGTCGTAATGAAATAATTCTCCACAGTTTATCGGTTATAGGTCCATGTCTGCATAGGACAGCATCTGGGTCCAGACTCGGACCGCGGTCCGCCTATTCGAGACCTCTGGTCTAGGGGCACCACACGATTAGTTTGTTTTAAATTCAATTACAGACCAATATAACTGGGAATAAGGTTTAACAATTAACTGCCCAAAACTATTACCAATACAGTCTATAATACCACTAGCATGAATAAAAATGGAAAACAGCAATAATACTAATCATTTATGCAGATGGCAAGCTAGTGCAAAAGTGGATGTACTTATTTTAGATGCACATATAATAAACAAAGGCTGCAATGACTCCATATTCCATTCAAAGACAAATTGCACAGTGCTTTAGTTTTATACTACTGACACCCAAATAAATGAAAAATACAAAACGCAGCTAGTGCAGAAGCGTCATAAACTGCAATAATACAGTGTTTAAATATGTTATTTTAGGACAATAATCACACTACACAATCACGTTGTTCGTCTTAAGATGTTTTGCCTCTTTCACATAGTCACCATAATTACAAAGTTTTGTCAGTAGGCGAAGTAGTGCACTTACTTCTCAACCTCAAACTCTGCCTACAAGCACTGCCATTGGCTCACGAGCCGCTAAACGCTGACATTTTATTGGCTACCTCCCAAAAAAATCTGCTTGAATAAGGGTGGGCCTTATATATAAATTAGATACAGATAGGAGGGCTTAATTTTACACACAGAAGCTGATTCATCATTTACTCTCAAATATCCGCTTGTTTCCTTGACGTACGAAAGTTTCGCGAATCGGACGCAGAGTAGTTTGTACGTCATTAAAGACGGTCAAATCTGCACTTCTTTTTTTATGGAACTTTGATGAATAAGGGGCAGTATGCACTGTTTAGATGCAGGTGCCAGTATTTTAATTCCAACGTAGTGTATTATCTAGAGAGTATGAAGTCATTTGGCATTTAGGCCCAGCGTGGGAAAAGGGATGTACAACACTGTTAGCTTGGTGCTACTAGAAAATAGAATTTGCATTGTCATTGGGAGTTTGGGAGCAAAACTGTTGTAAAATGAAGTTTTTAGCATCTAACACCGCTAATTGTTCATTATTTTATGACAAAACATTAATGAAATGTCTGAAATATAAAATGAATGGTGACTGAACATTATTTTTCTCTTTCAGCAGTCCATTATTGGTTTGCAACAGCAAAATGCTCTAAAGGGAACAACATTTCCCCGAAACCTGTTGATTTAGAACATAATCATAATGGAGGCCATTGAGCAGATGCTGAATTCCATCAGTAAATATTTATACACATATATTTGTGCTTTTTTGTATTCAGATTGGTCTGAGTAGTTAAAGTTTTGGTTTTGTGTTATATAATCATGTATTTTAGATGTTATCACCTGAATTCAGCAACTGCTTGTCTTTCTGATCTAATTCTTCACTATGAGGAAATGCATCAAAATTCTTCTATGGTAGTCGGTGGTACGATACAGCTCAGAAAGACAAAGATTAAATTGGAAAAACTATTCTTTTAACTCCTTATTCTAAATGGTCCCCATGACACTCTCTCGTAACTACATAACTTGCATGTTCATAGTGGTTACCCAATAACTTACAGTAGTTGCTGCAGTGGCAAACTGTGACTATTACAGCTAGGCCTTCAGTTTGGGCTATATATGTCAAAACTCATGTCAAAAACAAGAAAATAAACACTTTTACAATAAAGCTATTTTTTGTAGTGCACTCAAATAGTTTGATAATAGTATGCTAAGCTCACGCTTGAGCACATTAACATTTTTTAGCTGTTTCAGATTAAACACGGACTTTGTGTTTTTAATGGCCGGTAGCTTGCAACAGACCTTAACATATTTTATTTTATATGTAGATGTTTGATCTAACAAGATTTTGTTTCCAAACAAAAGAGTTTAAGAGTTTGGTGATTCTGTTAATTAAAAATTAACAAGAAGCTACAAAGATGTCATTTGTTAGTTCCCAGAAATCATTAAGCTTTATCTGAAGTCCTAGAAGGCCCTAAATAATAAGCCTTAAGATTAATGACTAATTTCAGTGCTAACATACCTAATCATCAGAAGATTTGCACAGGAGAATTGCACCATGAGCTGTTTGCACTGTTGTCTGGCAGTTCTGGGTGTGATTGTAGTGACTGGGCAGCTGTTTGGGCGTGCAGTATCCTTATAACACCGGAACTCCTCATTAGTTTATAGATACGAAGTGGTGTGGTGTAATTTGCAGTAATGACAGGTTGTTTCAGCATTGATTTGCTGGGATTGTGACCAGTAGAGGGAGCCGTTAAAGTGACTGTAAAAGAAACATCTTTTTATGGTTGACAGATAAGCAGTTTTTGTGTCAGAAATTTTGAGGCCTCTTCTAACAGGAGTCATTTGCTGAAAGCAGCTGTGCATTGCTCCATGTTTGGCAGCTTGGCACAAAAGTTTACATAAAGCAATGAGGATAAAGCTCTAGTCCATCAGTGTAATGATTAATTGATCTGAGGTAGGCGGTGCTGGCAGCATGCCTCTGGATTTTGGGAGTGTCTAAAGATAAGACAGAGTGGATTTTTTTTCTTCTGTTTTTTTCACACTACCCATTAAACATTGTAGCGTTAGCTTTTTTGATGTCTAATACAAATGAGCATGTTCACTTTCTTCAGCAAAAATTATTTATTCAATATATACAATATATATACAATAATTAGGGATTTCCCTGCATAGAGAATTAAATCTCCACCAACTCTGAGGTGGGTCTTAATGGAAAATTATTACTTCTAAGAAGTGTTGCACTCGGGGGAATTCTGTCCGAACTGCAACTGCAGCATTATTGTGCCGTTGTGGCGCTGTACCCCTAATCACCTCCACCTGTTGAGCTGCTTCTCTAAAAGCATTTTAAAACTAAAACATAACTTAAAATTAACATGCATCTGAGCTGTGGCAGAAACACTCCTAAAGTTTAATCTCTGAAACTCTGCTTTTCCCAAAAGCGGCACACAGCGTTTACTCGCGCGAGGTCCCGTCTCAAAGCACACTATCTTCCCTATGTAGTGCCCTTCGTAGATCATGAAATCGAAAATCCTTCAACCAAAGAGTGCGTGAAATGTTCGACTAAGTCATCTATAATCAACATTAACAACAGGTTACAAATTCCCTATTTAAAACTCAACTGCTTGTTAATGATGATCGTGTTTGTTTGAAAAGTAGCGCACTATGTAGGGGACACTGAGTGATTTGAGACAGTTATTCTCTTCTCAGAAAGTAAACACTGCAAGCGAGAAAGGGGAGCTGTGCAGATTGAACCTCTGCAGCGTCTCGTTCCAGAGCTTGTATGACTGTTAACTCAGAGCTCATTTTGGAGACTCTGCTCCACAGAAATATGTGTTAAAAGCTTTAGTTTCGATTCACAGTTGATTCACCGATTGTTGTTTTTTTTTTGACGCTAAAAGCTTCATTTTATATTATTAACGAACCATAAGCATAAGTTAAACCACACAAACCATGACATTTCTTCTATTTCGAAGTCTCCACAGACTTCTCCGTTAAAGTTAACCTTGCATTCTCTAAAAAGTAGCAGGTGGTGGTCGCGAAGATGACTCGTAAAGTTTGATGTGTTGCCCCCTTTCGCCGCTATCTTCTTTCGGCCTGTTCTGCAGACAGGGTGGTCATCTTCAATTAACTTTCCTTCTGCATCCTTATAAAACCCAAAACATGACCAAACGTCAGACTTGGTCTTCATAGAAGGCTGAAATATCTCCGAATCTCTGTCACTACATTCCGCCATGTTCTCTCTCCCTCTCACCGCCCCCCTTCCCCTCTACACACGCACACACACACACACACACAGAGCTGCGCCTGAGAGATGATTCTGCCTTTGTTTGACTCTGTAAAGCGAGTTTTTCACACCGCATACTTTAAAGTTCAAACGGTATATATATATATATATATATATATATATATATATATATATATATATATATATATATACATACATACATACATACAGCGTCCTCAACAATTATTGGCACCCCTCGTTAAGATGTGTTCTTAGGCTTCTGATAAATTCTTTTGTAAATAATATAGGACAACAATGCAAAAAAAGAGAAAAAAATCCCCACATTAAGAAATAATTCTTTTACATGAAATCATCTGTGCCACAATTATTGGCACCCCTGATGTTAATACTTTGTACAACCCCCTTTTGCCAACAAGACAGCACTTAATCTTCTCTTATAACATTTCACAAGATGGGAGAATACAGAGAGAGGGATCTTCGACCATTCCTCTTTGCAAAATCTCTCTAAATCGTCCTGGGTCCTCTCCTATGCACTCTCCTCTTCAGCACACCCCACAGGTGTTCAATTGGGTTGAGGTCTGGGGACTGAGATGGCCATGGGAGGAGCTTGATTTTGTGTCTGGTGAACCATTTTTTTGTAGATTTGGCCACGTTTAGTGTCATTATCTTGCTGAAAGACCCAGTGACAACCCATCTTTAGCTTTCAGGCAGAGGCCACCAGATTTTGATTTAAAATGTCCTGGTATTTCAAAGAGTTCATGTTGCCATGCACCCTAACAAGGTTCCCGGGGCCTTTGGAAAAGAAACAGGCCCACAGCATCACCGATCCTCCCCCATACTTCACAGTGGGCATGAGGTGCTTTTCCACATACTCACCTTTTGTGTTACGCCAGACCCACTTAGAGTGTTTGTTGCCAAAAAGCTCTATCTTGGTCTCATCTGACCAAAGCACGTGGTCCCAGTTGAATCCCAGTACCGCTTAGTGAACTCCAGACGTTTACGTTTATGCTTGTAAGTGAGAAAAGGCTTTTTCCGTGCATGCCTCCCAAACAGGTTGTTGGCATGTAGATAGTGCCTGATGGTTGTTATGGAGACTTTGTGACCCCAAGATGCTGCTCTTTGATGCAGTTCTCTAACAGTGAGCTTTGGAGAACTTTTTACTTCTTTTACCATCCTCCTCACTGTGCGTGGTGGCAAAATAAACTTGCATCGTCGTCCAGGCTTGTTTGCCACTGTTCCATTTGTTTTAAACTTCTTGATGATTCCTCTGACTGTAGATATGGGCAGGTGTAGGCCAGTGGCTATTTTCTTGTAGCCATTGCCTGGCTTATGAAGGTCGACACACATCTGCCTTACTTGAATGGTGTGTTCTGTTGTCTTTCCCATGTTGAAGAGTGGATAAGAGAAATAGGTCTCTGTGTCATGTCATATTTATACCCCAGGGAAACAGGAAGTGATGAATTACTAATTACAGGTTCCAAGATACTCTGATCAACTTTATAAACTACAGTAGAAATGACAGAAATGCTTCAATTACATTTATTTTCTAGGAATTGCTAGGGGTGTCAATGATTGTGGAACAGGTGATTTTATGAAAAATAATGATTTCTTAGTTAGTAGTAGTTTTTAGTAATAGTTTTTTTTTTTTTAAATTCACTTGAGTTAAAGGTTACATTTTTCTACAATTTTCAGTGTGAGATTATGCTTCTGAAATAAAAATTGAATTTATTTTAACACATCTTAACGAGGGGTGCCAATAATTGTTGAGGGCGCTGAATATATATAGAATAGATTAACATTATACAATTTAATAATAATTTGATATTTAACAAACATTGATTTTTTTTCTACATGTTGTAGAATGTTTTATTATGTTATTTATTAATTTAAATAGTTTAATTGTATGTCTTTGCTAAACCCAATACACAAAGTTCATTAACACACTAATTAATGTAATGATATTTGTGAAGTGATAAATATTACATCTATTCAATACAAATAAACATTTTATATTCCAGTTTTTCTTTTATTTTTCTGATTGTAGGTTTTTTTAATTAAAGAAAATCTGAATAATAAAGTAATGTAGAATAATCAAATTTCAAAACAAGAGAAGCTATCATCAGACTTTTGATGTATAGTGTGTATTTTTACCGTTGTTTTCAAGGCCTGAGGGGCTTACCTTGTATGCAAAGGCTGTTGAAGCTGGGATGGAATATGCAAGTATTTCATGTTTTGTCTGTCTTGCTGATACAGTTTTGTTGTTTTCAATCTCTCCCCAGCTGAGGCAGTCCCAGTCCTACTGCACAGACACAGAGTGCCTTCAGGAATGTAAGTTCAGTCATCGGTTTTCTCAAAGAGAAACAAAACTCTGATGCTTAGTGTGCCTGGGTAGTGAAGAGGGCTAGATTTAATTGAAACAGAACAATATGGTGGATGATCAGCTTGGCCCATCATGGCCCATGAATGTTTCTATTAATCAGCATTAAAGATAATAACCTGATCTTTTGTGTTAAGAGTCTGAACCGTCTTTTTTTCCTGTTATCTCACAATGAAGGTTAAATAGAATCTAATGGTGAGTCTGAGGGAATTTAGTTTTCAGCACCAAGCTGTAAGCCAAATTTATATAACATATAGTTTGAAAAGATGTGGTAGTGCTTTACATGTCTCAAAGGAAGCAAGTGCTAGCCTTTGCTTTCTCGGTGTGATAGCTATTGGACCTGGCCATGATGAAATTAGAAAGAAATTGGGTAAAAACAAACAAATAAACAAAAACTGTTGTCATGCTGTATTCATGTATTTCCTCTTATGGGAGAGCAGCATGTTTGAATAGTTGGATTACCTTTGGGTGGCCATCTTAAGTGAAGTGCTTCAGTCAAAAGCTCATTCTAAAACGTAGGATTTCTAAAGAAAAAAAATGAATTGTTATCAGCCAATACTCAAGATCATTTTTGGTATTGGAAAAAAAGTAATATTCTGCCATCTCTAGCTGCCAGTAATTGCAGAACAGAAGACATCTTGAACACTGTTTCATTTGCTTGTTTTATCTAACAATCATTCAAATATGGGATGTGGTTTGGATTACTGTAAACAGCGAAAAAATTGTACAGCATAACAGTGAACTTTTTTGTGCAGTGCCAGGCCCTGGTTCTTCAACAGGGGGAGATGTGACTCTGCCCATGATAATTATGGGCTGGATGGTTCTGGCCATCATGCTATTTCTGCTGCGCCCTGCCAGTTTAAGGGGGCCCCGAACCTCCAACAAACCCACCGGCCCACCAGCCGTAAGTCACTATACAATATCCCCATAATAACAGTCCCAAGTCCATAGGCCCATCTTTTAATTTGCTATGTTGGCTCACCAGCATGTGAATTTCTGCATAGTCAGGCCTAAGAGAAAGTTAACACAGAGAAAAAATGCCAACTTTTCACAAATTTTGTTGCACAATTTCTATTTATTTGTTTACATATTTGGGGAAAAACATACAATATAAACTGTGCCATAACGCAGGATGAATGGTGATTAGAATTTCAGCTTGTATTTTCTAATATGTACATCTAGATGTGTTAAACAACTTTTGCATGGCACCTTTGGTGGCACACCACCCAATTTTTAGGTGAGCAAAAATATAGGCACACATAGTCTTATTGTAAACTAAAGTAAATAACAATTAATATTATAATAATAGGTTGGTATAATAGGTTGTGTGTCCCTTGTTTGCAGTAACTGTAACAAGCTGGCAACCCACTGATATTACTGTTGCATTCTTCTTTTGTGATGTCTTTCCAGGCTTTTAGTTAAGTTGTTGTGTGTTTTGTGTCGTTTCTCCCTTCAGTCTTCTCTTGAGGAAGTGAAATGCATGCTCAGTTGGGTTAAGGTCTGGTGATTGACTGACTATTCTAAAACCTCCCCCTTGTCCCCCTGATAAAGTCCTTTATGGTGTGGACAGTATATTTATTGTCTTGCTGCATGATGAAGTTCCTCCTGATTAGATTGGATGCATTTCCCTGAAAACTTTCATAATCCAGGTGCTTCAATCATGCGTTACATCATCGATAAAGAGTAGTGAGCCCATTCCAAAATCAGCCATGCACACCCAAGCTGTGACACTACCACTATTGTGCTTGACTGAGCTTTTATGTTTTGTATTTCTTTTACACACTTTACATGCCATTTTCTCACTATGTTAGAGGTTAATCTTGGTCTCATCCATCCATAAAACTCTGTTCCTGAGCTTTTGTGGCTCATCTGTATTTCTGTGGGAATTCCATTCTGCCCTTCGAGATCTAACTGCTAGCGAGTGGTTTGCATCTCCTGGTATGGCCTATATATCTGCTTTGAAAGTTTTATTTGAAGGATGAGTTGTTGTGAGGTTCTAAGACCTTCACTCCTGCTCTGTGGGCTTTATCCTGTTTGACAACAAATTTCATCTTCACAGGTGAAACCCAGGGCTCAAAACAAGAGTAGACATTCAGAGCGATTAATTTTTTTAAACAGTCAATCTAACATGGCATCTCTGGGTAACAAGAAACACGTGTCAGTCACATGTTCTGATATTCTTGCTTGGAAAATGAATGGGTTTAAACAAAAGGTGCCATGTTCTAAGTTGTTTAATACAACTAAGTGTAAATATCAGAAAATAAATGCTGACATTCTAGCCACTCATCTCTATTCATCTTTTAATCTCAAACCCGAATGTTTTCAGTGTACACCAAAAACAAAAGAAGAAGCCCTTCCATTCCAATACTTTCAGAAGGGACTGTATGTATGTATGTATTTATGTATGTATGATTTTGTTTGTTTGTTTGTTCTGTAGAATCATGGCAGAGAACCCCCAGCACCTCCAGTGGACTAGTGACCAAACAGGGCTCCCGAGTTCTACCCACGGCCAAAAACTCTGACATCTGACCTGAACTTTTGACCTGGCCTCCATTTGACCGATTACTTTTACCTGTTACTGTTTCTGTGCTGACGGTTATCATTTAATATTTTCTTCTTTCTTTTTTTTCCTCTCTCAGTTTTCTTATCTGTTTTTACTTGGATTGAGAGGTGTTGAGGTGGGAGAAGAAGAGAGAAGAGTACTGAAAGCAGTGTCTTTTCATTTTTTTACACTTAGATTTTGACTGGTGTCCTTTTTTAAACAAACTAAAAGCTTCAGACATTTATGACACTAACTTTCTCTGAAAAATGTAGGGGAGTGTTTTTATATAATATTGTGGCTTTAGAGCATTAAAGTAAACAAGCTATAAATGTTGGTTGAAAGACACTGTGAATAATCCTAGAAAAAGCAGAAAAAGTATGATTCATTTTGAGGTAGCCTGTTACTAATGTGTGTGTATCTAGACTTGAGGGGCTTTTGTGTGTCGTTAGTGTGGTTAGAAAGGCTACTTATCTGCGCAGGATAGAGGGCAAAGTGCATTCCATAACAGCCATGTCATCCTGGATGCTTCTGATGTCATTCATGAGCTCAGAGCGTGGGCTTTGGCCCTTGTACCATACAATTCTGTAAGCACAATTTGCTTTTCTCAGAAGGATTTACATGACTAGAGCTGAGCAATATAGTTACACCCATCATGATGTGAATGCCAGAGTGAATCCTAGTATGAGAACTGTGTAGGAATGACTTGGATCTTGGGCCTTTGCTGTTGTCATGGTTTGTGGCTTTCAGAGTTGAGGGCAATGATGTTTTTATAATTGGACACAAGGCTGACTACATACAAGTAATCCTAATTCAAAGCTACACACAAAATGCAAAAAATGACATCTTGGCAAGTGAAACCATCCTAAATGTAGTCAATTTATCTAATACTTTTACAATTACATTTAGGGCTGGGTACTGAAGTTGTATACCTCTACAATGTCAACCAAATTATTTGGATATAGCAAAAAAATTGTCATTCAGTTCCAAATTTCAGTTTCTTACTAGTAAGCCAGTCAAGCATACTTTTCTAAAATTTAAACTGCTGATTGGGTGTCCAGATTACCTTCTGTAAGCACATCATTAATGTTATTGCTAATTGATTAGTCGGCAATCCTTTACAGTAAGTAAATATACCCACTTTCAGTACCTCACATTAATTTCTGCTTTAAGCCACACCTACCCAAGAAAGTACTGAAAAAAGTACTGTCCAAGAATTGGTATTAAAATCAAGGTATTGGCATTGATATTGACCCAAATAGTTTTGAACAATATTTAGCATTTTAACATTTTGAAGTTGCTGTATGATTACTCTACATATTTATAGACATTGTATGATTGCTTTAAGTAATTTTATTTAGTGAAATCGTCTTATTCTGTTGGCAGATAATTTTTATTGTTTAAAGCAATATATCTTCAAACAAGCAATATTATCTGCCAATAAGAAAATGACACTACATAACATTGCATAAAAAAGTGACCAGCATTTAGAAATGGGGTGAATATTCTCATTCTTTTACTCTTTCTTCTCAAACAGTTGAATATGGGAGCATTCTTTAAAGCTTGTACAGAAAGCTTGCCTCACAACAGTTGCTGTGGGAAAAAAACCTTGTATATTCATGGTTTCGCTGGTTTATTGTTTATTTTTGCAGGTTTTGAAAATGCCCTTTTTTATCAAAATTTCTAGATGAATGGACCAATAGAAATGATCGATAATTATCATTGTCATTAATATCCAAATTTACTAACATTAAAATTTAGGAAAGTTTTCCGTCTCCTGTAAAATTACCTTTTGGAGATAGGAAGTTTTATTTCAACAGTGACAATATGCTTTCTACCCCTGTATCATATTACTGGCGAGGAGCCATTGCCTATGAAAATCACCTTGTTCTTGTAAACTTGAAATGTTTGGGTGTAACATTTAAAGTTACTGGCCTAAAAATCAGTACATTTTTCACTTTTCACATTGGAGGAACATAGACTACATGTAAACATGTATTTTGAATGTTTGTGTAGCATAATCGTAGTAGCATTTATTAGGATAGCTTTGTATTATCAGAAACTAGAGTGACTAGCGTCAGAATCAGAATCTCATTTTGTGCTATTTCTGTGTTAAAAAAGGTCGGGTTAAACATACAGATCTCTTCCAGAATGGGTCAGAAAAATCTGAGGACTAACTTTCTGCTGTTACATGAAGTCTTGAGCACATATTCTAGTTAGTAGCTGGGCATTGATGATTTCTCTGAATATTTTTCTGAATGTCATAGATGATTTTTCTTAATTTTTAGTTTGTTCAAAGGCATATTAGACACCAAATTATCAGAGTTGATTGATAAGTGCTTGAATTGAACATATTTTCAGGAATGGTGTTGGTGTGCCTTTTAAGTCACAGAAGTCTATGTAATTCATCTCCAGGCACAGTCTACTGTGTATAGACACTGTTTAAAAGTTACTGAGTGCTCTAAAGGCTTAAGGACACCGATCTGACTAACACAAACAACCACAAATGACAAAAACATTTCCACTCATGTTTGTTTTATGGGGAAATTTAGATTGTCCTCTCTCCATTCACTTTGGTTGGTTTGGCTCATCAGTTCTGCTTTGTCAACCTAAGGATAACTACAAACTTCAGAATGTAGGTGGAATGTTTGGTCGGTGTGTTCTAGCCTTAAGAGAAAGGGCTTCAACTATGCACTTTTGGTTACTGCAAATAAAGAAAACAGATACATCTATACTGTACTTTTTTGTGTATATGTGTGGCTTCCATCAGACTTTAGAGTAAATCTGAAATCAAAATGGACCTTCTTACCTTGTTAATTTGTGTTGCTGGTCATATTAAACACAATTCATCATTTAAAATATTTTACATGAGTTCAAAATATAAAAGATAAAATTCTTGTTTTTTGTCATGTTCAAAACGTAATGACTTTTCCTTTGCGTCTAAAACATTTTCGAAGTTTTGATTACATCACTGTACACCAACAGGCAGGGAAATACAATAAAAACAAGCTATATCATGTTTCACTTCCCACCTCTCCCACTTATCACTGAGCATAAACATTCATCTAGCTCAGAGATCATTATTGATTACTGTATTTCACTCAGAAATACAGTTGTATGAAAAAGCTTGGGTTCCCCTGGTCAAATCGTGTTTTGTTGATTTTCAAAGTGAAAATAGGGAAACACATTTTCTACAGAGAGCACAGCGCATTTTAATGAACAACTATCTGTTTATTTGCTGAATTTTACATATGAGGAAAAAATAACACAAACTATGGCCTGTTCTAAAGCAATGGTATATTTTAGATTTTATGTTTTGATTTTTCCAACGTATTAAACATGCAAATTTTGCATAGAAATTGAGAATTTAGTTTGCAGGAAATTGCCATATTTAAGTTGTTCTTTGTAGAGGATGTGTTAATTTATTGTGATTTAGAAAATCAACATGCATTCATTTGGAAAAATAAATATTTTTAGGCCCAAATGGTGCACAATATGTTCACTAGGGAGGTTTTGGGACCTAAATTGTCAACTATATGTCCGTTCAAATGGGGGGAAAATGAACCAGAACTACATATTCACTAGGAGCCATCCATTTGAGAAAAAAAAATAAAAAATCAAAACCAACATAGTGCACTACATGTCCACTAGGTACTCTTTGCGACCCACATATTTAGGAAATAAAAAAACCAAATGGTGCACTACATGTCCATTTGGGAAAAATACTTTTTTAAACTCAAAAAAGAGTCCACTAGGGACTCTTTGGGACTAATATATTTGTGGAAAAAAGTTATACCCAAATAGTACACTTATATGTACTTGGTCGTCTTTGGGACTCCATTTGAGGAGAAATATTTCTAAACCCAAATAGTGCACTACGTATCCACTAGGATCGCTTTGGGACCCATCAATTTAGGAAAAAATTTAACCCACATAGTGCACCGCATGCCCACTAGGTATTAATCGGGACGCATCTATTTGAGGGAAAAAAATAGTGCACTGCACTCTTGTCGGAAAGTGGTTAATTTTATAACTTGGGGCACACTGGGACCTGTACAGTTGGAGAAAAAATATTTTTAAACCCACATAGTGCTCTACAAATCGGACGATGAATTTTAGGGCTCAGTCTCCTCTGTTGTGAGTATGGAACGGAGCGCTAATTACTTCCTGCATTTTAATCAACGTGGCAGCTTTAAAAGTTTCGCCTCTTCCAGTGCGTTCAAAATAAAATCCTACAAGTGTAACTGTTCGTTTACACATGATTTATTTAAAAACACATATAAAAAGTCAAATTCCGTTTAATTTCCTTAACCTTAATAACTTACTCTAGATTACTATTTAATTACTTTGTTATTTATGTTTTACTGTTTTGTTGTAAACCCCTTTTTTTGTACACGCTAAAAACATGACTTTTATTTTGTTTGCTTCGCACGGAAGTGGTCGTTGTTGAGTCGGTTTTCTGCCTGGTGGGTGTGAGCGTGTGTGTTCGTGTGAGTGAGTGAGTGAGTGAGTGTGTGTGTGTGTGTGTGTGTGTGTGTGTGTGTGTGTGTGTGTGTGTGTGTGTGTGTGTGTGTGTGTGTGTGTGTGTGTGTGAGAGTGTGAGAGACAGAGAGGTAGAGAGAGTTGACGGCTCATAGTAGTTTTATTCATTCAGGTGAAAGCGGGCCATAAGAGAGCTCTTGTAGACTTTTCAGAGTCCTTTTGAGTTCAACGTGTGACTCCGGCTTACTGAACTAAGCTACATTAGCTCCTGCTTGCTTTGACGTGAAACTGTTTTTCCTCAATTTTATTTTCAAGAAAGGTAAGAAGCTAACGTTATTCCAAAGGGGGATATCAAACTGTTCTTTGGTCTGACTAACCTGATGTGTAAGATGTTTAACTAGTAACAAGTGAGCTTAATTTCAGCTGAACAATGAACATGTTGTAAAACTTCGATACTCTAGCCGGCTCAGGTCGACAAGTTATCTTGGTAGGTTCAGAAGAACAGTGTGCCTGAAGGGTGTAGCGATAATTATTTTTAAACTACAATACGATTTTCGATGCTGAGGTCAAAATTCAGTTCGATTTTCGGTATTTTAACTTAATGTTCAAAGTGTTATTAAGAAGGCAATTACTTTTGTACCGTTATATACAATAAAAAACTTACAAAGTTTAGGTTTAAGTACAACAAACTACTTACCAAATGGTCTGTTTAGGCGTTTTATTGAATATGTTCAAATACTCTTATAAGACGATTAAGCATGTTCTTTAATTATCTGTTTACATTCATTGTTTTGAGAAGTTATGTGCCTTGAGGTTTGATCTCCACTTTTGAAATATGATGACAACTTTATTATAATTCTTGGGTTTATGCAGCTTTCTCAGGAATTGTCGAATTTTATTCAGCTCTATTGATCATTGTGGAAATCTCTTTTTCTTTTTTGAATGACTTAATAGTATCCTACTATTTGAGCCATATTATATTGCACAGGACTAGCATGTTATCATTTTATGCATTAATCTTCAACCAAATTGGTTTCATATTATTGAGTAGATTGTTAGATTACAAACTTTAGAACAGTGATAGATAGAGATCTTAGTGAATGGGAAAAAAAAACCAGGATGCATCCACAGGCCTAAATTTGATCACTGACAGTGGTTTACAAGAAAGGCAGTAAATGAGACCCTCAGAACAGACCAAGGGGTGCACTGGTCATGCAGTTTTAAAATTTGATTGTTTTGAAAAAAAATTTCAGTGCTGTCATAAAATCATTAGACCATAAATATAACCTGTTTTACTTTAACTCGCTTGTTTTTAACTTACCTAAGTCCAACCCACAGGAATTTCCATGCCTGCTGAACACTGAAAGGCACTTACCTTTTCTCGACAAACTCTGTTGATGAATGTAATGAATGGCTCCAGTTATTCAACAAGTCAGTCAGTGCTGAAATGATGGTTCTGTTTTATTGACTCTTCAGCTGGGTTGCTCAATTTCTTTAGTAAGTTTAGTCATCTTTAATTAATGGCTTACATAGTAGTTTGGTCATCAGGGCCCACTGGGTCATCAGTGTTTGAGAGGAGTTTAGTAATATAATGACCCCTCCCAAGTCCTCCACCAGTGTGGACCTTCCCCTTGAAACAGGCCACAGTGGGAAAACATCTGCTTTGGATCATAGGAAGGGTCTGTTCCTTTTTGCTTTAAATCATTGAAACAAACCTACCAATAACAGTAAATCATCAGGTCAAGAATGTGGACTTTTAGTCATTCTACTGACATCTCGTGTGTAAGGGTTGGTGATACAGCAAAAATATAAAACCACAATACTTCAAGATGTTTTCACGATGCACACATGTATCTTGATGTTTACTTTTTTCAAAACTGTAGTGCCTTGTTTATTAAATGTTCACAAAAATAATATTTTAAGAAGAAACAATAGGGAAAAAAACTTAAAAAAATGATGTCATAACAGCCAAGGGGGTCCAATCAGATATTTATTATTACGTAGTTTATGTGGTTACTATACACTGAATTTTGTTGTTTACAGGCTCTCAGTAATTGCTCTATACTTGTTGTTCAGTGTTTTAGAAGTACTGACGATACTGATGATAAACACATGAAAAGTGCATTGTGCTGTAATTTATTGTGATAATGATAACATATTGTCATATTGCCCACCCTCATAAACGTGCTTTGATTTAAAGGCACTCACTGGTCTTCTCTCTCCTCTTTTAAAGATGTTTCAGATTAGAAAAATATGCTGTATAGGTGCTGGATACGTTGGTGGGCCGACATGCAGCGTAATTGCCAGCATGTGTCCCGAGATTAAAGTGACGGTGGTGGATGTGAACGAGGCCCGAATCAAAGCCTGGAACTCTGACACTCTTCCTATTTATGAGGTATTTTATCTATTTATTCATAATAAGCTACACATGTAAAGGATTTACAAGTGGCAATAGACCACAAGTGAAAGGTAAGTGCTAAATGGCTGCAAGTTAGTAATATTTTTCTCAGCCTTGAGTATACTACTGCTTAGTGAAGGGGGGGTAATATAATTTGTAATATAGGGTTATGTTACCAAATTATAAGCACATCACTTATTTATACTATGCTAACAGTTGTTGTTATTCACATAAACACCAATAAATGTGAATGAATTGTTTTAATATTATCTTCTGCGTTGTGTTCTGTTTTTGCAAAGATGTATTTGCACTTCCTGTATTTGTAGTATGTTTAATTGTATCTATAATTGTGTGTACAAAATGTGTGCACACTATGTGTATGCAATATTTTTGTAGTCAGTAAACACCTGTATAGTTGCTAGCATACTTTCATAATAGTGGCAAATGGATAAACGATAGCAGTTTATTAGTAGAGATGCCACACAATGCCCATTTTCTTTTCCGATACCTTGAGTAAAGACTCAGACTTTTATATCTTTTCTTCAAAAAGCACTAAACACAAATGGGCCATTTTTAATTGAAGCACTTCATCAAAAGGTACATGACTCAAAATTGTGAAAAGTTACGCAAACCTCTAGCGGTTACAGAAGTGAACTATAACCCCGTTTTCAAAAAAATGGGATAAATTGTAAATAAAAACAAGTCATTTAAACTCTGATCAACTGAAAATGGTACAAAGACAACATATCAAATGTTGAAACTGAAAAATAGAGTTTTGCATTTGATGCCAGCAACATGTTGCAAAGTAGTTGGGACAGCACATCACTGTTTTGTATCAAATCAAATTGTGTTTATTGTCACATCACATTTACACGGGTGTGAAGGTGAGTGAAAATTTTAGGTGTGTAGCCCCCTAAGATTCATCTCCTCCTTGAACATATTTAGCTCTCCTTTGTCATATTTTTTGTTTCATACTGTGTCAAATGTTTTCAATGGGTGACTGGTTTGGACTGTAGGCAGGCTAGTTTAGCATTTGGACTCTTTTACTACAGAGCCGTGCTGTTGTAATACATGGAGAATGTGGTTTGGCATCGTCTTGCTGAAATTAGCAAGGCCTTCACTGAAAAAGACGTCATCTGGATGGCAGCATGTGTTGCTCCAAAAGCCATATACATCGTTCAGTATGAATGATGTCTTCACAGATGTGCAAGTCACCCATGCCATTTACACTAATGCATCCCCACACCATCAGATAACAAGCCAGATGATCCCTCTCCTATTTAACCCTGAGGACGCAGTGTCCATGATTTCCAAAAGAATTTCAAATTTTGATTTGTCGGACCACAGGACACTTTTCCTGGGCCCAGAGAAGGCAGCGGCATTTCTGGATCCTGTTTATATACAGCTTCTTCTTTGCATGGTAGAGTTTTAACTTCCATTTGTGGATGCAGCAATGAACTGTATCCACAGACAATGGTTTTTGGAAGTGTTCTTTTGCCTATAAACTATAAAACACATACACACAGACTCACTGATGCAAAGCTGCACTGTTATAAAGAACCAAAAGCTACTGAAATGCTAAATGTGTGTGAGTGAACTATTCAATAAGTCAGATAGTTAGCGACAAGCCAGATCAATGAGGTTCATAAGGGGCATCTAAAAATACGTTATTTGTGCAGCCTTATTTCCCTTGTTCATTCATAACAGTATCAAATATTGTCCTGTTGAGAAATGTGTGTGTAATTATGTGTACATAATGACAGTCTACTTTGCTACTGTAGCCCCTAAAATTCCTTTCAGGAATAAAGAAAACACATCCATCTGTCTGTCTGCCTGACCTTAACAACAGCACAAGGGTTATTGTTTTTACGTCGGCTATATGCAGTGCCTCTAACAACAGCCTCTCTGTTTCGGCCCCTCTCCCCACTTCCCCATCCCCCGGTCTGTGTGCAGCCAGGTCTGGATGAGGTGGTGTTGTCGTGCCGTGGCAAGAACCTTTTTTTTTCCACCGACATCGACTCTGCCATTAAAGAAGCAGACCTGGTCTTCATCTCTGTAAGTTACGAATGCAGAACTCCTTGGTGGAATGATTTTTATATGAGAAGTTGCATGTAGAATGCGAGAGAAACACTGATACTGGTTTAAAACTAATATTGGCTGATAACATTTTATGTAATTTTGTTTATGTATACATTTTAATTTTATATGGTCAAACAGCCTCAAATAAACAGAAATTTACAAAGTCTTAAATAATGTAAACTTTATAATGCCAGGTATAAAGAATGGTACAAAAACACGATGCTTTTAAAATTTTCTGAAATTAATGATTTTCTTCATGTTAGAGGCAAAGATTAGGCATACTGTAGAAACATGAAATAGGAGTAGGATGGTATTTAGTTGTTCTGGAATTTGATGAGTGGTGCCACATTTTACAATGCCATCAAAAATTACGATGATTTTCAAGCAACTTTTAAGTTGTTTAGTGTTCTTTAAATACTGATGATATCCACGATATGCTCAGAATACATTTAATGTGCAATAATTTTAAGACAGTAAAGAAAAAATATTGTTTTGTCACCCACACACAGCTGTTTAGAGCTGTTTGTTCATAATGATGTACAACAGTGAATACCAAAATGATATCAGTGCTTTCAGTGAGATAAATGCCACCAATACATTTGTGAAACACCAGTATTGGTTGATTTTACCAGTCAACTGATATATCATTCAGCCTTAGGGTTGTGATAGGCTCAAAGCCATTCTACTGTTCTACAGGTTAACACCCCTACTAAGACCTATGGGATGGGTAAGGGCCGAGCTGCTGATCTGAAGTTCATTGAGGCGTGTGCGCGGAGAATTGTGGAGGTCTCTGATGGTTATAAGATTGTGACAGAGAAAAGCACCGTGCCGGTCCGAGCAGCTGAGAGTATCCGCAGGATCTTTGATGCCAACACCAAACCCAGCCTTAACTTGCAAGTGAGTATGTTTGTTTGTGTATTTGTGTGTGTTAGGTTTGTTTACTCAAAGTGACAATTTAGCCACAAAATTGAGGGTAATGATAAAAAAAAACAAAAAACAAAAAAACATTATTTGATTCAGTACAATGCAGTGGTGTCTCAATTCAATATATTCTATGATACAGAGAGGAGTGGCTAAATATCTGCTTTATGTAAATATGTTAATCTTCTATTTTCTGTTTGAGAGCATTCAACATTATAAAAGAAGAATATTTTATAATAATGCACTAGTCATAAACTGTTTTAGCCCTGAGTAAATATACGCTTAACAGTAGTGTGCTTTTTCATCCATCTTTGTGTTATTGAGGTGATGAGGGAGGGTTTGCCATCATTGTTTGCTTCTTAATGCCTCATGCAGTATAATCAGTATTAAACCAAGTACTTCAGTCAGTTGAATGTATTGTTTGATACCTGTGCGAATTGAAGTGATTGAACAATACAATACATTGTATTGTTACACTCCTATAAAAACTCTAATTTGCACAATTTTTGCCTTTACCCCACTATAGAAAAACAGCTGGGGTGAGAAAAGTACATAGAAATTTGTCTTGAGTAAAAGTATGAGCATTTTGTTGAAATATTGCTCAGTTAAAAGTGAAAGTATAGAGCCAAAGACATATTTGAGTGAAAATATCTACATTGGAGGAGAGCGATATGGCAAAATAGAATACACACAACGTGTCCCGATATTTAGTATTTCAGACATCTGGCAAGTTAGAACAGATAAAGTTGTGCCACATTAAAAATACTATCAAAAACTATGAATCCAATTTGTATTCAACATTTCACACATGTTGAAAAATAGTACTAACAGTATTCACAATATTGCTAAGAATAGCGTACTGTGATATATTGTCATGTAATTTATCATGATAACAATAAATACTGTCATATTGCCCAACTCTAATCTGCATTTAAACATTCTTCAGTTTATAAAAAGTAAATGTTTTAACAAATAAATGAAAAGTTTTCTTTGTTTGGTGGGGTTGGGTGCAGTGATTGTGTGTTTTCACGCAAAGACAAACTAGCATAGTTGTGGGCAGTTTCCTTTTACACTGAAATATGCTTTCATAAACAAATTCAATGACCAGGAACCTGACTGGCTGGCAAGTCATGCTCTTGCACTAAGTAAAAACAAATAATCCAGAATAATAGCAACAAAGTAAAATGACTCCAGTATCTTCTTCCCCTGTCAAAATATGTGTGGTATCTAAAGTTTGCTTCTTTAGTTTTGCACTAGGGCTACAATGCTAATGTAGCTAACATGTAAGGGAAGCTTATGTACACAAAATTAGCATTTAAAAGATAATTTTTTTCTTTAGAACATTTGATCAACTCTCAAGCACAACATGTGGAACAGGTAATGGATGCTTGTATATACCAATTAGTAATGTGCAAACTGCATAAATAAATGATAACACATTTGCCTTTAACTGATTAAACTAAAATTAACTTATCAAATAATCCAAACTAGTTTAACAGGATATGTAAAATCTCTTGTGGATTCTGACGATAGATGCATATACCTGCGCTTACTGTTGTATTCTCACTAATGTAGCTGTAATATTTAAGAGCTAAACAAAGATGCCATATCATTTCATGTGCATGTCTTCATTTTATTTTTGTCAGTGCTTGCAAATGAGAGCTACTAGACAAAACTGATCTGTCTATGCCTTGGCTGACACAATGAGTACAGATAAGGTTAAGCTCTTGTTGGGACTAAGTGCGATTCCCGCTCGCTCAGAGCCCCAACATATGGAAAATTAAACTAATCTGTTCTATAACTATATTTCAGTTCTTTAATTAATCTAATTGCTGGTTCTCGTCATAAACGCAAAATAAAATAAAGTTCAGTCAAAAATAAAAGAAAGTTGAATAAAAGACTTCAGCCGTAGAGTTCTTAATGAAGGAAGGAAAAGGCCCTCTTCATTTATTGAGCTTCAGGTGGCAAGATGGCTCCCGGACAGCCAAATGCAAAGTACGTTACAGAAACATCATTTTTATACCCTGTTTGGGGCGATGAAGCAATCGCCCCCTCCTTCTCACCTTTTCCCATTTCACTTTGGTTCCCATTGTTTCCCATCCTTACACTTCAGTTGGAAACCCTTATTTCCGGCCGCTCAACTATCCTAAGCTGCCCCATCCTTTCAAGGTTTTTAATTAAATTTTGTCTTTTTAAACTGGTTCCAACACTGATACTGTCTGGTTCCCTATCAACTACTGTCTGGTTCCCTATCAGCTTACCTCCCTTCTCACAGGCCAGCTTGTCCTTGCAACAAAGTACACTAGCTTCTAGAAGCTTCTGAACTCCAGGGACTCTCCCATGCAAAATCCCCTAACCTACACACAGCATGGCCTATCCTTAGTGAGAGAATTACTACACTTTTGTCAATCAACTTTTTAGTATATGATTATGGATTTCTTATTGATTATAATAGTAATATATTCATTATAACTCAACACTCTTTTCACAGTCAAAACCTGGAGGTATTATTGTCGATATTATCGTTAATATTTGGGCTTTGTGTCATTTACGCACGCAGCCCTTGAACAGTATTTTACCAGTAAATACATGTGCATACTTGCCATGACAGTCTTGTTAAACATGATCCTCAACATGGACTTCATTCCTCAATCATGCACAAAATACACTCCCACAAGGTTATTCTCCCTGAAGAACTGAAAACTCAACCATAAAAACAAAAGCTTTATACAGACCACTCCTGATTTTCTTTTTTCTGTCCCACATTGAATGTTAAAAAAAAAAGTGCCGCTGAAGTGTTCCACTTGTTGGCTGTAATGTAGACGTCACTGTTTCTTGGTAATCACTTTCTGTTCACACAAGAGCCGTCACAGTAATTTCCCAGGTATTTTTCTGGGTCTCGTCAGGTGAATTGCCGTGACAACTTTATCTTGATTTCAACCCTTGTTCATGTATGCACTTAACCCTATTTCTTTTAATTAACATTAAATTACCACGTAAAAGTGCATGTGTGAAAGAGTGTGTGGTACCCTCATGTCTAATTCACTGTGCTAAGCCTTTTTTTCTCTATACACAGACTTTTCTAGATGAGCAGCATTTCATAACCTTTACCTCATTAAGGGGCAAAGTCTAACAGTGAGAATCAACATGTGGTGGGATTATGAGGGATTTTTTCTAATTAGTTTAGGAATTCTTTTGACAAAGTGAGGTCAAGTGCTAAAAGTTCCTCTTAAGTAACAGTACATTTTCTGCACAGACTTACTCCCCTCCCAACCTCCCGACCCTCTGTATGTCTGTCTTTATCTCTGTCTCTCTACTTCTGTCTCTGTCTCTGGTCTGTTCAGCCCTAACTGCAGGCCATAAGTTTGGAAGCAAGTACTAATCTAATGACAGCGAGCGTGTTGAACTGAAACAAACCAAAAAAAAAACACCAATTGTTTGACTAAACTTTAAGCTTTTTTTCACTCAAGTTTTACTGCAGCTCTAATCATAATTCACTGGATTATTCCATTCAGATGCTCCTGCAGGCTTAGTGAACTGAATCAGATGTTAGTTCATTTTGCAGGAGTTTTTCAGACCGCATACACATACTTACACAGAATTAAAAAGAAAGTCCAACTCTATGTTTATTTCTCAAATGCAAAATAAGCATTAGAAGATATGATGACAGTCGTAGATCATTCACTTACATTCCTTGGAGGACATGTCCTCAACCAAGTTTTGACTTGACTGAGTTCTCTTTAAACACTCTTTTAACACGTTCACAAACAACAGATTTATTTGCTTGGGGAGGGGATCTGAAGCACAAGAACATTACAAAATGTTCATTCACATGCTGTGTGCAATCGCCATATTTAGGGTAGCTTTAACTAATGATATGTTTCAACTCTCCCTCCCAGCACCCCCATCTATCATTGACTACATTCATTTTATAAGCCTCATTGCTTAATTTCAATTTCCAATCTTTCTAACTTGATGGTTCACGTTCATGTAGGTAAATGATTTAAATTTTTCTTTAATGTGAACAAACCCATGTCCTAAAAAACCTGCATCACATATCCAGAAGTACCAGGAGGGTTCTCTGAACTAGTTGAGCATTTCACTCAATGGCTCATGTTCACATTACCAGGCTGAAGTAGCACAGATCTTATTTTTGCATTAATGTGACACAGATCTGATGTCTTTTCCAATCAGATCAGAATATCTTCTTTCATATTTGGTCCTAGATCAGGTAATATCAGATTTGTAGCTGTGCAACTTTAATGAGAACGGTCAGATCGGAATTCATGTGTTTTTTTTTTTTTTTTGTTTGTTTTTTGGTCCCCTCTCCCCCCACTGCTCATGCACCATCACACAGTGTTAATGTGGCAGGTCTAACCTAAAGGGACTGTTATCAGTAAAGATTGTGAAGCATCATAGCAGAGGTCTTTAAAATCAGACCTTGAATCCATTTGCCGGTCCTGGTAGTGAACTAAACTATTAAAGTAACTGATTGACCACCTGTCATACCTACCAATTTTTAAAACATTTGTGACCAGAAACTGGATTATCTTTTATTGTCATCACCTCTTTAATCAGTATATTTATAGGTGTCAATTTTGCATTTTTAAGACCTAAACATTAAGCTGGACTTTCTTATGAGCCTGTGCGTGACGTTAATACATAAAGACATGCCGTGGTCCAAACAACTCTCGCAAAATCCAATGCCTCTGATTTTTATATTATCTCAGGCTTTACATGGTGCAGCAGTGCACCCACACCATATTTTGTTTATTATTATTTTTTTCGCTTCTGACTTATTAATGCTATTTCTTTCAGTTTTAACAAATAAATCTTACATAGTGCAGCTTTAAAATAATACTGCTTGCTTATATACCTGCCTTTAGTAAATCTGTGCTGATTGTTTTTCTCTTGTATAAGAGGGCACCGGCTGTCTGTCAGGATTTTTTTTGTGCCTTAAACATGGCTTGGACAAAACATTTATACCACAAATCTTTCAGTATCTTTTCAGAGCATAATTCAGAGTTCTGCTATCCCTCTGTGTCCCACAGGTGCTCTCGAACCCAGAGTTCCTGGCAGAAGGGACTGCGGTGAAGGACCTGAAGGAGCCAGACCGTGTTCTGATTGGTGGAGACGAAACTACAGAGGGTCAGAAGGCCATCCAAGCACTGTGTGAGGTTTATGAGCACTGGGTGCCCAAATCCCGCATTATCACCACCAACACCTGGTCCTCCGAGCTCTCTAAACTAGTAAGTGTGTGCATGTGTTAGAGATCAGAGGCATTTTAACTGTTGTTACTGTTTGAACATTGCAACAAGAAATATTTAATATTGTGGGCAGTATTGTGAAAATTTTGCATAATAATGATGAAAACTTGGCAAAAATATGACCATAAGAAGGAAATTAATAAAGTTGTTAGGTGAAATTGCAATTAAAATAAAAGCTTAAATAAAATAATGCTTAAAACAATATTACTGTTAATATAATAGTACAATATTACTTTTTCAGTCTTCACCTTTTCCAGGATACAGTAATTATGGTAGTTTTTTCAGGGTTTCACGCCTATTTCCAAGTATAGTTATGCTTGTTTGTTAAAATCGAACTTTTAAATTTAAGACGCAGTTCTGTAATTTATTAGTTAATTGTTCCCAAGCCACATATGTTTTATTAGAATACATGTTAAATAAATACTTAGACAAAATCAGCTTACAGTATATTTCATTAACTGCGCCCATCCTGTGTGTGTGTGTGTGTGTAAAGTGGAAAAAGCTGCATATACAGATGGAAAGTGGGAGAAACACAACAAAAAGACAGACAAGGAGGTTCTGTCTTTGCAATTTTAGGAACAAAACAATGAACACGGAAATAAAATATGTAGGGTAGTTGTTTTCGTTTTGAAAAATGTGCTTATGTTTTGTTTTTGTGCATCAGGCTGCTAATGCTTTCCTAGCCCAGCGTATTAGCAGCATAAACTCCATCTCTGCTCTTTGCGAGTCCACCGGAGCAGATGTTGAGGAGGTGGCCAGAGCTATCGGCATGGACCAGCGCATTGGCAGCAAGTTCCTCAAAGCTAGCGTTGGTGAGTTTGTGGGAGTGATTTGATTTAGTCCAGGGGTTCTCAAAGGTGAAGGTTTTTCCCAGTGCAGGATTTCACAGTTGGTCTTATAAATCAATAGTTCAGCCAAAAATGACATTTGCTGAATTTTCCCCATGGAGACGATTAACCATGCTGTGACATCACAACCATAACTAACTGGCATTCTGGCATACTACCTTCAGCATTTAAGTCGCAAGCCAGAAGTGGATATTTTGGTCCTCTTGATTAAAAAAAATCTCTGTATAAATTGCAGTCTCAATGTTGGTCAGAAAAAAATGCAGATAGATATTTTCATTTAGCCCTACATGTTTGGTATCCGATGTGTGCTTCTTAAGTTGTGTACGGAGCTATGTAGTTGACAAGTAATGGAAAATTATAGCCACCATTTTATCATCATATAGACTGCACGCCTAAATCATAACACACTTAAAGGATGCTCTTAAAGCACATGCAATACACTTTTACCCCTTTTTGGTATATTAAAGTATGTTGTGTCAGAAACTACAACAGGTGTTTTAGGTGAGATTATTACACAACTCAACATAGTTTGAGGCCAGTATGTGAAGATTTTAAACATGCAGTTTGCACAGTGCTAACTTGTGGGGTATATGCTTCCATTACTTGTTAGCTGCATTAACCTTGTAGCTCCAGTGCAAAAGAAGTAAACCTCAGAAAACAAACATCTTGGCTGACTACATTTAGAGTAAAGGCAAGTGTATACCAAATGATTTTATCGTAATTTGCCCCTTCTGACAATCTGTCAAGTAAATTTCCAGGTTGGGGCTTGATTGGAAACAATTGATGGGGTGGATGATCTGGTGGTGTGAGAGGGGATTTCTATGACTAAAAACATTATGATTCTTATAGTAACGTGGTCAGCAATATAATTGAACCGTTGTGTTGCAATAGCCAGTGAGATACCTAGCAGAGAAAATGTGTGTAATTAAGTGTGAGATGCTCTCTGTTGTTGTTGTTGTTGTAATCTGTTAGGCTTTTATAAATTGTGATTATTCACTCAAACTATTCTGTTATGTAGCAAATTATGTAGATTTAAGCACAGTTCTTTAATTGTGTGTGTTTGCTAGGTTTTGGAGGGAGCTGCTTCCAGAAGGACGTGCTGAATTTGGTGTATTTGTGTGAAGCATTGAATCTGCCAGAAGTGGCTTCTTACTGGCAGCAGGTACAGAACACTTACAGTGGGTATATTTAGATGTTTAATGTTGATATATAATACCATGCTTCAGAAAAAGAGCTTGATGCTAATAGTGGCTTCAGCATTGTATTCATTGCGTATCCTATACTGTTTGTGTTGGTTTGTCTATCCCAGTTTTATTGGCTTTATATCTCTGCATCTTTGTGTCTTTGTGTATGCAGGTGATTGATATGAATGAGTACCAGAGGAGAAGATTTGCATGCAGGATCATTGACTGTCTCTTCAACACTGTGACGGGAAAGAAAATCGCTCTGCTAGGCTTCTCTTTCAAAAAAGACACTGGAGACACCAGGTACACACACATGCACACACACATAGTTTGGGAGTTTCTTTGATATAAAACTGATTTGGTTGCTTCACAGCTTTCAAACAATTAGCAAAAAGCTTTGAAGAAACAAGAACAAATATTAGATGTTTTCAGAGTGATAGATGGAGCTAAAGATGACTGTAAAATGTCTGTGTAAGCTGTATAAAGACATGCTGTGCAGTGCTGTGCAGTGTTGTGTAGCCTAGCGTCATGTAGCAGGTACAGAATGCAGCTATAACTCATAGCATACGTCTCAGTGAGAGTCTAGATAAACATCAAGCTGAAGCCCATTTTACACTGTACTTGCACAGATTTTGTGGAATAAACCCCCATCTTCATGTTGTGGATTGGTATCAACTAACTCTTTAAACACTCAATGTTTTCAAGGCGAAATATATGGTGAACTAGGCTAGTAACAATGGTTTCAGTTAATTTGGATGACACTGTAGAAAAAACAAAATGTATGTTTGGCATCTAGTTTATCATTTTGAAATTTACACTTAATTATTACTATACATAAAATACAAATGATTCATATAAAGTGAATGCAAACTTTTGTACAGTATTGTACTTTGACAGTTTTACAGTCGCTATGTTTCTACCAAGTGAATTTAAACAGATGAATGGAAAGTACTCAAACACCTCCATATGGCACAGAAATGTGATCTCTTGCATAACAGTTCTGATTTGGGGAAAAAAAAAAAAGTCCTTTTAAGTAGGGGAAATCAGGAAGCCAAAAGTACAAGTTGCAACATGCATGAAATTAGACATGTAAATATGTCAACCACAACTTTTTTTTAATTGATAAACCTAAACCTATACGACAATAGTTTTTGCAGAAATTAACATCATAAAAAAATATATTGCTAAAATTCAGCTCAAAAACAAAGTGAAACCACCTGGTTGCAGGTTTGATACCACCTGGTTGCAGGTTTGATACCACTTAAAAATACAACATTCCGCTACGCAGAATACAGCAAAACAGACACAGAAAGGAAAGTTACTGCTGGCACCTCAGTTTTTGAAATAAAGAATGTATCACAATTGAAAAATAATCACAAACTACTTTGTTGTTGTCGTAGACTTTGGATTTTGTGACGCATACTGCAACATACATAATGTAATCTTTTTGGAGACTTCATTTTTGTAAAATGTTTTGTGATCAGTTTTCATCCCCCTGTGTCCTGAATTTTGGTTTCTGCCAAGAATTTTAATTTCAGTGCACCTCTAATCTTTTAAGTTTCAGTTAATTTACACGCACACAGGCACTGATGTAGTAAACATTTTGTAAACTTGTCTGTGCCAAAAAGTCTGCTGTTTTTTCTTCATGTGAACTCTAGCCAGCTTACACACTTTAACCTTTCGGACGCACACCTGTCCCTTCCCTAACCTTTATCCAGACTGAACAGGAAAATGCTTTTTCATGCTGCAGCTTGTGCTGAATCCACCTGAATGACAAATAATCATGACTGTGCAACCCTTCCACCTGAATTAAAGTAGGTTAAACTGGAAAGATAACAGACTTTGATTAGTTTTATTATCTGGTTCAGAAAACAAACAACTGAATGAGCTCTTGACTGAGTTGTGGTTTCAAAAGAATAGGCTGAATATCCACCGTGTTTGAATATATTTATAAAATCTGGTGTTACAGCCTTGGATCACAAGTAAATATCGATTAAATGTGTGTAATTTATGGTCTAAAAAAGTATCACTTGATTAGAGCCAGCTCTAAGGATCAGAATTATTCAGTAGCAGAAATTAGCATTACTGCTGAAGTGGTTTGTAGTGCAAGCAGGCAAAAAAAGGCGATTTGTTATTTTGTTTTGTCCAGATCGTTTGTGTGATTTGCTGTGGCAGTTTTTCCACATAGCTAACCCTAACTTACATTATGTAGGAGAGTGAAAACAGCTTTGTTAGCTTACAACTGTGTTTTCAGTCGATTTTTCCAGTGGTTGCTGCAGATGCTGAACTGACCACAGTAATTGTTATTGTGACAGTTTGAAAAGTAGTGTTAAAACATCAAGACTAACATCATTCATTATTGCAAAACAATATAAAGCAACTTAATTTTAATACAAAAAATTAGTTAGTTAATGTATGCGTAACACAAGTGCTGCTATACCAAAAGCCTTTGTAATGTGTTTCCATCTCTCTCTTCATGTTGACATACCATGCTGTAACTTTGTACTACTGTTTTTAGAGAGTCATCCAGTATCTACATCTCTAAATATCTGATGGATGAGGGAGCAAAGTTGCACATCTATGACCCCAAAGTACTCAAAGAGCAGATCATACAGGACCTGTCCCAGCCCAGCATCTCTGGAGACAACCCTCAGAGAGGTAGGCTTGAATTCTGGCTGTATCCATGTATAAATGTTGTGCCCTTCCTGTTTGAGATTAGTGTTATGACACCAGTGCTATCTTACATTTGGGACAGAGGTCCTGATAAGTGTATGCAACTGCATCTCCTGATCTTTTCTCAGTATCGGAGCTGGTTACTGTTACATCTGACCCTTATGAAGCGTGTAAAAGTGCACATGCACTTGTTATCTGCACGGAGTGGGACATGTTTAAGGTACGCACAGACAGATAAAACTGTTCATACAGTACAAGGCACATACATTAGGCTGTGTGTTTATTAATTGTATTGTTATCTGTAGACAGTATTCTGACGCTATTCATATGTATTTCAGTATACTACCACATCACACTTACACTGTAGTGCTATCATGAACATGTTAAAATGCCATCACTGCAATTTAGTCAAACAAGTTGCAGTCTCACCAGAGATTTTTAAAAAATGAGCCAATCAGCTCCACTTTTGCAAACTCCTGCACGCTCACACTCTATTTACATGATACTGTAACAAGCTTGGTTTGTTAAAAGTCTGTAGATGTTATTTATGTAATACTGAACCCAGTGTAGAAAAAAAACACCACCACTGTTAACTTTGTTTTAACACGATGGAAAATTTCCACATTAAACACTAGCGGTGCGGGAAAAAATCGATTCTTAGATGCATTGCAATGCGGACGTGAACGATTCTGAATCGATTCACAAACGTCAAAAATCGATTTTCTAAATATTTAATTTATAACGTAATGTTGGCGGAACGCTAAAGGCGGAACTTGGAAGTGCGGAAGTGCAGCGCCCAGACACTCTGTGGCGGCACATAACAAAAACACAAGTGGAAGAGTGAGAAATCCGACTGGCTCCCTCTGCATTAAAGCCAGGTTAGATCAGGAGTCACAACCCAAATGTTAAGAAGAGCCATTTTGTCCTTTCAACAAAAATCAAACCACCTTGGGAGCCACAACATTTAATGTCCGGTATGTGTCAGTATGTGTTAATGTCCTAGTATAGACTAAACAATATAAACGAAAACACAGATTTACTTCACTCAGCTTTAAGCTTCGCCTACAGCCGCTTTCCACTCCGCCAGAAAACTTTCTTCAGAAGTAGATCAGTTTCTCGTAAAATGTCTTTCAACGACTGTTTTACGAGGCTGAAGTCGCTTCTTATTCTCCAGCTTCTTGTTCGAATTTTCCCGTTCCACCTTAAATTCTAACTGCGGCGCCGAATGTAAATGCGGCACCATTTAAGGTGGAATGGGAGAATTCAAAAGAGAAGCGACTTCAGCTTCGCCACTTTTTAGCGTTTGACAGTCTCTCGTTGCAGAGTTAACGTACCAGGAAACCAACTGCGCTGCTTATAATTATTATTATTGCGAAACAGGGCTTTCGCGCTATGTTGCACACGCCCCGAAGATATTTTACTGACACAGCGATTCAATCCCCCCTTCTCTACAACGAGACCAAAACTGAAGTTATAAAATCACTAAAGTAAACGGGTAGAATAGCTGTAACATGTGCTGCGTGGACATCTACTGCCACAGGATCTTTTTTCACCGTAACTGCACATTTTATCGCAGATGAGTAGCAGCAGCTTCTCGTGCTCCAAACAAGAGCACTGACTGAGAGCCTTCTAGTTCACTTGCCACATCACTACCATTTGTTTTAATAAAAAAGATATTGTAAATTCATTATGGATCATTACAAATACCTTGCTTTAAAAGTACCAAGTCACTTTAAATAACAATAATACCAAGTCACTTAATCACTTTAAAATGTATACTCTCTCTATATTCTGTGTATATTTTGTGTATATTTAATATATTTCAGTTGGTTTTTCTTGTATTTTTATTTTTACTTATTTACTTTCTGTAGTGTGATTAGCTGAGCCTCACCACAAGCATTTCAGTGCATAAATGTTCTGACATGTTGTGCAAATGACAAACTTGAAACTTGAACTCGAAACTTGAGCTCACACACTGAGAAAATATAAATGCTATATAGAAAAAAAGAGATGCATCGATAATCGTTTTATAATCGCATTGCAGCTCTTGGAATCGTAATCGAATCGTGAGGTGCCTAGAGATTGCCACCCCTATTAAACACTGTTATATACTGATAGGTATGACATGTTCATGATGATTAAATATTACTGCACAGTATTTGCCATTTTTATGGTGGTACAGTGCAGGTATTAGTAGTTTGTTCCATGCTGTATTTTTATGTTTGAGTAGCTTCATAGGTGAGGTGAAGGTTGTGGCTAGTGCTGGGCGATATGACCTCAAATCAATATCACGATTAATTGAATATTTTACCTTGATTATGATTAATGAACGATTATTATTATTATTATGCCCTCATAGTTTACTGACAAGATTTGTACTGCAAATATGCTCTGCATATCTTAATGTAAATCGTCTCAACAGCCAGATTGGAATTCATGGGGCTTTTACATCAATTCATCTCGACATTTGTCATAATTTCATGCTGCTGAGACCTCATAAACATTTGGGGTGATATTTCTATACAAAAATTAGAAGAGACTTATCCAAAACACCGCTGTGTTTGAAGAGATTTCGAAAGAAATGGCCGAATGCAGCCGTAGGAGAACGAGGCCGCAGCGTCAAAGAACAGTTAAAAGTCTGAAAGCAAAGTTTAAAGAACAGACACAAACCAAAGAAGTGACCGCGCCCTTTTTATGGCGAGCTCCAACATATTCTGGGTAATGAGCCCAGTGGCTATGTGATGGCTCCTGTGACGCTGGCGAAGATTAAGTTGAAAGCTCCAGGGGCGTCTGGCGTTCATTCATAGTCCTGATTGTTTACCTCTGGATGAGCCACACGAAGCAACGTGACACACTGTTGTTTTGCGCATGTGGTTCAGTTTAGGAGCTGATCTTTTCAAACTGATTTTGCATACAGATCACATTTACAAGATAGTGTTAACAGCCAAACAAAAAAATCGGATTTGGTGAGAAAACTCTTACCACTTTTATCTGCTGTGTGAACATAGACTTAGCTTCCAAGTCATGTGATTACACGCGTGGTAGTAAGTTTTCACGGGGGCAGTACATGATCATACAGAGTGGGGAAAGGATTAACAGAATTAAAAAAAAAAATCGAAATAACCCACTTGGGCAAGATTACGTCGGATAGTGGTTCTAAATGTCGGTTTCAATTACTTTTCGATTCATTGCCCAGCGCTAGTTGTGGCACTCTAAGGTTTTTAACTACACTCCTAACTGCAAATGGTCCTGTATAATAATGAAGCACAGTTAGCATCGTGTTGACTTTTTTTAATGATAATTTCATTAAATGTCTTTGACACAAAACATATGTAATGTATGATTTTTTTTTTTTAATAAATATTGTGATATTAAAATATTTGTTGATTGTATGATTTATTTCGTGCAACCATAGCAAGACACTAGTATTCCTACACATGAATATACTTTTCGGTGATACAGGTGATAACCTATATCAATACTAAAGTTATTGTACCTAGCATAGAGATCTAGAAATTTGACTACAGTTGTTGAGCTGAGCTGGTTGAAGGTGCTTGGTGTGGCAGGCAGATATGACTAAAAACGCTGCATCTGTTTTCAGGCATAAGAAGAAACATTCACTTCCTAAGAAAAACACAAGTAAAATCCTGTCTCTCATACATCAGACAAAACTGAAAAGAAATAAGGCTAACCTTAACCAGTAATTTATTAGTAACGTATGTAGTAAATACAAGTATGTTGTTTGGTGCAGCCCTAATCTTCAGTTACTTTGTGTAGCCCACTTTAAGAGCTTTGTTAAATTCTGTCTCTTTATATTGAATATATATGTTTATACCATAGCTTATGTATATTGCCATGGTGTTTTTGTTTAAGGATCTGGATTATGAGAAGATACATCACCAGATGCTGAAGCCAGCGTTCATATTTGACGGCCGCCGCGTCCTGGACCATCTGCACCCCCAACTACAGAACATTGGTTTCCAGGTGAGTGCATGGTTCTATCTGCATTTCTGTCTGTCTAAGTGCAGTTTAACGGTGATGTCTCCTAACTCTTTTTCTTTGTGTGTAGATTGAGACCATTGGTAAGAAGGTGACAACTAGGCTCCCCTTCACACCCTCTGGTGGAGTACCCAGAATCACCCTCAATGAACCGCCCAACAAGAAATCCAAAGTTTAAGGCGCACAGACACACGCATTAACCCATACACACACTTTCTTTACCTTAGTTGAATGTCTGATGAAAGTCAAAGTCTGAAATGTTCACACATTTGCCAGAATGTGCCCAAATTTTCAGTGTGTAGACAATCTCATAAAAGTCAATTTCCCATGTTCACATCCTCTATAGTTTGACTGCACTGGATCCATCACCCCTATCAGCCAAATCCTGTTCAAAGCAGATGAGCCATCCTTTTGTAAACCTCAAGACATTTCCAGCCTTCTCCCTTGTCAGTAAAAATGCAGTTAATCAATTAAGTTTCCAAATGATGTTCAGCCTGTTTTTTCTAGTACTTAGTGGAACTAAGTAAGTCTTGGAGGAAGAAAATAAATAACGTGACCATTAAACACTGTTGCACTGACAAAAAGAATGTTTTGTCTTATGTTTAGAGTGTAATTCTGTCCATTTCTAATCTGTATTCTTTATCATGCTGTTTCATATTCTTTATAGACCACATGCTGTATTTAGTGTCTTTTTCAGACAGGCTTTTTATTGCAAGGAAATGCTATGTATGTGAAGAGAAGCCTGGTGTAAATGATGTATTTAAAAGAGTAGTTCAGTCTAAATGCTAATGTTGCTAACACTACATGAAGGTGAACAGCCATCAAGTAGGAAATTTTTTTCTAATTTCCTTTGGTTTGTCGCCCAGTGGTATCCATTCACTGTTAGCCACATTAGTTTGGTCAGGCTATTCTTTTATTATTGGCTGTGTCCTCCAGAGTTTCTGGAGTTCAATTTAGAATAATTTGTCAAACAAAGAATAACAGAACAAAGTATACAGGGTATTAGGATAGAGCTTAATGGATACGTATTACTTTTCTACATAATGTTTGTGTCTCATGTGTGATGGGGTTTAATTGAACATGATTATCAAGCTTAGGAAGATCATCAGTCAGTCATTACATTATTGTGTCATGTGAGATCAGAGTATGCCAGTGTTAAAATAAAGGTTTTTCATAAATTCTCATACTATATAGATTTGTAACACTAATGTAAAACAGTAGAAAGCAATTATTTCTTAAATAAAGGAACAATGATACTCCTGTCTGTTATTTTTCAAAAATGAAAAACATCATTTTATTAGCTGTTTAATACATTATAAACATTGCAGTTATATTTAATTTTACACAGATTACACTGCAACAACATGGTCTTTGTACCTTCATTATTTCAAATATTAATTTGTAATTGTCTTAAAATGGAATTCCACTAATTTTCAATTCCACCACCAAATTTCTGTATTTTCAAAAAGTTTTTCAGGGTGGTGTGATTTGAAATGGTTCATTGTAGACTACAAATTTGTGGATATTCGTTTCTTTACAGTGGTGATAATAAGAACCAGAAGTCTCACTGTCTATAACGCAAAGGCATTTAGTTTTACTAAAACCGCAAGTGAACCTACATCTACAAGTACCACCTAAACCTATGTTTTTATCTGAAAAGTTGATGGTAAATTAGTGGTAAATCAGAAAAACTAAGTTGTTTTTGGGGACCATTTTGCCTTACAAAGCTCTGTATATACCTCTCTGAATGGATTTTCTAAAACATTTTAGGCCACAACCTCAATCAAACTATGTTATAATAATGTTTGAGACATCAGGTAGTGTTTTCACAACGATTTCATGTAATAACTTTCTGTGAAGAAGCTTTTAGAGGCATTAAAGGCTTCAGATGTCTGGTTTGCATCACCACCACTGTGAACAATTCTGACTGTTTCTCTATAATGGAGCAATTCATATCAAACCACTCTGAACGCCTTTGTTTACTTTTATTAACTATCTATTACATAAGTAGATCTTGTGGCTTGTGTGTTGTGCTACTCCACTAAGAAGACACAAGCATGTTTCCCCTTTTAACAGATAAGTCTAAACTTCAGACTTATGTACAGCAAGTTCCTTCAACAAGTTCTCCACTCCACAGTTGTTCAATGACTATCCCATACTTTCTCTGAGCCAGAAGACTACATTACCCACAGTTCATTACTGCCAAATGCCTTCCTGTCTATAGTGGCTTCCCAAAGGAAACATAATGGATTAAGCAGCTGAAGTAATGTAAATGTCATGTAGTGCTGTAAGATGTACTGACAGAGAGAAGAAGAAGAGATGGTGGGAGACCAGTTTGATCTTTATTCCGATGTTTCTTCCGTCTTCCTGTTTTTCAGCAGGTTCTTTAGGAAGAACTCACCTGAACAAAAGCAGGACAGAAAAAGACAGAAAATAAACTCAAAGAGGTGCAAGAGCAGAATTGCCAGATTTGTGGTTTTCTGCTTCAGTGCAGTTGTTTTTTTTTTTACCGCGAAAAAGATTCGACTGTGCACAGCTGAAATGAAAATGAATGATCTTATTAGTGTAAACTGATCCTGGTGCTAAATAGCTAGCACCCTAGAAACAGACAGGCACATACAGGCCATAGCTGGTTATAACGGAGAAGAGAGTGTATCTGGCATATTTGATGTCACCTTAACTGCTCACTTTACTGCTGTTATATCAAAACCAGGCATCTCAATTTTTAGCAGCTAGCATTCAAACTGTGTACCAATAGAAATTACTTGGAATAAAATGTAAAAAGTTTAGAAAGTCTCTTGTAAAGTTAACAGTTTGGAAATAGACTGTTTTATTAGGACAGCAGGGATATGTAACCCTCATGTTCAGTCTGATGGGAGTCACCTGCTTTGTAAGAAGAGCGCACTAAAGGTCCACTCGCTGTGTAGACAAAGCCCATTTCCTGACCCATCTTCTCCCAGTAAGCAAACTGTTCAGGAGTGACATACTCCTCCACCTACACAAAATAGAAACATTGATTTTCAAAATCAATGTAATATCAGTACAACATTAGCACATCAATACAATATATACAAACCCAAACGTCAGTACAGATCAACTGTAAATCAGGAGACAGTAGCTCTGATGCTAATGTAAGTAGTGTAAACGGCAGATATAGTAAAGGACAAGTACCTTCAGATGTCGTTTGGTTGGCTGCATGTACTGGCCCAAGGTCAGGCAGTCTACTCCAGAGTCCCTTAACTCTGAAAATACAACAACAACGGTAATAATAATAATAGTAATAACAATAACAACAGCAACAACAATTATTAGCGATAGGACTGTATCACTTTTTCTTTTCTGATACTGATATTGAAACTGTGAGTAACGATACAAATACATTTTATTTAAAAAATACCAAGTTTTAAAATAAGCACTTGGCCTAGACTAGTAGACTCAAACTACTCAATCACTCTACTAAACCACAGGAACTCAGGAAATGGATATCAGCCAATACTGAGTACCAATATGATTTTTTTTCTCTTCTTGAATCCTGAATTCATACCTTACTAAGTCAAGGCTCCTTACATACACACACACACACACACGCCGCTTATTCTTCTGGGTCGCGGGGGGAGCTGGAGCCTATCCCAGTTCATTGAGCAGAAGGAAGGAAGGGATCCTTACAATACACATCATATACACATCCAATTCTCACTTTTTTCTGTTTTTATTAATGAAACTGAAATCTCTACATACAGCTGATAAATATGAATGATCACATTACAGACAGACTTGTTTAAGATAAAACTTGTTTCTTTGCAAATACTTTTCAAAGCACTCCTGTGTGTTTTGCATCTTGACATACAAAGCGTGACATAGTGTGTCAGAATAAAAGCCCTGTGCAGGAGGGGATCCCATACCCGTTTCCTCATGTCTGGTCAATGCCGATAAGCTATTTCTAATACTACTACTGCTACTACTGATAATTTATATTCATATGGTGCTTTTCTCAGTTTTATGTTGCGTTATGTTGCTAGGTTCATAAACAGAAAATATCATAAGCTAACATAGAAAACAATCAAAAGTAACACAAGGAAACTGTAAAACTAAAGGGGGATTTAAAAAAGTCAACATCTGTTTGCGTGACATACTGCTGTGAAACTTCTGTGCATTTGTGTATGTTCTTATGATGATGTCATATGTGCACATACATACGTGCACACACACATTTCTATGGATGGAAAACATCTATTTATGTAGTGGTGATCAAGCTGATATTAAGCAGGAACAAAACTTGACAAACTACTGGGAGGGCCTTTCAGATATATAGAAAGAAAATATTAAAAATGAGTTACGGTTATGGAATTATGGTAATGAAATGAATTTAAACTGGGTCAGCTGCCCCATGTTTGGTGGGCAGTGTGTATATACCTTTCATAGTCGAGTGCAACTGTGCATCTGTCTCTCCCAGCCCAAGCATGATGGAGGTTTTAGTGAGCACACTTGGTTTTACTTTCTTGGCATGTCGTAGCACACTGAGCGACTGGTCAAAGTTTGCTCGTGGGTCCCGCACATACCTAAAAGTCAAAATGAATATTAGCAACAGTTTAACAACAGAGTGCTGATAACCAAAAGACACATTAAGAATGTTTTCAGTTTCAGATACTAAACAGTGATTAATTTTTGACTGTACTTTCATGATGATGCTAAAACTCTAAAATACAGTTCATTCAATTAGAAAAGCGGAAAAACCACTTCAACAAATTCCTGGATTTAAACGTGACTCAATTAGTTGAAATATTTCTGCCACCTGGTGGAAACAGCAGGTACTGCAGTACGCAAACAAAGCGAGAAGCTGCTGTGGATTTTTTTTCTGGAATTTTCACTGGGAGTGCCACCTTGTGGACATATTTTTTAACGATTTAAGAAACATGACTACACTACAACATGACAATTTTAAGTGCAAATAGCAAAATAGAGCCACTGCCATTACATCTTGCTCCAGCTTTGTGAACTTATGATCTAAAATTCGATGACACACTAGTCCAAGTACTTACAAGTACACTGAAAATAATGAATAACTGTGTACAACACTGACCTAGTTCCATTTTGGAGGAGTAAAGATTATGTATGTGGTTTAAATAAATAGGTAGTTCTAGACTTGGTCCAACTGTGTCAACTGCGTATCTTCTGAAATGTTTGAGCTAATAGCAGTCTGTCTCCAATATATCTTTGTTGCATTTACACTCACTTTTTCACAGATCAGATAGCTATCTGGTCCAAATCTATGAAACAGTCAAGTGTAAATACAGTCTCTACTAGGGATGCATCAATAACTACTGGTATTGGCCCACTATTATGCTCATTTAGTTGCACTCCTACTTGTCAAAAGCCACTCTTCTCCACTGTAACGCTACTCGATTCAACATAGTTAGCTAATGCACTTCAATTAAAATCAGCTGGATTTGCTAAGGCACAATGCACTCATTTACATTAACTACTTAATTCCAAGTAGGTTACTCATTATGGTATCAGCATCGGTATCAGCAAGTACCAAAAAACACATACTCGTACACAGGCTGAAAAAAAGAAGGTATTCTGAGGCTCTATATTGCACTGACCTCTGCAGTTCTCTCACTGTCTCTACGTTGTGGGCATAAACGTCTAGGCCTGAGAGAGCAATCTTCTCCACTGCTGAGAGGTCACCACGGAAATCAGGGGTCAGACACTCTACCAGGATAGTGGGGTTCCTGTAGGAAGATATATTAATTACAGGCTGTGAGAAATCTGTTTTCATTTCACATAGACACTAATTTTTTTGAAAAATTAGAATTTGTCATTTTATCAGGTATATCCACCATAAGTGCCCTGTATAAGTAAACTTCATTTTTTTAAACTCTATTGCTGCATAATTTATCATCCATCAATGCAAACGGACTACAATAGGACCACGTCTGACCAGTTATTATTTGGCCGGTGGACCATTCGCAACACAGGAGTGACACTGACATGGTGCTACCATGTTATAATGTGTTGTGCTGGTACAAGAGTATCAGGGTCTGCTGCTCTCTCAATATCAGTGTCCTCCTCATCTGACATCATGTTTATTTTAACTGTACACACACAAACTCCCAGTAACTTAATTGAGCAATTAAGTAATGTTTCTGTGGCACATGCATTCATTTTTTTCAGGATCCACTAGAGAATGACCAACACAAATGGCTAAAAAGAAATATGTAGCTGGGGCATTTTGCTGGTCCTAACATCGCAGGCCCTTTGTTTTTTTTAATTCTAAAAAGGTATGATATCAACTAAAACCAGAGCTTTTTACCTCTTTTTGAGATTGGAAACAGTCTTTGCAAAGTGTTCCGCACCACCATCAGCAAGATCTGTTAAAGAAATATAAACACACATATGTGTATATATATATATATATATATACATATTAACCAATCAAATAACAGAACTAATCAGTTATTTTCCCACTGCAATCAAGTAAAGCAGTGTTTGTGTGTGTGCTCACCATCTCGGTCCACTGAAGTGAGCACCACATAGTCCAGCCCCCACGCAGCAATTGCTTTAGCAGTGTTGTATGGCTCATCAGGGTCCAGAGGAGGAGGCTTTCTTGCTGTCTTTACAGAACAAAACCTGCAGCCGCGTGTACATGTGTCTCCCATCAACTATACAGAGTATAGTAAAGAAAGAAAGAGAGAAAGAAAGAGAGATGACATTTTTATGCAACTTTTGTAACCAAGATGGTCTTTCTAAGTAAGTAGCCAAGACTATGCCGTTTTCTGTTTTTTTTTAGAATGTCAGAGAATGTGCATACCTGAGGAAGCTGACTAGCTATTAGTTGTTACTATATTTGTTTTTTGTCTTGTTAAAATGACAAGCACAACAGTTTTTAAAGCTAAAGTTCTAGTTTGAGTGGTGGTCAGCTGGTTTATTTAAGTAATGTAAGCTAAAATTGAGCAGATTTTCAAACTTGTTTAATCTCACTTGGATGTCTTTCTTTATTAATACTATTACTATTACTTTCTTTATTAACACTATTATACACAGACATTATAAAGTAGGAGGGACACGCTGGATTAAACATGAAAAGATTGTAATGCTAAACATGGTGGGATGTCCCAAAAAAGTCACTTGCCTTGTTGGTGAAGCCATGAGCAAGAAAAACATTTTTTGTGAAGATATGCACATGTATAGTAGCCTGAACAAAATTAAGAAACATTTTTTGTGGTATTTGAGCTAAAGGTTACATACTATTTATGCAATTTTTGTCAGATATTCCCAATGATTTCAACTATGTTTTTGAACCCTGAAATACCATTATGGTAGTAGTTCTCCTACTTAAGTAACGTACATGTAAAATGCATTAAAATCCAGCATGCAATTGTCAATTGTGTGCTTGATATTGTATATTGGGCACACTTGCATACTAACCATGATGGTTGCAGTGGCTGTAGCATGCTCTCCACCACCCCAACACTCTCCAATGTTTGGACACCTGGCCTCTTCACACACCTGCAAAACACAGCAATATTACAACCAAAATTAGGAATGGATACAATTAAGCTTGATTTTAATTGATTTAAAATGCACTTTTTAAAGCAGACATAAAGCAGCTTTGTGTAAATCCCTCATGATGGCAATAGGAATAAAAGATGAGGGCACAAAAGAGCAACCAAAACTTTTCCCAACAGCATGGGGAAGCAGGGAAGAACTAAAGAACTATTCAAACAGAATTAGTTCTACCAGAAGAGGTTCAGAACAAAGTGCCTGTATAAACTTTACCCAATTACCACAGTTAGCTCCAGTGTTCACAGGCATTGGACGACAGATGCCACACTCAATAACAATGACAACACAGCACACAGCCACGTCTATTAGCAGATTTTGTTATTACTTTGTCCTGAGGTCGACTGAAACGGGACTATTTCTAAAGGAGCTTTGGTTGAAGATCACTCACTCAAAAATTACTGTAAGACTTCAACAAAACTACATACAGCTTTGTACTGGTTTACAATTACAAATCTTGTTGGTTTCAAATTGCAGTACCTCCTCAAATACACCATAACCCACATTTTTGATTTTAGATACTTACAGTGTGTAGGTTCAACTCTCTGAGAGTATTCTTCAATTGGTTGTAGTTTTTCCCAATAGGAATCTCTGTCTTCAGCCATGGTGGTAACCTGAGTCTGCAATATATAATATTTAAACCACATTTTACTGGTCTTAAAGTCAGCATCAGTGTAGGACAAATAACTGTATTTTCCTGTGTCCTTTATTTAGTTAGTTTTACTAATTTGTTTTGGATATGGGTAATCTGCAGATAATTGGACAAAAGTGAAGTTTTGAACTCCTTTATTCAGATTCTTTGTAAATGTATAAAACGTGTAATAAAACATGAATAAATTAAGTTATGAATTAACAACCTTAACAATAGGAACCAATCCCAGACCATCCCTCCTACTACGAGAAGCTTAATGAATACAGGCCCAGGTTTCCTAACCAAGTTTCAACCCAGTCCTACACTAAAAAATGAGAAGTAGCATTGTACATTCAATATTATTCTTTTAGTTGTTTTCCTTTCTTTTCTTTTAGTTGTGGCCAATTCCACCAATTAGCTAGGTCTTCTCCCCTCACACAGTGCACCAAACTCTCTTGGTCTCTTGGACCAGTCACAGATGGCTGTGGCACTGGCAGGGATCAAACTTGCAATCTCTTTGCAATCTGGCCAATGGTGAGATGTAAGTTTAAGACCATTCTTAATTTGCTTGGTTATTATAGTAATGAAGGTTTTATTCGGTTTTACTTAGTTTTAGAGTTGCACTAAATATCAGATCTTTAATTAGATTGCTCCTAAACAGTGCCGACACTGTGTGTTATGTCTGAAAATACATGTATTTAGACACTTAACTGACTCACCGCTCTCCCTTTTGTCGTTTCAGGTTGCCCCTGTATTCTTCCCACTTGCTTTTCTCTGAAAGCTCTCCTGATATGAAGTCCTGCAGATCCAGACCATCTTCTTTAATCTCTTTCTTTCTGTCTTGCAGCGTAGCCGATGTGCTAGGTGCTGTGGTCAGACGACTGGTGTGCACCTGTGAACAAATATAATTACCACATAAAGAGCCATCATAAGACATATGTTTGACTTGAATTAACAGTTAGTGTAGATTCATGTATAGGCTTCTTAAGTAGTTGGCAGCATGTCCATATTAGGAACTCCTGGTATAACAGTATTTTCTCTATGAGAAAAATTAATTATGTTTGTGAAAAGAAAAAAAAATTCCCATTAAGTCCTATAGTAAACAAAAAAGTTCCAAACCGTAATTACGAGATCATTAAGGAGTTGAAACATGAATTATGTTAAGTCTAGTAAAGTTTAATCTTAAACTTCTATTCTATAACATTGCAAGATATTCTCAAAAATGTTCAAGAAAACTGTCGTAAGCGTATTATTAACACCAGCAGTCTGATGGATTGTATGAAAAAGTGTACAAAAAGAATATGCCGTGATATACTACTTCTATAAAACTAAAATAAATATATATCTATGCTACATATATATATGTATATATATATATATATATATATATATATATATATATATATACACACACACACACACACATATATCTATATATATATACATACAACTGATGCTTAGTCCATTCTTTCTAAAAGAGCAAAAGGAAATACTGTAAAAAGGTTCACTAAGCGGGAAACGATTATTAAAGACAAACTAAATGAATGAATAGCTTTAGCATTGAAGGTGTGTGCTGTGTGTGCAACATTACCCAATACCTCTCACATTACTTTGAATTCACCCTAACGGACTTAGCAAATCACTTGTCTTTATGTAGCAACATTAGTCTATTAGAGGCAATGCAATTCGTTCCCTGCACTTATAGACTCTAGTTAAGTTACTAAGCGTATCAGAAAAAGCAATGAAATGTAACTGAACATTTTATTCTTAATAAGGCGTGAAACACTGACTGACTTGCCTTAAAAGCGCGCAAAATTACTTGAACACAAAATTAGAGAAGCTAACCTTATTTAGCTAGTTAACTTGTCGGTAACAGTTGCCTTTATACTAGTAGTAAGTTATTGACAACGTTAGGGCGGCCTGTTAGTTGAAAAATCACTAGGTGGCGAGAGCTAAACACTGACATACGCAATACACACTCACAATCATACACAAGTATGTCTAGCACGTGTATTTAATAAAACGACTTACATGTGACCTTTCAATGCATTTGTGTGACAACAGAATATGGCTACCGCACAAACGACCAGCAGCAAAACAACTTCTGTTGATCATCGCCATGACTTCTTCAGGAAGCTAACGTTAGTCCGTCATCTGCCATCGATTAAACAACCCTTGTCAACTTTAACCCTTTAGCCCACACTTTACTGGATCCTTATTTTGATATATTAGATATTATTAATACTAATCTATTTTAATTCACTAATTATTTCTGTTTTTTTTTATTCAGACATCCAGATAATGTTCACTTCGCTTCAAACGCTTTTCATATTCTCGATAATCAATCAGTCGCGCCTAAAGGCTTAGTAATGATGTCAGCACGTAAGTGCTACAATTGCGTCATGACGTCTCTCCTCTTTCCTTTCCTCCTTTATCGGCGAGGTAAGAACATGGCGCATCCTGACTCTGACAGTTTTCAATCCACTGTAATCCTCTTTAATGTCCCATCTCACAGTGTTGTCGGGCGTATTGGATATTATCTAAGTGTCAGTTGAAGCATTAATATGTATATTTTGACTGCATAGCCCAATTTAGCTCAGATGGAGAAACCCGAGTACTCGGCCTGTCTGTGTTTATTTGTTAGCTTTTAGCTAGTTGTCCTTTAAGTATTTATAATATGTTATAATGGGAGGACTATTGATTCATAGATTTAATTTTTTGTTATTTAACACCTGCTCAAAGTGAAGAGAAGTAGAGTTGTAATTTCTGGTAAACCGCTCGTTTAATTCGGCTCCATTAGCGGGCACAGCTATGCTACCGGCATGCGTATGCCTTAATGTACTAGTCTCTAGCTAGCTACATGTATAAATTAAAGGTCGTTTTGAAATTGAAGTTGAATCTGTCGTGACGGTCATGCCCTTCTGTACAGAATGAAGACCATTCTCAGTAGCCAGACGGTGGACATCCCCGACAAAGGTATGCCAAACGCCCATGTGCTGCTAACTTGGTTTGTTGCAGTTTAAGTAACGTTACTGTCCAATTCTCAGGTTGATAGTTCTGTTTGCTGGTTGTCTTAAGCTATATTGTCTTCCTTCGTCCCTGCAGTCGATGTGTCCCTTAAGGGACGCACCGTCACCGTGAAGGGACCCCGCGGAACTCTCCGCCGGGAGTTCAACCATATTAACCTGGAGCTCCGTCTGCTCGGCAAGAAGCAGAAGAAGGTAAAGCGTCTGTCTGGTCCACTGGAAACGGTGCTGTTGTTTGAAACACAAATAGAGAATGCAAGTGTTTAATTGCTGTGGCTGCGTTAACGTTGCCTAAATGAAGTGGCACAAATGTAATTTTTGGCTTAATGTGAAATACCTGATGTCTCAAACTGTAAGGATATGCAAATCTGATATTTCCAGATTAGTTTGGAGTCACATTTATATGTGGTCCAAGATCAGGTGCGTTTCTGATTTGTCCATGCAACTTTTCATGGACGGTCAGATGCATCTGGCCTTGGTAGGTTAATTGCCTGTGTTTCTGTCTAACAGAGATGGAAGTAAATTATTTTTACAATGGAGGCTTGTGTTTAGACAGACATGTCTGGTTCATTCAGACTAAAGACACTAAAATAGCCTATGAGGAGGGATCCCAGTCTGTTTTCCCTTGACTGCATGAAAGTGTTTTTTTGGGTGGGCACACTGGTGATGCATTTAAGTGAATTAATAATGGAAATTGTCCAAAGTCAATCAGATCCTATACAAGTCATGTCATGATTTAAACATGCAGAGTTTATGTAGCTATTTTTTTCTCCTCTGTGTAGCTGCGTGTGGACAAATGGTGGGGCAACAGAAAGGAGCTGGCCACTGTCAGAACCATCTGCAGCCATGTTCAGAACATGATTAAGGGTGTAACTTTGGTAGGTACATCATATATGGGTTATATCAATATGTTAAGGCTGGGCAGAGCCACTGTTATTGTGATGCAAAGTCTCAGTGGTGTGGATTTTTTTTTTTACTGAAGTTTGTAAATGCTGGGCTGTACTCAGTAGTGTCATGTTTGGCATGTCTAGGGCTTCAGGTACAAGATGCGATCGGTGTACGCCCATTTCCCCATCAACGTGGTGATTCAGGAAAGCGGCACACTGGTGGAGATCAGAAACTTCCTGGGAGAGAAGTACATTCGCCGTGTCCGCATGAGGCCAGGTACTTTGTGTGCTTGCTAGCTGACTTTTGTCTGTTAAACCTGCTGTACTGAAAGGTGCCTGGTGATTGGTCACTGCTGTCATCTAGCTTGTTTTAAAACAAAAGGAAAAAAATTTTCAATCTCTGTAGGTTTTATTCTGCCCCCATGTTTGAGTCTGGCATTTTAAGGCTGGATGTTTGGGTATACGTCTGTCTGAACTGCTCTGATAGCTTGTTAATAAAGTGATTTGCACTAGCAAACAATGCTGGAGAAGCTCCATTGTGTAGTTATATAATCAGTTTTGTATATGCAAGTGTTTCTGCTATGTATGTGTGTATATATACTCGGCACAGGGCTTGCAATTAGGAATGATGGGTAAAGGAGATGGAGACGTGGGGACACCCTGCCCGGTCCTTCTATGTCTAAGCACCCGAGAGAGAGAGAGAGAGTTGGGAGAGTAAATTGAGTAGTGTGAGAGTCACAGACTGAGATTTATTGTCTCCTGATTGAATTTCAGACCAGTATGATATCAAACATAATCATAATCTAGTAGCGTATACTGGTCAGTGACTCAATCGGCTCCTTTAACAGCCAATGAAAATTTATGGTACGAAAGTAGTAATTACAGCAAGTAAAAACAGTGAAAGGTCACTCAGTTTATGTATAGCTAAAACTCCTGACAACAGACGGATCACATCTTTACATCCATTATCTTCACTTAATTATGTTTACCTGTTGCTTTGCCACTCGGCGCAAACAGCAATGAAAAGAGTAGCAGCAAGCTGCTCTGGGTTTTATTTGCATTGCGTAGTAACAGGAGGACGAGTGAGTTCTTGCATGTTTGAGTTCGGTTCAACAATAAGTTGTGAGATCCTCAATGTTTGTCACCCAAAACAATCTGTAGAAACTGGTCGGATAGTGTGAGATGACTTTAATTTGTCAGGACTTTTAAGTTGTATAGTGTGTCCAAGGCTTAAGAAAGAGCGAGAGAGACGAGAAAGGTAGATTTAACTAGTTAACGGTAAATTAGACAAGATTTCACAGTTTAAAAGAACATTTGTAATGTTATTCTCTGTTTACGCTCATAGCCAGCTAGCCTTGTTGTTGTTGTTGTTGTTGTTGTTGTTGTTGTTGTTATTATTATTATTATTATTATTATTATTATTATTAGGGTTCAAGCATGCAATGCATTGAACCCTATTGAAATTGTCAAGATTTTTCTTATTATTATTATTATTATTATTACTATTATTCTTTTTCTTCCCTGAAACGGAACGCACAGCCCAAACCGTAAGTCCTAGAGACACCAAACTTGGTCAATAGGTAGTAGTCCCTCCCGCTACTCAGGCACAAGAAATCAGCCCAGTCGGCCACAAGGGGGCGCTACAGCGAAGGCCAACACGTTTGGGTCTATATCTCCTAAACTAGATTTTTGCCAGACAAGCCATATTTTTTTCCTGATTCTTTGGGTCCAAATAAACCATTTGGCTATTTTGATTATTTAGCTCCGCCCACTTAGATTTTTCGCAATACTGCAAAATAAGCGAAACCTACTTTTGCGAACTAGTCCTACAATTTTCACCCGATCCTCAATTTGGTGTCAAAATTCAGAAGAGCCTGAAGGTCAATAATTATCAAAAACATTTTGAGTTTTCCATACAACATGGCTGCCATATGCAAATGAACCCTTCTGAATAAATTCAAAATAATTCAGAATTAATTGAAAAATCTGTAACTCAAGAATCCTTCAGCCAAAAAATTTCAAACTTGACTGGCCATGTCAGTAGCCCATTCTGAGGTAGCCATTCGATTTTTAGTGCGCATAAGTAATTAGGGGGCGGAGCAACAAAAACAGGGCATTTTCTCTGCAGCCGTACATCCTATCAAGCTCAAACGTGGCATGCAGCATCCACTCGCCATTCTACAAATGTCCATATAAGGACATTTGCATACATCGAAATTTGTGGTCGCCATCGGCCAATAAGCATTCAGCAGGCCTTTTGACAGGCTTAACATTGACCAATCATGATGAAACTTGACTGGTGTCTATATGTAGCCACTTTCTAACAACCAGTCGAGTTTCAAAAGGTTTGACCACTGGGGGCACTATTTAAAAAAAATTTACATATTACATGTTATTACTATATTATTACATTTTCACCAAAAGCCTATTGTACTACAGTATGACAGTTTTGCCAATACATGTTTATTACGAAACTGCATAGTTTTTTTGTAATCGATAACTGTTTGAAAACCATACTTTTCGAACTAGTCTCTGGATTTTGATCCAATCTTTTCAAAATTGGTCTAGAACGATTCTTTGGCATCTCTAGGTAAATAATTATCAAAAACATTTTGAGTTTTCTACTCAGGGTCATGTGGATTAATCACTAAATTCCTGCATACATGGCTTTCTTAGCTTGATTAGATATAATTCATCAGTCATTGGTCTGATCATGTCCAAACTTTGAGTATTTATACAAATTGAGATTCTAATAGAGAATGCCAATTTTGGTCCAGATTGGCTTTTGTAGGCGCTTCAGCACTCAAACACTGAAAAATCAATAAAAATGCTATTACAATGTTATTACAAGGTCAACATATAAACAATTGGTGCCATGTGACTCTGTTTAATTACATGTTATGTCAAAAATTGTACAGCTTGTCTTTTATTTTGGCTTATTCATTCAAAGATTTCACTCTACCAAGATTTATTATACAAAAGCTTGAGGTCTTTTTAGGCTTAATGGGCTAAACCTGCAGGAGGGCCCGTACTCCTGTTGCGTGCTTGAACCCGCTCATTGCCGCTTGCGGCTATATTTATTATTATTATTATTATTATTATTATTATTATTGTGAAATAATGGTCTGGCTAACCTATCACTAGCATTTGTGAACTCAATAATAATAATACAGGTAACAGTTACTTTGGTAAGCATCAGATTTTTATATTGGGAGGATTACTTTTGAAATTTTCCTTTTAGTACCTTTTGATACGCATCCCCCAGTTTGAGGATCAGCCAGCACTGCTGAAAAATCCTAGCGGAATCACTAACTTTCAACTCTTCAGTTGAAGTATCATAGAAAACATGACACTGTTTAATTCTGTGGTGCCACAGCTGTATACAAGACAATTTTTGATGCATGCGTTTACAAAGAAGTTAAATGTTGGCTTTAAAATGTTAGTGAATCCTGTTCGGTTGCATTAGGAATATGTCTGTCAAATGCCAAATCTAGTCTGTTTTAATGTGTGAAAACCAGGAACGTAATGATTATTTTGAGAAGGATGTTTACTGATGGCAGTACCATCTTCTGCATTTCTTGACTTGTAGGTGTGAACTGCGCACTCTCTGCAGCCCAGAAAGACGAGCTGGTTTTGGAGGGTAATGATATTGAGCTGGTGTCAAACTCAGGTGAGACCTTGTCTTTTGTTCATGCTAAAAGACCAAGCATTGCAAGAAGCACCATCTTGACCATACATTTTCCCTATTCTTTGGTTTATTCAGATTGCCATATGGTGAATAAGGAGGTGCAATGGTGCAATGTATTGACAGCAGATGCTATTTGTCTTTAAATGGAAAAACTTTTAGTCTGATACTGGACTTGCTGCTGTTAATAGCAAGTGATAATTAAGTGTCTTGTATTTAGCTTTTGCATGCATTTAAGTGATTGGTCCAGCAGTGTCCAGTCTTACGCACAAAAGGCCAGTGTGGCTGCAGGTTTTCCCTCAAAACAAGCTGGAGCACACCTGATTCCCCTTGTTTAATCGGTTGGTTTCAGTCTTCAAACTGCTGATCAGGTGATCTGATTAGTTGGAATGAAAAGCTGCAGCCATATTGGCCCTTTATGAATAAGATTGGACACCCTCGGAGTAGTTGCTAGTGCAAGGAATGTCGCTTCATTTTAACTCCAAATGCCACAGTAAGTCTTTGCACAAGGCTCTCGTTGTGCTTTTAGATAAGTTATGTAGAAATTTTACGGTAAATGAAATGTAGATTAATACTTGTTAATGGTTGGTCATTGTTGTCAGTCATTGTTGGGTGGCCCAGAAATACCTTTTGTAGATGCATCTTTAATGAAGAACCATAAACCTGTTCAATGAGGTGTTCTGCGGTCACTAATTGCAGGTGAACATTTTACGTAGGAGCCAGAAGTCAATATTTTTTCAATTGTACCAACCATGTTATAGTGCTTGTATCAAATCTCAAACTTTTTTCTGTCATTGTTCCTTACAGTTTTTCAATAAAGCTGTGTAAACATTGTGGTCACAGATGATCTGTTTAGAAACTAAGTATTTCTAAAGTTACATTGCTATCCTGGAGCATCCTGTTTGACAATGTTATGTTCAGCAAGAGGGCAGTCCTATAGGCCCACTATCCTCCCCATTATTGAGATAAAGTGGGTGTATGAAAACAGAAATGGCACTAAAATATCCACAACAGTGGGCCTCCAGGACCAGGGTTGCCAAAGTGTTAGTGTTCTACTTTGCTCTGAAAAACTTAACATGCTTACCCTTCTGACTATGTAGCCCCTACTTGTGTGTGTGCATGTCTCTCACCACCCTAGTGTTTCTTGTTTCAGCGGCCCTCATCCAGCAGGCAACGACAGTCAAAAATAAGGATATCAGAAAGTTCCTGGACGGTATCTATGTGTCTGAGAAGGGGACAGTAGTGGATCCAGAGGTGTAGAGGACACAAGGTTAGAGTGGGTCTGTCGTGTTGTTGGGGCTGGAACACATGGCACTTTCTTTTCATCGCTTTGTGTTTTCTTGGTCCCTTTCTCACTGTTCTCTCTTGCTCTGTTGTGGGACCTGCTGAGTTTTCTTTTTTCTCCTTTACTCTTTGCTTTTCTTTGTTCTGTTTTTGTTTTGTGTTCTTTGTGTGCCAAGATTTTTCTGGGGATTGACAGTCTTATGTGATAAGGTGGTTTTTGCCTAGTTTAGGCGTTTTACCTTGACATATTAAAACAGTTTATTTGCAGTTTGACTAATTTAGCCACATGAAAGCTAACATGCATCACTAACACCATTGTCCCTACTTCCAGCTTTAATACTTTTTGTGCATGTCTACACTTTACTACTTTGCAAGATTTAATCTTGGAGGTTTTATTTAGAACTGGACAATGTAGTGTTTTTTTTTGTTTTTTTCCCCCCCCCCCTCCTCCTTTCTCTTTCAGTTTGCATAGTCTCTATCAACTCGCCTATCCAACCACCTTGTACCTTATTGTATCTTATTTCCTGTTAATATGTTCCTTTCTCTCTATTAGCTGCGCTTATCCAGCAGGCCACCACTGTATGGAAGAAGGACATCTGGAAGTTCCTGGATGGAATCTGTCAGTGAGAATACCACTGTGGAGGAGCAGCCAGATAATTAACAGCATCTGTCCTTGTAAAATCTGTCAATAAACTTTTTTTTTCCATCTACCACTTGCAATTGAAGTTGTTTGCATCTTCATTTCAGCAAATACGGGACCAGGAATTTCATTTAGTTACATAATGATAACCTGCAGAAAGCTTGCTCTTGTCTTTAAATCTGAAATGGTGTGCTCTTTAAAGTTTCCCTAAGAGTGGCACGATTACTTTGATTGGCAGTAGCAATGCATCAAAGCTTGTGGGGTTAGAGTACATCTCTCGAGCACATAAACAATTATTCAAGTGCACATAATCATGCAGTTGCAAATATGGATACTTCATTAGAAGGTATAGATTAATTAGAAGTTATGGGGTTACTTAATGTAGCATGACTTCTCAGCTGGGTGGCTTGAGCCTAAAGTGAGAGCTGCCCATGAGTTTGATATTGAGTTGAAATTAGTGTTAATTGAATAGTACTGTTGTGTAATACGTCAAGTGAATTAGGGTTGTAATAAAATCAAAGACATACAGTAGAAAAAGCATTAATATGCATTGAACAAAGAATCTGGGCACCTCTTGGTGCATGCAATGCCAGATTAAAGAGTGAATGTCCATGCCTTTTTCTGTTCCTTTAAAGTTACTGAATGTTTAAAACCATTCATTCATGTTTTGTTACCATTTCCATTCAATCGCTAGTCTTTATTAAACAGGCTATTTTTGTTTTGTGCCTTTATGACTGATGTATGTAAATAAGCTTTGTTATGATTGCTCCATTGTATTGTGCCTTGTTCAAAAAACGGTTGTGGCTGAAACACTGATTATAAATAAATGAATTTGTAGAGGTAAACTATAGACTGGATAGGCTCTATCCGGTCATGTGCATGCACATGGCAGTGACATAAAAAATGGTGTTTGATTTTTAGTTTCTATATTTCTAAAGTGTATGGACAGGGTTGTGAACAAAACTAGCAGTGTTTTCCAACTATCTCAAACAAATATTGGGGGGGGGGCTTTTTCTTTAAATCTCAATAGAAGGCTGTATCCCAGTATTAATAGCCACAGTAGTACATTAGTGAGCTGCTTTAGTTAAAATTATTTTTTTTAATATACTCATCAAATGTTGCACATTGCCCCATATTTCTAGTCAGTGGAGCAATTGAGGATTCCTTATTTCAATAGTAAAGAAAAATGTATGTTATTAAAAATAAATATATGCAATAAAAAAAAAAGAAAATATTTCTTAAAATTATTTCTTAAAATATTTTCCATATGAAACAATGCATATTAAGACTACACAATTCATATCATATAAAGTCTCTAGACAATTAGCTATTGTAATTTAGTTACAACGGGGTACAATATTTTCTAGCTTTCCATAAGAAACTACAGGAATGCACTTTATTATAGAAGCATTTTACAACGTAATAGAAGTCGTTTAGCTTCTTATAATACTGCTGTTTATTTTTGTCAAGCTTATTTCTACCAGTACATAAACAAATGTGTCTGAAAGATACATACAGGGCCTCGGACGAAAAATGCTGTAAACTAAATATTTTTTTTAAATACGTATGGATATTTTAAAGTATTTCTAAGGCCAGAGACGAAATGTTTTACTTGGACCACATAGTCAGAACAGAAAAACACAATCTGCTCTAGTGTCCCTTATAACAGCTTATTTATTGCAGTGGTACAGAAAGAACCCGTAAAACAAAAAGTTAGAAATAAAAATAAATTTGAAACACAAGCAATTTTTGGCATTTTTCACTCTCCGCTGCGCGCGCTCGACTTCGGCGTCATCACGCAGCGCCAAAACTTGGCGCCAAAGGCGAGTGTTTCTGTGCGCCTGCAAGAACGACCACAAAAGTTCATGATAATATTTAATATGGTGAGTTAATTTGTTAAGATTTTCATCGTCCAGATAACGATAATTGTAATCATATTGTACCTCTCCTGTGTGCTTAGCGGTGTGTCAGAACTATTCAAATCCGTTGTTGTAACTGTTGGCGTAGAACACAACAAGCTAAAGGCGAGTTACATATAAAGTTCCCTCAATATTTACAAACTCTCAAGCACTCTCTCCATATTGCTCACAGATAAACAAGATATTTAGCTACGGTTTTGCACTGCGCCCTGAATGTCAGCTAAACCTAGCCGTGCATGTTGGAAATCTATGTGGCGCTATATCAGCTAACTTAGGTTAAGTAAGTAAACGCACTTTCCAGCTTAGGCGCTAGCCAGCTGCACAGATATGATATCGGAGAGCAAGCCATTTGGAAAGCATAGGTTAATTTATTTTGCATCTAAGTTTCATGCGCATCTGTGATGTGACTGATATTGTCCATTGTTTGGGGCCTGCTGTCGAATTAGAAAGCTGGTCAAGCTCTCCGAATATAGCTAGTGTTACTTAGCAATAAGGAAAGCACTTGTCATCTATCGTGTTTGGTAGCTTTATTTTTTTTCCAAATCCGCAGCTCGAGTTTGAGTCAGCGTCGCCTGCAACATCTGTGTTTCACTGAATGTACTGATTACTTTGCACAAAAGTATCCTCTTTCATTCTTTGGCAGGACATCCGCAGGTTCTTTGCGCCCACAAAGGTCACCAAAGCCACAACAGGCAGCAGCGGCACTGACGAGGAGCTGAAAAATAAAAAGAAAGCGTCTTCCAAGGTCTAGCTCAGTCTTTACACGCTTAAGTAGCAGCTAATGCTAGTGGTCTCTATGTGTACATGGAGTGCATGACAGTCTGCCTTCTTATGTACACTCTCTCTTTCACTTTCTCACTGTGTCTCTCTCTCTCTCTGTCGCTCTCTCCCCCCCAGGTCATAAGCCCTAAAAATGATGAGAAGCGACCAGCAAAACGGAAGAAGAGAGTAATTGCTGATTCAGGTGCAGCAGATATATTGATTTTATTAACTTGTTCATAGGACTGTAGAGTTTAACCCCCGTTTATTGTGCGCATGACAAAAGAACTTTTGAACAATTTCGAATTGTTTGTTAAAGGGCCCTTATTCTACATTGTTGCGTTTGGTTTTTCCTCTGCTGTCCACTTATAACATGTGGGTTTATGTAGCAGTCATGATTAATTTTTTATGTGGCCATTTTCCAACCTCTCTTCATACTTTAGAATTAAACATACTATTTTGTTACTGTTCCATTATGATGTGACTGATCTCTGTTCTGATTGGCTGCCCTGTATTGTGCATTATTCAAAACGCAGTCCTGGCTGAAACACTCCTTATAAAATCAGTGTGAATGAGCAGAGCTAAACTGCTGTAGGCTGAAGGGGTGAATATATGTTAAGATGGTTTTCATCATGCAGGAACAATGAATTCAAAATAAGCTGTTATCACAACATAGTTTCCATAAACAAGGTGTATGGACTGGAGAGTGAATGGTACTTTCAGTTTTAGCAAACTTCATCAAACTGTCTGAAAAATACATAAATAAATAAAATATTTTTTGTGTCATGGGCACTTTAAAAGACAACTGCACTGTGTTCCAGTCACATTATGACCTGGCAGCTTTGGAAGTGTTGATGAATGCAGAAGATTTTTTGCAACTCTTCCATGATGTGGTTAATGACATCATGTGCTCGCTGTTCCTCTTTCAGACTCTGATGAGGAAGAGGAGAAAAAAGAAAAGAAAGGAAAGAAAATCCCAAGAGAGAAGACCGCTACATCTGGAAAGAAGGACCCCATCACTTATGTTTCTGATTCAGGTGAGTGAACCTTCGGAGAGTACAGCTTTCATCACAAATAGAAGTACACAAAGGATGTTATCTGATCACCCGATATTGATTGATGATATGAGCTGATATAATGGTTGCGAAGATTTGTAAGTGCAGCTTTTTAATTAGGTCTGAAATTTTGGCACAAAAACTAACGTACAACGTGAATTCATAAGGACCGAATTTTGAATAGAAATTTAACTGTGGCCCCACAGTTTTTGTCCGAACTTGACCTGACCCATAAAAGTTTTGAGTCTGAAACCGACCCTAGCCTAAGAGGACTCTGTCTGAAACTGACCCAGGCCCTTTGTCACCTGAAGTGCCAAAAACCAGATAGTTCTAATACTTGGGCTGGTTGAATTACTGTGTAGCGATGGTATCAGCACTCATTAGATCACAGATGAAATCATGGGCCAGATAGAACACTAATATTTAGAAGCTTATAAAATGCAAATTTTTTAGCCTTTTTTTAAACTTGAAATAACCTCATGCCAGTCCTTGTAGAGATTTCCAAGCTAGCATTATTGCTCACTTCCTCACCATTAGCACAGCATGTTACATGCATCCAAGCCTTTACCCTGAGATTTATGTTATAATATTAAAAGAGAACTTGTGAGAAATAAAAGCTTATTAGCAGAATTTTCTCACTCCTTCATTCTTCCCCCAGATTCGGATGAAGCATTTATGTCATTGAAGAAGTGCTCCAGACCTAAAGAGAATGGGAGTGGCCATAGTAAGAAACAGTCTGACTCGAAGGAGGTGAAAACGGCTCCTCTTAAATCACCAGTAAAGCCGTCTGCAGCTGGGACCAAAGCAGAGGTGAAGAATGTGCGTAGTCCAACCCCACCGAAACCAGCTGCATCCCAACCCAAGCACACTGCCACCTCAGCCGCCGACTTTTTTGGCAGCTCCACCATCCATAGATCGGGGAAGAAGTTGGTGGCCAGTGCCAGCACCAAGAGGAAAGCAGTGAGTAGACGGAGAGAGCCTGTGTTGGGGATAGTGATGCATCATTATTTTTTATGGCTGATTCCAACTTCTTAAAGCCAATTTAGCTGATGCCGTTTTTTTTCGTACGTGTTTGTAGTGCTGTCTGTTCAGCATATAAATAACAGTGTTTGGTCTTTAACAGCTAAACCTGAGGAATGAGTTCCCTATTTAAATAACATTAAACAATTAAAGTGCTAAACTGAAATAAAAGGGGCAACAGAATATTCAGTACAGTGAGGCATGCATAATTATTCTAAGACATTTTGTATAGCAGCAGTATTCAAATACAGTGAGTACACTTACTTGCCTCACATTATTTACCTAATAAAATTGCAACACTGATCTGTCCAAATAAAAATAATAAATTGGAGTTTTATGCAAACAATCTGCCCATTCCATTTATGCATACTTAGTTATCAACATTGATAATTAATTGAGCTGATATTGTTTGGCATTCTTTAAAAAACAAAAAATGTCTTGACTCAGGTCACAGATCATAAAATCTTTGAAAGATTATATAAAATATTCTATTAGTAATAACAGCACATTTTCAAACTAGGGAGTGTTCACAAACACAATATCAATATGTGGCAAAAAAGGCATATTAAAGGGTGTGTCAATCAGGCTCTTTTTCATACTGTAGGGCACTAGTAGAAGAATTTAAAATGTTCATTAGCACCATGCAAACAGCCAATAAATTATTACCGTTTCTTTAGGATGATTTATTTTAATTCAATTTAGCAGTTTAATCTGATCAGGTAATATTGAAGCTTCGGTGTGTATGCATATGTGTGTAAGTTGTGAACCATTGGACTAGTTAAATTTTTTCCAACATTTTCCAGTATTTCTTTTTTACTTTTTAATATTTTCTCAGTAATGGGTGGAATAAGTTGAAATTTCCAGTGAGTTAAAATGTTAATTATTGGATAATAGTAGATTCAGACTGATGGATGTTGTCTCCTTCAGCCTACAGAAGACCCTGAGGAATCATGCAGTGATGAAGCCATTACAAAACAATTACAAATGGACGAGGACATGGAGGTGAGTCAGATGCAATCACAGTCTATGTCTGACGGATACCATATAGGGATTGCGTGCAGTGTGAATGTATACTGGAAACATGTCTGTATGTTAGTTGGAGAAACAGATCCATGAAGATGAGGAGTTTGCGAGAACATTGGCCATGTTGGAAGAGGCCCCTTTGGCTAAAAAGGTTAGTAATTGTGATGGTTCCTTATTGCTGTTCCTGACAAAATGTTTCGGCAGCTGACCTGACCCTCATTTCTAGTTCTGTCTTGACACTTTTTAGAAAGCAAGTGTAGTCTGCAGCCTGGCAGTGTATTTGTAACCTGTGCTGAAAGACTTGTACACTTCTTTTAAATGCAAATCATTGTTTTATCACTACAGTGCCCAGCATGCTTCACACAAATACATCGCGCAACCACTGGAAGTCAACGTTTATTCATATATCACTTTTTACAACAGGCATACCAAATGCGACAGTGGCAAGGAAAAACTCTCTAAGAGCAAGATGAAGAAACCTAGAGGGGAACCAATCCTTCTCTGGTCAAAACAGTAACACGAGTAATATGAACAGAGAATAAGGTTTTACCATTAGTATAGAATAATAAAATACAGAAAAGGGGAAAAGCAGGGGAAGCGATGCCTATGATTAAAGCCTCAGTCTGTGCAGCAGCAGTATCAGGAGAGTAGGTTCACGCAGGTGAGATTTGCACAGCGTTGTACAGTAGGAAGCTCCATGGTGGTCAAACTGGTCCATAAGGCAGGTGAGCAAGATCAAGGCAGATGAAGCAACAGCATCAGACCGCACAGGATGGGCGGTTGTTCAGCTAGGCAAAGAAACACACAGACAGTTTGTTCTGTTAGGAGTGAATGATTGCAGTGTTAAGAATGCAACAGTGTCACCGAGGCTTATAAATATAGACATAATATCAGACTTTCTAGCAGTAATGTTAACCATCGTGCTTCCTTCTGCATTATTCAGCAAGCATAATTAAAAAAAAACAAATCAAAACAAAAAAAAAAGGTTCTATTGTTACAAGCTTGACATTGTGACAATAAAAGAACCTTTTTTGGTGCAATATAGAACCCTTTTCAAAAAGGTTTTATATTGAACCATATAGATACACATTCTCCATCAATCTGAAAAACCTTTTCATGATGCAGAGAACCCCTTAAAGCATGCATGTGGTTCTTCGAGTGTTCATGGTTATGTATAGAACCATTGTATTTACTAAAGAACCCTTGGAGAACCATCTTTTTTGAGTGTGGCATTTTAGGACTCTGGTAGACACGATCTAGACAACAGATGTAGCGATAGCTACAGTTTCCATTTTGTGTCCTTTTTTAAAGGAATGGTTCCCTCGAAAATGTCCTCTTTACCCAAAATGTAGTCAGTCAGTCAAGATACGTTTGGTGTCTGAAGGTTGCTTTTTTAGTTTTGTGCTGGCTATAAGGCTAATGCAGCTAAACATCTTTTTAGGTCTCTGTTACCTTAGTTAGTCATGTATATTAACATTTTTTGGCAAACTATTTCTTCAAGATGTTTTGGATTTCAGTGTAATGTACTTAATTTCTCAGGCTCGTGTGGATACAGTGTCGCCCTCAAAAAACAGCTCACAAGGAAATGCTGCAGGCCCCAAGGCTGCCTCCAAGGGCCCCTCGCCAAAAAAGAGCCCCTTGAAGACCAGCTCTAAGCTGGCTCTGATGAAGAGGAGAGCTGACGAAGCGGGGGAGCAGAAGAACGAGAGGGATGAGAAAAAAAGCAAGATGGTCATCTCACCAAAGAAAGAGTCAGTTACGCCTACCACCTCAGAGATGGCAGCCACACCAAAAACAGGAAGCATTTCTAAAGGAACGTCCAAATCAAGACGCTTTTCTACTCCTAAGAGCGGCGGCGGCAGCAATAAGACCTCTCCAACAAAACCAGAGGTAATGCATTCAGCAGGTACAAGATGAATATGACCTGAGGATACAGAATCTCACAAAGCAGTTTTTTAAATGTTGACTAGGCTTTTTTTTCCCCATTTTGTTTTTTAGACAAATGTAATTTTCTTTTATTTTTCATTATTTTTATATTATTTTTTGCATATTCTAAATCGATTCATTTATTTAATTTTTATCATTTTGCTTTCTTTTGAGAGTTTATTTGTTTTGTTAATACATTTATTTATTAATTTATATTTTCATTTGTTGAACTTTCATTTTTGGTAAAGCACATTGTAAATTAGTTTTTAAAAAGTTCTATTACATTTTTTGTAGTGATTGAATGTATATTTATCGCATTGTTGTTGTTGTTGTTGTTGTAGAAAGGCTTCATTGCACAAAATATCTTTGCAAGTAAGAATATCTGAGATTTTCATGTGTTTCTCGTTAATCTTGCAGATTAGTCCTGAAGGCTCAGAGAAGAAGCGAGTGAATTCAGCAGCATTCCGAAACTACTTGAACAGAGAGGGTCCTCGTGCCCTGGGTTCTAAAGAGATACCACAAGTAACACAAACGCACACATTCATTATTTCTTTGATGTATTCAGACACTTTTGTTTTGATATTTAATGTGCTTCCAATGCCTGTATCTACAATTTACACACATAATGCCTTTTGACTTTGTACTTACAAATATAAACAAAAAAAAGCATGTTCATAAGTGTAAACAAAAATATATTCAAAAAATGAAATCGATGGGGAAAGATTAGGGGGAAAGACGCTGTTAAAAATATGCATGTAAATGTAAAGGTTAAAGATAAAAATAAATCTTTCGTACTGCAAAAATGAAAATGTTTTGGTGTCATTACAAAAGACCTTGGTTGGGAAGATTCTCCGCAAGCATAGTGAAGGTGAAGGAGGATCCAAAAGTTCTCAGAGATAACATTATTAAACACCTCGAATGGAAAAATCAACAGAGCCTTACCAAAGACCTTAAACTTCCTTGTCAGTACAATTGGTTCAATAATATGCAAGTGGACAGTTAATGGAATCGCAACTTATTGTTCCCAGGCAGATGCGCCACACAAGATTTCTCTACATGATCCCAGAATAATGATAAGGAAAGTAAGAAAGAATAAAGAGAATAATTCAGGGGGGCCTCATGACCTGGGGTTTCTTTTTAAACGGTGATAGAGCATTGCACTACATCAAAGGAAACACAAATGGAGTGATGTAGCAGGACTATTAGAGGAGAATTTAGTCAGCCAAAAAACGTGGATGATTTTTTTGTTTGTTTGTTTTTTTGTTTTGTTTTAAAGACAGTGACTCCAAACATACAGCCAAAATAACTCAAGACATCTTTCATAAAAAGGAAAATGCTTGTATGGCCTACTCAGTCTCCTGACTTAAATCTCATTTAAAATGTATTTTAATGTCCAACAGAGGCACTTTCATAACCTTGGTGAATTGAAGACAGGAGGAATGGGACAAAATTGAACTACAATGCTGCAAAAAAAGCAAATTGCTTCTTAAAATTGACTTTATCTATATTTACTGAGTACAAAGTCAAAAGCTGTTATGTGTTTTAATTTGAAGTGCACGTATGCACTGGAAGTATATTAAATTATAAAAGCAAAAGTGTCTGAATACTTGTTTTTCTCCCTGTTTAAATATGCAGTAATGTTTATGGAAAAGTGATTTTGTTATATGTATCTGTATCTTTTAGGGAGCCGAGAACTGTTTGGAAGGCTGTGTGTTTGTGCTGACGGGAGTTTTGGAGTCCATGGAGCGAGAAGATGCGAAGTCATTAATAGAGCGCTATGGTGGGAAAGTCACTGGAAACGTCAGTCGCAAAACCACATACCTGGTGTTGGGCCGAGACTGTGGAGCCTCCAAGACTGAGAAGGTCTCACTTTTATACTTCTCAACTCAGTCTTTCTCTGTTTTATTTTGTTCTTTAAATTATTTATAATTATTATTGTTGTTGTGTGTTGTTGCTGTTTTATTATTATTATTATTATTATTATGTTTCTTTCCATCCCCTTTCCATCCATTTCTTTCTGCTTGTTGTTAGTCTGGTGGGTTTTAACACTCAACCTGGTCAAGAACTGCCTAAATTGACAAAGGGCATTGTACATTGGAAAGGGCGATTTGACTAACATGCAAAGTGATCAACCACAGTCCACTCTTTTTGGGTGAAGTGTAGTGGCAGGCTTTTTCAAAGCATGTAAATAATTGCAATGAACAGTTTGATTGTTTTGATTTTGTTTGGTGCTTAGCAATTAAAAGTACAAGCCTTAAGTGGCCAAACTGGCTGATTAACCATTAGATTGATTATAATTTTTTATTATTATTATTTATTTTACTGCATCTGAAACCTTATAGAAATATATACGGTACTCTGTTAATCCAGATAGATGTAATTCAATTCTTACAATTTTTAATTGCTTATGTATTGGTATTGGAATTGATAGTTACATACATGAAAGGTATTGGGTATTGGCATCAGCAGTGTATATACATGGGCAAGGGGATAGCCAGTCAGAATGTACAAATTGGTAATCTTAGCTTAAAAATAAATAAGCTATTACGACATCTCTCTCTCTCTCTCTCTCTCTCTCTCTCTCTCTCTCTCTCTCTCTCTCTCTCTCTCTCTCTGTGTTTACAATTGTTTAGCAATGCATTGCATTAATCTCTGTTCTGTGGTGTGTGCATGTGTGTATTTCTCAGGCTCAAAGTTTTGGCACTAAGATCATAAGTGAGGATGAACTGCTGGAACTGATCCGAACCAAACCTGGCAAGAAGTCTAAATATGAGGTTGCGTCAGAGGCTGAGGTTAGAACACAAACACACACTGTGTAAGCTTCCCATTGGCTCTTTGTTGAGACAAGGTGAGGATAAATACAGGTGGCAGTGAAGGAGGCCAAACCTAAGAAGTTCTGAACTGAGATGAAAAGCACATTATGCTGTGGTGACCAGTCAAATGAAATGTCATGCACATAATCTAGCTACACCCTGAAATCAATGACAATTTAGCACTTAGATGCACATTGAGGGAGAGATAATTACTGTGGTTTAAAATACATCCATAGTTCTCTCAACTATTGGCACCCCTGATAAAAAGTATGTAAATGAGTAAAAGAGTTATATGAAATTCACTTTTTGGTGAATTAGCTTAATCTCAAACTAAAAATTAGAAAATACAAACTGTTAATCGAAGTAAAATTTTTCTCAACTAATAATTATTTTTCACAAAACCACCTGTGCAAGGATTATTGGCAGACTTGCATCTAATAGTTTGTAAAGTTGGAAAAGTATCTTGTAAAGTTGGAGAATACAGAGCAGGGAATTTGAGATTCTTCTTTAGCTCAGATCACAGGTTTTCTATTCAGCATAGATCAGTGGACTGAGATAACCATCGCAGAAGCTTGATTTTGTGTTCAGTAAACGTTTTATGTTTATAACATGCTTGCATTTTAGCGACAAAGCAGCCAGCAGTTGGTAAGGGAAGCAGTTTGCATTGCTGTTATGAAAATGAAGAGTGCTTGTCGCTCTTAAACACATTTTATGTGAGAATGCCTAAGAATCATTCCTGCATCATTCCAGAACAATTTTCCCAAAGCATGTGTCCTGTGTAAATTCCAGAGTAAACCTACTAAATCCAAGACTCCCCAAAAACCAAGAATGACCAACAGAAGCCCTGGCAAGAGCAGTCCTTCTCCAGGAAAGGTTTGGCCTGCTTCTGCCTCCACATCTGGAACTTCTGGAGCTTCCCGTCGATACTCTGTGTCTGAAGTGAAGAAAAGTCTGGAGTTTGGTAATGCCACACCTGCTACGTCACAACCTGCTGCAGAGGACGATGGAACAAGCTTGCTGTGGGTAGACAAGTACCGTCCCCGAAGTCTAAAGAATCTGATTGGGCAACAGGGAGAGCAGAGCTGTGCCAACAAGCTGCTGAGATGGCTGCAGAACTGGCACAAACGTCAAAGTGGGAACACAAAATCAGCAGGTCAGTATACTTTCAATATTAACATTTTTCCAAAATATAAATGTGTGTGTGTGTGTGTGTGTGTGTGTGTGTGTGTGTACACCGCGTTCCAAATTATTATGCAAATTATATTTTTCTGTCGATGCATTTTCCTAAATGGTCGATGCAAATGACAGTCAGTATAATTTTAAAGTTATCAAATGTTGGAGTATAAATCGAATTTTATTGAACAAACCTCCCAGTGACAACAGTATTTTTTTCAAAATTAAAAAAACTCAAAATGCACTGTTCCAAATTATTATGCACAATAGTTTCAAAACATTTTATAGGTTGTAAAGAACTGCAAATTTGTTGAATTTGCAGCATTAAGAGGTTACATTTACTAAAATCAAAAGCCGTTTCAATCAAAAACATCTCAACAGGCCAAGTTACATGTTAACGTAGGACCCCTTCTTTGATGTCAACTTCACAATTCTTGCATGCATTGAACTTGTGAGTTTTTGGAGAGTTCCTGCTTGAATTTCTTTGCAGGATGTCAGAATAGCCTCCCAGAGCTGCTGTTTTGATGTGAACTGCCTCCCACCCTCATAGATCTTTTGCTTGAGGATACTCCAAAGGTTCTCAATAGGGTTGAGGTCAGGGGAGGATGGTGGCCACACCATGAGTTTCTCTCCTTTTATGCCCATAGCAGCCAATGGCACAGAGGTATTCTTTGCAGCATGAGATGGTGCATTGTCATGCATGAAGATGATTTTGCTACGGAAGGCATGGTTCTTCTTTTTGTACCATGGAAGAAAGTGGTCAGTCAGAAACTCTGTATACTTTGCCGAGGTCATTTTCACACTTTCAAGGGACCCTAAAGGGGCCTTCCAGCTCTCTCCCCATGATTCCGGCCCAAAACATGACTCCGCCACCTCCTTGCTGACGTCGCAGCCTTGTTGGGATATGGTGGCCATCCACCAACCATCCACTACTCCATCCATCTGGACCATCCATGGTTGCACAGCACTCATCAGTAAACAAGACTGTTTGATAATTAGTCTCCATGAATGTCTGGGCCCACTGCAACCGTTTCTGCTTGTGAGCACTGGTTAGGGGTGGCCGAATAGTAGGTTTATGCACAACTGCAAGCCTCTGGAGGATCCTATACCTTGAGGCTCGCGGGACTCCAGAGGCACCAGCAGCTTCAAATACCTGTTTGCTGCTTTGTAATGGCATTTTAGCAGCTGCTCTCTTAATCCGATGAATTTGTCTGGCAGAAACCTTCCTCATTATGCCTTTATCTGCATGAACCCGTCTGTGCTTTGAATCAGCCACAAATCTCTTCATAGTACGATGATCACGCTTAAATTTTCGTGAAATATCTAATGTTTTCATACTTTGTCCAAGACATTGCACTATTTGATGCTTTTCAGCAGCAGAGAGATCCTTTTTCTTTCCCATATTGCTTGAAACCCGTGGCCTGCTTAATAATGTGAAACATCCTTCTTAAGTAGTTTTCCTTTAATTGGGCTCAGCTGGCAAACTAATTATCACGGGTGTCTGAGATTGATTCCATGAGTTTAATTGAAAAACAAAAAATTAAATCCTTGACACTTAAATCCAATTTGCATAATAATTTGGAACACGGGGTGTGTGTGTGTGTGTGTGTGTGTGTGTTTTTTTTTTGTACATATATATGTATATGTATGTATGTATGTGTATATGTATATATATATAAATAATATATAATATATATAATAATTATTATTATTATTATTATTATTATTATTATTATTTGTCTCCTGTTATTGGTTTCTCTACAGCTGCAAGATTTGGTAAGTTTGGGGGTAAGGATGATGGTTCTGGCTTTAAGGCTGCTCTGTTGTCTGGACCTCCTGGTGTTGGGAAGACCACTACTGCTGCCCTTGTGTGTGAGGTTAGTTGCAAATATACAGAGAATGTCTCAAAACTGTATTTATCTTCATAAACTGTCGTTTGTCAGAATCAAACTCAAACACAATTTGTCAGTTCGTTACTTGATTACTTGATTCACATGCATGTATTGTTGCACCTGCCTGCTTCAGCCACAAATCCTGTCCAAATGTGCCCAGAAAATCTAGTGTGATTCTTGCCCACAACCCACTCAAAACCTAGTGCCATTTTTGCCCTCTTTCACTTGCTTCAACCACATGCAGTGCCCACCCACACCCACCTGTTTGGGCTGTCTGTGGTCCTTCTGAGTTTGCCGTAATCTGTTTCACTGGTGTAGGACATCGTTCATGCTGCGACAGGGCAGAACAGCCCTTAGACCAATGATCAGTGTTGCAAATTGGAAGTAAATATTTTGTATATTTTAGTCTAAATGAAACTGTGTAAACTTGGCACCACGCAATGAGCTTTGTATCACGTGACGACATTGTTGACAGATAAGCGTGCAGCACTTCAGCCAAGCAAAGAAATAAAAAAAACAAAACAGCAGTGCAGCTTAGCCTCGCTGCTTTTTTATCTGTGTCAGCATTATGTTATTACTTGATTACTTTAGATGTCAGTTGAAATGAGCTTAAAGCGACAGTAGATGCTGAGGTATGCTGTGACACGTTAAAAAGCCAAAACTATTTTCTTGGGAAAAATCAGATAGATTTTGTGCAAAAGTTTTTTGCTGGATAGTGTATAGCGTCATGTGTTTTGCAGCTTGTGATAATTACTAGTATGTTTTTTCTTTAGCACACTTTCAACTTATTTGTTGCTTGCTCGTCCCCTTCTAAAAGCAGTCAGTGATTGTCCAAGCATGCTCCTCCCAGCCATAATGCCCCCTGCATGGGCCTGCGACCTGCTGGCTGACCACAGTACCTCAAAATGAACTCAGCCCACATATTATTTCACAGATCATGTGGGACATGTAGGTGAGCCAGAATGAAAATGATTTGTATGTGTGTGTGTCACTGTAGGAGCTTGGTTACAGTTACGTGGAGATGAATGCCAGCTGCACCCGCAGCAAGAATAGTCTGAAGGAAGTGATTGCAGAGTCCCTCAATAACACAAGCATTAAGAACTTCTACACAGGTACTTAACCTCATTAACTCTCAATTGAAAAACAGTTAGTAAGCAGATTTAGATAGATGAAATTACATTAACCATTCTCTAAACCAGTGTTTTAATGTACAAGGTGGGGTGGGGTTGGGGCAGGGGTCTGTGGCCCACCTGTATGAAAATTTTGGGATCGATACTGATGTTAAAGAGAATAAAACTTCCCCTAAGCAGTAATATCGACTGATTTTAGTTGATAGTTTAATTGAACACTGCTTTACTGATAGGATTCAGTTCTCAATTGTCACCCCCAATTGTGTTCTCTTAGATAGTCACAAGTCTTAAATAATTTAAATAGGGTTAAAACAAATGTTCAGTAATGTTTAAAAAACTTGATAATTAGTATATTCAAAAACAGAAAGGCCATTCAAATATCTAACATGATTACCACTTTTATGAACCCACAAACTTCCATGGAGAACCAAACATTTATCACGTCAAAAGTAGTACGCATTTGGCAGGTCTTCACACTCATTGGATGCTGGCTTGCTGGCTAGCATGTCCAGTTGCATTTATTACCCAGAATAAATGACACTGTGCAGAGCTTTAGGAAAATTATTCAGACTGTGCTGGGTGATATAAGTTTAGCATAAGTACAAGGACAGCTAAAACTTTTAGTACAACAGCAACACAACAGTAATAATAGTGAAAGCAACAGTAAGAATAAAAAAGTTTTGTTTTTATGTTACTATTCAATATTTAAAGTAAAACGAATAGTTTTAAAGTAAAAAGAATATTTGAATATTTGAGATTAAGTATTTAATAGAATATTCAAAAATGCAAATATTTTTTTTGCCGCTCTAAATATTGTTGCACTGGCAGTATAGCTACCCTTAATTTTTTTGCGGTTTAGGTTTCTGTTCATTATCTCTTATTTTTCTTTTGACTTCTTTATTTAAAAACTATATGTTATTTGTTGTTTTAATTCGTCACAGACAGTGACATTGTTTTTTGAGTTATTTCACATCAATGCCAATTTATTGAGTCTACTTGCATTGATAAAATGAGTGTACCATTTAAAAAAAAAAAATTCAGATACTTTTGTTGATTAATAAACAGTATCACCAGAATGGTAAATGAGCCAGAGTTAGGACAAAAGGCTAATTTTCAACTATTGTCCCTGACCAAATGTTAAGATACCATAAAATAACTTGCGTTGCAAGTACAATATTAACGCTTAGAATAAGCATGTGATAACCCATCATACACAATAACAAAATGCACATCTAGCAAAATACATAAACAAACCTTCATAAAATAAAAAGCACCTACAAGCATTACAATCAGAATTACACACACATGACAGGGCATACGTGTGACGATTGTTTGTGAATGGATTTATAACATTATGGTATGGTAGTCTCATGCTAAAAGTTAAGGTTGGATGCATTTTTATGATTTTTTCATATTTTTGTGTATTGTTCAGCTTTTATATTTAAACATCAGGGGCTTCACATGTTGAAAAACCCAGCAATGGTGTGTCCAAAAAAAGTCGATATATTGGCATGGTATATTTTCCCTGATACAGATACACCGTAGGTCATCAGCATTGGATATTATCGGCCAGCGGATATATTGGGTGGACGTTAGAAATATGGCTACAAAAACAGAATTAAGCCGCAGCATGGTCTTAGATGGCAATAACACATTTTTGGGTTTTTGGTCAGGTACATCTCAGACAGTCAGTGATAAACATGTTCTTATAATGGATGAGGTGGATGGCATGGCAGGAAACGAGGACAGAGGAGGAATACAGGTTCGTCCTTTTATTTTTTTCACACATTTACATAGACTCACGCACATAATAACACTGCTGGTGTAAAAGGTAGAACACTTTATACTGTTAACAGTTTCATTTCAATCATCCCACATCTACAAATGCTCAAATTGCTAACAACCTTCAGAAAGTTGATAGGGTTAGTATCTAAAGTAAGTTAGGTTTTAGTTTGAGATTAAGGTTACAGTGAGTGAAGTTTAGAATTAAGGACAAGCTATGTTTAATTACACAGATAATTCAGTAAATGCATGGTGAGCGTCTACATTTTATGGGTAAAAGTTTGTGTTCCTTCTCTTTTACTCGGCTTGCTTTTTGATCTTTGCTCTCTGCCTTTGTGATTCCTGTAGGAGATGATTGGTCTGATAAAGCAATCGAAGATCCCCATCATCTGCATGTGTAACGACCGCAACCATCCAAAGATCCGCTCGCTTGCTAACTATTGCTTTGACCTGCGCTTTCAGCGCCCCCGCGTGGAACAGATAAAGGTAATGAGCTTCTCTGATCTTCTTTTGTCAGAGGAAACATTTGGAAAACCCTTCTGTGGCATTCTAGGACAGTTTTCGTGATTAATCTGTCGAAGTCGCTGTGTTGCCCAGTCCTGGTCTTGGAGATCTACCACCCTGCTGAGTGTATCTCTAGCTTTAATCCATCACACCTGATCTGGGTAATGAGGGCCTTCAGGGACATCTGAATAATAAAGCCAAGTGTGTTGGATCTGAAGTCTTGAGGGTAGTAGATCTCCAGGACCAGGATTGGGCACCCCTTCTTTAAAGGAATATTTCAGTGTTTTTAATCCTAACCACTGTCTGCCACATCTGTATCATATGTTTGATTAACTCAATCATTTTACCGTGTACATGGTTAAAGAACAGAAAACCTGTTTTAATGAACCAGTTGTCTTCTACTTTAGCTGTTTTTTTGAGTCAGCAGGTTTGCTGTTCTTTTGAAAATACTGTGATGTTTCTCCAAGAATGGCAAGCTTGTCAGTAGATAATGTAGACATTAAGCATGCAGTAACAGTGATTTTCAAGTATTTTTAGTAGTTTTTTTTATTTTTTATTTTTTTCTAGCTTTCATTGTTGCTTTCATTTTGTTCACATACTCCCCTCTCTCTAATCAATCAGGGTGCCATGATGTCCATTGCTTTTAAAGAAGGTTTAAAGATCCCGCCTCCAGCACTCAATGAAATCATATTGGCATCAAATCAGGATGTTCGACAGGTATTTTAAACAGCATACAACAACCATGTTTGTATTGTCAAACTCATCATTAGTGTTTTTAAAGCTAAATCACATCAATGCCAATTTGTTGACTCCACTTACACCTATAAAATGAGTCTACCATTAAAAAATTTAGTCTTTTAGAATTTGCTTTTAGCTTAAAGGCATCTGCCAAAATGCAATAATCTAGACAGGGTCCTTCCAGATCCTTAAAAAGTTATAAAACATCTTAAATTTAGTTTTGGGGCTGATTTCTTTCAGCACGGTCATCCAAAAGCCGTTACTTTTCAGATCGGAACTGAAGGTTTAAAAAGCTATTTGAATTCAGCTGTGGTTAAACAGCACATGTGAAGCAACATGGTGATGGTGCAGATAAACATCAAATTCAAGCTGATTTCATAGATTTAATCATATAGATTTCATGGATTAAACCTTTTATCATTTCGTGGAATTGTCACATTTGGAAGCAGCTAAATAACACTTCACATGTGCCTCATGGGTGCCAGGATGAAATTGCTGCTCCATTTAAGGTGTAACCGAAAATTGGAGTAAGAAGCTGACAAGTAAGAAGCAAATCTCAGTGGTGAGGTGTGCAGTGATGCTACCACTACCAATGAACTAGCATACTGTTTACCTTTCAGAATTGGTTGTTTAATACCAAAAATGTAGCTATGAGGTATATTAAATAAAGCTGTGACTGGGCTAGTAATGTTAGTTAGCTGAGCAGCCAGACGATTAGTGTTTACTTCTCTGTATCTCTGTAAGACTTCAGGTTAACTGCCTCTTCACTATAAATGTAAGATTTGTGTGATCCAATATGGATTTTTCTGGTGCTTAATGTTGTAAATAAAGTAATAATGAGGCAAACAAATATGCCAGTAGCTGAAAAGGCAGTAAGCTAACTAGATAACTTACTGAAATCTGCCAGAGGCTAAGGGGGGAAAAATGTCAGTAAGTTATCAAAGTTAAATCTGCCAGTAGCTGAACAAATTTACCATTTGTAAGCTGTACATGGGCTTCGAGTCACCTAAAACTTTAGACCTATGTAAAGGAACTGGCAGGCTCTCAAGCCACCAGCTGGGAAAAAGCCTGTAAATAAAAGAGCAGGTAATGTTGGCATGTTCAGATCATTACTTGACTTCTTGCTCATTTTATCATTATATAGTTGTTTAGCATCCCTCTAGTGTGGGTTAAGATCCATTCCTGTTTCATTTGTTTCAAAATGAAGCATGACAAGCCTGAAAAACCGCAATAAAACAAGTCTTTGTAAGCTTTCATAGTATAAATGAGTATTTGCAGCATGTAAACAAAGAACAAATCCTGTCAATGTGGTATTTGTTTGTACTGATAGGTAGTGTACACTCTGCTTTGTAGGTGATGGCAGTACATCTTGTGTGGCTGTCATACACATTTTAAACTAGAAGAAGAATGTGTTTATCCAGCTTCCGATTTGAGGGCTAGTTTGGCTGTACATACTAGAGGTGATTTGTCTACTGTGAATATGTCGGGTCTGGACATGTTCTATTTCTACCACCATGCAGTTTTATTTTCGTTAATGAGAAGGCAGTTATGTTAGATAATGTGCACTGAATATGTCTCTTATTCCAATTGAAAAAACTCGAGGTTTAGTTTGTAGATGTCTTACTGCAGTACTGGTATTATTTTTTTCTTTTTGGAGGTATTAAATTCTTAAAAGTCATTAAATTTGTACTTTTGACTTTTAGCAAGTCACAATTTAATCATATTACAGAGGTAGGCGAATGTCTTGGGAGTCGTGCCCAGTGACTCTTGCCCAGTTACACAGTGTGCATGCCTTGGTGGAGGACCAGCCTGGTTGGCTGCAGTGTTTTCCGCTATGCTAAACACAGAGTCTGTTGAGAACAGATCAGAGACACGTCTGTCTAAAATTGACTGTGGGAAATGCAAAGATCACGTCCACAGAATCTTCAGAAACCCCATAAAAGATTGCTTGCTTTTTTTTCTAATTGAAGCTTTAATGGTGGCTTTTTTATGGCATTTCTAATGTGTTTTCCCCCTAGGTTCTTCATAATTTGTGTATGTGGTCAGCCACAGACAAAGTCATGACCTACGACCAGGCAAAAGCAGATGCTAATAAAGCCAAGAAAGACATGAAAATGGTACACACTTATGCTCATTTACTATTGAATTTGTGTATTATGGAACACACAACCACACTTTCATACATGTGCATGGTTTGGCAACTCAGAATGGATAATACATGTGACTGTTATTATTGAATCTAATAAGTGTGTATTTGTACAGGGTCCGTTTGACGTGTGCAGGAAAGTGTTTGCTTCAGGAGAAGAAACTGCCCACATGACTTTGATCGACAAGTTAGATCTTTTCTTCCATGACTACTCACTAGCACCACTCTTTGTCCAAGAGAACTATATACATGTACGGCCAGCTGCGGCAGGGTAGGTCACGCACAAAAACACATGCGCATGTCAGGATGTGGGATCGTACATAAGTTCCATAGGTATTATATTAACACAATCGCCTTTATCATATAAATCATTAACAGTGAACTGGATTTTGTTATAACACCTTTAAAGGGCAGCAGTAATGTTTGTTTATTTGAGCTGGAGCTCTTGCTTGTGGAGCTAAATTTGTTCAAAAACAAAAAACTTTGGTAACATTTTTATAATAGCAGGCCCCTTTAAGGGTGCCATAGAATGCATTTATTCAGCGTTTCAGATTGTTCTGATGTCTACATAGAAGGTACATGACTGGTTGGGCTGAAAAATTCCCCAAATGTGGTTTTACATGCCTATGTACAGCCGTATGATTTGGCACTACAGTGAAGTGAGCTGTTTTTCCTTTTTTTTGGTGGGCTCATGAATAATCTGATGAGCTCTGCTCTGATTTGCTGGTGTACAGTGAGGCTCCATGATGGCTCACACAGAAGCAGCATGTCAAAATAGACAGACAGAAAAACAACATGAAACTGTAAATAAATAATGTAAGCTCTCATACTGTTTAGTTAGCTATGCTAGTTACTTGGAGCTTGCTAATAGCTAATGTTACCTATACTAGCTACAAAATAAATAGAGGTTTCAATTTAACTATTTAAACTTTCAATTTAACTTGACCTGGTTTCAACCTAAAAACACTGATAAAATCATGCAGCAGGGCTGCTTCTTACAGGTTGCAGTTGGGGTTGTAACGCTAGCAAAGTTGGAACTGCCCCTCTCTTCAGTGTCACATGCTGAGCGAAACCTGCTCGATGTTGTCCAAGGTTTCAGAAACCGTCCGGAGTAAAAAGTGCAGAGCAAACTTTCAACTTTGAATTGAAGATATCAAAGATCCTGTTAAAGATGTGGGTGCTGAAGTTGGCTTCTTATTTGCCAGCTTGTTTTGCAAATATTCTGTTCCACCATAAATGATGCTTCTCATGCCTGTACAAGCTGTAGCTCTGAAGGTGGAATGGAACATTAGATTAAGAAGCTGGCAAATAGGAAGTCAACTTCAGCCTTGTTTAAAGATGAACATCAGCCATGCCTGTTGACCTTGGTTGGGCCTTCTGAAAGGAAGTTGTAGGTTCCCTGGAAAGGGTATAAAAAGTACCTACATCCCCTTCACAGCCTGCAACGATACATTTCTGCACATAGGCCGCCATTGTCTTGGTGTTGCTCTGTTGCGGTATGTAAATTTTGGGGATGTAAATATAGTCAAGACTATTATGTAACAGCTTAGGGCCCCTAGTTTACCGTCCTCTTTTGCAAATGCAGGATTTGTATTTGATGGAGGAGAGAACAGTGTTTGAGGTTCATGATTAGTCGGTTGTATGTACCGAGCCCTTCTTATCAAACTATGCCAATGTAAATACACATTTGTACATTCTCTAGAGCTGGACAATGGGTATAGAAACAAGGAGGTATACCTAATAAAATGCTCAGTGAGTGTATTATATTAATGATTAGGTTGTTGTTTGTTAGGCCCTGTAATTATACAAGTGTTGCCTTTTAAATGTATCTGATTTTCCTTTGTTTTCTTGAACAATTGTTTCATTGTGGTGGTGGTGTTTAGGGGAAATCTGAAGAATCATTTGGTATTACTGAGTAAAACAGCAGACAGCATAAGTGATGGAGACTTGGTGGACAGACAGATCCGCTCTCGACAGTCATGGTCTTTACTGCCTACACAGGTAACACGCGCGCGCGCACACACACACACACACACACACACACATTGCGTTATGTATTATACAGGTCAAAGACACAAACATAAGTATTTATACTTTGTTCACTTGTGTGAATTGTATGTCTTGCGTGTGTGTATTTAATTTAGGCGATCTATGCCAGTGTGCTGCCAGGTGAGTTGATGCGGGGTTACATGAGTCAGTTTCCTACATTTCCCAGCTGGCTAGGGAAGTTCTCATCCACAGGCAAACACAGCCGCATCGTACAAGAGCTTGCATCACACATGAGTCTGAAGTAAGTATATGTACACACACACACACACACACACACACACACGCACAATATGAACATTGAATAAAACTCATAGTAGTTGTAGATTTATTATTAGTAGTATTTTTATATGTGGTACTACAGGTTCTATTTATCTTTTCTCCAACTTACTAAATATCAGAAAAACTAAGTATATTGATGCATATCATGTATTGTGAAAATGTCTTGAAGTGTCGTGATAATTTTTTTTGTGTTAGCACCTAACGCTACCTTCAAGGTACAAACGTTGTCCCTGGGGTGGTGCTGGTGCCTTTAGTTAGGGAAGAGAGTTGTAATATATTCTCTAGCAGTTATATTTTTTAAGTTGCATTAACTCCATACAAGGTCTTTTGACTCCAGGTTTTCAATTTGTTGTACTTTATGAGGGTTCATTTATGATGTTTTTTACCATGAGGAACTAAAATCTACCAGCTAATAAATGCAAAGGAGAGCAATATGAAGAAAAATAATTTGCATTACACCTAGCATTAAGAGAGAAATTGTGGTCTCAGATTAGAGCTCTAAAAGTAATAGAAATGGAATCTTGACAGCACTACTATGACTATGGCCAAGATTCTGTTCTGTATGGTTCTCGTTAAACGAGTATACAGCCCTGTACACAGCCATATATTGCTCTTTCTGTAGGACGTTGAGTAGTAAGGAGGCAGTGAATCTGGACTACTTACCCTACCTCCGCTCTGCACTGTTGGTGCCTCTGCAGTCACATGGTTCAGAGGGGGCCAATCAGAGTGTGAAGCTTATGGACAACTATGACATCATCAAAGAGGACTTTGACAGTATAATGGAGATCAGTAGCTGGGGTGGACAGCCTGACCCTTACTCCAAACTTGACTCTAAGGTATGTGGCTATATGTGCATTTTGCCTATACTGAATGTTCATTTCATAAAGCATGATTTCACAGTTAGCTTACCGTTAGCTCTTAGCTTATAAGGCCTAAGTCTATGTGGCCACCCGGGCATATCTTGTTATTTGTAACTGCAAAGTATTTATCCTATGTTTTATATCTTCTGATTCAGCACAAACATCACTGTCAGTAAGTGTTTTAGTTTATGCTCTCACCGGTGATATGTACTGCTATCCAGTTTACATCACATTTCTGTCGTTTCTCAAATGTTTCTGGCCTTGTGTTCACTCCCGTTGAAAAACATTTTTGTTTTTGTTTTGTTTTGTTTTGGGGTTTTTTTTGTTTTAGCATTTGTATTGGAGAAAGTCTTTTAGTAGTGTGCTGGTATGTACTAACACTAAAAAGGCAGACATGTTTTGAAATGCAGTGTGGGAGGAGCTCTAAAGGTAAAACCCTGTTTGATTGGATCTGCTAGATTGGATTTTTTAATCCTCTGATTGGCTGCTATGTGATCAGGTGAAAAATTTGTAGAACAAAAGGGCTGCTGTGTTATCGTGCACACACTGTAATTTTAAAGGGTGGTCAATACATACGACTCTGCTGGTATAGTGTAGATCATACCTGGGATTTCACAGAGATATAAGACACAGGAGGAAAAAAGAGCCCTGAATACTGACTGAGAGGACGTTTTGAGACAAGTATGATAACTTTAATGCATCTCACCGCTAGGGACCGCATGTTTTGACATTTAAATTGTCCAGTTTGGTTGGCCGGCACAAGATATGGAATCTGTCGGCAATTCACAATACTATCAGTCAACTCAAGCCTGTCATATAGCATTTTCCATTTAAAAAAAGCTCTATTTATGTAGCTTGTTCATATCTCATTTGGTTACTTAAGTTTAAATAATAAACTTTAGAAACTGGTTTCAAATGAAGTCAATCAAGATTAAAACAAAAACAGTTGCACAGTTGGGATTTATGGTGGGGTTTTTTTTTATCATTTTAAATTACTGTATTGATTTAATGTTAAAGAACAAAGTAGTACTCATATTTGCTTACTTAAAATTGAGCATTGGACATTCCTGCATTTATTTAGTTGGTTGGTTTGTTTAACTGAGACACATACCATCGGTATGCAGAACCAAAACATTTCTGCCAACCTGCTAAATCCTCTTTTCAGTGCACTATCCATAATGAGGAGTTCTTGTCAAATCTACATTACAAGTAATATGATTAATCTGTCCCACATTTCCTGTCCTTTTCTCTGCAGGTGAAAGCAGCTTTCACACGTGCTTATAACAAGGAATCCCACTTGACCCCATACTCGCTGCAGACAGTAAAGAAAGTTCGCAGAGGAGCCACAGATGCTGACCTGGGATTAGACCCAGAGAATGACCTCCAAGGTCAAGAAGATGAAGAGGAGGAGGAAGGTGTTACTGCTGATGCCATGATCAAGGTGAACACTGCAGTAGAGCTTTGCGGGTTTACCAATCACAATCCATATATCTATTCACTGGCCACCTTTTTAGGAACAGCACTCTAATACTGGGCAACCCCCTTTGGTCTCATAGCAGCCAGAAATTTTTGTGGTAAAGATTCAGCAAGGTGCTGGAATCATTCCTTAGAGATTATGTGTCATGTTGCCCTCATTTAATCACCTAATTGCCAGATTTGACAGCTGTACATTCATGCTGCGAATCTCCTGTTCTTACACATCCCAGTGTCCTATTGCAGTGGTTCCCAACTTGGTCCTCAAGGCCCCCCCAGACAGTCCTTACTTTTCCTGTGTGCTGCAAGTTGGGTCGGAGCAAAAATATGGACCGTCTGGAGTGCATTGAGGACTGGGTTGGCAGTCACTGCTCTATTGGATTCAGATCTGGTGACTGGAGACGTCACTGAAGTTGTGACATTAAAATAATGTTCTATTGTTTAGCTCAACATGTGCCAAGAAAACAATTCCCACACCGTTACACCACCACCAGCTTGAGCATCTGAATACTGTTGCTGATCATGTGCATCACAATGGCCATATTTTCCCCTTTTAATGGCTACTTGTAGCATGCTAATACATGATATTACTTAAGTGGTGGATCTCAACACAGCCTTGACATAAACACATTAGTGACATGTTCAAGCAAACATGTACCATGATTATTTGCTGTTTCTTTGTCTTCTGACTCTACAGCAAAAGAAAGCTAAAGCTATGAAAGAGGCCAAACAGGAGAGAGCGGGGGATCCTGGAAAGGGCAAGGGCAAAGGAAAGGGCAAGAAGTGAAATGGAGACTAAACTGAGAACAGACAGACGGACTGAAGGCGTTTCCTACGAGTGCCCACTCATTGAGCAACCTTGCTGACTGAAAGCTGGAACGGTAAATCAAGATAACAGTCAAAAAATAAGACTTGGCCTCCTTCAGTCTGCCCAAAGGTCAGTATTACCAAGGAATAAGGGCTGAGAGGGGTAGGCATTCGCAGCATTTTGTAACGGAAAACAAGAGGGTGCTCAATTCCTCTTCTTACACAGAGCTCTTGCACTGGATAACGCTCAGGAACAAGGACAGCAGAAACGACTGAGACCACAAACACATGCTCGTATTTACCAAATGAAAGTTATTTTGTATCTCTAAGCAAAAGAAAATTTCTCCCTTTTTAGTTTTTTCACCTGAACACCTTGGAAACGTTATAAGGTTACATATGCACTTTCCACAACTCGCATACTTGTGTGTTTCCTTAAGTCAGTACATACACAAATGCAATCTAACTCTGAACCGCTTCTCGATTAAGCTGTAAATATGTGCAGTTGAAGTTGGTCTTATTTGCTACTTGGTACATTTGTAGTCTGTGGAGGAAAAAAAATTGCTTTGGCTTTTGAATTAAGGCACTATTGAATACACTGACAGTGCGACTTAGTGGCCTGTAGCACATACTGTACATGACTTGTGATTTTCACCAAGCAATTAAAGAGTGTAATCTAATCTAGTGATTTTGTGTGTTCTGTGCTTAATTGAACTGAGAATGCATTTCACCTCTACCCATGTGAAGAAGGATTGACTTGACCTTAAGCTTGGCATCAGATTCAGGGATTCTGTCCTAAGTATTCTCATGACGTTTAGGACAGTCGCAACCCCTAGGACCAGATGGGAACTTGGCTTAATGATTTCTGGGATCTAAAAAAAAAAAAAATAATAATAAAAAATATGTGTCTAGTTTTAAGTTCAGACTATAAAGTATAGGACTTAAGAGGCTGAACAGAAAGCCATAATTAGGAACCGACAGAGGAATCAGCCAATCAATGTTTTGATTTACAAGAAGTGGGACCAATTTTGTGAAAGGGAAAAACATCACTCTAGGCCTTCAGGAAGGTAGATACATAACTGACTACAAATATAAGTGGTAATCTAACCACATTTGGAAGTTTTTGGCTGGAAAACAGCAGCTGCTCTAAGCCAGGCATTTTAATAGTCATTATAAAACTGCAACATACAAGGTAAGCTACATGTTAATATGCTGTGTTTTATCTGAAGCTTGTAACGATGGAGAAACACACTAGAATCCTTTTCGCATGCTGACAGAAATAAACATTGTAGAGGTGGATTTTTTGACATTTATAGTCCAAAATGAAGTTCTAGTTCTAGTCGTGATTCACCGCTGACAAAGAACCAGTGATTCCAGGCACTATATCTCATAATTGTCATGTGAATTGTGGGTGTGATTGTAGAAAAAATTTAGGGCTAAGAGCAGTCCTAGCAGATAAAACCAAGAAAAAAAAAAACCATCAAGAACACTTATAAAGAACAAAGAACACTCCTACCTGATATAACCCATGCTGAAATGAACTGAAAAAACATCAAAACTCGTAGAATGATATTTCAATGTAGCTTATCTTGAAAATAACAAAACCTGATTAAAATTACACTATACTAAATGGTTGAAATACAACTTAAACAATAATGTAAACTAAAGGAAACTCCTCCATTACACATTATGATGTGACTGCACCCCATGGAAGTTCTCACTAGTTCTTTTTTTTCTTTTTCTAGATGCATTAATTTGCAGTAACGCTCACTCTCATTTACTTAACTCACTCTCTTCTCATTGGATGTGTGAGTACAGGAACGCTGTTTGTTATTGGTAGAGAGCAAACTAGCTGATGCGCTATCTTCCCCTTAAAGCCAAAGAGAGATGTCATTTGAGAATGACATACTGAGAATTCCGCTACCTGATCATGGAGTGGTCCTCAGTTAAGACGGTCATAGGACCATTAGGATGACCATCGTTAGTAACCCCCATAAAGCTGGAACAGAATTTTAAAATATTCAGTCATATGTATTGCAAATCTGATATTTATTGAGATCTTTTCTAGTAAAGTCACACAGTTACAAAAAAGTACAGTACAGTTTTTAATATTATAATTCTTAACCATATTATTTTTTCCTGAATAACACTCTATATTTCTATATTCATGCAATCAGTGACAAAAACAAAACATGGTAGCTTAAAGTTGTCTAATCATACAGATATGGCAAATACAGGTAATATGTATGATTTTAAAGTGTCAGGGTTCTCAGAGAACAGTCAAGTAAAGCAAAGCAGGTTAATGCTGACAGCAATTCCAGCGAAACGGTTCTAGCAAGTTTATTTAAGTGAAAGTAACAGTTTAGTACTGCTATCTGTTGGCTTCTCCCACTGAACAGTAGAACTGTAAGAGTGAACTGTTAGAAGTAATTGCTACAGTTTTGGAAGCAATAGTATTTAACAACAGTATTTGAGCAAGATAGACCTTGCTTTTTAGCAGCATGAACATTTACACTGCAATGGAATATGTGTTATAAATGTAGCCTGACTAATATATCAGTTTGATGAAATCATCTGATATTGATGAGCAAAATCTTGGATAGTAGTGCCACTGAGGAACCCAATAAATCAACCCTTGTTTAAACATTACAGCGGTTCAGGCTGAACAGGCAAATCTAAGCACAAAACACATGGTTAAAATAATGATGTTAAAATATATCTAAACCTCACATTTAGCATTAGGATAACATAAAACAAACTACATTTTTGAAAAAGTTTAAGAAATGATCCGATTAAGGACTGAATCTGTTCAGTGAATAAAACGTTTACCTATAACACGTATAAAATTCAAATCTAAAATGATTCAAAAAGATTCATCCAATTTCAAAATGATTTATTTCACTTGTAAATCTTCACAGAACAATGCAGCAAGTTGTAAATGGTTTAAGTGAGCATTGTTTATTACGTAATTTTACCTCCTCTAGCTGTACGGATAACATCAATGCGATAGTCAGATTCATCCCATACTCGACTGAGCGTACTCACGGCTCTTTCAATGCGATTTCAGAGGTCATCCGGTGTCGTGGAACCAACGACGAGTGCTCTGAGCTGTTGAAGGTTCGCTGCTGACGAAAATCATGTTGCACAGTTATGACTGATTCACTCATTGAATTAGAGAACGCAAAATGCTTTGTTCTCAGGGGTCGCCATCTCCTCGCAGACTGAAGGGAGCCATCTTCCAGTGACAGTATGACCCACTCTTTCAATTGGTATATGATTGGTTCCTAGGCACCTCACGGTTATAAAAATATGGCGCTTTGAAATCGGATGAATCTTTTTGAAGCTGCCTGTACTATACATATGAAATGATCAGCTGAAGGTATAAGTTATCAGAATTTTTAACCAAATAAAGTTGGTATCTGTATCTACATCAGCCACAGCATTGTCATATTGGTCAGGCCCTGTCCTAGAATGTCACATTAGCATACGGTTGCACTCCAATAAATAAAAATTTTGTTGCCTTTAATTTTCCACCTGATTTGAACGCAACAGCTATGCTTCACATTATGGAAAAAAACGCATGTTAAATGGACCAATAGAAACGCTCCAAAATTTAAAAAATTAAACCTTACATTAACTTACATTAAAAGTTTGCCTTCTCCTGTAAAGTTACCATTTTGGACAGTGACTATGTTAGTTTGTCACTACTTAACCTTTTCTCACTTGTGAGGGGTGTGAGGTACTCTCTTTGATCCTAATTTATTTATAGTCAGAGAGGTAGGCGAACAGGGTTTTTTCTTTTTGCCTAAATGTGTTCAAACCACTTTTTTCCACATTTCACATTGCAGAGGTAAAGTGCATATTTGTAGTTACCATACAAAAATATGGGCAGTCTTGTACCCTTTCTAAATGCTGGATGGGTGTGGCAGGCACCACACTTTGTGACAGCTGCAGTTTGCTTAATCTACGGTGGCACTGCTAATAAAATGCAATTATCAAGGTGTCTGACAGATTCTCAGTGGGGCTGTGAACATTCTCTTTTATAAATGTTCAAAGCTAAGCCTTTTCCAGATGGAAAAGCAATACCAGCCTATACATAGTTCACTCTCTGTATTGAGTCTGTTTTGAAACTCTTTTATGACATGGTCTAAACATGGAATGGGGGTTACAATGCAGATAACACAAAGCAAAGGTGATTCAGTAGGTTATAAAAATGGTATTGGTTGCTTCATCTTATCCTAAATGTTTCAGAATGTTCTTTATACCTTCATACAGCATGCACAGCTTGCATGTTTTGGCTTAATGAAAGACAAGGCAATGCTAAAGGAAATATTTGTAACCCCTTACTGTAGAGCTGTGTTTAGGCTACATTACCCTTACATAGGCCTACATAAGCATTTATAAATACTTGTATCAATAAACGCTGTATTTGCCAGCTTTTTAAGTTTGACATAACAGATGTGTTATATGATATTGTCCCCCCCCCTTTGTCTGACATATTAGGTTGTGTGGTGACACTTTCTGGGGTGAAATGACAGACTAGCTCAGTGTGTCACAGTGACATCATAAAACGGACCATTTTCTGTGGCCCGTATGTTACATTTTACCATTTTAAGCTATTTCTTCATCAGTGCGGTCACTGTGATGAGCACTAAGCTACAAAGTCAGTTGTTATAATGTGCTGTCATTTTACCTAGAAAAGTGTCATGTGACATTATAATGTCAGGAAAAAAATAATGCCATCTAACACAGGTGATACATCAACAAACAATACATCAGCCAAGTTGACAAAAGCAGCCTTTATGACAGACCAAGGGTTGAGCAGAACCTTTGGGGGTCCAGGGGCACCCAGCCGTAGGAAAGAAATGGCAAAAAATATTAAAGACCTTTTGGTAATATAGAAACAGTCTAATTTCACTACAAGAGTTCCAACCTAAATATCCAGTAGTCTTAATGGTCAGTGTAACACAGAGAATCAAGCCTCTTCTTAAGTGACAGAGTAGAGTATGTTAACGCTTGTTAGATTGTCCGACCATGGCCATTTATTTCTACTGAGTTTAATAGTGACAAAATCCATAAATGGATAGAGACAAATGCATAAATTACTAAATAAAAAAACATCCAGAGTTTTACTCAGAACAGCTTAAAAGCTTAAAAAGCATTTTCCTTTATCTAAATATTACATTTAATAAGCAGTTATGGAATACCACTTATGAGAACACACACTTCTAAAGGAAGTGTACAGTTATTTCGAAATAAATTAATTTTTTATGCTGAATTAATTATGCTGAGTTATAATTATTGAAGGGGAGGTAAATATATATTATATCTGTGACAAATGATGCTTTTTGGAATAAGCCCTTGTAAATATTTATGTAGGTTTATAATCAGCTGTCATGATAAGCTTATGAACACTGTCCCACCAGTAAAGTGTTAACAAAATATTTTAAGACCAGGAATGAAAGTTACCCAAGCTAGGTGGTGAAATGAAATCTTAAAAAAATATATAAAAAATTCTTATAAACTGTTTAATTAACTGATGTCCTTCCCCTCGACTTGCCCAGCAAAAAATTGTACTACCAAGTCTTAGAAGATAAAGCTACAGAAATGTTTCAGTGAAGGTATGGTGTGTCTGTCATTATCGGCGTGCGAGGTGTGTTTGAGACAGTACGGTGAGCGTGACTGATCCCCTGGCACGTCTCAGAATCTCCACAGCTTCAGAGTGTGAGATGCCTTCTAGACTCCGCCCATTCACTGCCACCAGCCTATCACCACACTGCAGGCGCCCGTCCTCCACTGCAGCTCCCTGCACAGTGTGAGGTACAAACACAGTATTCACACGCTAATACGCATGCATTCTGGTATATATATGTGTATATATATACATATACACGCTATTCTGATCAGCTGGAAGGTGGTGCTGTTCTTATTTCAATCCTGAATCTCAAAATGTTTGGGATTAAACTCTGTGGAAGACCACACTCATAGGTCAATGTCAAACCTATTAACCTAACAGGCTCTAACATATTTTCATATGATTTTTCATATGTCTAACAATAAATAACCTGGTAGATTTATGTTAAGATCAGTTAGTAAGCTTCTCCTTAGCTTAGCTGCTCACAGCTAAATAAATACATCTGAACCATTAATGCACTCATCTGCATGAAAGCCTTTACATTCACTGAGATTTGCTAAAAGACCTTGTGTAATAGATGACACATCCTCAGCATCTGACCTGTCTAATCTTTTTAGGGGGTATTTGTTGAGTCAGTCTGTTTATTCAGAATGTACCTTTCAGATAAAACAAACACATTGATGAGTTGTTGACATGTTAATACCCTACTAAACTGAACTTTTTTGGTCCGGCCCACTTGACACCGCACTAAGTGTAACGTGGCCCGTTACTTATGACTTTGACATCTCTGCTCTAGCTGATTGTCTTAAATGACTTAGAAACATTGAACAGTTTTACAACATACACATCCTACAAGCAGTCATTAGCTGGATTCACCTGATGCACATCCACATAAAATATCATGTATTTTCATGAATAATAATCGAATTTTCAGAACTTTCCGCTCACCAGCCAGCACATGTTGTGGTGTCCAGTGTTGGAAATAACCATACAAAAATAAATAATAGTGCAGCAAATGCTGTAAACTTGATGAACTATCTGTGGAAGCATCTGATTACACTAATTCAAATAGTTCTGATTTTCCTTTAGAAACACCTCTGTAAACATTGTTTTATACTTAAAGATTTTGAGGCAGCTGTTTATTGACTAGTTGTTCATAATTTCAGTCAGCATAAATGGCTGTGTCTTGTTCAAAAGCAAGGACACTGACATGCCTTTTAAAGGATGTTTAAGGTAACTGGCTATTTTTTCTTAAGGAAGTACTTGAAACAATGTCACTTAAAGCCACAACTTTGGACAGACCTGCCTGCAGCAACAGCTCATTACTGCAACCTTTGGCTACAGTATGTGTCCTGTATTTATCACCTTGGGGAAGATGTTCTTGATATAAATGGGCAGGTATCCATGGGAACTGCACAAACCTCCCACGATGCTGAAGCCCAGACCAGCAGAACCTCGCTCCAGAGATATCGTCTTGTACTGTGAACTGCAATGTATGCACATACACTTGCCATTTATCAGGAAGAACTAAAATATAGGTGCACTTTGAAGGTTTACTATTACTGACTGTAGCCCATTAAATGTAACAACAACAGTTGTATCGTGCACCTCAGGTGGTTCTGGGTGGTGTAGTTTTCAGGGGCACCAGGTGAAGACTGACCCCAAGCAGACTGACTAGGATCACAACATGGAATGACCTTGAATGGCACACAGAGGACAGCAACAGAGAGAAAGATGTCAGAAAACGAAGCATCACAAAGCTGCTATAGAAGCACAACATTTTCTGGAAAATAGACCGTTTGCAAAATTCTGTGAAGGTCCTGCCTCATTAATCGCTGTTACTATGTCTGTCAAAATTTTAGTTCAGGTCACCTGGTACCATCTGTATACATTAGAAATATTTTTCACTGGAAAATAAACTGGCTTTGCATGCTCAATACAGACATTCACATGAGAGAACCATAGGCTAATTTCAAGTTTGGGTTCTGGAAATGCATGTTTACTCTAATCAAACAAGGAAATTCATTTAGTCACTCAGTGTTAAAACTGCAGGTCTGTATGTCTAATAAGGAGGATGTTTTAGTGATAGTAGCTGCCCCTTCAGATAAGCTAATGCTAAAGCTAACACTGGAGCTAGCACAACAATGTGAGATGTTGAGGACTCATATTTCATGTGGTCACATTACAGTAAACGTTAATGAAATAAGACAAAGAATAAGATATGTACGGGTGCATTAATATTCATTGATAAAGTTTTAATAACAAATATTAGTTCCATCTGGTCCTGTTTTATTTAACTGATTTATCAAGCTAACTGTCTAGCATCCAAGTTAAGAAAAGCTATGGATTTTTAGCAAATACAGTAAACTAAATAAAGTTTTGCTTACCTTAGAGCCAGCGTAAGTCTGTATGTTAATAATTTTGCCACTGAAATGATATGAGTTTTGTTGTATAGTTTAATCCAAAACTGTTTCAGCTTCAGGAGTGAAATAAAATAGCGCTACCATCTAGAGGATCAGGATGGTGTGGCAGGCATTATATGTTCCTTGGTAACGCTTTTCCACCATTTCTTAGTCTAATAATTCTGACTAATTTACTGCTACCACCAATCTCACTGCAGGTTTGTTTGCAGGTTTTATTTCACTTGACTGAGAAAGGAACATTTAGAGATGACTGTGCTTAGCTGAGAGGCGTGTCAATCATTATTTTGCAAATGATCAGTTACACAAATTAGAATGGCAGTCACTGATGTTTTATTACATCACATTTTCACACGGACATACACAAACCCGCACCTCCAGAGTGATGGCCCCACTGGTCTTTCTCAGGAGGGTGTTGACCTCTGTGTGTAAGAGCTCTTTGGTCAATGTGCCGTTGATGCTGACAATCCTATCACCTACCTGAGGGGGCATTCAACAGAAGAACAAATTTCTCAGGACAGTGAAAAAACTTAAAACTACTCAACATACAAACCTTGACTAATTGGACCATGTCAGGTACATTCAGTTGTTATATGGGAACTCCACTGATGTTTCAAAATTTTGGCAAAATTCAATTGTTGAGAAAACGAGGCCAATTGTGCTCTATAGATTCCCAGGCACAGACAGCTGTAGCATCACCAGGGATCAAACTCGCAATCTACTAATGACAGGGCCAGCATGTGACATTCAGGAGCCCCCTTATTACACAAAATTGTTATGAATTCACTGCCTAAGATAGTTTTGAGATAAGATTTAGACCTAAAGCATATTTTGGTTTTGATTGGTACATGAAGGGTGTTGTGAGGCCAATTAGTCCTGAAAAGAAAACTTTTCAGATTTATCAGTATTTTACTATTATCAACACTACATGTAAAAAAAAAGAAGGTTCACTGGTCATTCTGGATAGCAAATAAAACGGTCATATTTATGAACACTGGTTGCCATCACCACCACTGTAACGAAATCTGAGTCTAGGTATTTCTACAATGCCCCTTTTTCACATCAAACCACTCTGAATTACTTTGAATTGTGCAAAAATGTTAAAGAACCTGTGGAATCTCCATTTTAGTAATCTCCAAGAGACTTATGTATGTGGTTTATGATACTGTTATCTATAAAACAAATTGTACAAAAGTACATAGATTAGCTAAAAATGTGATTTTTGTCCGTTTTTCCATCACCAATAATATTAAATCACTTAACAATCCAAAGCAAGTGTGTGATGTTTGCTTTGTTACTGCAATGCAAAACTAGGAAGTAAACTTCGGACATCAACATGTCTTGATAGATTGATTTGGGGTAAAGGGAAAATTATGTAAAACTTTAGCTTTAATTATACCTCCAGTAGTCCAGAGTAGGCAGCAGCTGAATCCGGGTCTATGGCAGACACATAGAGCTCTGCTTCCTCCTTTAAACCTCCAACTGCACTCAAATGCAGCCCCAGAGAGTCTGAGATACCCTGAGGAACAATCCCAGACAGAATAAGCATTAATAATAAAGAATAAGCTTTTAGCTAATAGTCCTGAAATAAGAACAAATGTCATTTCATAACTGTTTAACTAAATTAACTTTCCAACGTTGAATAGAACACACCTTCTGAAGTGTGACTGTTCTGATGTCTACGTTCCCTTCCACAGCTGCAAACATAGGAAAACGGTTGATTGATTAATCATATATATTAATCGCATATTAACTTGGTAACCACTGATTATTGTTTATGATTTGAACTTACAGTCATGAATATGAGAAGCAGAAAAAGGAGAGACATCCACAATACCGACCTGGAAAAACAACATGGCCAACAGGAGCAAGTTCACTAGGGAAAACCAGTGGTGAAATAACTTACAAAGACCTCAGCTGAAAGCTGAAACTATATATATATATATATATATATATATATGTACTTAATATAAATGTACTTATATATGTGTACTTTTGTTTTTCTTTTTTTAAAAAACAACAGGCAGCTTAATTTCCATATATGGACTGGAAAGTAAATGGAACATTTTAACTTGAAACTTAGATAATATATTTATTATTTAAACTCTGCTTTCCATGACATGGGTTTATGATACAGGTATATATATGTTTAAGCTTCAGCTAGTTTTGTGTTGTACTGCAAATGACATAGCTGTGATGATCTACGGCATTCATCTTCTATTGTTTTTGTACATATTAAACCCTCAATCCACAACTTGGTTTCTCACTCTCATTATGAAATAACTGTTAAATTCTAAATTAAATAATTTGAATATACATTTGAATATATAATAAATATAAATTGTGCTCTAAAATGTGCAACACAGTGCCATACTGAGGTTTGTTCCTTGTAGAGAATGTGTTATCTTATATTCATTTAGAAATTCAAGTTATGGTAACATGAACTCTGTCATGGCAACTCATGATAGCATATGACATCTGACATGACGATGTTTATGGCATGTTATGCCAATAACATGTGGTAAGGTTTAAGTAAAGTGTTACCAAGTTATAAAATTGATTTTGATTGCATGTTGTACTTCATTGTGTACAGTCTGTGTAGTTGTGAAAAATTACATTGTTTTCTTTTTACCTGGCACTCATATGAGTAGGGTGGAATAGCTCTAAAACGTGCCACTTCCAGCACCACTGACCCACTGCAGTTCTGAAACATACATACACAAAACTAATGAGACCCCCTAATCACTAGTGATGGAGGCTATTTAACTGTATACTCGTTTATAGTTCAATTTATCTCTCATAACAGCATGCTGTGGAGTGTGAAAGACAGTGAAACACCTGTAATAATGTGCTGGCATAGTCTTGAGTCACGGCCCGGATGTCCTCTCCGTTTACAGACAGAATCTGGTCACCTAGCAACAGTCTTCCATCTAACTGTACCACGCCACCATTCGTTATATCAGACAGAAATATTCCCGTATCATCCCTGCAACACATTACACACACACAGCTGTCATTTCCACAGGCAAAAACATATTACAGCAAAACCTGATTTTTTTCTGGTTTGTTGCCCCATTTTACTTCTAACTTAACTGTACCCTATTCGCAGTGAAGGTCAACCTTATGGTTTACAGTCAGAATTGATCACTGTGGTGGCAATAGGACCCAGACGCCTGAAAAGTTTAATGCCTCTAAAAGCTACATTACAGAAAGTAACTATTAGAAATGGTCACAAATGCTCTGCCTAATAACTGAGACATTGTTTTATGGCATGTTTTCAGATAAGGTTTTGGCTTAAAACATATTTTTAAATCCATTCATGGAGATGCAGGATGTTGTAAGGCAAAACAGTCCTGTAAGATTATTTTTCCAGATGAACAACTATTTTACTATGAATGCATTGTAGACATCACAAACCTTGGTTTGCCATCAACACCATTGTAAATAAAGTAAATTATGATGGATTTGGACTTTTCTCATTTTTAATACAGCTGTCACTATCGATTATATTTTGGTAATCAAGATTTGGTAATCTAGCGATAATTTGGATTATTAATCAAGTAATCATTTTGTTGTTTTTTTAACTCTTTAGACATCAACAGAATTTTAGAACACTCTTTGGGATTCCTGACACTTTTTAGAGTTAGAAGAGTATTGATCACTGTTTTAAACAAAATGTTTGATCATAAAACCAGAGAAAATTATAATTATTTTACGTGCCACCCTATTTAATATGAAAACAACAAGATGTAGGAATCAACACAGAGCTGTGAGCCCAGGGCTGAAGGAAAACTGGCACTGAAATTGTAACAGACACTGTAATGTTGAAAATATGTAATACATATAAAAAATAAAAAACAGGGTTTTGAAACAGACCACAGTAACTAAAAATCTTCAACATTTTTTGTGATTGTGATACTATATGAATTCCCACACAGGTTCCACACTACAGTTTCACTGAGAACAAAAATTGTAATAGATTTTTTTCAATTGCATGATCAATTATAATTGAGAAATTGTGACAACCTTAATTTTGTAATGATACAACTTTTACTTCTACTCAATTATATTCGTCAGGAAAGTAATAAAAAGAGGAAATATCACTAAACTAACCTTAGATGCTAGATATGAATGAGAGCCTGTTGCTACTCAGAATGTTTTCTGACCTGTTAATTTTTTAACTCCTACTCAAGATGTTTTTTTGCTAGGCTACTTGAGTCACTATTCAAATGAAGTAATCCTGAAAATGGTCAGAGACGCTTGCGACCATGCAGAAAGTCGAACAGGCTGATGCATAAATGTAATAACACTAGAAATAAATTTCACTGTCAAATATTTCCTGTGAGACCCAACTACGAACAGCATATTGTGTGGCTAGGATTCAGCTGGGACTACTACAGTCCCATTTTCTCTATATTTGTTAGTAATCGTTTAGTGAGCTAAACTCATAAAAAAACAGTTAGTACACAATTACTGTAGATGTTTTGTCAAACCCTTTTATTCGAATAAACACATTACGGCCATTTTCTATACAGTTGGACTGTAGTATATGATAAATTCAGAAATCAGTGTATGTATACCTTTTACCCACAATGCTCATCCCCAGCTCCTGTCCTGGTCCTAACTGAAGCTCTACGATGAAAAGATCCCACATGTCTTCATGAGTGTGTGTCGCCTGCTTGTGGAAGGTGTGTGTGGATGGGTGTCTATACACACAGAGGCTCACGCGTTGTGGACTCAAGCGCAGGACGCTCAGCGCTTCCTCATGAGTGGCCATTCTTAGATCTATACCATTCACCTGGAGGAAACGGTGGAAGGCATGTGAGATTAGGTAACAAAATTATATTGACCCTTATTCATTAAAGTTGCACAGAAACAAGCACAATTTGACCATTCTAAATGACGTACACAACTACTCCATGTCTGATTTGGGAAACTGTTCTACATCTACAAAATAAGCAATGATTTGGGCACAATTTGTGCTTGGAAACAAGCACCCACACAGAAGTACCATATTCACAAATCATTTGCAACAGATACAGCCAAATTAGCCCTCATATATACATAATTTACATGAAGCACGCCTGGTCTGATTGAATATTTGAATGGTAGATCTCCTGTAAAAGGTTTAAAACAAATCAGTGGGTATTAATCAAGGTTTTTTTTTTTTTGTAGATCATCAACTAAAAGAGTAATGAGTTATATGATTGAGATATTATTTAGATATGTGTATGCTGTATATGTTATGTCTGTTATGGGATCATGTTAAAAAAATTATTATGTGATAGTTGACTGAGGATGAATATTTGAGTATGTTACATGAAATAACATGTAATCACATCTAATCTAAGGTCATTCAGAATGATATCTTGGTAATATGCATATCTGATTATAATTTGATTGCTTAATTGTAATTTGGTTTGGTCGAATTGTATCTTGGTACAGGGCATTGTAAAGGTCACTCAAGGGTCTTGCAAAAGATCCAGTCATCTAGCACTTCCTATTTGATCAAATTTAATTTCTAGTTTCACAAGGCATCTGGGGACTGAGTCCAGTTATAATTAATTATGCTTTTTGTCAGCATTTAATTTTCCACATACACGTTTGTTTCTAAAATAACCAGTTTCTGACAGTACAGTCAATTGCCTATCAGCTAATTCCAATATTCCCTTTATGCAGAGACTGGAATTGCCTTTTCTTCCAATTACGTTGTTAGTCAATTATTATTTCAACCAATAATTTTTGTATCATCCCTTTTGTGTTACGTCACCGGGCTTTTAAAATACACTGTACCACCTTTGGGAGATCAGATCTTTGATCAATTCTTTTGATTCACTTCATAACTGGCTGGCATCTTTATGATTTATATATTTATAAATATCTTTATAGTGTTAAAATTACGATGATGGAAAAGAACAAAATGTGAAATGAACAAAATTATCATTTTCTTAAAACACTGCCTGCTTAAGCTATATTATGCATTCTAAAATTTTGTACATACAACCCCATTTCCAAAAAAGTTGGGAAGCTGTGCAAAATGTAAATGAAAATGATGCAAAGATGCAAAGATGTGCAAATCATTTAAACCCTATTTGAAAATAGTAAAAAGACAATATATCAAATGCTAAAACCGATAAATTTTTATTGTTTTTTTGAAAAATATATATGCCCATTTTGAATTTGATGGCAGCAACACATTCCAAAATAGTTGGGAGGGGAACATGTTTACCACTGTACTACATCACCTCTATTTTTTTTTAACAACACTCTGTAAGTATGGGAACTGAGGAGACCAACTGCTGTAGTTATGAAAGTAAAATGTTTTCCCATTCTTACTTGATATAGGATTTCAGCTGCTCAACAGTTCGGGGTCTCTTTTGTCATATTTCTTGTTTCATGATGTGCCGTATGTTTTCAGTGGGTGACAGGTCTGAACTGCAGGAAGGCCAGTTCAGCACCCTAACCTTTTTATTATAGAGCCATGCTGTTGTAACATCTGCAGAATGTGGTTTTACATTGTCTTGCTAAAATAAGCAGGGCCTTTCCTGAAAAAGACATAATCTGAATAGCAACATATGTTGCCAAAACCTTTATATTTCATTCAGCATTTATGGTGCCTTCACAGATGTGCCAGTCACCCATGCCATGTGCACTAATGCGCTCCTCTCAAGTTTCTTCCTTTTGCTATTAGGGAGTTTCTCTTTGCCCTTGTCGCCACTAGTGACGTTTATGGGGGCTCAGACCTGAATTTTTCTGTAAAGCTGCTTTGTGACAATGCCTGTTGTAAAAACCACTATATAAATAAACTTTGACTTGAATTGACCTTAGAACATGAGTTGTCTGCAGATATTTTAAATAAAAATCTGAAATGTTATGCTTGCATAAGTACTCATACCCCACACACTACTGTGATCCAAGTTTATTCTATTCTTTGCAGTATTGTTTTAGTCTTTATTCTTACTCTCCAAACTGCACTATTAATGCTGAAGTGTCTATCTATTTTTAAGTCTATGACAATCTAAGAAATGCATGGTACAGCCAAATACATTATAAAGGAGATGTAAGGTCAATAGGGCTGGATAATTTGAGAATATATATCGTTATCATAAAAAAATATGCTACAATACAATACAATATGCTTTTCTTAACTTATTGTGGATATCATAGGTACTTATAGAACACTGATCAACTGTTTCATTATAAAGAGAGAAAAATTTGTGGCATTTAACTGTATTTAGCGTAACACAGTATGCAAAATATTGAATAAAACACATTGTATTCACAGTTTTTAATAATGTTTTTTTTTTATTGTAGCACTACTGTTTCTTTTTTCTCTGTTCCAACTGATCAGATGTCTAACAAAATAAATATTGTGAAATATTGTGTATCTTCGAAAAATTCTTGAGGTAAAAAAAAACACGGGCCTTAAATGTCTTGTTTTTTCTTTAAAATCTGCAGACAAGTCACCTATATTGGCTTTGAAACGTTACTGCTAGAGCATAAGAGTTCATAACAAAGAAAAACTATTTTCATAATTTTTAATCGAGAAAATGTTTAAAACTTTAGAGTTTGCATACTCACAAGGCACCATTTGAACAAGTAGAATAAGCTGGGAGTAGATAAGCTGGAAAGTTTTTAAAATACTGTACCTCAAGAATTTGATCTCCTGCAAGTAGTCTCCCATCCCTATGAGCTGCACCTCCCTCATTCACCTCATGAATCAGAATCACTCCCTGAGACAGGCAGAAAGACAGAACAGAGAGAACAGATGTGAAAAAGTGAGTTTTGCAAGGCAAACAAACCCTAATGTTTTACTTTTGTTTTTAAAATTTCAGATAAGGTTTTGGCCTAAAACCTCACTGCTGCAGGGGAAATATACAGTTAAAAAAGTCTGTATGCTAGAACTGTTGTTGAACTGACGGACAACACACTCTCAAATAAAGACTTCATCCCTGCATCTCAGTACTTTCTCCAAGAGTAATAATAAAGTTGTACCTATGTTCATGTATGGAGGTTCTTAGTACATAACCTGCTAAATTAGCCCCTCCCTCTGCAGTAAATGTGCCCCTTGGTTTGTTTATATATGTTTGTTTGAAGTAGTAGGCAGTAGGCTCAGTACGAGTGTCCACTTGCATGCATAAAAAACACTAAACATGTGTAACACCTCACAGCACAATACTCAAACTCAGCCTATGCTTACCAGTAATGTGTTGCAGCCACCGACAATGCTAAGTCCCAGGCCAGAGTGCCCTTTACAAAGTTCTATGGTGTTTAAATGGCCGGGTATGATAGGGCACTTCAGGGGGTCAGTGTTCACGGAGTATGATGGATAGCAGGAGGAGCAAGGCAGCCCAGTGTCAGAATGACTGGTTAGGGAACAGCATTGGATGTGACTATGATGACAATTCTGTGTAGGACTGGTTGATGTACTATGAGACATGGGCAAGGTGTAACAGCCAGGAGGAACGGTACTTGCTGATCTGCTGCGAAAAGCAGAGGAAGGATCACTGAAAGGTTTGTGGTTGGGTAAGATGTTAAAGGGACTCAGGTGGTTGATGCTGCTCCTTTCAAAGGAACAAGGCTTTTGTTCATTCTCTAAGATGCTCCTTCCTTCCTGAGAGAGAGAGAGAGAGAGATTTAATTTAAATTGACAAGTTTTGTGAAAAACTGTACGCAGAAAATTCAGGATTTGATATGGCTGCTACTACTGTTTTTAGCTAGGCAATACTTTGTCACTAGTTACGAATGTAACTGTGTTTATGGATGGATAGAACATAATGCTCTGTTGTGCCAATTGCAGACCAAGAATTCTGAATACCAATCAGTCATGTATGACATAGTGAACATATACAAGCTTGACAATCACTCACAAATGCCCTCAGGAACCTGGTTTCTTCCCACACATTCCTGGTCACTAGTAAGTACTTGTAAATACCGCCCTGGCATCCACTACTCACATAACCAAAGTTACATTTGCATCTAAGGACTTGAACAGGAAACAGACTATGTTTTCTGTGGTCTGACTTCTCATTATAAGATGCCAGATGAATAGGTTGATTGATCAATTCTGGAGATAGCAGCTTGGGCAGGAAGGCTGGGTTAGTCCGCAATGTCAGGGAGGAAAAAACGATTGGAGATAACAGGTGCTAACAGAAAGTGCATGTAGTTTACAGACATGTCTTTGAGGGCAACCATCTTAGGATGACTTTATCCGCTGATTCAAAAGGAGGACCATAAAGAAACTCCAACACCAATGGAAGATCCCAGGGTGGCAGTCTTAGTGTGACTATCAGCTTATGAGAACTCAGAGAGTAGCCCCCATCTAAGGATAAGTAGCCAGCCAAGGCGGCCACGTAAACTTTAATCGTAGAGGGAGAAATCCTGGCCTCCAGTAGTGACTGAAGAAAGAAAAGAACTAATTAAACGAGGGTGCCAAACTTCTGAGTCCTGGGTCGAGCATGAATACTTGCCTAGTGCTCAACTAAATTACAGCCCTTGACCGAGCAAGCTCAAGGGAAGAGTGAAAAAGAAGGACAATGATATACAGAGAAGGAATTCAGCCCATGGAGGACGAAATCTTGTAGCTCAAAATGTAAGCAAGAAGCAAGAAGGAGGGCTTTCGCAAGTGAGTGTTGAGCTCATATATGCTCACTTGCTACATCACTCGCTATGTCATGTATGACTGACTGGAATTTAGAATTCTCAGTCTGCAGTTGCCATAGCAGAGCATTATTTACTTATACGTACTTCTATTTGGTTTGAGGTAAATATGTGTTGATTTAGGTATGTAGGTAGCATAATGCTAATTGGTGCGTTACAAGCTTCCATTACTTGTTAATTGGCCTGGTAGCTCTAGTGTAAAACATACAGAGGCAAACTTCAGACACCAAACATGTTCTGGTTAATTGACCACATTCGGGATTAGGGAAAGAATTGTGTAAAGCTGTAGTCACACTACAAATCTGTAGTTTGTATTGCTTTGCAAAATATACATGACCAGGCTGGACCAGAAAACTGGCAATGAAAAATCTTTCATTTTGTTGCAGCATACTGTACACAGAGCTATATTAAAAACTGTTGTTAAGTAGTGTAGCTGGTGTCCATGACATAATTGGCATGTGAAGTTGGCTAACTCACCAGCCATAAAGAGTAAAACTACAAAAGTATTTACAGACAGTAGAGACAGTTCTACCATCTCGTAGTCTCTCTTTATTTGTGGCACAAGGGTTTAAAAGGTTGTGCTTAAACACTGCTAAAAGTTACGTTTCCTCCATTTTGGATCTTTAGTGCTGCCTATATGAAGCTCTGCCCCTTAAGAATTTAACACAGCCAAAGTTGTAGCGCTTACATACAGGTGATAAAGCTTAACAGTAATAGAAGAAATCGTGAGTAATAATTTAAAATCATTTAAAAATTTCAAAATCAAGACAAGGACACAGAACAAATTAAAAAAGATAAATACCAAGAGATGTAGAGTTTTAATTAAATACTAAGTTAAAGAGATACATTTCTAAATATTTCATAAAAGTGTTTACTGAGCTTGACTGTCTAATAAAAGGTGGAATTGAGTTCCACAGTTTAGAACCATAACATTAATATTAGAAAGTCCCATAATTGGAGTTCAAAAGCATTCAAAAATACGGCAGCAGTGTTTATGCTGTTCTGTGTTGAGAAAATATGTGCATTTCTCTATTTAAAATGAACGGATCATTTGCAAATTACAGTTTTGCACCAAAGCTACATTTGAACCAATTTATTTTGGACTCTTTCTGAAGTGCCTTCGAGATTTTTTGGTTTCACACTAGACTCTGGAAGTCTGCAACATTAAACTGCTTATTGTTTCAAATTCCATTGAAATGAAGGTACTTCCACTCACAAAATATTTCTTGAGTGACTGGGCCTAAAATACTTCAAAAACGAAATTTTGAAAAACAAAGTCATTTTATCTGCATGTTGTGGTTATGTGTCTGCTAGCGTTTACCTGATCTAAGCCATCAGGCTTGCCTTCCTTGAACATGCCAATATCCACAGCAGAGGGTGATAAGATGGGACAGTTGTCTGTCTGCATACAACAGATACACAGTGATAATGCACATATAAGCCTACAGAAGAAAAAAAGCCTATAGAAGTAGCGTTACTTGAATCAAGAGAAATTCAATTGTGGTTCAATACTCAAGCACCAGATCTTTCTCCTATGCATAATAGTTTCGATCATTAATAAGCTTTGTTCCATAATTCCAGTTTAAAAGTTTAAAGACTAATTTAAGTCTGAATGATCTTTGTTACCTCCATTATTGGTTCTGCAGCCATGTGTTCCAATGCAGCTTCACGCCTTAGGAGACAATCAAATATGAGCATAAGTATGAGGATAAACGGTACATACATATGTATATGCATATGGCTTCCTAAGTATCTCATCTAGCTAATTCTGTTTCTGAGACAACAAAAGAATTAGGAAGAAAACTGTGGACAGTAATTGAAAGCAAAGCATGTTGCAAAATGGAGAAAGACTGAGAGCCATGGGCTATATTACAGAAATTTCCTAACTCTAGAATCTTTAAAAATGCCTGGTTAGTAACTATGACAACTTCACACAGAATTGAATTTAAGAACAGAAAAAAGTTTCAGTTCCTTATCCAAATGATCTTATCCTAACTCCAAATAAAGAAAGAAGCATTACAGAAGCATATCAACTTACTTAACTAAATTGCTAAAATGTTCTTAATACTGTCCTAACAGCCTAAATGCCATGTTTTGTTGAGTTTGTAAGTGATAAAATACATCCTTTAGAGATAACACACTTCTGTACACAATTGCTGTTTATCTGCTGAATTTAACATATTAGAAAAAAAACAAAATGTGGCATGTGAAAATGTCGTAGCACATTTTATGCTGCATGTTTAGGTATGCACTGAAATTTCGACCACTGAAACATTTTGACTGAAAATGGTTTTTAACAAAAGATTAAATAGGACTACAACAAAAGTGCCACAGTCGGACACTTAACAAGTCATTTGAATGATTATGAAAACGAGAAACAGAGATTTAAAAACACTGTTCTTCGCTCTCTAGCACTGGTCTGCACAGACATGTTCAAACAGTTTGAGCTGCAGCAGAGGGACTTAGACAAGTGATTTATAATCACTGTTCATCCTACTTTTCAAGAATCGGGGGGCATGACACTCAAGAATTACAGGTTTAATACCACTTGACAACATCGATCCATGAAAAAATAATTCCTGAACAACTGCCCAAGTGCAAAGTGTAACTAAAAATTATGGAATTCATTGCTTTGGATGACCAGCTCTTCTCTGTAAGTTTAGATTAATTTTATGTAAATTATTTTTATTTATTATCAGCTCAGTTTTGTCTAATTCAAATTAGATTGTCATTAATAAAAGTGTTTTTTTTGCTATCTAGTAGTTTTTGTGTTTATTTGAAAGTATGTTTATTCAAAAACAAACAAACCAGCAAATGTACATCACTAGTTTTTTCAAACCCAGCAAATAAACAGAAATCCTGCAGAAAATGCCACATAAGATTGTACATGTATACATGTGTATAATTCACCTGTTCAATACAATCTTAACCTCGGATGGAGCGCTGTTGATAATAGCAGCAGCATTCTGGTGACTACGACCATATAATACCTGTCCATTGATCTGCAACAGACAAAAACACCCGAGATCTGAATGAAACCTGTATTAGCAAATCTATAATCTATACACTGCTTGTCTGGAGACATTTCAAACTTCTTACAATTATACCCTTGTTATGATGTCAGTACTATTCAGCACTTAAATCTTTCGAGTGTTTTCAATATGTGCAATTTGCAATAGTTCAGAAAAGAAAGCTGTTGAATCATTATTTAGATAAAAGCTACTCTTCATATAAAGGAACAAGAAGCTGTACCTTTTAAAATACACTGAGTTGCGATTTTTTTTAGAAATACATACCTTTTCTGTTTAGCTGTGGTCCTATGGTGGTCCTTTTCCATTAAAGGACTAGAGAAGTGTTTCCCACCCTGAAGGACCCTCCACCCTGCAAATTTTAGTGTTTTTTCTTGCTCCAAACACACCTGATCCAACAAAGCAGTTAATTTGCAAGCCCTTCCTGAGTTGAACTGGGTGTTTTGGAACAGGAAAAAAACAAAACGTGCAGGACACGAGTACTCCAGGATCAGGGTCGAAAACCACTGGACTAGAGGGTACTTTGTGCTGCCACTGATGAGCTACAGTCAGTAACTATTAACCTAAAAATGCATTACAGTGAGGGATGACAAGTATTTTGACACTGTTTTTTATTATTTAAAATCCTTACAGACTTGTGTCTATCTGTCTGTGCATACTTTGTTAGCCCCCTTTCACTTCGTTCTTCAATGGTCAGGACCCCACAGAGCAGGTATTATTTGGGTGGTGGATCATTCTCAGCACTGCAGTGACATTGATGTGGTGGTGGTTAATGTGTGTTGCACTGATACAGGTGGATCAGACACAGCAGTGCTGTTCCAGTTTTTAAACACCTCAGTGTCACTGCTGGACTAAGAAAAGTCCACCAACCAAAAATATCCAGCGAACAGTTTCCTCTGGGCAGTGTCCTGAGACCACCGAGGGGAGACTAAAGGATGACTAACACAAACTGGGCAGCATCAGATAAGCTATTTTCTCTGACTTTACATCTACAAGGTACAAAGTAGGCGTATCTAACAGAGAGTACAGTGAATGGACACAGTGTTTAAAACTTCAGCAACACTGCTGTGTCTGATCCACTCGTACCAGCACACCCTAAAATGCCACTACCACATCACATCGTCACAGCAGTGCTGAAAATTATCCACTACTCAAATAATACCTGCTCTGTGAGGGCCCTGACAATTAAAGAAATGGGTAAAATGGGGCTAACAAAGTATGCAGAGAAAAAGATGAACTATGACAGAGATTTTACATAAATATTCCCTTAATCAGTAATCAAAGAGATTAGATGTTGTAATCAATAACCAAATAGGAAGTATTGCCTAACAGAGAATATTAATTCTCTCACAAAGAGTAGGCCTTAGACTGTCTGCATAGGAGATTCTAGACACTGGAAATCCACTGGGTTCACAGAGAGGCCTGTGTGTACCTACTGACCCAGTGAAGAGAGGGGCAAGGTAGGTGACCTTGAAAGGTAGAGCAGACTGGTAAAAACCTGTTGAAGCCAGTTTTGAGGAGTGAGCTCATCATGCAATGGCCAAATTGATGGACAAGGAGACGCACCTATTAGAGAATGAGCTAATATCAAAATTTGAGAAGTAAGGCGGGGGGATAGCACATTATCCCAGATAAATGGTATAAAAACTGTTGTTTGGAACACTGTATTTGTGCAGTTGGGGTCTCTCGAGACCCTGTGCCACCTGATGCTGAAATAAAGAAGAAGCCTTTTTCTCCCTTCCATAAGAACTCAGCGGCTGAAGTCTTTTATTCTACTTTCTTTTATTTTTGGTTGAATCCCCTTTCTGTTTTGGTTTATTTTATTTTTGTTTATTTTTGTAAGTGATTAAGACAATAATTAGAACAAAACCACAGCACAGAATAGTTTAGATTTTAAAAACCATCATATGTCGGGGCTTTGGGCAAGGAAGAAAATAGCTCTTGGTCCCGACAACTAACTTTAAGTTGTAGAACTACAAAGTGCATCTATGGTAAAAGGACCTGAAAAAATGGACAATACATGCAGAAACAAGGTGTACTTGATAAAGTGGCTGTTTCAAAAAATGTTGGGGCGCTGTGAAAAATGTAAATAAAACCAGAATGCAATGATGTGCAAATCATTTAAACCCTATATTTAATTGAAAATAGTACAAAGACAACTTATCAAATGTTAACACTCAGAATTTTTTTTGTTTGTTTTTTTGAAAACATATACCCACTGTGTTGCACCACCTCTTCTTTTAACAACACTCTGTGTTTGGGAACTGAGGAGACCAATTGCTGTAGTTTTGAAAGTGAAATCTTTTCCCATTCTTGCTTGATATAGGATTTCAGGTGGTCAACCGTTTGGGGTATCCTTTGTTGTATTTTTCATTTCTTAATGCAGCAAATGTTTTAATGGGTGACATGTCTGGACTGCAGGCAGGCAGCTGGATTTTTTTACTACGGAGCCATGTTTTTGTAATACATTCAGAAGCGGATTGGCATGTCTTGCTGAAACATACTTTAGGCTTTCCCTAAAACACGTCATCTGGCAGCATATGTGGCTCCAAAACGTGTCTATATTGTTTAGCATTAATTGTGCCTTTACAGATGTGCAACACACCTATGCCATGTGTACTAACGCACCCTAGACCATCACAGGTGCTGGTTTTCATATGTGTGCTGATAACAAACCTCATGGTCCCCATTCTCTCCAACCTGGAGGATGCGACATCCATGACTTCCAAAAAGATTTAAAATTTGGATTCCACTTCACCTCAGTCCATCTTAAATGAACTTGGGCCCAGAGAAGGCAGTGGTGTTTCTGGATCCTGTTTATATGTGGTTTCTACTTTGCATGGTAGAGTTTTAACTTGCATTTGTGGATGCAGTGACAAACTGTGTTTACAAAACCAGACAGTGGTTTTGTGTTTTTGAGCCTGTGCAGTGATTTCCACTACAGAATCAAGTCTGTTTTTCTGTTTGAGGGCCCAAAGATCACAGCCTTTTGCCCACAGCTACGCCTGACAGCTTCCACAATGGAGATTTTGAACAGGGTCCATTCGGGATCCATGTCCCCTCCTCCTGCACATGAGAAAAGTTCTCCTGGAGGTGGGAGTTAAAAACATTCCACCCTCAATATTCACTTGGGTCATTTGGTGTTCGAAAACAAGGCCCCTTAAATTGTGCAACTCCTGAGTCGGAGAGGGACCAACCTCTATCAAGGAGTTCGGTTCCAGAGCTGACATTGTGAATGGAAGTGAGCCCAGTTATATCTAGTTGGTACCTCTCAACTTCCCACACAAGCTCCAGCTCCTTTCCTCCCAGTGAGTTTATGTTCCATGTGCCAAGAGCCAGTTTCTGCCTTGTGGGTGGTGGGCCCACACGGTCCCCCCACGTTTCTTTTTAGGGCTGAGGAACACTACCCCCAGGCCTGGTAGGGCGCCCTCCCTCCCCATCTTCGGCATTTACCCCCAGGGACACTTTGGAGGCAGATGGACCCCATCCATCCATGCCTTCTCTCCCTGCAGGGGGAAGGGGATGGGGCCCCTCCACCTTTGAAGTGGATCTCAACTGGGCCAGACTATTCTCAGTCTGCGTACAAAGGATGCTCTGGGTCAGCAGCGAGCTACCTGACAAGTCTTGAAACATGAACCAAGAAGTCTAATGTGCGTGAGTGAAAGGGCTGATTGAAACAATGAAGGTGAAGGCCAGCATGCACCGGCTGAGCTGGGGATCCCCCCAAGGAGCCTGGGGGTGCACTACTCACCCATCTCTCCTTCTCCATCGGGGCGGTGAAGCCAGCACGTACGTAATGGTACATAACCCAAGAGATGGTGAACTATGCAGTCTGTACTCTAATGCTTAGACCTCACCTCTAGTAGCTCATCTCCCACTCTGATTCGCCCATCAGCAGCGGCTGCCCCTTCAGGTTGAACCTCCGAAACGTACACACTCATTCTCCCGCGGGCTCTGTCTCTGCTTCCCGTCACACACAGACCCAGACCAGAGCGGTTTGTGCTGCAGTTCAACTCAACCAGCTTCAGCTGTCCAGGCAGACTGCCATACCTCTGCAAAATTCGGCCTACACAGACACACAGTCCAAATCACATTTTTCCCAAATGTAGTCAATCAACTAAAACATGTTTGGTGTTCAGAAACTAAGACCAGAGTCTCTTCTTTTTGAATAGAGAGAGACCTAAAAAATTTAACATGAAGACCATTTTTCTGTTTCAAAAACATAGTTGAAATCACTGGTAAAATCTGACAAAAAATCTCAAATAGTTTGTAGCCTTTGACTCAATAACACACAAAATCATGTTTTTGTTTTTTTTTTTTTGGTTTCCAGAAGAACAGTTGAAAGCGTGAAAAAGGTCCCCCGCAACTGTAAACAGAACTTTTTAAAGTGTGTACAAAGTAACAGAACACCATACACTATATGGACAAAAGTATTGGTGCACCTACACATTACACTTACAGGAGCATCCCATTCTAAATCCCCAGGCATAATACGGAGTTGGTCCCCCCTTTACAGCTATAACAGCTTCCACTCTTCTGGGAATGCTTTCTACAAGATTTTGGAGTGTGTCTGTAGGAATTTTTGCCAATTAATCCAAAAGAGCATTTGTGTGTTCAGACACTGATGTTGGACAAAAAGGCCTGGCTCACAATCTCCCTTCCAGTTTATACCAAAGGTGTTCGATGGGCTTAAGGTCAGGGCTCTGTGCGGGCCAGTCAAGTTCTTCCACCCCAAACTCACACCATTATGGACTTTAACAACCAACCATGCCTTTATGGACCTTGCTTTGTGCACTGGGGCACAGTCATGTTGTAACAGTAAATGTGACGTAAGGTTTGCATGCAGCTGCTTGGCCAAAATTCCTGGCGCACAGTTTTTAGTTGTGATGTTAATGCCTGAGGAGGTTTGGAACTCTGCAGTTACTGAGTCAGTACAGCGTTGGCGACTTTTATGGACTATGCACCTCATCCCTCGCTCTGTAACTTTACGTGGCCTGTCAGTTCGTGGCTGTGCTTCCACGTGTTTGAAGTACTGCTCATAGTTGATCGTGCAATATCTAGTAAAAAAAATTCACAAACTGACTTGTTGCAATGGTGGCATCCTATTACAGTACCATGATGAAATTTAGTGAGCTCTTCAGAACGACCCTTCTTTCACAAATGTTTAAAAAAGGCAGACTTCATGGCTAGGTGCTTGATTTTATACACCTGTGGCAATAGGACTGAATGAAATATCTGAATTCAATGATTAAGAGGTGTGTCCCAATACTTTTGTCCATATAGTGCATAATACAGCATTTTTGTTGTTTTTTTTATGATTATTATTATCATCATTATTATTATTAACGACTAAGTGTCGTCAAGTCATTTCCAACTCTGGCGACCACATGGATAGTGTTTCTCCAGAATATTCTGTCTGCTGTTTGAGTCATCAGGCTTCTAAACGGCCATCCATGAGTCCTCTTTCACGCTCAACTCTCAAGCATAATGGTTCTTTCCAGTGAACTGATTCTTCTCAGGATATGTCCAAAATAAGCTTCAGTTTAGTTATCTGGGCTTTAAGTGAGAGATGAGGCTTGATTTGTCTGGGGATATGTTCTTTTGTTTTCTTTGCTGTCCAAAGTACTATCAAAAGTCTTCTCAGGCAACAAAGTTTAAAGGCATCTATATTTTTCCTGTCTTGCTTGTTCCATTCAGCTTTTACATTCATAAAAAAAAACACAGAGAAGACTATAGCCTGGACAATTCTGATTTTCTTGTTACATGTTTTGCATACAACTTGAACAGGTATGATTTTATAAAAAGGTATGCATGATGATATCAGAACTGTATTGGCAGATAATTACTTTAAAAAGTAGAAGCATTAGACAGATTTAACCGATATTTCAAGGGCTTCTGTGCTAAAACTGCTGTGTAAGTTAACACTGTTGAGGATCAACTTAGTGAAACTTAGTGAAAATAAGTTGACATCCACAGGAAACAAAATTATGACAATTTTTGCCAATTTTAGTGAATACAGTGCATTTATTTGCTGAATTGAACACATTGAAAAAAAATTAAAACATATGTAAAATGTGTCATAACTTTTAATGCATAGTTAGGCACAGGCCTAACTATGCATTAACATGAGCAGAAGTGTGTTCACAGTGGAGGATGTGTTAACTTATTTTCACTCAGAACATCAACAAAACATAATTTGACCAGGGGTGCCCAAACTTTTGCATACCATCAAAGAATGCCTGGCCAACAATGTCCTGTGTTTGGAAACACACCATTGATGAATGATTAGAGGATGACCAAAACATCCTCAAAACAAATTATGACAGACTGAAAAAAAAGTTAGTAACTATAAACCTAAAAAACATACTTATAAAAAAACAAATCACTTTGAATAATTCATGAGTATTCTTCAGATAATCTTCATGATTCAGTGCATTTGGGAAATTAATATGCAGGTACATGCTAGTAAATGCTAATATACACAATGACTGAGCTCATGGTACTGCACAGACACACTCATATATGTCCTTTTGTCCTTGGTTTATACTGATATCTTGAGCATAAGTTATGAACACTTTGAAATCTTTGAAGTCAGTTTTTAGGTAGACACACACACACATACGTACTCCAGCATGAAACTTGTTCCTCTTCGCTGTGCTGTGTAATCTCTGAAGGCCTGCTCAGCCGTTTTGAAACGCTCTTACTTGTCACTCCATCTGTTACCGTGCAGACGGGCCCTGAGGGCAGCCTTAGGGGAGGTGGAACAGGGTGGGAAGATTTCTTTAACAGCTTGTTACCTGTAAGCTAACAAGAAATGCACAGTTACTATTTCCGTATATTGTACTATTTCCATATAATGTCATTTACTTTCACTGTTCACTTAGAAGCACCTACCCTGTAGCTCCACTTGCTGGTGTAAAGTTGATCTATATTAGTGATCCTCTAGCCCTTGTCAGTTTCTGACCTCAGAGCCGCTTTTGGGTGGTGGACTACTCTCAACCTGGCAGTGATATTGATGTGTAAAAACTCCAGTAACATTGCTGTGCTGAAAAAGGTCTGGTCAATATCGGCCTTGTGGTCAGAAACTAGCCATTATGAAGGTAATACTTTATAATAGTTTATAATAAAATTATTTAATAGTTTGTTAATGACTGTTACAAAGTTACATAATAGTTACATATTGTCACTGTCATATCTCCATTTTTGACGTAATTTGAAACTGCCATCAATATTTCATGATGAATGGACCAAACTTACTTGAAATAAATAGCTTCTTTATTAATATCTATTAAAAGTGAAGAATGTTTTTCCTTCTCCTGTAAAGTTGCCTTTTTGGAAACACAAGGTTTTGTTCAGTGATGATATGCATTCATAAATGGTACCATTTGAATTATTAACCATTCAGTTTTCACTAGTAAAAAGGACAACATAGAAATCAAACCACTTAAATACAGTTTATTTATGGTTTAGTTATTTTACACTCTGAACTCAATAGTTATATATTTTGAAATATAAAGCATTCATTTACTTACATAAACATGAGTCCTAATAATTACAACCCTGTTTCCAAAAAGGTTGGGACAAATGTGCAAAATGTTAATAAAAACAGAATGCAATGATGTGCAAATCATTTAAACCCTATATTTTATTGAAAATAGTACAAACAGTTCAGGGTCTCCTTTATTGTATTTTTCATTTTGTAATGCACCAAATGTTTTCATTGGTTGACAGGTCCGGACTGCAGGCAGGTCAGGTTAGCAGCCAGACTCTTATTACAGAGCCTTGCTATTTTAATACATGCAGAATGTGGTTGGCTGAAAAGCAAGGTTGTCTTGACAGCAGCATATGTTGCTCCCAAACCTGAATCTATTGTTCATCATTAATGATGTCATGACATCCATGCCATGTGCACTAATGCACACCCCTACCATCAGCTTCAATGGCTACAAAATATTTGGTGTAACAAATCTTCTTTTGGAAATGCTATTTTCTAACTTGGTATTGCGGCCTTCCACACATTAATTAAGATTTTACACATCTTCTCTTTTGTCTTTGTTTGGAGAAATTAGTAACAATTCACTCTTTATACAAATCTCTTGGGAAATGGAGTAAGTTTTCAGATTTACAAATATGCTATGGCACACTGTCAAGTTTTTCATAGGTATCCTGGGCATAGTTAGAGTTGCACCAACTAGGTGTACCAATTTGCTAGAGCATCACCCTGAATCAGACCACTGCCACATCTATAGATAGCTAAGAATACCAAAGACAGAAGCCTGCAGATTGTGGGAGAAGCAGGCTACACAATGACCCTTCCCTGAATTTGTATTTGAGTGTCTATTTTCCCTAATAGACAGTACAACAGCATTATTAGTTTTTTTTTCAGGAACCACCCAGAATTTAAATTTTGAAACATTCAGGGAGCCCAAGTGATTCATTAGGGGCTCCCGGACCCCCCGAGGACAGTAAAGCATCAGGAAAATTATGATGCCCTTGTAAGGGCCTTATTAGGCCTTTTTAGTCACTGGTAATTAACTGGCTGCTCATTATCACTGTTTTAAACAGTAGCTAGGGTGCATTAGCATCTTCTTAAGTGAAAACATTTAATTTATACTTTAGAATAGAAAGTCAGCTTGCCTTTATTTAGAGCTAATTGTTAATTTACTGTTGTTAGAGGCTAGCTTCAATGACTGTATTACAACCCCATGTCCAAAAAAGTTGGGATGCAAAATGCAACTATGTGCAAATCATGTAAACCATATTTTTAAAGGAAAATACTACAAAGACAACATCAGATGTTGAAACTGAGAAATTTTATTGTTTTTGAAAATATATGCCCATTTTGAATTTGATGCCAACAACATGCTCCAAAAAAGTTGGGACGGGGCATGTTTACAACTGTGTTTCTTCATCTCTTCTTTTAACAACACTCTGTAAGTGTTTGGTAACTGAGAAGACCGACTGCTGTAGTTTTCAAAGTGGAATGCTTTCCTGTTCTTGCTTGATATAGGATTTCAGCTGCTCAACAGTTCAGGGTCTCAGATGTTTTAATGGGTGACAGGTCTGGACTGCAGGCAGGCCAGTTTAGCACCTGGACTCTTTTAATACAGAGCCAGGCCGTTGTAATACATGCAGAATGTAGTTTGGCATTATCTTGCTGAAATAATCAAGGCCTTTCCTGAAAAAGATGTTGTCTGGATGGCAGCATATGTTGCCAAAACATGTTGCCTTCACAGATGTGCACGTCACCCATGCCATGTGCACTAATGCACCCCTATACCATCATGAATACTGGCTTTTGAACTGTGCACTGATAACAAGCTGAGTGGTCTTTAGCCATGAGGACACAGTGTCCATGATTTCCAAAAGAAATTTCAAATGTTGATTCGTCGGACCACAGGGCACTTTTCCACTTCCCCTCAGTCCATTTTAAATGAGCTCAGGCCCCGAGAAGGTGGCAGCTTTTCTGGAACCTGTTTATGTATGGTTTCTTCTTTGTGTTTTAGAGTTTTAACTTGCATTTGTGGATGCAGCGACAAACTGTTTTCACAGACAGTGGTTTTTAGAAGTGTTTCTGAGCCCATGCAGTGATTTCCACTAGAGAATCATGTCATGTTTTTAATGCAGTGCTGCCTGAGGGCCCAAAGATCATGGCCAGCAAATACTAGTTTTTGGCCTTGTCCCTTGTATACAGAGATTTCTCTGCTATTCTTTGCTATTTTTGTAAGGGCCCAGCCTGCAAAGGGCAATGGCGACAAGGTGCCACAAGTTCAGGGAACTCCAATTCCCAGAAGCCCTCGGGCTGATTAGACCCAACCTGGCACACCTGTGGGCTCCTCTACTTAAGGGTGTGGCAAACAGCAGCCCTTTGTCACACCTTTGTAGACTCATCACACTGGGCCAGTCACTTTGCGAGTGGGCTCTCACAGTGAGAGCACTGTGCTATACCTCACCCAAGCCCCCTATTTACAACTGGTGTGGGGTTTCCCAGCTGGGAACCTCCAGGAGGTCTTCAGTAAAGAAAAGGCCCAGGTCCTGCCACCCCACAGGGAATTCAACTGCACCATCAATCTGCTCCCAGGCACCACATGGTCGTGGTCAGTTGTCGAATGTGCTGCTAAGGATGAATACATCTGAGAAGGTTTGGAGCTGGGTTTCATTCGCCTATTCTCCTCTCCCACAGGAGCAGGCTTCTTCTTTGTCGGAAAGAAAGATGGAGGCCTCTGACCCTGCATGGATTACCGTGGTCTCAATGCCATTACTGTAAAAGACCGCCACCCTCTGCCCCTCATGTCAACAGCATTTGAGGCACTTCAGCAAGCTGCAATATTCACTAAGCTGGACTTGCACAGTGCTTACTGTATGTAAATGTAAATGCTTACAACCTCATCCACATTAGCTAGGGGTATGAATGGAAGACGGCGTTCATCACCCCCACTGGGCATTATGAGTACCAGGTAATGCCCTTCGGGCTAATGAATGCACTGGCGGTCTTCCAGCGCTTCCTGAGGTCCTGAGAGAGGCCCTGGGTCATTATGCGTATATTTACCTCAACGACATACTCATTTACAGCCGGTCCCTAGGGGAACATGTTGGGCACGTCAGGCAGATCCTGCAGCTATTGCTGGAGAACCGCCTGTATGTTAGAGAAGTCGGCTCTATGGTATCCTTTTTGGGCTTCGTGGTGTCCAAGGGCACCCTCTGCATGGACCCGGCAAAGATAAGAGCCGTGGTGGACTGGCCCCGTCCTACCTACCTCCGGTTGGTCCAACATTTCCTGGGGTTTGCCAACTTCTTCCAACACTTTGTGCAGACATTCAGTTCTGTGGTGGCTGCCCTCAACACCCTTACCTGGAAGTCCCCAGTGCCTTTTTGTTGGACCATCAAAGCCCAAAAGGCTTTCGAGGAGATCAAGGCGCGGTTAACATCCCCCCCTTCTCCAGCTGCCCGACCTGGAGGAACCATTTGTCGTCAAGGTGGATGCCTTGGAAGTTGGTGTGGGAGCAGTACTCTCCCAACACCTAGGTCTGGCCAAGAAGCTCCACCCATTTGTGTTGTTCTCCCACCAACTTACCCCAGCTGAACGCAACTATGATGTTGGAGACAGGGAGCTTTTGGCCGTAAAGCTTGCCCTGGCTTGAGGGGTCTAAACATCCCTTTGTAGTCTGGACTGACCACAAGAACCTGGCCTATATCCAACAGACAAAGCGCCTCAACCCACACCAAGCCCAATGGGCGCTGTTCTTTAGCCACTTTAAGAACTCTGAGAACACCAAGCCAGATGGCCTGTGCAGACAGTGGGCGCCTCGGGGCCTGACCCCTCCCCGGAACCCATCATTCCCACCCCTCGGCTGTAGACCACCATCAGGGAGGCACCACAGCAGGAGCCCAATCCCGGAGGCGGTCCTCCTGGAAATTTGTACGTGCCTGCAGCTGTGCGGCAACAGGTCCTGCAATGGGGGCACACCTCCCCATTTTCAGGTCACCCAGGGGTGACTAGGACTCTGGACTTTTTGCGCAGGTGGTTTTGGTGGCCTAGTATGGAGAGAGACCTCCATGCCTTTATAGTGTCTTGTGAGACGTGTCCCAAAGGGCTCGTCCACCCACTCCCCTGCATGTCCATGGTCTCACGTCTCCCTGGACTTCATCACAGGCCTACCCCCTCTCCAAGGGCAACACGGTCATCCTGGTCCTTGCGGACTGCTTCTCCAAGGCATGCAAATTTGTGGCACTGCTTAAGCTTCCGTCTGCCAAGGAGACAGCAGAGCTTCTATTGTGTCACATTCACGTGTCACATTCCTCGGCCCATTCCTTTCCAGGGCTCGTTGCCGGCTCCCTGGCATGCACGGTCTGACGCCTCCTCAGCTCCCGCCGTGTGTGGGGTAGCATCCAGAACCTGGTAGACTGGAGGGCTACGGGCACAAGGAACGGTCTTAGGTTCCGGCATGTCATATCTTGGACCCGGAACTCATTAGAGAGTTCCGGCGGGCGCAGGTTGCTAGCCTGGGGACTTCTGGGGCCATCCCTGGGAGAGGGGGTCCTGGAAGGGCAAGGCGCCACAAGTTCAGGGAACTCCAATGCCCAGAAGCCCTCGGGCTGATTAGGCCCAACCTGGCACTCCTGTGGGCTCCTCTACTTAAGGCTGTGGCAAACAGCAGCCCTTTGTCACACCTTTGCAGAGAGGTGACCGGTACGTATTTAAACAAAAAAGAAAAGAAAAGCAAGGGAAAAAGAAAAGAGTGCTGAAATAGAAAGAGAGAAACTGCCCCAAAACTACTTAAAAGCCAAAAAAAGAAGGCTTGAACAAGAAATGGCTCCAAGCCATACAAAAAGTGTTTGCTCTACAAAAAGCAAACAGGTGAAACATAAAGTTGACCTTCCTCTCATAATCACAGAGGAACTGTTTTTGTTTTCTGATTATCTTTTATTTCACTTTTCTATCTCAGCCTTTGTTTGGACACGCTGCTTTCAGCACCCCTTTGTTTTTCCCGTTTTCGCCTGTGCTTCCCGGTGGCACAGTGGTAACTCCTTTGACTGCCACCTCAACCCCAACATGCACAATCACCCAATTCACACTCCATCACCTCAATAAATTCATTTAAGACCCTTTCTCACGGGTTTTCCTATCTGCACTTGGGTCCGTCTCCCTGCCGTCCCGTAACAATTTTACACTGAGAAACATTATTCTTGAATTGTTGCACTACAATTTACTCATGCAGTCTTAAACAGAGTTGTGAACTTCTCCTCACCTTTACTTCTGAAAGACTCAGACTCTCCAAGATGCTTTATTATACCCATTCATGTTACTGACCTGTTGCCAATCAACCACCAGGTATTTTTTTTTAGCATTACACAACTTTACCAGTCTTTTGTTGCCCCTGTCCCAACTTTTATGGAATGTGTTGTTGGCATCAAAGTCAAAATGGGCGTAGCTTTTTCAATAGACAATAAAATTTTTTCAGTTTCAACATTTGATATGTTGTCTTTGTACTATTTTCAAGTAAATAAAGGGGTTAAATGATTTGCACATCATTGCATTTTGTTTTTATTTACATTTTGCGCAGCGTCCCTATGGAGTCAAATTTGGGTCTTTAATAGTGATGAGAAAATAAAACTATCACAAAAATGTGGTCTCAGCGAGTTGCAAAAATAATTACATATTGCAAACAAAGAAGAGAAATTGCTACCTTTTTTCTCGTGCAACACTTATTTAGGATAAATCTTTTGCGACACTATTTTTTCTCTGCATTTTGCGTTTTATGCTCCTATTTTTTTTCTGCAGAACTTTCCACTTCTGCATTACTACTTTTTGTTTGCGTGTCAGTTTTGACCTCTTTTTGATTTGTGGGGTGTGGGAAGAGGAGAGTGTTGTGGCCAAGATGGAAAGGCGTGTCATGGACGTTTCATGTCAACAGCTGGAGCTGCTGCCACACAGCCCGTCATTCCAAATAACGCCATCATGACAGATGCTAGCCAAGCTGGACCATAGGTATTTATAGTTTATAAGGTGACACAATCAATAACAAATGGCCATGCAACATTAACATTTCCTGAACTTAATAGTTTTCCGTAGGTTCCAGTGTTGCTTGGTGTTGACTTCTGTTAAGTGAATATGTGCGCTCGAGGGCTTGGTTTGTGAAGGGAAAGTAAATTTAAGGAGATGCAACACCAGCACGCGCAGCCATAGGAACCGTTCGGATGTTTGAACGTGCAAGCCACGTTAGCATATACTCATCACAGTTCTAACTGGCTGCAAACACTGTTCAATTTAGTAACTGAAAACAAAGCGGTAGCACTTTACATTAAGGGTACATGATCTGCCAATAATTAGGCATTTACTAATGAATATCTAATCAGAAAGTAAGAGTCATTAATCAGGAACAAATGAATAAGTTATATATTAACAACCACAAGATTAAATTACTAACACATGTATTAATGAATGAAGATGAAGGTAACAGAGGTTTTCTTCAATATCTGAATTTATCAGGAATTCATGTGTTAATTAATGATCCCCCTGAGACACAGTGCTCTGGAATATTATGCCTATCAAAGTCAACTGTTTTTCTGTAGCTCCATCCTCTCATCATCTTGTCCTTCTGCTTCATCTTGCTGTGTAGGCAGCCCTTGTATTTGCCTGTCTTCATCTATCAGGTCTTGAGTTTATTGTTTTTGTTTTCTTATGTTATCCTGTCTGTTTCTACCTACCTAGTGTCTGTTTATTTAATAAAATTAAAAGCTTACACTGACATCTTTTTGCAACTAGTCCTCATTTGTAACAGTTGCTATAGTTTTATTTCATCATTCATGTTAATACATGGCACGTTTTGTGTTGATACACAGTGCCTCATGAGGAAATGGTTTGTCCTACAGTTACCACTGAACTCGGAAATTAGTTAATAATCATTTGGGAAAGTGTAGTGCGAGAAACACAAACTCCTTGCTAAACAACCAAAACGGTTTACTATAAATAAGTAAGCACCAAGCCAAATATTTAAGCTACTTTACAACGAACACCATCTGCAAATCCGTTCTGTTTCACCACAGATAACAGCTCCATGTTTCACACGTTAGTCTAAAAAGATGTGAAGCATGAAAATACATATTAGCACTCACAACAGTCAGGATACTAGGCAATACCATGTGTAAACATTATATCTGCAGTTGCGTGTATAATCTAGTATGTGTATGCATAACTCACCTGTAAAAGTAAAAATAAAATGCTTTCATGTTGGACATTTTTTTTTATTATTATAATTATTTCAGTGATTTTCATTCGCTTCTCCTAAACAGTTTCATAGAGACATTCATTCAAGACTCTGGCCGCTTGACATATAGCAATTATTGCAATTACTGCCACCTACTGGCAAAGAAAAATAGCTGTAATTTCCAGCTGCGGAAACAGTTGAAGAGTTTCTTTCCAAAATGCTGTGTTTCCATTACTACAAAAATTAAATGTAACACATTTTTAAAAAGAATAAAAGATGTACAATGGGAAACACATTTTTATTTTTCTAAAGGTGTTTTTTTCATAATAACAGTGGCATATATTCAGATAATTCACACTTTTAATTAAATCAAATGCCTATTGTCAGTAAATAACCTAAATAAAAACAAAGTTTAAGTTTATGTTGTAACAGTATGACATTGTAGTATGATATAGGTAATGATAAATAGGACGAAACTAACAGAGCTTCGAGCAGAATTTTCCCGTTCCACCTTAAATGGTGCAGCTGTCACTTTCTGGTGCCTGAAGCTGCACCATTTAAGGTGGAAAGGGAAATTCGAAGAAGAAGCTGGCAAGTAGCTAACTTCAGGTTCGTGTAAGAAGGTGTCAATGTTAAGTTAATCTAGTATTAATATCTACAAGGATTAAGGAATGCTATAACCTACCTAACTGCAAAGCATTAACTATCATTGTAAATAAATAACTACTACATAAAGTTAAGACCCTCTGAATAGACTATTACATGAAATAAGCTTAATATAAAACCAGAAGAAAAACAATCACATCAACAGGTTACCTGTGCCTCACCAACCACACGGCCATATCTACACATAAACACCACACAATATGCATCACACAAACACGAGCGTGGATCACTGCGTTCCCTCCGTTATATAATACTATCCCACTTTCTGAGTGCAATATTCTTGAAATAGTATAATTTTGGACAGTATCTTTCTTAAACTGCTGCTCTGTAATGGTACTGAATGCAGTCCAGCAGCAATGTTGACCGCCCTGAAACGGCAGCGCCGTTGACGTGCCTGTCTGAACGCGGCACCTAGGTATGTATATCCATGGTTGAAATGACAGACTGTGTGGCGGCAGCTCCAACTGATGACACCCTACAAATCAAAAAGGTCAAAACTGACACGCAAACAAAAAAGAGTAACGCAAATGGGGAAAGTACTGCAGAAAAATAGGAGAGTAAAACGCAAAGAAAAAATAGTGTCGCGAAAGATTTATCCTAAAAAAAGTGTTGCAAGAAAAAAAGGTAGCACAATTTCTCTTCTTTGTTTGCAATATGTAATTATTTTTGCAACTCAATGAGACCACATTTTTGTCACTATTAAAGACCCCAATTCGACTCCATACATCCCAACTTTTTTGGAGATGGGGTTGTAATAAGAATCTAAAGAAAACACCAAACTACTGCTTTGTTAAGAAAAACTTAGTTATCTTAGCTATGAAATATAAAGTTTCCACGTTACAATAAGCAGGCAGTCTGCATTTATTTAGAGATGATTTACTATTGAGGAATCAAAAGAAAACACACCCAACACCCAGCTAGTGCTTTGAAAAGAAAAAAAAAAAAACAATTCCGATGAGACGCAATGTAACTAATAATGTAGTTCATGATAGAGTTCATTAATACACACATTCCATTGAGACTCAGTACTCAGGTACTGGCTGTGCAAAAGAGTATGATATATAAAACACAAATGAAAGTGCTCTGAAAATGTTCAATTCACCCTAGTTATTGCTTAATGAAGTAATAATAAGCAGCCAGTTAATTAACAACTACTAGCTTGATAATGCCTAACAAGAGAATTGCAAGTGTATTATACACCAACACTTGCATTAACAAGTCATAACTTGCATTTGTAGAAGCAGTTACGGACACTGTTTATTGACAATGTTTTGTCAAAGTTTTCCTGAGCCCATGAGGTGATGTCTATCACAGAAACATGCTGGTTTTTAATGCAGTGTCGGCTGAAGGGTTGATGTTCATGGGGATTCATTTGTAGTTTTCATTCGTTTTCCTTTATGCAAAGAGATTTCTCTGGAGTCCCTGAATCTGTTGATGATATGCACCATAGAGGGTGAAATATCTAAAATCTTTGCAATCGCTTGCTCAACATATTTTTAATGTTGGATTTGTTGCTGATGCAATTTTGCCAATGTGGTGAGCCTTGACTCATCCTTGCTCAGAAAGGACTCAGCCTTTCCTAGATGCTCCTGTTATTTGCAAGCATGATTGCATCACCTATTTGAGATGTTTTTTGAACACTTCGCAATGTTCCCAGTCTTAAGTTTGCTGTGTCCCAATTTTTTTGGAATGTGTTGCAGGCATCAATTTACAAATGAGTGAATATTTGCAAAAAACAAGGAAGTTGAAGGAAGATAAAACTTTGCATATCTTGCCTTGATACTGTTTTCATTTAAATACAGGTCAAACTAGATTTAAAAATCAATGCTTTCTGTAACTTGCATTTTACCTACTGTCCTAACTCTGTATTTGTACAATTACAGATTGTAGTCCATCTGTTTTTCTCTACATACATTGTTAGCTCCCTTTTACCCTGTTGTACAATGGTCAGGACCTCCACAGAGCAAGTATAATTTAGATGGTAGATCAGATCTTGTGTGGTGGCATGTTAATGTGTGTTGCGCTGGAATGAGTGGATGAGACACAGCACTGCTTGTCAAGTTTTTAAACAGTGTCCACTTACTGTCTACTCTATTACACACCTATCTAGTTGGTCCACCTTGTAGATGTAGAGTCACAGACAACAGCTCATCTGCTGTTGCACAGTTTGCATTAGTCATCCTCTAGTCCAGAGTTGCCCAATCTTGGTCCTGGACCAGTCTAGATAGTTCACCTGGTTCTAGTTTTCAGATCCTCCCTGAAGGCCTTCATTACCTGGATCAGGTGTGTTAGATTAGGGTTGTAGCTAAACTATGCAGGGTGGTAGATCTTCAGGACCAGGATTGAGCACCCCTGCTCTAGTCCTTTATCAGTAGTCACAGGACACTACCCAGAGGATGCTGTTGGCTGGATATTTTTGGTTCTCAGTCCAGCAGTGACACTGAGGCTTTTAAAAACTCCAGCAGCATTGTTGTTTCTGATCCACTTATAACAGTGAAACACACTAACATGCCACCATCACATTAGTGCCACTGCAGTGTTACTGGTGGTCCTATGGAGGGTTTGACCATAGAAGAATGGGGTAAAAGGGAGCTAACAAAGTATGCAGAGAAACAGATGGACTAGAATCTTTAATTGGAGAAGTATAAAGTGCACCTATGTGGTAAATGAACCTAATAAAATTGACACAGAGTGTGGATACAAGGTAGATGGTGTAATGTTGGTGTAACGTCCCCCTATACTGTAGTGTAACTATTATGAATTGAGGTCAGGGTGGCTAAAAATGGATAACAGATCTTCTATAACTGTGGAGCTATAAAGTAGGTGAAACTGTACAAACACACAAAACTAATAGCAAACCTTAAATGGAGTGGGAGTGAAAGGGTTGGCTGGAGAGAGGTGTACAAGTGGACTCGGATTCTCACACTTCTACAGGGGAAAGAAACAATTAGCATGCTAACTTAAGCTTCATTTAACCAGAAATCTCTTTTTTGAGATTTTAATTTCAAGAGTCTTCCACACACAGCTTCACACACAGAACTTAACTACGCACAGCTTTACAACATATAAACAAGGGCAAAATGGAGAGCATTCACATACCAAGTGATTTTGATGGTTGGTGTGTGATAGATCTTGTTCTTCATGCCTGACCACAGGGTCCAGCTGTATTTCAGAAACAGCAAAAACAACTTACATGTTATGGTGGGCAATATGGGAAAAATATAATATCACAATAAAGGTAATACACAATGTATCACAATATTTATTTTCTAGAGATTTAACAAAAACCAATAAAAAGTATCATCTTTAAAAAACACTTTCAAAACCTATAAATACAGTGGTGTGAATACAAATAATTTTTATTCAATACTTTACCTACTGCGCTATATGAATTACATGTAAACAGGTATAATTATTGTCCCTTTCTGATTAAACTTGTACTTGGTCAGTCCCTTTAATGCTCTAAGCATACTGTGACAAATTGTAATGGATTTTATCATGATAATGATAAATAATGTCATATTGCCTAGTGCTACTTAAATGTACTGTGGTGGGAATTGAGGTGGGTCTGAACAATATTTAGTTATAGCTGTGCAAACATATGAATATTATAAACTGGTCACGAAAAGGTATTTCTAAATATTTTATGCAAATTTCACAATTTTCTGAAACAACAAGAAATTATTCAATGATAAATAATGCAGTTAGCCCATTTTATCCTCGAAATATTACAACCTTTTTTCTTGAAATAGTACGACTTTTTTCTCGAAATATTACGACTTTTTTCCTCGAAATAGTATGATTTTTTTCCTCAAAATATTATGACTTTATTCTCGAAGTCTACTATTTTTATTTTTATTAACAGCGGCCCTAAGTACGCCGTCGTACTTGTGAGGTCCTGACCATTGAAGAACAGGGAAAAAGGTAGCTAACAAAGTTTTCAGAGAAACAGATGCTCTACAGTCTATAATTATAGAACTACAAAGTGCTCTTATTTGGTAAGTGGACCTGAAAAATGGACAATGAGAGTAGAAACCAGGAAGCATAGGAGGTGTGCTTAATGCAGTGGCAAGCAGTGTTTATGTGTGTTACCTGAGGATTCTGCACTAGTAGTTCCAATCTGTTCCCTGCCCGGCGAATAGCCTCCACTGCTTCTTCATGAGTAAAATCTCTCACATCCACACCGCCAACCTAACACAACAAACAAAGTGTTAAATCTGTTTTTCCCCAAAGGCAGCAAAAAAATAGCTGTACTGCCCAAACAGAGATTGGAACGCCCATCTCCAGCACACAAAGCTGAAGATTATCCACTTTGCTATTTGCTATATACTATAGGGTTATACACTTTGCTGTTTGGGGTCTATCTGTGCATGTGCAGAATTGAAAAACTGACTTGTGCTTCTACTTTGTCCAGTATGTCATACAATGATAGAAAGCACATAAACAGGTCTGTTTGAAAATTCTTAATAATTAATGGGCGATCCTACTGCTTTTCTAGTGATCCAATACCAACTAATAACACAGCTAATATCCTGATGCCAATAAAGGGCATTTCTTTGTAATTTCTACAGTGAAAACCAGTAAAAAAGGTGACATTAAAAATAATAGCAAAATGCCTTTACATTAGCATTAAATAAACTGCCACATAAACTTCTGTTTAGGTAAATAACTCCAAATTATCTGTCATTATAGAGCATTTGCTGCATCTTATGCGGCTGTCTGCGGCTATAAGAAGCAGAGGGTGAGGGTGGAAGGAAAAATTTCTATCCTGTATTTATTTTTTCCCCAATTTTTACAATTACTTTTATAAAACTGAAGCATGTTCAGTTTACTGCTTAAGGAAAAACACCTAGAATTGATATAGTCATGTGAGGATCGATCCTCTAAAAGAAGTGTCACAATCATAAGTACTGATATTTTAGTATCGATCCGCCCAGCCCTGCTAACATCTTGATGCAGTTTGAGACAAGTGTGCAATGATTTGGGCCTGCCAATCGGCCCTTTTCACAAGAAATGGAAATATGTAAATGACAGGTAACACAAGTTTTGCTATTGCCTTACAGACCAATTATTAACCTAAGAAATACTGCCGCTCAGCTCACCACGGAAATGTATGTCACTTCATCTTTGTCATAGTTGACAAGATTGATATTTGAGGATGTGTTTAGAGTTGTTGGTGAACACCAAACACACAACAATGTGAGCGTCCAAGCTGAATAAAGATATACACCTTTCATGGAAAAAATTCTTCACAGCTATCAGGGTACAATAACGTCAGTTAACATCTATAAAGTGATAAAACGATGGTTAGGTGAAAATTACTATATCCAAAAGACTAGCCATTTTAGATTAGCCATTTTGGAACAGCTTGCTAACAAGAAATTAGCTAGCAAACAGGCAGGGGGCGTGCCTCTTAGGCATGGTCCGTAGCACCACTGTAGACTTTTTCCATAACTACTGGCTCTAGTGATGTACGACTCTGGGTTTTCTGGAGTCGACTCTGACACTTGACTCTGCTTATTTTTAACCAAGACAGTGCCAGAGCCTGTTATAAAGAGATATAGCAGAGATTTAACCACCCTAAATGTTTACTCAATTTTAGGAGCTACTTTATATATAGCATATGAATAATATATATTTGTAGTAACAGTAATATGATGATAATTTGGAGATTATACCAAAAAATATCAGAAATCTTAACAAATGATTACAGCTAACTGTTTCAAAATATCTTACTATTAAATAGCTTATTTCACATAAACAAACTTGTAGTGATGTACTGAGAAAATTATTACTGTAGTCAGCATTCTCTGAGAAAACAGCCAGGTTTTCATTTTAGAGCAGTAGGATGTTATATTGTGCCTCTTTTCACAAGGCTGAAGTTGGCTTTGTATTCATCAGTTTCTTATTCAACTTTTCTGTTCCTTAAATTATGCACCACTTACCTCAATGGTCTGCCAGCACCAGAATCCATTTAAGGTGGTACAGAAACTTTGAATAAGACATTCCTAGTAAGTGGCCAACTTCAACTTCATCCTTTTCCACAATGTTCCCTGGAACTTTTTTTGTTTGTTTTCTTTGCTTCAGATGCTTTTTTTGTTCTCTGTAATGTTTCTAATCATTATTTATTGCAACCCTAATTGCGAAGAAAATGTTGAATGGGGTGCAGAGCAGTGAAGGACCATTTCAAAATCGTTTTTGTGACCAGAGTAGCATTGGCATTGTTTAAAGTCTGGTAATTAAATAAACTTAAGCTACTCAGACTCTTTCCAGCTTTACACATGCTTTCAAAATGTTCTTTGTGGCAGTTGGGATGAAAAATATGGAATCGAATTGCCTCCCCATTACTAATTGGCTCCAGGGAACAGAAATCTCTTTCCTGCTGAGCAGTTGTGCTCTCTGACAGCTTTTGAAAAGTGCTCCACTGAAAGTGGCTAAGAACAGCATCAACCTTTAAGCATGAAGTGCCTCCAGTGTAACATTAGTCAGCAGTGGTAATATGCTGACACAAGTCACAAAGGTACTTCCTCTCCATATGGCAAAGTTTACTCCTCTGTCCCTCTCATTTCGCATCTGCACATTGCCAGTTGAAAAGCCATCCAAAATTGAGATCTCTTGCAGTTCCCCATTGTTACTCTTGTTGTTGTTGTTTTAGCTATATTAGCTCTGGTACAAAACTAAAGAGGCAAACTTCAAACACCTGACATGTTTTGGCTGCATTTGAGGAAAACGGTGTAAATTTCTGTCCAACTATTGCTTGAACAGAGTGAACTCAAACTCTACTCTTCTGAAACTGGCCAGGACAAATATAAAGATAACTGTAAAGCATATATACAGTATGTAGTCAATCAAGTGGCCACAAGATGGAGACAATGCAGTTATAGTTAACCTTCCACACACTTGTAGTATTCGGTCTCCAGGTTTGAGTGTGCTGTCTCTTGCTGCAGGACTGTCTTCTGCTATGTGTTTAATAAAGATTCCCCGCCTCATTTCTCCATTGCTCAGGCGACGACCCATGCCACGCCCACCAATAACACTGATGCCAAGACTTTCTCCATTCCTCCTGATTAGTGTCACTCTAAGAAACAAATGAATAAGACCATGAATAATTATTCTTCTGAAATAACACAAGATTTTCATAACAGGCTACCCTGCAGAAGCTAATATTTCAGTTCAGCTCCTGAAGGGACTGGAAATTAGCTGATGAATTGAATCAGGTTAAATCAAACATTATACTGTGCCTGTGTTTGTCTTGTGTCTGTATCTGTCTATATCTTACCTTCTGGGATGACTCCATGAATCATGATCAGTTCTCTGCAGCACCTCACTCTCTTTGTCTCTTTCCTTCTCTTCTTCTCTCTGTCCGTTTGCTTGCCATGAGCCAACTGTGTCTTTCGCTGCACTTTTTTCCCCCTCTTTTTTCTCTCGATCATCTCTGTGTCCCCACTGTGACAGGCCTTCTTCTTTTTCCTTCAGTCTCCAAGTTTTTCCATTTGTACTCCCTGCATCTACTTCCGCTTGTTGAGAGGTGCTTTTACTAAAACAAACAGATTTCTCATGAATGCTTAAAAACTATTATTAGTTTTAAAATATTAAAGTGAATGAATTAAAATATATGTTTAGAATAAAAAAAAAAAACTAAATTGCTAGTGTGGAATAGGTGTAAAATGTATCTAAAAGGTATCAATTAATTTACACTACCATTAATTTAAGCTAAGTGCTCCTTTTTGCCAAAATACAAAATTGTCAGGCCATTTTAGAATGGTCCAAAAATATTTTTATAAATTATTATAATTATTTAAATAAAAATATATTTTCATGACCTATATTCCACTTTGTTTGTTAATACCACATTTAGAGGGCATCAGTGAGTAATGTTTGTTTATTTACAACCCTGTTTCCAAAAAAGCTGTGAAAAATATAAATAAAAACAGAATGACATAATTAAAATAATACAAATAATTGAAAATAGTACAAAAACAGCATATATTGAAATCAATTAGAAATTGTATTGTTTTATTGAAAATATATGCCCAATTTGATGTCACAAACACGTTTAAAAAAATGTGACAGGTAACAAAATACCGGTAAAGTTATGTAATGCTAAAAACCTGGTGGTACATCTCACAACTAATTAGGTTAATTGGCAACAGGTCAGTAAAATGATTGGGTATAAAAAGATCATCCCAGAGAGGCTGAGTCTTTCAGAAGTAAAAATGGGTAGCAGTTCCCCACTCTGTACAAGACTGTGCAGGCAAAAAAGTGCAACAATTCAACAATAACTTTTAGTAAAATAGCAAAGAACTTGGAGAGTTCATTATCTACTGTAGATAATATGATTAACAGATTTAGAGAATCTGGAGAAATCTCTGTATGCAAGGGACAAGGCCAAAAACCAATATCGGCTGGCCGTGATCTTCGGGCCTTCAGATGGCATTACATTAAAAAGAGACACGATTCTGTAGTGGATGGGCTCAGAAACACTTCCAAAAACCACTGTCTGTGAATACAGTTCGCCGTTGCATCAACAAATGCAAATGAAAACTCCATGTAAAGAAAATACCATACATAATCAGGATCCAGAAACACCACCACCTTCTCTGGCCCTGAGCACATTTAAGATGGACTGAGGCGAAGTGGAAGAGTGTCCTGTGGTTCGACAAATCAAAATTAAAAAATGAAATTCTTTTTGGAAATCATGGATGCTGCGTCCTCTGGCCTGACAAGGAGAGGGACCATCCGGCTTTTTGTCAGCACACAGTTTAAGAGCCAGCATCTGTGATGGTATGGGGGTGCATTGGCACATATGACGTGGATGACTTGCACATCTGCGAAAGCACCACTAATGCTGAACTATATATACAGGTTTTGGAGCAACATATCATCGCTGCCCAAAGAAAAACATGTATATCCATCATTTGAGCACAACTGCTGCCCTTTAACTTGTGTGAAAATTTCATGATGAATGGACCAATAGAAATGCTCCACAATCGCTTTCAATAAAAGCTCTTTTCATGAACTTTCATTGAAAGTGAAGAATGTTTTCGTCCTCTCCTGTGAAGTTATTATTTTGGAGATACTTCTCTCTTTTTCTTTGGACAGCGATGATATGCTGCCATCCCCACAATGCCTTTTTCAGGCAAGACCTTGCTTATTTCATTCAGTGAGACAATGCCAAACCACATTTGCACATATTACTCCATAGTAACCTGGTGCTAAACTGACATGCCTGCAGCCTAGACTTGTCATCCATTGAAAATATTTGGTGTATTATGAAACAAAATACACAACAATGGGGACCCTGAGCTGTTGAGCAGCTGAAATCCTATATTAAGCAAGAAAGAGAAAACATTTTACTTTCTAAATTACAGCAATTAGTCTCCTAGATTCTCTAACGTTTACAGAGTATTGTTAAAAAAAAAGGTGATGCAACACAGTGGTAAACATGTCGCTGTCCTGAAACGTGTTGCTGGCACCAAATTTAAAATGGGCAAATATTTTTCAAAAAACAATAAAATTTCTCAGTTTCAACATTTGATATGTTGTCTTTGTACTATTTTCAATTAAACACAGGGTTTAAATGTTTTGCACATCATTGCATTCTGTTTTTATTTACATTTTGCACAGCGTTCAAACTTTTGGAAACGGGGTTGCATATTTGTTAATACCTCTAGAGGGCAGAAGTAAATAATGTTTGTTTATTTGCTGTTTGTTAACACCTCTAGAGGGCAGCAGTGAGTAACGTTTGTTTATTTGCTGTTTGTTAACACCTCTAGAGGGCAGCAGTGAATAATGTTTGTTTATTTGCTGTTTGTTAACACCTCAAAAGGGTAGGTTTCTTGTTTGGTTTCACCCCTAGATGGGAGTGATGTGTAATGTTTGTTTATTTGATGTTTGGTTGCACCTCTAGGGGGCAGAGATTGTAATGTTTGTTTATTTGATGTGCGTTAACACCTCTAGAGGGCGGCAGTGAGTAGTGTTTGTTTTTTGGTGTTTGTTAACACCTGTGTAAATAGTCCAAGCACATTCATGTATTGAAAGTATTTTTTAAAATAATCTTATAATAATCATAATGCTTAGTAGTGAAAAACCGAAATGCGTCATGGATTGAATTGTTTCTAAAAATACTGCAATTGAATCAAATCATGGTGAGGTTTAACTATTCTTACAGGTTATGAAAGGCCATGTCGAGAGTGTCCTGCTGCTGGGCCGACTGGGCAATGTTGGCTTGGTCCATTTTAAACATCTGCATTAATCGGACGGCGGTGACTTGTTCTGCATTCGTCTCTTGTTTTGACTGGACGATAGTGGCTCGGTGCATATCAAGAAAAGCTGCAGGTACATATGTGAAACTGCCAATGGCAAACAAGAGGAATAAAAAGAGGGATTAAAAACTTATATATAATTAAAAGCCAGCATACAAAACCCAAAGTATAGCAGAGTCATTTTGCTCAATCTATGTAGTAACACATAGCAATTACATGCTATTCTTCAAAGTTCCTGACTCACAAAGAGCTTGATAATTTGCCGAAGAGTCGAATCAGAGGTGTTTGATAAGTGAAAGCATTAAAAAGCCTACATTCTACATTTTTTTTCAGCTGAAGCCTACTTTTAACTTTTGTATTATTTTGTGCATCAAAAGCAGTTGTAATTTTTTTTTCCATGACCATTTTGAAACATTTTGAAATCTTTATACTTTATGATGAAATGAAACAAGCTTTTATTTCAATGCTTTTATAACTGTAGATGTAAATGATTACTATGTTTGACTGTGTGCTCTGTATCATGCCAGTCCAGGCTGAAACATACAGGATATATTGTTCAGACTAAAAGCTGCAGTGATACATTTGCATCCCAAAAGCCCAACAGCACATCATTTAGTCAATTTTTCGGACTGTCTCCAGCAACAACACTCTTTATTACTTCAACATGAATGAATGAACTAAACTGCTGTCGGCTAAGTGGCCATAGTGTGTGTTTTGCTATTTCTGCAGCATACACCTCTAAAGTCATAGGTCACCCAAACTCATATTAGGATCTCCAGGTCCAAGCTGGTTTTATGCCTGACAAAAATAAATGTATACAATTATCTTGTGAGTGTCACAGGAGCCTCTGTATTACATGGTCATTTAGCAGTCAAAATATGAATAACGCCACACACAAGCCAACACTCCTAATGCCAAAGCAACTTAACTACCATATTTGACAAAGCTTGCTGGTGTGTGTGTGGAGTATTTGGTGAGATTTTCAGCCGTATGGTGCAAAGCAGCGTTAGCTTGCATGTAGCAACAACTGTACTTCAGCTTGTTAATGACCTTGTAATTCAAAGTAGTCTAGTGACATTCAGACAAAAAATGTCTGTACAGCAAGATGTATTGGGCTTTGAGCAATTTTGTTTACCTCAGGGTGTGATTATACAAAATTGTCATACATTTTTTGCCTAAAGAATCCAATGTGGACACAGACAACACAACTTAAGGTCTCTATGGGCTGGAGATGGAATTGTATGTTTCAAAACTAATATTTACATGTCTACAAAATCTGTTTCTTTCTGAAACAGGGGCCTTAACATGGAGTCCCCAGGAGTGTGTGCATGTGCCTGAGGTGAAGTCTAATAGATGAGTGCCTCTGTAGCATAGTAATAACCTGTGCACTGGTAATGACTCTAAGGTTGTATAAGCACCTTGGTTTGGTCAAACAAGGGGATATCCCTGTAGATTAGCATTTCCCTTTTTAGGAATGTGTGTATGTGTACCTGTTGTTCTATACTTTTAAGCACCACAAAGTACTACTGAGATCCTACTGAGATCCATACTGAGTTTAGTACTCTGACTTGTGTGTGGGCATGTGTATTTGTCCTTCAATACTTTTCAGGACCACAAAGTGATGTTGAGGTCTTCACAAGTACTAAATTAATACTGTCAAGTATAGTATTATGAATTATCTGTGTGCATGTGTATTTGTCACTTTTTAGTTTCCTTTTGGCCACAGAGGTTAAAGTTAGATAGCATTTAGCTACATTTATACAGTAGTCAGGGGAACGATCTCACAAAAATAGAAACACAAACTAGTGTGTATATATACCTGAGGTCTGGTCCAAAAAGTGAATGTCTCCGTAACATGGCTCGAGCCTGTGCATTGGTAAGATTGGTGGCAGGTTCTCCGTTGATGGCTACAATTGTATCTCCTACTGCTAGTCTGCCGTCCTTACTGATAGCACCTCCATTAACCACTGAACGGATGATCATACCTGAACCATCCTTTATAGCGCTCACTGCCATACCTACACACACACACACACACACACACACACAGTTACATGTGACAGATCTTTTCTCAGTTTCTTTGTGTGTCACAGAATGTGCTGACTGTGTCTTAAACCAACTATTTTACCCTATTTTGCATGAAAAATCAGTGTAGGTTCTCAATGTTGTTAACCAAGAGGATTTAGAAGTGATGACATAGTCTGTTTTGAGTCGTATGTTTGGGCTGTATATGTACGTACAGAACTGTGCAAAAGTCAGAGACCACCAGTTAATAAATTTCCAACCAAAATAATCATTAAATTATTATTTTTTTAGCGTCAAGAAAAAAAAAGCAGAAAACATATTTAACAGAACATTACACAAAAGCGTCAATAACTGAATAAAATAGCAATATTTTCAATAGTTAGAGTGTCTACACTTTCTCTTAACCTAAAGCTTCCTTTCTTTTTGAGAGACTTGCTTTCAGTTTTTCAAAGAAATCTGCAGGGATGTTTTTCCACACCTACAAAGTTCAGTCATATAAATTGGTTGCATTTTCTGCTTTTCACAAGCCAAGTAACCCCAAACATGTTCAATGTTGTTGAGGTATGGACAGTCGATGTTGAGGTGGTCAGTCAATTGTTCTGAGAACAACAGCAGCTAATTTGTTTGAATATTTTCTTCTTTTTTGTCTATTTTCTTTTCTTACTAATGGCTTCTTGTCAGCTACATATCCTTTCAGACTCATCGAGTTGAGTTGTCTTCCCACAGTGGAAAGATGGACAAAACAACTGTGGATTTTTTCAGATCTGAAGCAAGAGTGAAGCTTGATATATCTCAAAGCTGAAAGCTTTAAGTACTGTATATCTGATAGTGACAGTTTTGGGGGTCTATCAGGTCTTGCATAATATTTTTTTGGACTTTTGAATACTATTTATTCCCACTCCTTTTCTTTTTGACTTTCCCTCGTTATGCAACTGTATTATCTTATCTCCTCAAAAATATCTGCTGAAAAATGTACTTACTGTGTTTGACTGGAAATTATATAAATGAATAAATAAAATAAGTGATTGGTCTATGACTTTTGCACAGCACTGTATTTATTTACAGATGAGTGACAGACAGACAAGGAGAAAACTGCATAAATGAGTGGAGAAGCATAATGAATGCAGATGCTTCCAGACAGGTGATTAACATCCCACCATGCTCTGTGTCATGTACAAAAATGCTGAGCAGGCCCAGTTGACCTCAAGTATGGATCAAGATGTCAAAAAGAAAAGATCTAAGTGACTTTGAAAGAGAGTTTATTATTGGGGCACAGACGGCACAAAGAGTGCTCAACCGGCTTGTTTTTCAACAAGCTCAGTGACTAAAGTGACTAAATCTGAATACAGATCTATGAGAAAAACATAGGTGTGCAGGGTTGGAAATTGTTGTTCAAAGTGCACATTCACTGAGTGTGATGCTTGTGCATTTATGCGACATGTAAGGATAAATAGAAGAGCAACTGTTTCTCATCTGACTGAGAATGTCAGTACAGGGCATGATCAGACTGAGTTAGCAAGAACAGTCTGTCCACAACTATGTAGAGCAAGATATATTATCATAGAACTGCAGTGCATAAGCCTCTCATTACAAAACTAATGCACGTTTGAGAGTTGGTGCAAAAACCATACACACTGCTCTACAGAGATAGAGAAAAATGATATGGTCAGATGAGTCATTCTTCACCACAAAAGTGCATACACTATATGGACAAAAGTATTGGGACTCCCTACACGTTACACCAACAGGAGCTTTTATGGCATCCCATTCTAAATCCACAGACATTAATATGGAGTCAGTCCCCCTTTGCAGCGCCTTTACGCACCTTGCTTTGTGCACTGGGGCACAGTCATGCTGGAACATTAAAGGGCCTTCCCCAAACTGTTCCCACAAAGTTGGAAACATATAATTGTCAAAAATGACTTATTACGATGAAGCATTAAAATTTTCCTTCACTGGAATTAAGGGGCTAAACTTTACAGTTGGTACAATGCAGTCAGGCAGGTAAGATTCTCCTGGCTTTTGCTAAACCCAGACTTGTCCATCAGACTGCCAGATAGAGAAGTGTGATTTATCACTCCACAGAATACGTTTCCACTGCTCCAGTGGTGGCGTGCTTTACACCGGACGCTCTTATATTGTAGGGGGCATTTTACTGGCATGGTTTGGGTGTACTTGTACCCTTAGTGGGAGGAGTCATGGCAAATCAATCCAAGGTTACCTTTATCCTATTAAAAAAACAGTTCTATCCTGTTGGGAGTGGTCTCTTGCATGATGGAAATTTCACTATCAATCATAAGTCACTGAATCGTTTGTTGATAATGAAAATGTTGCAAATCATATAATATGACGTACACAGTCACCAGATCTCAACCCAGTTACACACCTATGGGAGATTCTGGACTGTTGAGTTAGACAGTGCTCTCCACCAAGATCATCAAAACTCCAGCTGAGGGAATATCTTTTGGAAGAATGGCGTTCCATCCCTCCAGGACAGTTCAACATACTGTAGTATCTATGCTAAAGTGTACTGAACTGTTCTGGCAGCTTGCTGTGACCCAAATGTCTTACTAAGCCACTTTTTGTTGGTTTTTCCTTGAATTTGTCCTCCACCTGTATTGTATACATACAGATACAGAATCCCCTACTTGCCTTAATATGTACTATTCTATGCATGCTCTAAATGGTCATCTTAATGCTGTAAAATGACTTTTAGAATTCACACTGCATAACAGTAGGCTATAATAGTACAGTAACAAATACATCAAATAGATACACACTCATAATAAAGGACACACAAGGGTAAAAGGAAATGCAAAAAATGATAGACACATGCAAAAGCAAGAAAACTGACACAGGAAAGCAACACTATGGTCGTACAGAATTTGAGGTTAATTAATCCAGTGATTGCTAAAATCTTTTATTACCATCACCAATGTCAACATTCAATTCAATGTTTATTTTTTGTTTGAGATACATTCAAATTACAATACAATCATAGTGCATTAGATACAGTAGTTTGACAGGACAGTAAAAGACAATTTGACACACACAAAGACATCACAAGACAATGTTGAAAAGACAGTATAGAAGAACAGAAGACATAACACAAAGATTAATGGGACCACCTAAACCCATTTGGGAAAAAAATACACAAAGTATGATAATAATTAGTCTAATATAATCTATTCTATCTGCAAGTCAATTCTTACTAGTAATGATAAATTATAACCATTCAAGTCCAGATTGATGAATTAAACAGTTCTCAGCTGTGAACATTTATCTCAAACCCAATTGGTATTCATTTGCATGAACAGTTGAAGACTGCTCTGGTTTAACGGTCATTTACAGATCTGAAGTGGGAAATGTGTGTTTTTACAGGTTATGTGTTGTGGCCAGAACTAGATATAGATTTTAATGTCTACAGTTTTTCTCTGTATTATTTAAAAAATTGTAGTATGTATTGACCTGATTCATTAATACATATTTGGTAATTGTTAATAATGGATCATGCAGTAGATCAACAATTTTGTCCTATAATGATCAGTTACAGACAACAGACTACAAAATAATTCACATATATTTCTCCCCAGGTATGTAAGTATACTAATATAAAAGACATGCATAGCTACGCCTTTAGAATGATGAAAATATCTGACTTGTGAATGTCAGGAAGACTAACAATAAACAATTTTCAAATTTGCCTTTCAATAATATGAGGTGACTTTGTGGTTAAACTGGAAAAGAGACTTAATAAAGACTATTTTCAGTAATCCCATTCTGTGGGATCTGAAATCTTGTCTTGCAGACAAATCCTGCAGCATGTTTTAAATGGTGCAGCAAAACCATTCTGCTAAGCTCCATTTTAAATAATCACTGTTTCCACAGTTTTACATTTATCCTTGATATGGTATAACTAAATGGTGGGTTACCCATCCCCCCCCTACACACACACCATTAAGATGTACAGATACTTTAGACGTACACTTATATACAGACATAAAAATTCACAAACATGTTTACAGGTCTCTCAGATAGTCCACCCCACTGAGCACAGCCCTGCCGAGAATGTACACACAGAAGCATAGGCATACAACGAGCACTGTGAACATACCCAAGCTGGCGTTGCCCCTGACCACAGTGATGTTCTTCTCAAGGCCACAGGCTTGATTAGAGCTGACTTTAGTACCTGCCTCCATTCTGCTGCTCTGTAGCACAGAGTTTTCCTACAAAAGCAATCGCAGCACACAAATCATTCACCCTGGCTTTTTGTGTAAGAGTTGAGTCTGTATTACAACAGAGCAAAAAAAGAGAAAATCCAAATAAACTGAGATACTGACAAATGAATCAATCACAAATGTTTTGAATAAATCAAGAAATCAACATACATTCATGAAGTATGATTAAATTTATGCATAACTCATTTAATTTCTCTACTTGTACACTTGATCTCATAGCTATGAAATGTTAATAGTAAACTCTTCCTTCAACCATATACACCTAAAACTCTGCATGTCTCAAATTTTTCCTCTATATCTAACTCCTTAGAGAAAGCTGCAAGCTCAGAAGCTCAACTCATACTTGCACAGCAATCACGTTCAGGACCTATCAGTCAAGATATTATCCAGGAAATATCAGTGCAGTACAGAGACAGCAAATGATCTGTTAAGTGTATTTTCTACGACATTAATGCTGCTACTGCATACTGTTTTTCACAAATTTATATCAACAATACATTAGCTTCATTAAATTTTGCATTGATTGTAGATGTCACAAGCCCTCCGCGCCCCAAGCTATGAAATAATTTGCTATAGCTCCTCCTCCCTGACTACTTCGGAGTTAAGAGCATTCACCCTCTTGCTGCAAAGAAAATTCTCATCTGTGGTCTAAAGACTATAATAAATAGTCTACCTAGTCTTCTCTCAGTGTTTCTTCCTCATGCTTAACGGAAGCATTTCCTGACCTGCTTCTTGATAATGTCTGTTGGATAATGTCAGATTTTAGTCTTGCCTATTATTGTTTTAATGGGTGGCATTAATTTACTTATCCCAATCATCCAACCACTTGACCAGTGCTATGCTAGCTTGTTTTGTGAAACCTGTTTATCATTTTTCCAAACTGCTTACATTGTAACAAAACAAAAATGACATGATAGATTTTAAAGGCATGCTCCTTTACAAAACAAACTCTGAAAGTTACCATTAGATCCTGCTATGTTTAATACCTGACAAATGGTTTAACCTTAGGTCTATGGGCAATTTTTATTGTCAATATTTTCTTTTTTATTTAAAAAATGTGGTTTTCAGTACATCAGAGCAGGCATATGTATTGGTGGCGGTGACATACAATAAGCAAGATACCTACTAGCACAGAATTTGTCTCTAGAATATGACAAATAAATGAGGAGAAAATTGGAAAAGAAATGAAAAAGACTGTAAAAAATAAATAACATTTAACCTCTACTTATTAACCATCATATACCATCAACATGTTCAGATGTACAGTTTTTTGTTTTTTAAGTCTTTATTTCATTGTTAGGTACCTAACTTGCACCCTTTCAAATAGTACAACAGTCTTCTAAAAGTTTAAATATGTTTTACTTACGTAGAGGCTTTATGAAAGATATAGTATGCTATGACATAATGTTGTACAATTATGATAAAGAGAATTAAAAATGACTGGGGCTGCAACGACACCATTTTTCTTTTCAGACCGAGTACATATTTTTAGTACTCACTGATACCAAGTCCGATACCATACTCACTAACCTACACAGAATTAAGTAGAGGAGCACGGAGAACAACCTAATGTGGGACACAATTTAACACTCACTTTCTATGTTGTTAAAAAAGGTCAAGACGTGTGTGCTTCTGGCCACATTACCACATTTCCTAGCCATGATCTCCCGTGAAAATTCAGAGCGATTCGTCAACGTTTTAAGGTGATCTGTGCCAAAGTGTGTTTTCATGGCATGTAAGTAATTTTTTTCAACACAAGTTTTTTCAGTTACTAAGCTTTTTGTGTTAATCACAAAATCCAACTTTATTTATTTTAATCACCATCTTGTTGCTGACAACATAGCACTGTTTTGAAGCATTTGACAAGCTTACAGCCAGTGCAAGCTAGGCTTAAATACAGCCACCGCCCGGCCTGCTGACTAGTTGTTACATAATGACAACTAAACCACCTTTAGTAAACAAAGACAAAGTAAATTTTGTCTTTTTGTTCCATATATTCACACAAATTTTAAGATAAAAAAGAGAAAATATCTGAAAACAGGGATTTTCTTGTACTTTATTAGTATCTTTCAGATGTTAGTATTTTGTTTCTAAGTAAATATACTAATGAAATTGACCAGTGGTGGAGGAAGTACACAAAACAAGTACTTGAGTTGAAGTAGAGATACCCAAGGTAAAATATTACTCCAGTAAAAGTAGAAAAGTATTTGCCTTCAAATGTACTTAAGTATCGAAAGTAAAAGTACTAAAACATTAATTATGACTCTAATGTCCTATTAACATTTTTGTAACAAGACTCTTGCTTCATTAACTCATTTTAGGTCAAAATACTCTAGTGTCACTCTTGGTAAACCAATCTTTTAATAGAATGTCATTAATTAGTCTGACACTGATGTCTATTAAAATTATCATAAGAACAAAACACTGAAGGCAAACAATTTCCATTGGGTAGAACCAAGTGGCTATGAAATAACTTTTTGCAAACAAGCAAAGTTTCAGTTTAAGATTTATTTGCAACTTAGTTACCAGTTTAAGCTCAATAAAAACTTTTTGCATCTGTAAAAACTTAAACTAGCAAAAACAAATGTACTATAACATGAAATAGTGTTTGTATAAATTCAGAAAAAAGACATGCCAGTCACAAGTGCATATGTGTACATATTTCAATAGTGTGGTCTATTTACACAAAGTTAGGTTAGTTCCATCATTTATGTTGGCATAGGCACTCCCAAATTTTTACTCTGCTGCACTGACGTTGAACGGTACGATGGCGTTTTAGGGCCACTGTTAATACAAATAAAAATAGTAGAATTTGAGAATAAAGTCGTAATATTTTGAGAAAAAAAGTCATAGAATTGCGACATTAAAGTGGCATTAATACCAGGAAAGGTCGCAATATTGTGGCCAAAGGCTTTGCAAAGAGCAGGCAGCACCTCCTCATGTTAAAATGAGGGGTGTTGAGGAGTTGGTGGACTTACACTTTAATATCGATTTCACCCATTAAGAAATACTCAGTCTCTCTGTCTCTTCTGGCACATCAGCACCAGAGTGTTACTAGTATAAGAAACGGCTGAAACAGCTAAACAGGAAACTGTTTATTTAGAATAACGAACTAGGCGGACTCGAAGGAAACTGTCTGTCTGTTTTGTTGAAGGAGAATCGCAGGCAGGGTCGTCTACACGGCTATCAGTGGCTACATCTCCGTGCCATTCAAAGAGGGCATGAAGTTCCACAGACAATGAGAAATCAAAATGATCGATCCACAAAGAGACAACAGTGTGTGGAACTCTGGTGCGCCAGTACAGCAACCGAGCCCCTACAGTTAGCCCACTTTATTCTCCAAATATTCTGACTTTTTTTCTCGAAATATTACGACTTTATTCTCGTAGTCTACTATTTTTATTTTTATGAACAGTGGCCCTAAAACGCCATCGTATGCTTGCACTGGGTAGGTATGTCCAACAGGTCAAAACAAGCTCAAAACAAAGTGCGTGCTGTGCCCTGATTGGTGTGCTTGCTTCACGCTTCTTTCGTTTTGACTTTGAAAAATGTTACGTTTTTAACATAGAATTATATTAAATTAATCTTGTTTACACTAATTCATCAGTCATTTTTGGTGGAACTGTTAATGAATGATAGGTGCTAGAAACAAAGTTCAAGCGTTCGTTTATAGCAGAGATGTATATGTTGCTTGTATAAAAGCAGGATTATTCCAACTTCAGTGTTGTCAAAATTATTTTGCAAAAAACAAAATATGTTGCCCTGCATTAGTGTAAATGAATGCAATGTGTCTTAACAGTTAAACCGTTAGAATCTAGCCGATATCAAAAGGCGCATTAGCTAGCTATGTTACATTATTTACCTTTGATCGTGTAGCATTTGGATGAGTGGCTTTTTTTTTTAATCAGAAAACCGCTTCTGTACAGCTGTAAGTGAAATACAATTCATAGTTTTGGTCCTCATCCATCTATTTCAACATCAGTCTCTGTAGCAGAGTGACAGCAGGAACCCCATCAGAGGTTTACGCATCTGCGGGACTTACTTGTGGAGCTTATGTCTTCACTAAGTCTTTTGTTTGGTTTGTTGAGCTGTAGTTGAATGTCCTCTAAAGTCAGGCAAACACTGTTTGAGTTTCTAAATCCTGTTCTCTTGTGACTCATACTGTATGTATAAATAGTCCATCGTTTATGGATAAAGCCTATGATTTATATACTCAAACTCTGTCTGACTGACATGCTACGTGAAAGACAGCCTCTACAGACAGCTCTGCTCAAGAACAATTTCAATTAAAGCTGTTTAATCCAAAATAACACACTGTGTGCCGAGTACAGAGCAGAAATGCTAAGAGCAGTGTTGCTAACACTGTGCACTGAAGCTAACCTAGGCAGTGATATAGAACAATATTGTCTCTCTAGAGCCTGTTTTACGAAAAACAATCACTGTATTAATGCTTATACCTTATTATTCTAGTCATTAAAACAGAGTAAAGATAGCATACTTTGGTAGCAAATGTCTACTCCTGCCTCTGTTGAGCTGGGCTACTGTCTCCTGGGGAAGCAGCTGTGATTGTGTTTAAAATGGGCTAAAATCATACAGTGTATGCCAATGTGCGATGTCTGAAGTGACAACTACAAAATGCACCTATACAGGAAGTGGAGCTGATAAAATGGACAATGAGCATAGAAACAAGAAGGTGGTCATAATGTTATGCCTGATCGGTGTATACCAAAATCCAGGCTGTGGATTATTTTTGCTCGTGTGTTCCCACAGCCTAGATTAAAAGTGGTGGCCGCAGACTCTTGTACAGCAGAAAGTGATATATTTTTCTCAGGAGTCCCTTAGGATTTCTTTTTAAATGTCACTCTCTAGCTCAGAGTCTTTAGTAAAGCTAAACCTGGATGTGTGTAAATAAGAGATGATGTCACACGTATCCCGCGAACAAATATCCCACTATTTAAACCCTTGAGTCTAGAGTGACAGCGGTGAAGTAGGTCAGTGGAAAAAAGAAAACACTTTCCCTCTGGCCAACTGACTAGTTGTAAACAACATTTAAAACCACAATTATGGTTGAAAAAATGTGATGACTAGGTGAATTTATGTCGATAATCCAAGGAATCAACCTGAACAAAATGGTGCAGTAAGCTATCATAAACTGCATTTAATTTAAAACACTCAAACTCAGTTTTCTCACAACTCCACACATTTTATGTCACCATACATTTTGGTGAGTCGATTAGGGCATCTACTTTGGCCAACTGTCATAACTAAGAGTTAACTGAAGTTGCACCTGTGGCTGCATTTAGGGGCCTACGTTTAGAGCCAGTGCCTATTTGCCCTTGACACCCTGGGACCTCCACAAGTCTGGTTCCTCCTTCCAAACAACTGAAGGTACCATGAGCATCTGGAGTACAACTGTACGGCTATAAAAACTTGAGACCAGTGCATCGTTCAGAAAGAAGGCACAAAGTAACTCCCAGAGCCGAATGAACTTTGGTCCAGTAGGTACAACTGAACCCCAACATCATAGGAACTGGTGAAGGAGTTGGAGGTATCAGGTACCAAAGTACCTACACCCACCATTAGGAATGTCCTACACTGCCATGGCCTGAAAAGCTGCTGTGCAAGGAAGAAGCCCTTTCTCTGCAGGTGATCACTGGTACAAAGACCTAGCCTTTTGGAGGAGTGTTCTCTGGTCACATGAAATAAGTTGTGAGGCTTTTAAACCAAATCCACCATGCCAACTGCGAAGAATGGGCTTGACAGAGTCAGGCTGTAGGGGTGTTTTGCTGGAAAAGCGACTGGTGCACTTCAGGAAAAGATAGTATCATGAGGATTATCTGAAAATACTGAAGCAGCACCTCAAGACATGAGTCAGACAATCAAAACTTCCAAGTTCCTGTATGACAATGATCCCAAGCATTTCTCCAAAGTTGTGACAAAATTGCTTAAAGATACCAACATGAAAGTACTGGACTGGTCATCACAAAGCCCTGACCTAAAACTTGTAACTGAACAGGAAAAGTGTGTCTGGGCAAGGAGGCCAACAAACCTGACTGTCAGAAAGAATAGGCAAACAGTCTAGCAAAGTATTGTGAGAAGCTTTAGGAAGGCTGACCCAAGGGTTTATTCAAGTTTAGCAATTAACAAGTACTAATGTACTGCATGTAAACTCTTGACCCACTAAAAATCTGATATAGTAAAAGAAACCTGAAACAAAATAAAACATAAAATGTGTGGAGCTGCGAAAAACTGAGTTTGAATGTCTTTAGCCCAGGTGTATGTAAACTCTGGGTTTCAATCTTACATCACTAAATAAAGAACTGCCACTGTGTTCTCATACATGCTACTTTATAAGCTTATCATTGGTGTCCTAAACTAGTACCTTTTAAATTGTTTCTTCTTAAAAAAAGTTCTTAACTTTAATGTATATTAATGTAACAAGATTTTATTCTAAGTAACTTCGGATCAGTTTCATTAAATGTTCACACATTGCAAAGTGCAGCTGGTATTTCTACTAAATTTCTAATTTCGAATAAATTATGAAACTTATACAGATTTGAAATAACAGCAACAAAATAATATTTCCACAGCAAGCTAAAAGTAAAAAGATTAAGAAATCTACCTGTACTGTGGAGAGCTGGTTGCTTTCTCTGGAATGACAGTTGCTGGTCAGAAAGGTTCCTGTGTCTTGAATGTCATTTTCCTACAGAAAGCAAAACTAAGTTACATTCTCTTTCTTGCACATGAACTTGATCCAAATCCACACACTTTGGCTTTATTTCAGAAAATATACAGTGCAGACTAGTATATTTCCTCTAGTATGGTCTCACTAGATCATGAGCAGCGCACTTCAATACACATGTTGAATTTGGGAGGTTGGTGTTAGAATTCAAGCAGCATTAATTATTGAAATGTCTTGGTAACCAGAGACTATATGTGCCTGGGTTACTGGCTCACAACAAAACCCAGAGAACAATGGCCAGAGCCACAGAAATAGCACGGAAAGACTCTGAGGACCATGAACATTTAAATTAAACCAATATGTTCTGGAAAAAGCAATACTGTGCAAAAGTCAGAGACCACACTTCATTTATGTAATTTTCAGTCAAAATAAGATTCATTTTTCAGGAGATATTCTTGAGGAGATTAGATGTAAGATGTTTGCACAAAGAAAGGGAAAGTCAATGGAAAGTAAGTGAAAAACAAGGCGTTTCCAAAAAAAGGACTCCTAACAACTGTTCAACACCTGGCAGACCACCAAATGATAGTACTTGAAGTTCTTTAAATCAACCTCCACTCTTGCTACAGCTCTGAAAAGGTCCACAAGGGTTTGTCCATCCTTCCAATGTGAGAAGATAATTCAACACTATATGTCTGAAAGGATTTAGAGCTGTCAAGAAGCTGTTACTGTGAAAAAGGAGATAGAAGAAAATATGCAAATAAAAAAGCTGGTGGTGTTCTCAGAACAGTGAACTGGCCACCCCAGAGTCCAGACCTCAATAGCATGAATGTGTTTGAGTTTACTTGGAGAAGCAGAAAATTAAACTAAGTTCTAAGAACTTTGTAGGTGTGGAAAATTTCTTTGAAAAAAAAAGACTTTACATTTTTAAATTTAGTTGTTGAGGCTTCTCTGTATTTTTCTGCCCTTTTCTTGGTGTGACTAAAGTTGACTGCTTTCATAATTTTAATTTTATTCATAGTGAATATTAGTAGTAAGTAATATTATTATTAGTAATAATAATTAAGAAATATAGGACATGGAAAAACTTTGAACCAAATTAAATTATCCAGCAGATGTAGCAGATGCATAGATGCATTAAAACACTAAGCACAACTCATAATCACTGAAATGCATTGACAAAGCATCACTGGACCACAAAATGCTTGAGGCTTTAAAACAGGCGTATGCTTTTTTTCACAGTATGCTTTTCATTGCCTGTGTCATTTCAAAGAGAGTATAGTCTTGATTAATTGGATTTAGTGCAGTGCAGCATTTGAAATGTTGGACTGTTGTATTTAATAGTTTTTTTTTTAAATGTAGCATTACTGGTTAATATTTTTTCTGTTTCAACTCATCAAACTTATTTACACACACACACACACTCGCACACATACATCTTAGTATATACATACAACTAAATGTAATTCAAATACGTTCAGTATTTAGTGTGTCCACCCTTGATCTTTAATACAGATTTTATTCTTTTTGACAGATTGGCTTTCAGTTTTTCAAAGATATCTTTAGGGATATTCTTCCACACTTCCAAAGAGTTCAGGAGTTGGTTGCAATTTCTGTTTTAAGAAAGACCAGCAGCTTCTTTGTTTGACACAAATGTCAGCAGGGTGCTTAGGGTCATTATCTTGCTGTAAAAGAAACTGTAGACATGGTTTGAGGAGTGTTTCATTTCTTCAGGTGGTGTACATACTGCCTTCTGGGACTTCCAAAGATCTTCAATTTAGACTTGTCAGCCTATAGAACATTATTCCACATCCTAAATGAACAGTTTCAGTGTTTTCTTTTCTCAGTAATGGCTTCTTGACAGCTACACATCCTTTCAGGTTCATAGCGTTGAATTGTCTTGTCACAGTAGAAGGATGGACAAAAACATGTTTTCGGATATAAGGCAAGCCCTAGCTACCTAGCTTAAGTACTGGTTATCTGACAGTGACAGTTTTGGTGGTCTGCCAGGTCTTGCACAGTTGTTAGGAGTCCCATTTTTTCTATATTTTTTAAAATAATTCTTTGAACTCTAGTTTTGGAAATTCCAATTGCAAGGGGATTATCTAATCTCAAATCTTCTCAGAAATATGTGTCTTTGCCATTTTAGATGCACATGAGAAGGAAATGTGCAAGGCAAGTTTGGGTAGTTGCTTATGTGAATGTTTGAAGGGCACACGTATTGTCAATGACACTTTGGGAACAGCTTTTGTTGCAGTTGTAACTCGCTGGATTTAAGACTGGAAGGGTGTAAGAGTTAACGTGGGACTAGGGTGCACAAAAGCAAAGTGTGAACAATTTAATAATAATTTCTGTTTTATATTTCCTGTTAAATATTTATTTTTACTTAATGGCTGGTTTGACCAGAAGTTGAAGAAATGATCATGTGATCTCTGACTACAGTACAATGTGAAAGTCTTAAATAGGTGCCTAAGCAAGCACAAGGTTATTTTAATTTTTGGACGTGTAACACTGTAAGAGTCAAATCAGTAATTTTAAAGATTACGTTGTATAGGTTTGAGTACCTGTATAAGCAGGTATTTACCGGTAAGGGTTTGGCCACACCGATGTGTACGGTGCCGTAGTTGGTGCTTTTTAGGACATGAACAGCATGACCCAGGCTGGTGTGACTCAAATCCGTGCTGTTAACGAACATTAGCCGGTCTCCTGGCAACAAACGTCCATCTCTCTCAGCCAAACCACCTGGTACAAGGGAGCGAATCACTATCACCGTCTTCTTTGGGTCCACTGGGTCCTGACAGAGAGAGAGAGAGACATGCGTGAGGCAAGGAGAACAACGTCTTGATACCCACAGGCATGGGATGGTTATTGGTTTTACTAAGATATTTGCCTTTTGGTTTGAGGCCATACAATGTCTAAGTGTATATTGTATAACAATAATTGTGTATAATTGCTTTAAAGACAATATAAGTCCTTTTGCAAAGCATGCACCAGGTAGATCGGTCACAATCATTAAATTTTTGCCACTCTCACAGGAATTGCCAAATAAATACTTAAACACTTCGTCTTTTTTTGTTAATTTTATTACTATTAGTACAGACTTAAAGTAAGGACAAGCCTAAAGTGGGTAAATTAGCTGATTAGCAAGTTATCTTGCTTCCTAGCTCTCAAGACAGAAACAACTCAAGCTCAAATAAACAAACCTTACTCACTGCTGCCCTCTAACGGTGTTAACAACCAGCAAGTAAACAAAAATTACTCACTGTTCTCCTTTAAAAGTTTAACAACAATCAAGTAAACACCCCCCACGTGTTAAAAAACCATCAAATAAGCATTACTTGCTGCTGCCCTTTGCTGCAATATAAGCATATGACTCTGAAAGCGAACAACTTTTACTTTTTGCAATATTATCGCAAAATAAAACTAATTAAACTGGCTCTAGCTATGCATGATTCCATGTAATCGTTTTATCAGTATATTGGGAAACAAATGACGTTTATTATGTTGCATGCTTGCAAGCAAATGTATAATAATAACAGTAATATATTTTTAAAGATATGACAGAAATCTTAGAACAAGATATCAGGTTAGGGAAGAAGACTCTCGCTTTGCTTCACATTCACACAAACACACCTGGTAGTCCAGTATGCTGAATCCCAGACCAGCTTCTCCTTTCTGTAGCTCATAGACCTGAATTTCATCCTGCCACATGGCCTGTTGGGACAGAGCAGGGACCTCCATCTTCCCACAGTCCTCTGCTCCTCTATTCAGCTGCCTGGCGCAGTTCTTCTGCTCTGCCTGTCATAGCAAGAAGGCGCCACGGAGTGTCAACAAACAAGCAATCATGCTATTAATTAATGAGGAAATTAAATTCAGGGCCCATGTTCTACATTACTTATGTAACAGTTATAATTCATATTTATGTGACCATTTTCAACCTCTTTTTTTAATATGTTTTTATTACTGTGCCTTTAAGAACCATACATGGTCGTATGCAAAAACTTGAAAGTCAAAAGACATGTTTTGTTAATTTTCTAAGGGAAAATTAATCCACATCCTGCAGAGAACAAACTTATATATGACATTTTACTGCACTGCACATTGCACATTGTTGTGCAAAATTTCTAATTATTTAATACATTGGAAGATAATAAAACACAGAGCACATTTTGCCTTTTACTTTTTCCAGTATGTTTCGCAGATCAACAAATATTGTGCATTAAATGCACAGAATTTGTGTTCTCTGTAGAGGATAATCAACAAAACATATCATTTGACCAGCAGTGCCAAACTTTTGTATACAACTATAAGACTTGTTCTGATTGTCCTGTCTTGTGCCTCATTCAAAAACAGCCTGGGCTGAAACATAAAACAAATTGTTTAGTTTGAACTAAAATCCTTAGGAATGTCAGAAAATATAAGCTTCAGCCATTTCTTTCAGATGTCTATATCCTCTGGAAGGCTGCAATAATACGTTTGCTTCCTGACAGCCAGAAAGAACACAACGTTTAATCATTTTCCTCCATGTCTTCCACTTCAATAACAAACACTCACTATCACTTCAACATAAATGACTAGCCTTTACTGCTATAGGCTGAATGGGTGGTCATATGTTAATGTACTTGAAACTTGGGAAGTGAATATTTTGAAACTCTATGAATATTTCATGGTACATACACAGTACATCAAAATCTGTTATTTAAACAAAGTAAGGAAAACTCAGTTTTCAGATTGTTCACATTGAATGCTATGAATCAAAAAGAATAATCAGAACTTGACAAAACATACACACTCTTGGTGTAAAATAAAAATGTCATGCACTGCATCCACCACAAACTCACAGACATACTGCACCTTTTCTGAAAACTCTGCAATTAGTTCCTTGAGGCTAAACTGAACATCGTCATCATCATCATCTTCATCTGGAGTGGGTGGGATCAGGCGACAGCAGACCACAAACACATTCACGGGAAGATCCTTCAGTAACACCAGAACTTCTTTATGGGTCTCGCCAACCAGGGGTATTCTGTTCACCTGTAGTCCATACAGTGCAGTCTGTAACTTCAGACTTCACTTCACTTAAATTTCACAGTTTACACATTGATTTGACACTCCTTGGTCATTTTATCAGAAACACCTACTATATACATAGACTTTGTAGGACTACAGTTACTGAATATAGTTCATCTGTTGCTGTAAAATTTTGCAGCTGACTTCTACCTTGTCCATCAATGGAAAGGGACCATCATAGGACCACCACTAAACAGGTATTTTTTGGGTGGTGGATCATCCTCAGCACAGCACTGACATGATGGTGGCATGGCAATGTGTGTTGCGAAGGCATGAGTGTATCAGGCACAGCGATGTTGCTGGAGTTTTAAAACACTGTGTACACTTACTGGTCACTTTATTTGAAATATTCTTGTCATTGATTTCGATTAGAATGATGCGTTGACAAACAGCCTCCAACACATGGCAGTTAGGCACAGTAGATAAAGATAGAGTAGGACAGCGACTGGTTTAATCAAAACTCACATACACTTTTTTGCTTGCCCTGAAAACAGCAACAGCTCTCAGGAATTTTACTGTATGAGCTTTAATGTTTGAATTAGTTTCCTACTGACATCTATCTTCACTCACAAATACATCAAAAATAGATAAGCGATGCACGTCAGTGTGGTTTTCTGACAGATATCAAAATGTCATGTGAACCCCTGAAAGTCAGTATGTATGAGGAGAAAGTGCCTTGATGTGACCGACGTAAGTGCACAAATGCGCCTGAAATTAACGTTTCATTTACTGCAACTTATCACACTAACTTTGATTAGCCCCACCCACTAACCCACTAACTGTGTGCTCACAAGACAAATGTATTTTTAGTTTTAAAAGGCAAAGAAAAATCTATGCAAAACCAGCTGCCGCAAGTTACTCGGCTCATAAACTGCTTGTTAAGGCACGTGCACCAGTTTTTGTACATAACACTCAGGTGTGTTGCATCTGAATCCACAGCAAAAGGCTGAGTATGTTTTTTCTACGTCATTCTCTAGACCTTCATCAGTGGCTAACAGGTTAACTACTCCTCTATTTATATCAGAGGCTATGAATTAAAATATGTAAGATATGATTTACTATAAAACTGCAGTATAAAAAAGCCACTTGCTTTCATGCTTCAGCTGTCCGTGTTTTAGTCAGATGCGCCTTAAGTAGTATCAAACCCAGGCTGAATCTCAAATGGCTCCCTCCTTCTTATATAGTCCTCTAAATTATGAAATTTCTTGCTTCTACACCCAAACAGTGAGCTATTTGTCCAGCATGGAATTTACACATGTGGCTGAATCCCAAAGGACTATTTGTTATGCATATAATGCAGTGCTTGGGTGCAGGAGCCAGGAGTTTAACTCACATGTAGTGCACTAGAGCAAAGGGACATACAACACCGCTGGCTTGTTGGTAAAGATGCAAAATCGCCTAGAGGCACTAATGGAAATTAACATTTGTGGCAGTGGTTGTTGCCACAATTTGTTGAGCAAAAACTGCTTATAAAATTACTTATGAAGTTTCTGCATTAAATAATGCTATATATGTTCATTATTATATGAAAAAGTTTATGAAATGACTGCAGTATACAATGATAGGCCTCTTTAAGCACTCCATGGTTGTATGGCAACAATATACTCTAAAGGAACTACATCTTGATTATTATTATTATTAACAATAACCTTATTTATTAATTATTTACTGAATAATTATGTATTTTCTCTGATTTTATCATAGTTTTCTGCTGTTTTATAAAAGCAATGAGCTACTACCGTGCGTTAGAGTGATTTTATCCTAGATAAGAGAATTTTACCAGTGACAAAATCACTTTAACGCAAAGCCTCTTGCGGCTTATTGCTTACTAATATGCTAGCCCTAGTTTCAAATAATGATTAGGTCCCTATTACTGAGAATCTGAAAAAAAATGTTTATCATTTCATAATTTCTTCTCATTTACAAAAATACTTAAGGTAAAATTTTAAGCAAAAATCTAAAGATACCTTTTGCTGTCTAGTTTATAATATTTACATTTATATTTTATTATTTACTATTGAATAAAAAATAAAATCAATTAACATGAGTAATAGTTCCAAAGTTTTAAACAGCAAAGCATCTGCCATCACTACTTTCCATAGATGGATGATGACAGGGAGCTGATAAATTGTGCAACAACAAAGTGCACATACATTGTAGGTATATCTGAATAAAATGACCAATGAGCATATCTACAAGCTGTGTATGTGTCTAGAATTGGTTCTTAGTCAATTCCTTAAAGCTTCAAGGGCCCTCTGACTGTTCAAGTTCACATTTTCAGTCTGATTCAGCTCCCAGCACAACTGACGTAGGTTATTACGTGCTGTGGAGCACTCATTACCTGGTTCAGGTTTGTTGAGAGTCGGAACAGAGTGAAATGAGCCCTGCCAAGGGATATGAGTAATCAAAAAGCTCCATTTTATACAGAGTACATCAGCAAGTTAAATGGTAGATGACATATGTGGCAGTGACAGTCTAAAGAAAGGAAGCACTAAGGAGAGAGGAAAAGAATGATAGGCACTTCCATTCTTTTCAAGTGCTGTGTGAGAACAGGATCAGAGTTAGCTCTCAAATAAGAGCTTTTTGGTTTGAGGTTATTTTTGGTTTGATGTGAAATTTTTGCTTTCTTTCTCTCTCTTCAATAAGAATATGATAGGTTAAGGTATATGCACAGCATATAGCGGTGCTGTCAAAACCTCAAAACTTTCAGCTTTTACTTTTTATGCCATGTAAAAACACCAGCTGCATTTTACATTGTTCAAACATTTCATGATGAATGCACCAACAGAAGTACTTGAAATAAAATCTTGTTATATTACTGTGCATTAAAGTTAGGAACACATTTATATTATTATAGTTAACATTTCAGAGGTTTTGTTAGACAGCAATAATGTGTTACTTCAATACCTGGCTGGCTTGCATGGTATTCCTTTAAAAAAAAAAAAAGCACAAATTTGGAATTCTTTGTCTACTCAGATCCATCTGGTACCTTCTGTCAACAGTTTTACAAAACAAAACGTATTTATTCACTTTAGCTTTTCTTTTTTGTCGTTATGTCATTTATGCTGGTTCTATGTGCACATTTTTTGTAAAGGACCTTAACCTGCATTTCTACCTATAAATGGTCCCATGCATATAAAGTTCACTGATATTAGGGATGCACCAATATGAGAATTGTGGGCCAAAGCCATTCTCCGATGTTTTTCACATGCATCTGCTGATGCGGATACATAAACATTCATAAAATGCAGAAACTGGGAAATTGGGATTAGCAATAGGAAATCAATATTACAGATACTTTAGCATAGCAGCTAGTGGTGGGTGGTATGGCTAAAATATATCATTAAAAATCTAGAGGCAAGCAGTACAAAATAGACTAAAAGCCTAAAACTGAAATTTGTACATGCATGCCCATTGTTGCAGCGTACAAATGTGTTCAAAGTTTTGTCAGTATAAAGGGTCATCTGCATTTTTCAACATAGCAAAACAGGAGTTTAAAATGCGCTTTGCTTCACACTGCTGTGCTTTTCCATTGCACTCGACTGATCTCAAGGAAAATTATCCTCATTATCCTGACACTGAGACCATTAATTTGAGTTTTACAACACTACTTTGCAGGTTTACAATTCCTGACCATCGTCTATCTGTAGCTGCACTCTGTCCATCAATGAAAAGGGACCATCATAGCACAGTATTGTTATGTATAATGTGGTAATATAAAGCTAACCTCCAGTAGTTGGTCTCCAGGTCGTAGGCCACACTGGCCTAATGGTCCCTCAGGCAGTAAGGAACAGATAAAATGACAGCCTGCTCTTGTCTCCAAACTCACCCCCAAACCACTGCCTTCACTGAACTTCTGCACCTGGGCCACCTACAGTGCACACATACATGCAAATACAGACATAACACAGTGCATGTATATGCAGTTGTACGCAAAAGTCAGGGCACCCCAATCAAATTATGTTTTGCTGATTTTCTAAGTGAAATCAAGTCACAGACTGCTTATATGCTGAATCTAACATGTGGGAAAGACATAATTAAAACAAAATTTGGCTTGCAAAAAAGTTATGGCAATTTTTTGTACAAGTTTCCCCCACAATATGTTAAACTCAGCAAATAAATACAAATTGTGCTTTAAAAATTCAAACTCACACATGCATAACAAACACATAGCTTGCACGCAGACACTCCCAGGTGACTTGCTATTGAGAAAAATTAGCATTTAAAATAGATAAAACAGGATAGATAAGAGGTAAACAAGCAAAATGAAACACACCATGATTTCGTACTTCTTTCCCAGCCTGCTTTGCCACTTCCTCTTGAGCTCTGCCTTCTCTTCTTCTGACAGCTTAGACCCTGATAATCAAAAGTCATAAACATGCCCCAAATTTAGTTAAACAATCTACAGAGCAGTGATATATAAAGGAAAAAAACAGAGGTGGGTAGTACATTGTTTCATTCAAACGCAACTTTTGATGGATCTCTGCTACGTTCAGGTGCTCATCAGAAGAGTGTACACCAGATATTTGATTAAACATTCAGGTGCTAGTCAGAAGATACGCCAATCACACAGAAAAATAAAACATGGAGGTCCGGACGAAAACCTATCCTGCTTTTTCTTTGCTATATTAAAAAGCACATAGATCACATAGAAAGAGCGTCAGGTATATTTTTTTTCCACATTCAGCGCCAAGTGCAACCATTTTCACCGGCAGAAAAGTGAAACGTTATGTTCTACATCTGCACTGCAAAAAACGATATCTTGTCAAGTATAATTATCTTAAATCTAGTCAATATATCTAATATTTTTGAGGTTCATATTGTTGTAAGCTTAATATAAGATTATTTAACTTATTTCTTGACTTTTTTTACCATTTCTATCAGTGTGGTAAACTCATGCATCATCTAGAATCCTGAGTTTACCCGTTTGAGTGCAGTTTACAATTGGATAATTGTTATTTTCCAGTTTTCAACACCACTCGAAGGTAGCATTGTATTTCTTTTTGTAGGCCACTGCATACACTGAACTTCTGCACCTGGGCCACCTACAGTGCACACATATACACAAACACAGAAACAGACACATGTACATGTGTGTACATGTGTGTGTTGTATGCAAACGTCTGGGCGCCCTGATCTGATTTTGAAAGCGAGTCACAGCCTCTACAGAGAAGATACAGTTTCTATTTATTTGCAGAATTTAACAATTTGGAAAAAAAATAAAACATGAATTGTGGCTTGCAAAAAAAAATTAAGCCACCCCTTTTGTTTCTTTCTTTCCCATGTATGTTGAACTCAGCTAATAAATAGCAAATAAAATTGTGCACTAAAAATTTGTAGAAAAATTTAAACTCTTGCACACACCCAGTTGCACGCAGAGACTCCCAGGTGACTTGCTATTGAGAGAAATTTGCATTTAAATGAGGTAAAAAAAAGGATAGATAAGCAGTAAACTCAGTTTCAGTTTACAAGACTACTGGTATTTTCCAGTTTTAGACACTACTTGAACGTAGCATTATATTTCTCTGTATTTAGATGGATCTGTGATGTATTTTTTATTGATAATACTTCTACTGTACTGAACTGTTATACACAAAATTAGAATTAAAAAGCTATTTATCTGAAAAACTAGTATTGCGATAAATATAAATAACATTCATACAATAAGTCATGATCTTATGTATGTCAATGTATTTGTTCAACCACGAACCAAACTTCTCCTCCTGGCCCAGTATTATTTGTAGTTTTAAACAATCTGCTTAGGTGCCTACGATGGTACCATGTTTATCAGGTCTAGTTTAGCCATTTACACTGGGTAATGAATTCTTTCTTTCTTCACAATTTCTTTTACCTTTCACCTTAGATTTAGCATTTTTAGACAAAAACAGGCAGGATTTAACTGCCCTTATCTTTCCTCTTGCCTGTCGTCAACCAATCATGTATCATATATCATGCTCCTGTGCTTTGGACGGCTCCTGGTCTTGCTCCCCAGACCGCTCCAGTTCCTCCTCCCCGGGCTGTTCCAGTTCCAGCTTCCTGGGCCACTCAAGTTTTGGCTCCCTGGGACACTTCAGTTCTAGCTCTCCAGGCCACTCCAGTGCTGGTATCTGTGCCAGCTCCACGCAGGGCTCCTGATCTAATGCCAACTTCCTAGCTGCTGCTCCTCCTGTGCTGGTTCCCTGTGCAGCTCTTGTGTCAGCTTGCCATCTGGATCCAGCATTGGCTTCCCAAGCAGCTGCTCCTCCAGTAATGGTTCCACAGGCAGCTCTTGTGCTGGCTCACTGTCCTGTTCCAGCGCCGGCTCCCAGAGCTGCTCCAGTGCTGGCTTTTAGGAGGGCTCCTCCTGAGCCAGCTCCCAGAGCTGCTCCTCCTGTGCCAGGCCAGTGGGATTGCTGCATAGTCGGCTTCCCAGAGACTCACTCAGCTGGGGCCTACTGTTGATCCTGCCCCTGACTTTATGCTTGTTTCGGCCATGCCTCCTCATGGTCCAGGCCCACCCGCTGTCTTGTGCATCTGGAGCCACGCCCTAAGCGGGGGTTCTGTCACATCTCTCCCTCACACCCAAAATTCTGGAGAGACTCCATTGGGATATGCCCTGCCTAGAATGCGTCATTCCTGCTCTTGCTCCTCCCTGGTTCCACCCCTCCTCCATTACACACACCTGCAGCTACTTTATGTACACTTACTCTCCTGTATATCTTTCTGTTTAGCCTGTGTGTTTGCAAAGTTTCTGCTGTTTCTACTCAGTGCTAAGCCATGTTTCCTTTGTTGGTAATTTTCCTGTTTTGACCCTTGGTTTTTCTTGTGGCCTGTCTGCCTGTGTTTTGATGCCTGCGTGCCGTGTTGTGATGACTATTAGTGTTGGACTGTAAATAAAACCACTCTTCAAATGCAACCTGCCTGCACTTCTCAGACATTACAGTCAGACACATTTATTTATTTTTAACACCAGCCATGTCACATTATTCTTAATTTGATGAAAGCAATAAAAAACGAACCAATTTGTTTTAGTTAAACAATGCTTTAAACTGGTACTTCCTAATTTGGTGGGTATATTTCACTCATCAAAGTGTCTACAGAGCAGCTTTTATCTAAATAATAATTTGATCACTTTCTAGCCAAAACTGTTTGGCTCTGCGGTCTCTGGTTTGATAAAGCTACTTGTTTCCCTTGTGCCTTCTATTACTGCAATGTCAGTCATGGTTTTATGCACTGCACAGGGCTAAGAGGATGTGATCACCACACGCCAAAATCATACAGTTCCAATTTGAGCAGGAAGATCTTGAAATTGAACAGGTAGTTTACAATATCACACAAAACAATGACTTGTCTCAACTTTTTGTTTATTATGCAGACATTACATCTTATTTTCTCAAAATAATGATGTTTCATGTCAAAATAATCACATACTTTCTCAAAGAGTGATTATTTGTTCTTTAGTTATTAGTATTATTCTTTGGTTATTAGTATTATTTTTTGACCTACTAAATCAAAATTGAGAAAATAAGGCATTATTTAAACCTAATGAGCACTTCTATAACTTACCTACTACACTAATGAATGCACTTCGAATGGTGGTGCAGTAATTTTTACATACTATTTAACGCTGTAAAATGCAGGCGAAGCCTTTTTCTCCTACCTAGCTGAAACAGGCTTGCATACAAAAGCATATGAGCCACAAATGTGGTTATATTGTGCTGGGCATACGTTAATTATGCAGCTGCAATAGTGTTTATTTGCATGGACGTTCACAGCAAAGCAGATTGTTGGTAATTGGTGCCTCTTTCAGTAAATCTGACCCTATATATTTTATTTGTATGTTTTTAAAGCCTGGAGTAGCCATGAACTGTTTAAGTTAACTCTACATTGAGCCAAATCCCTTTCCTCACCAACCATTAACATACAAAGTTTAGGCTACAATCACAATACAAGTAGAAGTGGCGCAAATCCAATATTTTTCTTCATATCGGATTCAGAAATGTTTTTTTGTGTGGCAGTGTGAACAACAAAAAACGCAACGAATCTGCATCAGTTCAGATTTGGGCCTCTTTCATATGAAGTACTGAAATCCGATATGTATCTGATACTTGGCAATGCAACCTCTGCCTGAACAGTCATATCAGAATTCATGTGACATTCATGTCAAAGTCCATCAAAATTTCATGTTAGTGCCCATGGCATGGGTAACATTAACACTGCAACATTAACACTGCAAGACAGATATATATATATACATATATATATATATATAGGAGCAACATTGTCTTTTAGATGCTGTCTTTTTCAGGGACATCCATGCTTATTTAACATGACAATGCCAAGAAACATTTGCATTACAACAAGGTTGCTGTGTAATCAGAGATTGAGGGTTCTTGACTGCAATCTAGATCTGTCTCATATTGAGAAAATGTGTGTAACTGAAGAATGGCAAAAAAAAATCTGATTACTCTGTTCCTTACTGAAGCGTAGGTCTTGGCAGAGTGCAGAGAGCCCTTTCCCTGATGGTAGTGCTGTTTTTGGCTCTGATACAGATGAAACTGATGGGCGAGGCTGTGAGGTACCAGAGGGTGCAGGCTGAAGCTGTTTCCGCAGTAGAGAGAGCTCCACCCTATGACCTGTTGACCTCAAAATCTCCATTGCTCGCTCCTCACTGCAGCCATGAAGCCGCCGCCCATCTACCTACATATGCAAATAAACATATGTACACATAAATCTCTATTTCTATCAGCACCACTGTAAACAATTCTTGGTAAAGATCTTTAAAGATCAGTGGAATTCCACTTTCTGTGCATTTCAGTGCTAATTACTATTTATTTTATTTGAAGCATATAGTGAAAATTTCTTTATAGAAATAGTTGCTATCTTAATAATGAATGATATTATATGTTACCACTAATATTAGTATGTTAATTAAAATAGCAAATTGATTTTAATGGTTTGGTTTTTGGTTATTAAAGAGTTTACCTTGGGATAAAAATGTATGCAAACATACAAAAAAAATTATGAATTGTCAAAAAAAAAAAATCATATCGTAATCTTATTTGGAACAAGGGCATGTTTAAAGAAAATAAAACATACCCACAGTCAGTCACTTTTAAATGACAAATATCATATCATAACTAAATTGCATTAAATGTTACACATCTACATATGATTAATGTTTAACAATTTTAATTCATGTTAATTAATATTAAAACAAAAAGTTAACTAATCTTTTAATTAACATTTAATTTTAACTTCACCAATGTTAAAGGAAAATCCCACCAATTCTGCATAATTACACAGTTAAGATGTAAACAAAGTCATTCAGAGTGGTTTGATGTGAAATGCTGTTCTTGAGAATCAAAAGATGTCCAAAGTGTTTAATGCTTCTCAAAATTACCTCACAAACTTATCATATGAACGGTTACAACGCCTGATTCCTGGAACACTAATTTATGACTGCTTGGCAATAAGGTTTTAGCCTAAAACCTATTTTTTAAAATTTGTTCATGGTGGTACATACATAGTCTCCAAAGAAAAAATCCAGATATTCCACCATTTTACCATCATCAACATTACATATAAACTCAGAACACACATTGGTTTTGCATAGCAAATAAAATTGCTATAGATGTTGTCCCCCCTGGTTTCTATCTCCACCACTGTAAAGAGGGCAGAAAATTTTAAAATCTGTGGAATTACCCTTTGATAAACAGTCTAAAAATGTTTCAATGTAGATTTTGGTGAACTTAATAGGTATGCACACTTCCATGCAAAGAAAATTTGGTCCAGAATTAAACCTATGGAGAATATTTGGTCTCACAAACACAAACTAGCTTGACAATGTTTTTCAACTATTTGAAGCCATCAAAGCTGAGTAGAACAATATTGATTCTTCTTTCTGTAAAAGGCTGTTTGCACGTTTGCCCACAATACTTCAACATTTAAAGAAATCAAAGGGAAAAGCTATGCCATACTAAATTGTTTTATCCATTTGCTTATTTTTTGCTAATTTACTTACTAATGATTTGTTGTTAAGAAGTAAAAGCTTAATGTTTTGCAAGTGTACATACACAAAATATGCAAACAACATCTGTCTTGTTGTCATTCATCAGTCAGCCACAAAAGTGAAGGTAAAAATGTGAATTACAACTTGCAAATAAAAGATATGGTGGCCTGTTAGCTGGAGAGTAAACTGGCTGGTGTGTATATATAATTTTGTGAGTGAAGAATGAAGCTTGAGAGTCACTTAATAATCTACATTATAACTGTCTAAAGTGCATCAAACTTGAAACCAGGGCCAGGTTATATATCATGGATTCATATCATATTATCAAAGGCCTTGGACACCATGATATGAGTATTATTTTACCCCACGCACACACACACACACATACACAAAGACTGAGATCAAACCTCTCTGCATCTCTCACCGCAATAATGTGATCTCCAATATGCACTTGTCCATCCTGATCCACTGCACTGCCCTTGACAATCCCCTTCACTACAATGCCACTGAAGCCTAACAACATAAGCAGAGTCAGACAAAATGCTCTGGAGAATACTTAAAAACAGGCACATTCTCTCAAAATTTCTTCTGAATTTAGACCAGACACAGAACAAACAATAATGTGCATTAGAAATGAAGGTTTTTAAATCCAGCAGATAGCAGACGATAGTCTTTGACATAGATTTACAAATCCAGTTCCAGCACATGAAATGCTAATAAAAACAGACAACACTGATTAGTAAATTCTGTTGTACCTGTATTCAAATAAAAACAGTACTCAAAGACAAAATGATATTGACATTCCAAATACGATGCCTGCAACACATTCCAAAAAAATTGAGATAGGAGCATGTGTACCATTGTGTTACATCTTCTTTCCTTTTAACAGCACATAATAAATGTTTGGGAATTGATACCAATTGATCCAGTTTTGAAAACAGAATTTTGACATTCTTCCACAAAATCTACACAATTGTACAGGGTCTTCTTTGTTATCCTGCGCTTCATAATCCACCATGTTTTTGAAGCGAGACAGGCCTGGATTAGTCTAGCACCCACACTCTTGGAATAAACAACCATCTGTTGTAACACATGCAGGATGCGGCTTGCTTCTGTTGCCCGGTCCTTGAAAAAGATGTGATCTAGAAGGCTCCAGAATGTGTATATTTCTTTTTGCACAAAGATTTGCAAGTTACATAATACTACACTCCCATACCATGACAGACATGGTAAACTTTACACAGGTAATAATCCTGAAAGTCCTTTACTTCATTGGCCCAAAGAACATGACAAAGAACTTCCATTATTTCCATTAACAATGTGAAAGCTTGATTTGTCAGACCACAATACATGTTTCCACTGTTCATTTCAGATGAGCTTGAGCCCAGGGAAGTCAGCGGTGTTTCTAGACATTGGTAACATATGGCTTCCATTGTGTGTAGTATAGTCTCAGTACAGTGACAAACAGTGTTTGACAAAGGTTTGTCAAAGTAGCTCCAAGCCCATGTGGTGATATCCATCACAGAAGCATGCCAGTTTTTAATGCAGTGCTGTCTGAGGGGTCGAAAGTCACAAGGATTCAGGTGTGATTTCTGGCCTTGCCCTTCTAAAGAGATGTAAAGAGATTTCTCTAGATTCCCTAAATCTTTTAATGTTATTATTCACCATAGAGGGTGACATACCTAAAATCTTTGTAATTGTTTGCTGAGGAACATTATCCTTAAGCTGCAGGATTTTTGTTGATATATTTCTGGCAAAGCGGTGAGCCTCAAGTCATCCTTGCTCATGAAGGACTAGGCTTATCCTGGATGCTCCTTTTATATCCAAGCACGTTTAATATATTTTTCACAATGTTTCTAAATGTTTTAAATTGTTGCCTTCCCTACTTGGAATGTGCTGCAGGCATAAATTTCAGAATGAAAGTGTATTTTCAAAAATAATAATAATAAGTCGATAAGGTAAAACATTACATCTTGTCTTTCTACTGGTTTCATTTAAATGCAGGTTAAAACAGATTTATAAATTACTACTTTCCATTTTTATTTGCATTTTATCGACTGTCCCAACTTTTTTGGAGTTGAGTTTGTATAAAAAAGAGAGAACATAGTGACTGACACTCATGTTTGTGCAATATTTATGTATAAATATGGCCACCTGACCATCACACCTATATGAGCTTGCTGGACATCCCATTCCAAAACTGGGGCATTAATATGGAGTCATTATGCAATTTTTATGCACTACGTGGCTTTATTTCATGAACGGACTTGTGGCAAAGGTGGCATCCTACAACAGTGCCATGTTTGACGTCACTAAGCTCTTTAGTATAACCAATTCTACTGCCAGTGTTTGTCTATGGAGATTAAATGTCTCTGTGCTTGATTTTACACACTTAGCAAAGAGTGTGGCTGAAACACCTGAACTCAATTAGCAGGGGTGTCCACATACTAATGGCCATATAGTGTAGGCAAAAATGAAACTTTCAGCTCTGTAATTGCAGATCTGTGATGAAAACCATAAAATGACCAGGAGCTAAGGCTGGTGACTCATTGGGTGAGTGTGTAGGACTTTTGTCAGAACAAGGATAGCTGGGCTTTAGGTCTTACCTGCATTCAGGTACTCTAAAGACCTGGCGATGGTGATGCCCAGGCCAATTTTGTTCTTTGTTATTCTGACAATAAACTCTTTATCCCCCTCAGCACACTGCAAAGGCAGAGAAACACAGTAGTTATGTCAATTGGTGTTGTAACCAGGGTGCCCAGATGTTCTATAGTCCAATATGGCCTGACACCTTTCTTTCACATAGAGGGGATGGTAGATATAGACTATTTCATAGTCACATATTAATATCAACAACAGGCTACCGCTCTATCAACAGAAACAGAAAGCCATCAAACTGCTGCAGATGGCAACTTAAGTTTGCAAGGATTAGAGAGATCTTTTCTCAAAAAATGTAACAGCAGGTTACAACATCTTCCTACACTGCTTAAACAACATGTAATTTTAACTTTAATACATCATTTCTGGACATCAGAGATTCAACTAACAATACACATTCAGTGTGTCAGTGATTTAAAAAGCATTCTTATTATGAGGGAAACAATTTGGGAAAGAGTCAGAATGATCACAGAGAGGCCGCGTATGCAACAAGTCAGCTCAGTAAAAACAGTTACAAGCTTGAATTTTAGCTACGCATTCATTCATATTGTAATCTAAGTGAAGGTGAGTAGTCTCTCTCATTCACTTTCTCTACTTTCTCTTTCTCCCCCTCCATTTTCTCTGTTTTGTTCTCTCTCCCCTTTGTATTCTCTTTCTATTTTTTCTTTTTTTATCTCTCCTTCTCTCTCTCCATTCACTTTCTTTATTCTCTCTCCCTTTCTCCCTATCCATTTTGTCTCTTTCGCTCTTTCCATTTTCTCTTTCTTTTGCTCTCTCTCTATATTCTCTGTATTCTCTCTTTCTCTTCTCTTTCTATTCTTTCTCTTTTCTGGTTTCTCCTTTTCTCTTTCTCCCTATTCTTTTTGTCTTTCATTCACAGTGGAGAAGGGGGCGTGGCCGAGCGTCGAATGCGGGGCGGAGAAGCCAGTCTGGCTGAACCAGTGGGCTAAGTAGCTGACTATGTTCGCCTGTGCCTTGTTTCTGCCAGCCTACTTATAGCCATCTCTTCCTTCAGTAGGTGGCAGAGCCCAGAGAGAGAAGGAGACCTATGAAGGCGCGAGAGCTGAGCTGAACCAGAAAGAAAGAAAGGACTGAAAAGTCCCAGCGAGCGTCTTGTCTTACTTTGTGGGCTGAAAAGCAGAGTGTTTTGCATTGTGTATAAATGATAATAAAGGAAAGCTCTCCGTCTTCACACCTGCCCCTCCACCCATCGTTAAAGTTGTTACATTCACTTTGTCTACTTTCTCTTTCTCCCTCTCCATTTTCTCTCTCTTTTGTTCTCTCTCTATATTCTCTGTACTATATTTCTCTGTACTATATTTCTCTGTATGTCTCTTCCTTTTCTTTCTCTTTTCTCATTTTTTCTCTCATTCACTTTCTCTACTTTCTCTTTCTCCCTCTCCATTTTCTGTTTTGTTCTCTCATCTGTATTCTTTCTATTTTTTCTTTTATCTCTCCTTCTCTCTCTCTCCCTCACTTTTTCTATTCCCTTTCTCCCTATCCCTTTTGTCTTTCTCTTTCTCTTTCCATTTCTCTCTTTTGCTCTCTCTCTCTATATATTCTCTGTATTCTCTCTTCCTCTTCTCTTTCTGTTCTTTCTCTTTTCTTTCTCCCTTCTTTTATCTCTTTTTCTTCTCTCTCTTTCTCCCTATCCATTCTTTCTCTCTCTCCGTGTCAGAGAAACAGTAACACTGCACCTGTCCTTCTTGTGTTTCCTGTTGCTGAGCAACAGAGTGCATGAGGTCACTGTCCGTGGTTTCCCTGGCGATGAGGAGCCTCACTTTGGTGCCAGCGAGACGGAGCTCTCGCGCTACTTCATCAGTGCCCATATTGGATACATCCACATCACCAATCTTGAGGAGCAAATCACCACTCTGCAAGCGCCCATCCTGCACACAAAGCACGCTCTCATTTAATTTTCAATAAACCTGTCAACCTGTCAACAAAATTGCATTATGTTTGTTATTATTTTAAAAAAAGATCAACTAAATTAGATGATGAGGATTAGTTTTACTGAATGAATTTTGAGAGGCAGTGATCACAAGCCAGGCAGATGGGCAAAACGCAGGCAAATCTATCAGCCAGTCCTCAATAAACAAGTCAGAAGGCACACGTGGAAACATGGAGTTACATGAAAATAAAACCAGTTTGTCACAAATTTCACACCAAAATTATTTTAATCGCCCTCTTAGTGACTAATCTAGCACCAAGCTTGTAACCAACTTACACAACGTATATTATAGACGTGTAAATAAAATAGATTTTAATTTCATCATGCTGATATTTGCATATTCATTTACTTTTTTAGCAGAATATTACAGAAAACTTTTACAGTTGTATGCTTGTGTGTTATAGGGTAAGTAGGCGTGTTTTCATGAAGAGATATGATGATCAAACGTTTCTGGGCCATTACCTTTCCTGCTACTCCATCAGGTAAGATGGTTTTGACCATGGTGCCTGTGCTCTTCCCTCCGACGATACCAAATCCCAGCCCAGAGACATCGGTCTCTAGCTCAATTAGTTGGACATTCCTTGGCTACAACAGAAAACACACAAAAAACAGCCTACTGCATCTGCCACTAGTAGGCCTTGTACTGTATCCACAGTTTCTTAGATATTATCACCACCCCAGACTCTGTAACTGCTAATGCAATTACTTTAATAGCATTAGACTTGGTGGAGGGCTCTGGCTGCTAACAGTTTTGGTTCGCTGCAGCATGAAGAACAAGAGCCAGTGTCTCTATGGTAGATAAAATGTGTGTGGGTAGGTCAATAAAACACCAGTAGAAATTCTTCTTAATTTAACTCCCAAGTCCTAGATTTGAAACCCCTTGGTGATGAACCAAAAACATTAACACTGTCTTCTATTATAGTTTCTATTACAGCTGGCCTTCCATTATTATCTTGAATAAATTGCCTTTGAATGTTCTGAAGAAATGGGAGTAACCAAGGTTACCAACTTCAGGCCTAAAAGAGTTTTTAAAGACTCAAAGAACCCTCTTGTACCATTTGGACCACCCTTTTTATAACATGTAGAACCATTTGTTAAACCTTTGAACAACCTTTATGAAAGAGTTCTACCAAATAGAGCTCGCCTTCCTGGGGCTTATTACAATTTTCATCATTCGAGATTGTAACTGTTGGATGGGGATGTGATTTTACACTAAGTTTTGTAATTCTGCATTTAAACCTCTACTGCCAACAACAGTAACTCAACTATTGCAACTACATCCATTATTATTGTTATTAAGTGCAGTCAAGTTGTTTCTAACTCCTGGCAATCATAGGGGTAGTGTTCCTCCAGAATATCATGCCTTCTGTTTTGGGTCTTCAGGCTTCTGAATGGCTTGTTCATGATTCCTCCAACTGTGTGCATCTATCTTGTAGCTGGTCATCCTGTTGAATCCTCCTCTTTTATCTTCAACACTTACACAACACAAGCATAATGGTCATTTCCAATGAATTGGTTCTTCTCAGAATATGTCCCAAATGAAAAAGCTTCACTATGCTTGTTTAGGCTTCAAGTGAGAGGTGAGGCTTGATTTGTTTGAGGGTTTGAGGACATTTGTTTATTTACTTCGCCATTCAAAGAACTCTAAAATGTCATTGCCAAAGTTCAAAGGCATCCATACTTTTCCTGTCTTGCTTGTTTATTGTCCAGCTTTCACATCCCTAAAGAACCACAGAGAAGAACATAGCTTGAACAGCTCTGACCTTTGTTTGTAGAGACCAATCATTGCATATGAAGATCTTCTCAAATTCCTCTGTTCTTGTTCAGCCGAGTGCCAATCTGTGCAGGCAGGCCAGTTTAGCACGCGGACACTTTTACTGCAGAGCCATGCTGCTGTAATACATGCAGAATGTGGTTTTAAATTGTCTTGCTGAAATAATCAATTTCCCTGAATGGCAGCACATGTTGCCAAAACATGTATATACGTTCAGCATTAATGGTGCCTTCACAGATGTGCACGTCACCCATGCCATGTGCACTAATGCACCCCTATGCCATCATGAATACTGAGGAGAACTGTGCTTTTGAACTGTGCACTGACAACAAGCTGAGAGGTCTTTAGCCCAGAGGACACAGTGTCCATGATTTCCAAAAATAATTTCAAATGTTGATTTGCTGGACCACAGGACACTTTTCCACTTCCCCTCAGTCCATTTTAAATGAGCTCAGGCCCAGAGAAGGTGGTGGCATTTCTGTATCCTGTTTATAGATGGTTTCTTCTTTGCGTTTAGAGTTTTAACTTGCATTTGTGGATGCAGTGGTGAACTGTGTTGATAGACAGTGTTCACAGTTCACAGCAAGTGTTCCTGAGCCCATGCAGTGATTTTCACTACAGAATCATGTTTTTAATGCAGTGCTGGCTTAGGACCCAAAGATCACGGCCAGCAAATACTGGTTTTTGGCCATGTCCCTTAAATACAGAGATGTCTCCAGATTCTCTGAATCTTTTAATCATATTATGTACCGTAGATGATGAAAACGTTCTTTGCTATTTTACGTTGAGAAATGTTATTCCTGATTTGTTGCACTATTTGATTGTGCAGTCTTTCACAGAGTGGTGAACCCCTACTCATCTTACTTCTAAAAGACTCTGCCTCTCTGGGATGTTCTTTCATACCAAATCATGTGGCTGACCTGTTGCCAATCAACCACCAGGTGTTTTTTTAGCATTACGCAACTTTACCAGCCTTTTGTTGCCCCTGTCCCAATTTTTTGGAACATGTTGTTAGCATCAAGGTCAAAATGGGCAAATATTTTTCAAAAAACAATAAAAGTGCTCAGTTTCAACATTTGATATGTTGTCTTTGTACTATTTTCAATGAATGTATAGTGTTTAAATGATCACACATCATTGCATTTTGTTTTTATTTACATTTTGCACAGCGTCCCAACTTCTTTGGAAATGGGGTTTAGTCTGTGCTGAAAGATCGTAAGCATAACTTTACTGGCGTGTGATATTAAGGAAATTGTGTGATAGTTTGCACACTGTTTCTTGTGTTCTTTCTTTGGAATTGGGAAATAAACTGACCTCCAATCTGCTGGCCATTGTGCTGTTTCTAATCTTCTACTAAATCTTGAAATATTTCTGTTGAATGTTATCGGTTCCTGTGGCTTTCTTCTTTAGCAATAATCTCAGGGCCTGTCTGACTTCATCTTCTAGCACTGAAGCGTCTTCTATGTAGTCAACATCAACAAAAAAGTTTTGGCAATTGAAATCTTCTCTGCAGAGGTCTTATGTATATTCTTTCTAACTGCTGAAATCTTGTGAATTCTGAAAACAATCCTTGTTTTTCCATGTTTGTTCCTCTTTTCATTCAATATCTTTAAAGATGGTGTTGTAGTATTGGTCCTTGTCCGTCCTGGCAGCTCTCCGGAATGGTTTAGTTCTCTTAAACAATCTTTTGACTTGTGGCCACACCAGCCTAATCATCACTATTAGTGATTGTATAATAACTGAAAAAGCTCTATAATATAACATAACAAATTAAATTGATGTTCCAAAACATTCCCATTCATTACACAAGTAGGCATAGGCAGACCTACACCAACCCCGACTGATTAGATGCCTACTAGATCAAATGGGGAAAGAATATTTATAAAGCTGACTTTTAAGATAATGAAATTTGACTGGTATTACTGTATTGTGGCCAGTCAAAATCACTACACTCATTGCTGAATGTGCAAGGTATACTCCAATCGACTGATCCCAGTCTCTGTCTTACTTTCTCAGGCCTTATTTTCTCATTGCATAGCAATCACTGCTATCAAACTTTCAGTTCTTTAGCAACATGCTGTGTTTGTTGAATTTGAAACTCTGGCTATGGTGAAAAGATTTGCCTGGGCCCTGTAAAACTGAAACCTCAACAGAGTGGAATAGAGTGGAAAGATCCCAAGAAAAACAGATTAGAAAATCTGTATGTGTTGATGTTAAAAACTTTTTTAAATAGCTGCTATTTTTGTGATTATTTTTAGAGTCACAATTTATTTGGATAGCCCACAATGGATTATCTATTAGTGATGCATCGATATTGATACTAGTATCTGCGCAATGCTGTGGTCATTGACTGATACTCGACCTCATAAAAACGGATACAAACATCAGTGTACACTGCTGCGCTAATGAACAAATGACTCAAGCTGGCAGTGAATGGGAGTCTGCTCACACCGAGTTGTTCTGCGTTTCTGATGCCACAGTGGTTGGACACAAATTGGTAGGTCGCTTTGAACATTCCACCTTGGCAGATTCCTGTCAGGAATACATTGCCTATTTTAGCACATTTTAAACTATTGTGAAAGTGGTTGTGATTGTGTTTGTGTCTGTTTAAAATGGAAACGTTTAGGCTAACAAAATGGAGGTGAAGAAAGACTGACATTTGCAGTACCATTCCTTAAAACAAGCAGCCCACACGCTCATCTAATTTTAAAATGTCCCCATTCCTGTCGTTTTTCCTGTCTAGAGCCCCAGAATCACTAAATTGGCCTCTCAGACATTGCATCACACAGCATGTTTGAAAAATATTTTTTTTTAAAAAGAATAAAAAAACACCTAGGTAGCCTACCGTCTTTTTCACAGGCTTTCCCAAAAATTATTTAAGGTGCGCCACTGCTGCAAATTACACACACACACACACACACACCTTCTAAGCCGCTTATCTTTCTGGGTCGCGGGGAAGGTGGAGCCTATCCCAGCAGTCGCTCCAAATTACAGCTGATGTAAATTTACTTTTGTTTTGAACTGCTATTTTTACTGTAAGTCACAAAACACTATCATTAAGGCAGTGAAAAAGCAAAACAGTAAAAAAAAAAAGACAGTCTTACAGTGAAGGAGCCGCTGACACTTGGCAGTGACACGGCACGGCTCATACGTGGTGGATAGAGATCACTGACTGGTCCTCTGGCTACAGTGAGTGTTGTCATGGAGACAGCATTCTGCAACACTCTGAAGGCCTGCTGCTGGGTTACACTGGAGTCAAATACCTCCCCATTCACTGCAAGGATCTGATCGGATTCACGGAGGCCATCACTGAAAGTGAGACAAGAAAGATGGGAAGAAAGCAAGGATAATACAAAAGTTTTTCATGTACATCTAACTTAATTCTGCAAACTTTAATTTAGTTCTGTAAACTAATCTCAGATGAACACTGTAAGGCCCAGTTCAACTCTGGTGGCTTTATGTGAGGTATATTGTGTTTTATTGTGGGTGACTAAAAATCGTATTAGCTCAGAAAATAACTACAGAAGTAGTACTGCAACTGTAGTGATAATTTCAATATTAAAATTATTAATAAAAATACTCATATATACATAAATACATTAACAAACTACTTGGGTAAAGTAACTTTGAGATGTAAGTTAACATTCACCAAACAATAAGAAGGTCCAACACCTATAGTTTCACTGTGTTTAGTGGCTTTCCATTAGCCTACTTTGTGTTAGCTTGTGTTAGCTACATTAACCCACACTTGCAGTAAAATATTTAAGCAACAACTTTATGTTTACTAAGTTTGTTTTCTAAAACGACAAAATTAAAAAGGATAGTAAAAGAACTCAGTAGTTATTTAGCTATTATTAGTTAGCCAGCTAGCTTGCTTTCTCAGGCCAAAAACTGAAAAGATTACCTGTTATTACAAGGTACAGTACAGTGATGGAAGTACTGCAACTGTAGCCAGAATTTGCTTTAAATAAGAGTAAATATGTTGTTCACTCAAAAACGAATTGGGTAATTTCTTTGACTTACTTTAACTAAAGGTTTATTGGCTACTTGCTTCCCATTAACCTATCTCGGGTGTTAGCCTGCATTTGCCAAAATAGTTAGCTAGCTAGCTAACATGCAGCCACAGTAAACATTTAAGCACAAGCTTTAAGTTTAATAAAAGGCTGTCATTGTGTTCCTGAAACCACAAAATAAAAAGAAAGTGGTAAAAGAACACAGTAGCTATTTAGCTAAGATTAGATAGCTAGCTAGCTTTGCTTTTACCGTGTAACAAAGCAGTGGGTTTTTCCTTTTTTAACTCTGTACCTTTTATTTAAAAATATAAAATAGCTTTAAAAAGATTTACTCAATATTATGAAATAAATTCTGTTACAAGTTCTCCAGTACAGTACCAACATTTGTAAACACCTTGACCTCTGCATGACTGCATGTGTGTTAGGGTCAGGACAGAGCTAGAATTAGGGTAAGACAGGCTTAGCAACCTTTGGTAAAGTACCAGTGGTAGACCCCACAGGGATAGAAAAACAAGGATTTATGTGTGTACCTGTGGGCCATTGAGCCAGGCTTAATTCCCTGTATGAAAATGCCAGACCCTCCTTTGTATTCAGCCTGTAAGTCAACCACATCGAAGCCCAAGTCACCTTCCTCCTTCTGAAAGTCCACACTCAACACACGGCGACCCTGGGAAAGGAAAACAGGGAGGCATAACATACGCCAATGTTTGGGCTGCAGCTGGTATGAGACCTGGTAAGCGGCCCTGCACTAGCTACCATCACATTTTTAGTGAAGTAAATTTTGACTTTACAGCATATAAACCAGGTACCAAATGTGTGTATTGCACCAAGTGCCAGTTTTAATCTGCCAGTTTTCACCCGTTTATTGCTTCTATTTTAATCCATACTTTTTATGTACCTTAAGGTTTTAGGTACCTTATGTACCTTTTGTTTGTTCATTTTCCATCCCTTCACTCTTCCATAAATGTCTATTCATTTTCTACAAATTGATTTCAATAACTTTTCAACCAATTCAGAACCACTGGCCAACTGTGCTTGCACACAGAGGAATTAGACCTCTGCATTTTACCCATTCATGCAGTGAAACACCCACATACATGCACACTAGTCAACACACACAGTTTTGACACTGTTTGACTTTATTATTCAACTATATTTACTAATTTATTCTTTAACTGAAAATACATTCTGAAACCTATAAACTAAACAATTTAGATGTTGTATACTAAAGCCCTATTCAGGTTGGATTAGTTTTACCTGGAGAGATCCTGTAATTTGAGTGATTACCGACAAGATCCCTGATTTTAATCCAGTGTGAATCTGCCATGTCCGTAGTTTTCACAAGTCTGCTAAGTAATAATTTGAATAACGAAATTAATGTTATGTATGTAACATATAATGTTATGTAAATTTGAATTTCATTAGGTTATGTTAACTATATTACCTTCTTAAATTCACTGAACTATGAGCTCCTTCAGTAATAGCAGTGCTGTTCAAATTGACATCACAGTAACGTAATAACAAAACCAGGTAATAGAAAATGCCTCCATTTTTTTGTTCTCTTATTTGCAACCTGAAGACAAGACTAATAGCTGAAATGGAGCATGATTTGACCCGCATTCTCAAGTTCATGACAAAGCTACTAAAGTTCACAACATTTTTGGGTGTATATTCCCTCCCGTACACTAACATTACACACCATCATTTGGAATTGTCGGCGATAACGGTCATTACCCCATGCTGAAATGAGATATAAAGTCTCTTTCCTTGTGCAGTGTTGAACCAGCTGCACAATGCATTATTGTTTGGAAGCGTGGTGCCTATTGTACAACTCTGAGTTAAACGTCCGTGTGATGATGTTTCAATCTGGGCTATTTGGGGTAATTTGGGGAAATTACACAGATCCTTTGTCCACTACAAATTGGTTAGTCAAATCCTGCACCACCCACATAGTATGTGCTCTGACCACTGAAGAACAGGGTAAAAGGGGGCTAACAAAGTATGCAGAGAAACAGATTGACTACAGTCTGTAATTGTAGAACTACGAAGTGCACCTACATAGCAAGTGGAGCTGATAAAATGGACAATGAGCGTAGAAACAAGGAGGTGGTCATAATGTTATGCCTGATCGGTATACATATGTGTACATATATATATACACACACACACATACATACATGTGTGTGTGTGTGTGTGTGTGTGTGTATAGGACCTCTGTTGCAGCACTGCTCTGGTAAGTTTACATTAATATTGTGAAAGATACATATAGCTGATTATATAGCATACCATTGCCATGGACTGTATAGTTGACTGGACGTCCTCTGTGATGATGGGAGTGGTTGGTATATGGTTAGCAGAACCATATCGGTCATTTCGTCGTTGGGCCGATAGGTAGGATTCACTGTGCCTGAGAGCACAGGATGCACCAACACGGCCCACTTCACCTTGGAGGGACTGGGATCGAGGCAACTTTATGGAACCCTGCACACACACAGAAACACAAACATACATTCTTGGCTTGATGTATGATTCTGATTATGATGTATGATTATGACAAAATGAGACCCGCCTTGGCCACAATCTGTGCTCTCAATCTCTGAAATCAGCGCTCAGTTTACTAAGACTGTAGCTAATTATGTAAACCGTGGATAGGAAATAGCCTACTAATTGTGCTATGCTTGTGAGGCACAGGGTTTAAAAGGTGCCATGAAATGGAGGAAATTATCAATTAAGGAGCTGCCAACTCAACAAAGAGAGAAAATGTGACAGTTCTGTGATGAAGACATAGAGGTGTAAAGTACTTTCAGCACATCTGTGCCTCCGTCTAGCTGCCAAGACTACTGCTATTGTTAAAGACAGTCTCTCAACATCATGCACACTGACCCTAATATACACCTGCTTTTAAGAAGCAGAGAAAATTTCATGCAAAACTGGCTTCCAAAACAAAAGTTTGGGCGCCCATGCTAAAATGACATATTGTGTTGCTCTTCCAAGTGAAAAGAAGTTAACACATCCTCTACAGAGAACATATTTCTACACATTTTAATGCACACCTACTGGGTGTTCAAACTTCAGCAAATATAACAATCTCAAAGGCAAATCACACTCTTTCTCTGATAACATTACTTGCCGTACCTAACAGCATCAATGAAAGATTACTTTGTTAAAAACAATTACCTTTATCGGTCTCACACAGAAATCTGGAAAGTAATTTTTGGCAGAAAACAAGCACAAAGTCATTCATCAGGTTATTATGATTGTGCAATGGTCATGATATCTAATTATGGCTCTTTCACTTGTTTCAAGAAGTAGTCCCCTCTTGCATTGCCTTACTTCAAAGATTTTAAGATCTGATGTTATTTGAAAGCCTTTTGTTGTACTGAATGTAGAGTTTAATTACAACTTGTTAACTGGAATTACTGGAATTCTCAGAAGCGGCCTTATTAACACGCTCATTGTGGTGTATTCAGATGTGATCTGAGATTAATATAAGATGAAAACAAAACTCTAATTGTTTTTGTCTCATTTGGTAAGCAGACTGTCTAATGATGGACTAATTCGAAGTGCAATATTTTTTCTCTAGGCTCACAAGAAATATAGTCTTACCAAAAAGCTTGGACAAGAGAAATAGACTTACACTGGGCGCCTGGATCTTATTATTGCTCTTTTTAAAAGAATCTTTAATGTCATGTCTGTAATGTCAATTCTACATTCACATATATTTTTACATATAGGTGATGTGAAGACCTACATATTATTGCTTATTTCAAGAAACCATACTAAGTACATTTTGCTTATTCCTTATGATAAGGAAGGTAATTCAATCACACAATATGTGCAAGTCAGAGACCACACTTAATTTATTTCATTTCACTTTTATTGCAGCTTCAATTCTTTTCCAGAAACTTGCTTTCAGTTTATCAAAGAAATCTGCAGGGATACTTTTCCACACCTCCAAAGTTCAGTCTTAGACGTTGGTTGGACCACATTCAATGATGTTGAGGTCTGTTGACTCTGATCTAGTCAGTCCAGTTCTGAGTAGACAAGCAGCTTCTTTGTTTGATTTTTTTCCTTTCTGTCTGTTTCCTTTTCTCAGTAATAGCTTCTTGACAGCTACACATCCTTTCAGACTTCTAAAATTGAGTTGTCTTCTTACAGTGGAAGGATGGACAGAAACACCTGTGGATTGTTTTCAGCTCTGTATCAAGAGTGGAGCTTGATTTTCTCCTGTCCTTTAAGAACTGTTTATTTGATGGGGGCAGTTTGGTGGTCTGCCGGGTCTTGCAGGGTTGTAGGAGTCAAGTTAGATCTATATGCTAGAACAACTTTTTGTACTCCGGGTTTCGTTTATTTTCCTTTGACTCTCTGGATTGCTTTAAATTCTAATCTTCTCAGAAATATCGCCTGAAAAATTAATAACGTGCACTTTTGACTGGAAATTAAACACATGATCTCTTACTGTTGCACAGGACTGTATATGGAATGTAGAGAGGATATCTTATTCAAACTTCAGAAATTATATTCTCTTTTATATTTATCATCATTGTCAGTACGGGTCGCTCGCTTAGAGTTAACTGGGCCAACAAACTCTTTCTGCGTGTTCTTTCAACAGTTATAGGGATTAAGTATATGTGCGAAAGAAAGACAGTAAGAGTTGTATGACCCCTGTGACTTTTACTAAGCACAGCTTAAGTGGGCTCAGGGAGAAAGTGTGTGTGTGTGGTTTATCCCTCCCACTTGACAGAGCTTTAGTAGTCAGCTCAGGTAAGTAGTTTACACAGCTTCCATTTGGTCCCTGCAACTGTTTTCAAAGAAACTGTGTGTCCATTACTAAATTACAGGCAAACACTCAGGTTAAATATGAAAAGTGCTTAGGAAAAGTGACCTTTTGTTTGAGCTGCTGCTAGCATTGTTGAGTTAGTGGTTATAGGTGTCTTCTAGTCATAATTTTGCAATCATTTGTGTGAAGGCTCTTGTTCCATCTGACCTCTTCTTATTCTGTGTATTGCTCACTGTGAATCGACCCCTGCCTGAGTTCCTGTTATCCAATCTCTGTCTAGCCCCTAGTAGCCTGTGCCTGCTGTACTTTTCTGTCATTCAGCGTTGCTCACTTCAGTACAGATCTTTGTTTTAGCTTGTTTTTCAAGAATAGCAGAATAAAGACCTGGACTTTTTCTATTGTGTTAATATACAGTATTGTGCAGAAGCGAGAGACCACCCTTCATTTATTTAATTTCTAGTTTATGTAAAAGTTCATCACTTTAGGTGATATTTCTGGGGAGAAACAGGAGTTTTCAAAACTGGAATTCAAAAAATCATAAAAATAGTTAAACGTCACCACCAGACAAAGCCCCAAGGTAGTCAAACTACTGAGCGCACTGATGGCCCCGCCCCAACATCCACCATAAACAAATCACAGACCCCTTTACCATAACTGTACACCCACATTTTAAATTCTTTAATTAATTAAATGCTGCTATGAAGCCCCAATATTTCTTTACAGTGTACAGTTGACAATGCTTGTACTAGTTCTTCCCTTCATATGCTGTATATGATATCCATTTGTGTATACTGTTTTATTGTTTTTCTTGTTAGCATTGTGTATTTGTCATCTATATTTCTGTTCTGTTCATTTGTTGCTCTGTATTTACTGTTGTGTATATTGTATATTCTGCACTCATTTCACACTGCAGTGTATCTGCATTCTATGTAGTCCTGCTGTTCTGTGTTGTTGCACCATAGTCCCAGAAGAACAACATTTTGTTCCAATGCATACAAGTTATATTGAGGAATGACAAAGATGACTTGACTTGTGGTGTTTCTGTCCATGTCACTGTTAAGAAGTCATTACTAAAAAAAAGTAAACAATAAAATCATTGAATGTATTTGGAATTACTGAAGTAGAAAGTGCAACCAGCTTCTAAGACTGAAAAGAAGGAAGGTAAAAATCACCTATCTTATGTTGCATTACTCATTCCAAACTGCCTCTGGATGCAACATCAGCACAAGAACTGAGCTTCACAAAATGGGTTTCCATGGCTGAGCAGCTGCAAACAAGCCTAGGATCACTATGTGCAATGCCATGGAATGGTGTAAAGCACGCCACCAGTGGACTCTGGAGCAGTGGAAATATATTCTCTCTCACAGCTTAGAGGCTTTAGTAAATAACATAATTGGCAAATGTAATGGGTCAAATGCTTGGACAACATAGAAACTTATTCTGAAAATTGGACAACGCCGCAGTTGATTAAAGGAAGTTTGAAAACAGCAGCCAAATTACAGAGCTAGGAGAATTTCGCTCAACTGAATTACACCCAAGGTTCGTCCTCAGTTCCACAAGATAAGAAATGTATGTGGTAACACACAGAAAATGACTAATATTAGGCCTGCACTTCAAACTGCACTAGATCTGTGTTATATCTTTAAAGCCTATTCGGTAGCCTTCCATTATCCCTTGCACTGCCCATTACCCAGCACACTGCCCATTTACAGAGACTGCACTTATTTGTCCTCTTAACCCTACCTACTAATGGAGGTTGCTTTACAATCATTCACAAACTTAACGCTTAATGGTCACAATTTGTAAGCGCTTGACTTAAAATGACATTCAACAGTGAGCTGTGAGTAGCTGCTCGTTTTTTATTCTGTCTGGTCCTGACTTTTGTCCTAAGGTTTCAGAGTTTTCATTCTAACTCACTGCATGAAATGCATTACAATTTTATTTGCAATTCCAGCTTAATCTCATTCACAGCTATGGATGTTTGTCTAGATAATTAATGATCCAAAATCCTCATCAACTTTTGAGACATAATGAAGAATAAAGTAAACTGTACTGTACAGTCATTTCTATATTTAATATTACACAAATGGTAACAAACTTTAGTTTAACAAAATAGTGTACATATTATATTCCCACAGTTCTGAATAGGTAGCACAGTACTGACTGCCAGTCATGATTTTGTAGTGTAATCTCTTACATGAGAAAAACATTCACATTCTACTCAGACAAGTCTAATGTTCATATACACTATATTGCCAAAGGTTTGTGGACACCCCTCATCACTGAGTTTAGTTGTTTCAGCCACACCTATTGCTAACAAGTTTTTAAAATCAAGCACATAGCAATGGAATTTCCACAGGAAAACACTGGCAGTAGAATTGGTCGTACTGAAGAGCTTAGTGACTTTAAGTGTGGTTCTGTCAAAGCATGCTACAAGTTAGCTCATAAAGACATGGTTCGATGAGGCGGAACTTCATTGTTCAGCACAGTGGTCTTACCTCAGCCCCACTGAACACCTCTGGAATGAACTAGAACACTGATTGCGAGCCAAGTCCTCTCATCCAACATGAGTGCCTGACCTCAGGACTGCTCTTTTGACTGAATGGGCACTAATCCCCACATACACACTCAAAAATCTTGTGGACAGCCTTCCCAGAAGTGTAGAGGCTGTTATAGCCACAAAGGAGAGGCAACTCCTCATTGATATCCATGGTTTTGGCATGGGATGTCCAACTACTCATATAGGTATGATGTTCAGGATGTTGCGTATCTGTCAAGAATGTGATAGGGAAGTCACCCAACACATGCGTGGCAGGCGGTACTAGCATTGTCTTTACCTGCAATTCTAAATTTAACCACACAAGTGCAAGCACTGCTGTCAAAATGTTTTTTGTCCCCCTAATCAGGATTTTCAACTGTACTTTTATTTGAATATAATTTCTAAATATACTGTTTTAAAGATAACTGCCCAAAAATGAGGGCTGCCCAATGGTAATGTCCCTCAGCTCTTTTCCCACTGGATTAGCTTGTATTGGGCTTATGACATCTGGCAAAACTGAGGAATCAATTTTGAAATACCCCCCTAGTTCCCATCAGCTCCACTGTAAACAAATCTGATTCAATGAATCTCTCTGCATTTCACATTAAACCACTCTGAAGAACTTTGATTAGATCTCAACAATTGAATTATGCACTGAAATTCACCTTTAAGAACTTCATGACATATAACACATTTAACCTTCTTCTAAGGTATACTGTTAAATTTTGCAAATAAACAAATGTGCAGTAAAATGTGTTTTCTGTAGAGGTTGGCATTTCAAAATGAACGTGAAAATGAAACGAAAGTGTAATTTAACCAGTGTAATTTAACCAGCGGTGGCTGAACTTTGCATATGACTGTACATACACTTTTATTTTTTCTTATATACAACCTTTGCAAGGGACATTTAAATGTTTACTTTTAACTTTTTCCATCTTATGTCTGAATATATTATGTAATAATATAATTATAATATGTAATATTATATAATGTAAAGTACAAGCCATTGTGGACATAATTAGCATTTTTTTAGTGTTCAGAATGTCTGTCACAGACCAGCAACCTACTTTTAGGCTTCTAGGCTTTTATAGGAATCTTGTCCTCTGGTCAACTGTCAAAAGAAGTCTTTGTCAATGACATAACTGGCCAACGTAGTGGGATAAAAGCCTGGACACTAAGCAAACTAATGGGTTACACAAACTCGAATAACAGACTGCATACGTATGCTTGTATATAGGCAATAAACGTGACAGAATCCAGGTAATGAACAACTATTAAGGGAACAGTTATTAATGAACTTGCTTTTTTGATTTGAGACTAGAATATGGTAAAATAAATACACTCGGTTAATACTGTGACGAGACATGCACGTCATTGCATTTACAGCTGATATAGCAGTAGACTGCAAGATGCTAGCCACTGCAGTTTGGGATGACCCAATAGTGAAGGAGGTAAAAGCAGTTGTTAGCGGTGTAATGGTGTCTGTGCTGTTAATTAATCGTCTGCGTTGCCCTTAAGACCTGGTTGCTGAGAGTATTAACACAAATCCGTTAATTCCCTGGGCAGTTAACAAAAACTGTGTGCCACTGTCTCTTTATAACCTTTAAACCCCAAGGGACTGTATGTGGATCCACACTTCCTCACTTTCATAACTACATGGCCTACATATTAGTTAAATTGTAGATGCTGCATGTAGTTACTAAATAATTAAATAAAAAAAAATGCCAAAAAAGATCTGCACTTGGCCATTTGACATGGCACCAGTTACTACACTGATCAAAAGTAATACACTGAATTTACTTTATTCACATAAATTTGACACATTGTATTTTTTAGTACACGATAGGCACTTAGGCCTCTGTACCACACTCATTACTATTGTTATGAATACTAGTATACTCACTTTCTCTCATTATGCCCTGACAGTGCAAGTACTTGATATATAAGATATAGCTGGTCAGCCAAGACAAGTTTGGAATGCAATTGTTGCTTCTTTAGTTTAGAATTAGCTAACGTTGCTAACAACTAACAGAACTCAATAGTCATCCAAATAGCCCAAATCCTTACCCCAGAATTTCTCTCAACCCACTCAAACTGCATCCAGGTCTTCATTAAGGTGGTAAAGAGTTGCAGATATGGTTAAAGCACAGTACGACTCACTGTGAACTACAGAACTGAACAAAAAAACATTACTGCTAAAGCCATCCCAGACAACACTAAGCAGGATCCATACATACAAGTGTCCTAAACTCAACAAGCCTGTTTAACCTATATGGAGACCTTTGTGCAGGTTGAGAGAAGTTTTGAGGATGTATTTCCACAAAAACAATTTGGGCTATTTGGGTGACTTTTGAGTGTTTGTTAGCAATGTCAGCCTTGTAGCTCCACTTTTAAACTAAAGAAATAAATTCTGGGCTTTAAACATGCATTGGCTGATCAAGTAATCAAGTCACCTGGGGTAAGTGGAAAATTGTGCAAGCCTGCTTTTTGGCTAAACCTTTCCTTTAAAGCAGGGGTGAGGAGCTGACGGCACAGTCCAGCACAGTTTGGTGATTCCCCTACTATAGCACACCAACTAAACCTGGTAATTAGCTGGTTAGTTGAATCAGATGTGCATGAGTACAGAAAATATTCACCAAGGATCTATGAAAGAACCCAGCCCTTCCCCACCCCTGCTTTAAAAGGTCACGCCTGTAAGTACCTGATGCAGTTGCTGATGATGATGTCCAGTCTCTTGCATAATAAGAATCTGGTGGAACAGGGGACTCTGTAAAACACTCTTCAGGAGGTTCAGTTTCTCCTCTGTAGGCAACTCTCCTCTCTCCTTCAACCTCTCCTGAAGCCGCTCCACAGCCAACAGAGCCCGCTGTGTATCTGCATACATGCATGATCAACATACCAACACACAATACACATGTAAGTGGGATGAACAGTGGACATGGATGTTTAGATGTGCTCTAATAATGTTAAACAGGTGGTGAGATAAGCAGACATAAACCCATACCCATCATTTTCAACTTCAGATATGCCCAGTTACAAGACCCTCTGCAAGACAAACACAAAATTGTGCACATTACTGACACTTCAGAAAATCAGTGTTGCAGAGCAGTGTTGTTAGCCAGAGAACATTAGCATCTGTGTTTTTGTTGTTGCTAACTTACTGTAGAACAAAAAATGAAGTTAGATTTAAAAGCAATATAGATTATACAGTTTTAAAGTTAAAAGTTAACAAATGTAGCTTTCCACTCACCCTTTCCAAGCCTTACGTTCCCGTCACAGCCCACAGAGTCACATGATCAGGCTTACATCCATCTCAGTTACGAGGTAACTGATTAATTAACGGCACGTGCCACATTACTACATAACTTATCGGTCTCTACGGCAATATCTCTCAACTGATCTGCGATTCTTCGTGCGCGTGTAGCTAATCCTGCGCAAGTCCGAAGTAGGCTTTGTTTGCGCTACGCCAGTCTGCTTAATGCGCTTTACACAGGGAGGCTTAGCAGCCTTAAACGGCCTTAAACCGTGAACGACGGTAATTAACCTGGACACGTGTCCACCCGCTCTTATTACTTTTCCCCACCCGCATTCCGGCAAACCTTGACCCCTGGATTAGGACTGGCTAGTATATGGGTGCACAACTCCAGTGTTGGAGGGCCGGTGTTTCCTTATCAAACACACCCACTAAACCTGGCTATTAAACCTGGCAATTAACAGATGAGCGTATTCTGCTGGCATTATTGGGGATGGTAACAAATCATGAGTTATGAGGTACTAGTAAAGTGCCAGTATGCTGTTCTTCATTAAAGGGGCGTGACTAGATTGCCAGCATCAGGAACTGAACCAATCAGAACCATCACAAGCCCCACCCCAATTTCCTCATCCCTCCAATCACTGCTTAGCAACCGTTGTTAGCTTATTTTCAGCGTGTACATTTTGGTCGAGAGATGAACCTGTGTGACTTTTTATGACAGAGTGGAGGGTGTTGTTTTACGCTCATCTCCAAAGCCCCAAATAAACTTTAAAAATGTCAGCTTTAAAATTTGTCTGTGTGGTAAATCTGTTTTTTCCCCAAGCACACCTGTTCTCCTCCATTCTTTTTAAACTCTTGTCTTCTTCTTGCTCGAGTTTTCTCGTCCCACTTTAAACGGTGCAGCAGTCACTTTCTGGTACCTGATGCTGCACCATTTAAGGTGTAACGGGAATATTCGAACAAGAAGCTGGCTGGTGCACCATTTAAGGTGGAACGGGAAAATTCGAACAAGAAGCTGGCTGATGCACCATTTAAGGTGGAACGGGAAAAAAAATACTAAATAAAGTTAAGATCCCCTGAATAGACTATGAAAGGAAAAAAGCTTAATATATAACCAGAGGACAAACAATCACATCAACAGGTTCTGTGTGCATCACCAACCACACGGCCATATCTACACATAAACATCACACAAACAAAACTCATCACACAAACATGAGCGTGGATCGCTGCGTTCCCTCCGTTATATAATCCTAGAAAACTTGAACAAGAAGCTGGCGAATAGTAGCAAATACTGTGTTTTGAGGGGTTTATTATATTTTTATGTGTATTAATATTAGAAGTGATTCACTCATGGATTTGCTGATGTGTGTTATTGTGTGTCTCGTGCTAACGGTCTCGGTTTTTAACGTCAGGTGCAGACTGAATGCTGCTGCTCCAGACGGCTAATTATCACGATCAGTTATTAAAGTAATAAAAGTTACTGAGAGCAGTCCGTGCAGCCTATATTAATCTGTGTCTGAGGATTAGAACAAAACATATTTGGTGAAAATCAGTTGAGTAATAAGGAAGTTGGGGCCGATTTAATCCTGAGACTCATGATCTCTCAATACGAGTGAATTTGTTCACAAGCGGATCTTGACCGCACCAACATGACGGACACGCAGACGTATCGCCTCAGATAGAGAACAGCAGACAACGCGGCATCTAGGCATGGATATCTACGGCTCTACCCGCGTACTGGAATATTTGGTAGGATTAGTATGTCATCCGGGTATCTTTGACATACTGATGAAATCCATGTTGGTCATGTACTGCATTCTACGTACTACTTTTGGCCTCAATTAGTACGTGAGCAGGATGTAAGCTATAGACCACTGTAGTCGTGCGTCATTCTGTATTCCTAGTTATGCCCATATTAGGAACTCTGGGTCTAAGCCCCATTTCTCTATGGCCAGAATGAATAGGGTTTTTTAAAAATCTCCTCTATAGCCCCCTTTGGTAGATAAAAATGTTCAGAACCCAATACGTTTTGTCCTGTGTACATTTTTCTCCCGAATACCACTGGATCCTCTGAATTATGAGGTTGTAAAGAGCTATAATGCTAATATTGCTTCATGCGAGCTAAAGCTACTGCGCATCAATTTGATGTCACTAAGCTACACAAAACTAAGGCGGGCTGTGGCGGTGCTCTGACAAGTTGTGCTATCTTATCAAAATGTTCTACCGTAGCGCATAATGAGCCTTACTCTCATTTCCGGGGTCAACATTTCCGGTTTGGGAAGTTCAGTGTAAAATCATTTCCGTTTTTGAGTTTATCATTCATTTCCATCTGATGATGACCTCAGAAAGAAATCACAATAAAAAGGAGTGAGGGGCCGACATTCAAAGTCATTCGAAACAACACGTATGTGTGCAGCGCTCATTTAAACCCATCAGACATCTACGTTACACCGAAGGGAAAAATGTGGCTGGAGTCGCAGTACCATGTCGTTTCAGTTGGAGTCAACGAGCAAGGGAGTCTGTGTATAGCAGAGAGAGGGCCTGCCTCGGAGACTCTACTAATGAGGAGGAGGGGGGTGGAGCAGGATATGTCGGGGATAGAGGAGGAAAAACAAGCCTAGAAGGACGCATATATATATATATATATATATATATATATATATATATATATATATATATATATATATATTAAAAAACAACCACTGTAGTCAGCTTTTAATTTCTACACTTTATTTATTTTCGTCTAGCTTTGTACTACATTTGAACAGTCATATGTGTTGAGTTTTCATGTTCTCCCCATGTCTGCGTGGGTTTTTTGTTATGGACCGAAATCATGGCTAGTGTCCCAGACCCACGAGACTGGCATCAAAGAACTTCTGTGACCCAGGTGATAGCAGGGGGTTACTGGAAAGGTGTGTGGCTATATGTGATACATATAAACCTAATAGTGAATTAGCTTATAAAACAGTAAATCTAACTGCGTTAATTAAAATGGGTTGGTGAACTGCAGTGTTGTAACAATGGACTGGTTCAACTCCTTCGAACTTCTTTGAAGTTTTTGGACCACTAGTCTGGTTGGTTCCTCACTTTTCTTGCCGTGTGGTTCCTTGCTTTTCTCGATAGGGAGATCCGAGCCCTTACATGGATCACCCTATCTACAACATTGGACACTGAGAAGGATATAATTTAACACAATGATTCATGTTAGACACCATTTATTTACTTCTTAAACAGACACATACTTGCAGATCATACTTCTGAAGAATGCTGAAACTACCTAACATTACTCATCCTGTCTGTGACATTAAGTAAGGTAACGTTAGCTAGCTAGCTAGCTAACTACAACACTGGGAACCAGCTAACGATTTACCTTCATAATCAAAAATAAACAGCTCAAAAAAGCATTTATATCCTTATTGAGTTTTGCATGTTTAGCTCTCGATAGCTCTTCCACAATTCTGACCACATCGTCCTGCCTAAAGCATTGGAGTTCAGCCAAAGATGATGAATAACGAAATGCAGCCATATTTGTAGCGGGGGATACAAATATGGCTGCATTATAAGGAAATAAGTTTACACATAACCCCCCCCGGAATTTGACCCCTCCTCCATGCGTAAAAAACGCCTATTACAGGTATACCTGTAAATAAAATCTCTGGGTGAAATATTTTGATAGGCTAAAACTCCTTATGAAAAAAATACTACCTGTGTGAAAACTATGAGGCTGAATTAAGCTTCTTTTTTCGCAGCTTCTTGTTTGAATGTTCCCGTTCCACCTTAAATGGTGCAGCAGCTGTGACTAGCTATCACAAACATTAGCAAACGAGACAAAATACTGACTTGTTAGTTCGGTGAAACAGCAAAAATAAGTTAATGTTACTCAGTTGTTAAGCAGAAACAGAGAAACCTCAATATCAGGCCTTTCAACCTTTTTCACCAGCTGCTTGTTCAAATTTTCCTGTTCCACCCTAAATGGTACAGCAGTTCAGAATGTGACTGCTGCACCGTTTAAGGTGGAACAGGAAAAGTCAAACAAAAAGCTGGCGAAAGTCCTGAGAAAATGTCCTCAGAAAAATGTTACCAGCATTAAAATAATAATTAGGATATTCTGAGAGCCTAAATCAGTTTATCAGGGGGTGAACAGTGATATTAAGCTGAGTCTGTACTGATTAGCCTGAGTGCAGGTATGCTTGTAAATCTTTTCAAATCAAGCTAAAAGGCAACATCTATCGTGTTTCAGTGAGCATCAGAAGAAGAACAGTGAACTGCAGGGAAACCTGCTGATTTTGTTCTAGGTTCTGTTCTTTTCATCTTCCCTCAGTCTGTACATGGAAATGTACACTGACAAAACCTGCTCAAGGAGGCCACCGGTCTAATGACATGAATTCAGTGGGCAGTAGCATTAGCTTGCATGTAGCAATATTCGTATTTCAACTCTTTAACAACCTTGTAATTCGGAGGATCCAGTGGTATTCGAGAGGACACTGTTCACAGGACAAAACATATCGGGTTCTGAACATTTTTACTTAACACAGGGTGCGATAGAGGCGATTTTCCGAAAACCCTATTCCCATTCTGGCCATAGAGAAATGGAGCTTAGACCCAGAGTTCCTAATGGCACCGGCACCGACTACAAAATGACACACCACTACGATGGTCTATTTTGAATACAGCCAAAGTTTTAGTTAATAGGTGGAGCCTTGTTTTAGCCACACCCCTGAATTTCAGAGCAGGAAGTGAGACTGCATCCCTGTCCCTCATGACCACATGGTAAGCAGTTA